TATTAATAATTAAATAAAATACCATCATCATTAGCATGTCATGGAGATAAAATTCTACCTTTACATCACCTACTGATTATGAGATATTTTAAAATTAGTAACGCATTATTTAACCATATTAAGCCGGGCAACTTAGCAGCGTATATTATAAATTCGTAAAGAAGTAGGTCTTTAATTTTTATGGCTATACAGTAAATTAAACCTTATTAAAATTGGCTCAGGTGTAATTTAAAATCTGCTATGAACAATGAACAATCCCGTGTCACGACGTTTGTTCACGCTGATCTCCAATGCCGCTCACACGATATTTATTAGTGAAATTTTGTAAATGACTATTGTTTTCTTCTTTAGACATAAATGAAGTGTTTTATATAATATATGTTTGTTTCGATAATATTACATATTTGTAAATAAATACCAATTTAATCATCTATTTCATTATTATGTTTGGTAAACCCTACAGCTATGATAACCAATGAACCAGGGTCACAAGTGCTTAAAAAACTATTCAGTCATTGTTACTTATTGCTTGCACTACGTAATAGTATACGTTATTAATTAGAAACGAAACTTTCCCACATCAATCGACAGATAGAGATAGCTGCAGTGTTCAGTTCGACTGTTTATAATTTGATCACAGTAGGTATATTATTAATACTTATTTATTAATATATATAAAAAAAAAAATAGAAACGATATATCATAAATATTAATGTCAGCGAGAGACAAATTAAAAGCAGATCGATTTTACTTCGGATACCCGATTGGCAGGTACAATTTCAACATGTTTTTATATTTTACTAAACACCTGTTTTTATGCAACTTGAAATAGCAAACACGCTGTCAGATCATATAATGAAAAATGCTTCCGCGGTAACAAGTTATTTCTCGATCCCGTATGAAATTCAGAATTTTTTTATACCACTAAAATGGCAAACAAACATACGGCCCACCTGATGGTAAGCGGTGACCGTAGCCTATAAACGCCTGCAAGGCCAGGGACATTACGCACACGTTGCCGATCCTAAAGAAACCTCTTTATCCCTTTTCGGGAAATCTTTTCTTATTATTTACATTAAGAACCTTCATCCAAAATTGTATTATTCCCAGGCACATTTTCGTCGAGGTGTTGATCGGCTGGTTATTAAACTGACCACCAAGACAAATCACAAACAAATTCATTGATGAAATCAATAGTTATCGATAAGAGATAAAGACTTCGGACGTTGCTATCTCATTCTATCTGATGGACGCACTAACGGTAACGATTCCATCGATGGATTCGTTTGCTAATTGTATAGGGGACCAGAAGAACTACTACAAAATGAAATTCCTTTAGTGAATGAATGTAAGTTAATTTTCAGTCTCAATTTCGTGTTTTTGTTCATAACGAAATCGATGGAGGAGAAAGTACGTCAAACGTAAAAGTAACGTAAAAGTCTAGTAGTAGTCTAAAGAACAATATTTTAACCTTTTTAATCGGTATGTGTTATATACTTTTAATGTCAAATTAATATTTCTTACGACACCAAAATTACGGAAAACATTTCATGGTAGGCCCTCTGATTTCAAAGGTTTTATTTGTAGCGACTACAGTACATTACAATAGAGTTACTTTATGTACCTATATTTTAGCGATATATTTGCCAATTCTTAATGCCAATTTTGATCAATATTTTCGCAATCGATAGTTTATTTTTTTAGATTCAAAATTTAAATTTTATAAACATTTTAATTTTGTCCCGTTTGTTATACATAATAAAAAAAACGAAATTGACAAAACAGTCAACATTAAAATCGCTGTTTTGTTGGCATATGTGCTTATAGTACTATGCTATATAAATATAGTATGTACTTACATTAGGCAAAAATGTTTATTCTCACGTTGATCGCATACTAATTTTATCGAGATTGAAATCGGTTTTCTTAAGAATTTGTCGTATGAATCTTTTTATGTGTAGTATATTTTATAAATAGCTTGTCCGCGACTTCACGTGTACTTGCGTTCCGGTCATTGGTCCTTAATTATTACATAAAGATTTGACCATGAATTTCCCACCGCCACGGACAAGCCGAAGTGGTCACGTGACCGTGCGGTTTGTGAGAAAGTTTACAAAGGTTTGTTTCAAATTTTGACCAATGTTGATTAATGAATACATTCGCCGATTTCGAAAAAGTAGATCTGCCTTCATTTATAGTATCTTTCTCTAGTTTTAGTGATTAAAATTTTTATTCTTAGTGTTATATCAATTGTTATAATGTCCATATATGTTGTTACTAAATAAATTACTTTTCTTTCTTTCTCTAAAATATTACATATAAAGCCAATTTCATGACGATTGATTAACTTAACGATTGGTCACTAGTGTTGACCGAGATGAAACAAACTACTTTCACAATTTATAATTAGTAAGGATTTAAAAGGATATCGATTTTACAGTGAAACTTTAACCAAATTAAAACATTAAAATGCATTTAAATTATACTATATAATTAAATTATAAATGTAAAGACATGTAAATGCGAAACTTAATAAGTTTGCTAATTTATTAATTAAATTTTGAATGGATAAATTATGTGTAATTATGCAATTCAAAAATTAACAAAACCGGCGACATTCTCTATGGTCATTGATTTGATATCTAGAATACATAGATACAGTAGCGTTAAAATAAACAACGTGTAGGTATAATATTTTAAAGATTTTTTTTTAATTCGTAAAGATATCACGAAATTATGGAAGATATCAAATAATTTAATGTAATACGTCTTTTTGCTAAAATCAATTAAGTAATATAAAAAAATACTAATACTATCAAAAAATATTACTAATATTACTGTAATAGATAGTATATAAATATAAGTATATAGGGGGAAAAGGGATTGTTAGTAATGGAGACTGAGAATCCCATTGCTAGCAATATACCCAACCAGGTCGACCTCCACGCGGTTCTCCCTGGAAACTGTCACGGTTAATTCCTGATGAATTCATCATGATGGGCTAACTGGCCTGTTTTCATTCTCATCTATCACCCTTCACTGGTGCTCCGCCAACGTATCCCGTTAGCGCAGGCGGGCTCACCATACCATTTTCACCCATAAAAAAAAAAAATATATAAAACTTTTCCTAAAGATAGTCGTTTTTCAATGTAATTTTTTAACCACTACAGTATTTAAACAGACACCAATCTATCTGTGGCGTTACGCAAGCGATCACGACATCTATTACCAATTTATTACTTCCAATTAATATCATGACCATAAACAAAGTCGTGTCTATATTGTAACCGCCGTAAATAATGGCTCGATATTTTTCAACATAAGATTTTTAATAAACATGCAGCTGTCTCATAAACAGGTTTTATATTTTCTATCTCACAGCTCAAGTCTATCTTCGTGGAATATTATTATCTAAATATCCCACAATAGTGTATACTCATGCTTACTTAAGCCATGACTGTGCAGTGGAGTATATTTAAATAGTGTTCCTAGAATGATCGTCATACGCCTACACTTATACATACATCTTCAAGAAACCTGGGGTCGTTATAGGATTATCATATATATAATAGCTGCCATTTGGTAGGTATGAGATAACTCTTATACCTACCAAATGGCAGCTACAAACCTTATTTCAACTAATCATAATTATATATTATAGTACCATAAGGAGAAAAGAGGGTTGACGTCAAGCAGGCGGCCGGTCGTAAAAGTATTTGGCTTAATCCTTTAGTAATATGTATAAAAACATATTATGCCGACCCCAAATAATAATTGGGACAAGGGTAGGAAGATGATGATGATATTACCAGAAAGAGATTTATTTTTATTTTGTACAAAAGTCGTTTGCTTGGGTACCTCTGTCCCATTCGTGTTTTACCGTGAAGCAGTTGTGTTTGCATAGCTGTGTTTCAGTTTGAAGGGTAAGATATGGTAATAAATTTACAGGGTTCAGAGGAATAACACCTGAGTCCTCAGGAATGGCAACGCACATGGGGGTTACTGTGGGCGAAACAGTATACTCTGTTATGTCCATGGCACTGCTCATGTCTATAGGCGACGGTTACCACTTTCCATCAGGTGGGCCGTCAGCTTGTTTGCCATTCTAAGTTGTATAAAAAAATGTAAAAGTGAGATTGTTTCTTTGTTTCCTTATAGCGCCTTAACGGCTTAACTAAGCATTATGAAATTTGGTATATAATATATGGATGGAGAACGATATATATAATATTTATCACGGTCAACAAACATGGGTCACGCGGACAAAGTCGCGGCTAAAAGCTAGTTTTTAATAATACTAAAATACTCTTCACTATTACTATGACTAATCTATTTACCTGATATTTTTTATGGATTCCGAACAAAAAAATTAGCATACAAACACTACAGTAAGTGCCATTGATCGTACTTTTAGATGAAGAGGAGTAACGTCACAGGAGGTGTAGCTAATTAGTATACTTTTAATAATAAATAATAACAAAAAGAAAGAAATGTAGTTACGACTGTAATCCTTAATAGGGTAGTTAAATGCATTTGACGACTGTTGCCGTTATAGGAAACATACTAGTAAAATCAAACATGCCCACATCTCGCCGAGCATATTAGAATTCAAAGTGGTAGAGGGGAAGCCTACCATTGTCAATTGGATTAATTTAATTTACAATACTGAACAATTAATTAAAAAAAATTTTACTGACACACAATTTTTTGGTAATAAAAGTCGTAGTTTAAGCATCATCATCACCATATCAGCTTTTAACAGAACCCTACTAACCATACGCCTCTCCCATAAGGGAGGGTTTTGTCAATAGTTACCACGCTTGGTAGATTGATTGGCAACAGCAGTTAAGATTTGGTGATGTTTAAGAGGTACGCTGATGCTCATCCTTCGACCACTAAGTTTCCTTACTCGCCTGTTACGGGCTACCCATTCTATGTTGATCACACGGCAATTAAAGTTAATAAATTAAAGCACACATATATTTATTTTTGTTGCACAGGATCAGTACAGTAAGGACTAATGTTGTGGTCGTCGCTGATGGTGCGAGGATGCGCGAGGAGGAGCTGGAGGTGGCGCTGAAGGTGGTGATCGTGGGGGACGGTGGAGTGGGCAAGTCCAGTATGATCCAGCGCTACTGCCGCGGCACCTTCACCAGGGACTATAAGAAAACGATTGGAGTTGACTTCCTTGAGCGACAGATCGAGTAAGTCTACTCCATATGGCCCATTCTATGCCGAGACCACGCGACAATTTTCCTTTCGAAAAATATTTTATTTCTGAAACTGAATATTTTTTCAAAATAAATATGAGTTAAAAAAAAATACGACAAGAAGTACTCTACTGTACTAACACGACAAATAAACGACCGAGCTATTGGTAATTGGCTAATGATTTCGAATTCCCCTGTATAATAAATCAACAATTTGTAAGAAAGGTAAACACTGTGACTCGTCGAACCAAGTGTATGCACATACTATTGTTTGGACAAGTACTATGCTAAATAGTTTTTGATTTAGTGGTTTGTCAACATTTCAATAGGTGGGTACAAATTTTGCATTATAATATCAAACAAAGTAGCGGAGGTCAAGATATTGAAAAAAAAATTAAAAATGCTTGATAGAAAGAAGTATAAACTGCCACGTCACCTAATATGAATCAAACAGAAGGTATATTATAAGCAATGAGGTCCTTAGACCTCATTGATAACTGTCATTTCCCCCCATTAGGATCATCAATGATAGCAGGTAAGGTAGACCTCAAGATGATCCGACAGACTTGACTTCATTCTTATCCATCATCACACACTTAGCCAGTGTATATCATTAACATGATTTCCATGCACTTTGCATCATTCCATTTAAAACAACGTCCAACGTCCTACTTAAAACATCACAGAAGCCTAACTGCGGCTGCCAACTTGCCTGCCAAGCGAGACTTTGGGAAGAGATCTATGCTCAGCAGTCAACATATTAACGGCTGGCATGATGATGATGATTATTTAAAACAAATACAAATAATTTTACGAGCAGTTTATTTACATTCTTTGCGTGGTGAAAATACAATCCATCGCCACTCTTTCAAGAAAATGACATCCCAATACGTCGTAAGAGGTATCCAGGGGAATTGAGTATCAATAAAATAGAAAGAGTGTAACTGAGCCGTCTGTCCAACGAAGTAATGGAAGGCCTTTTTTATTTCATAGCTAAACCAGTGTGCATTAATGAACCACAGTGACAGTGTGAATGATGCTTAATTGCTATTTCCAGAATCGACGGTGAGGAAGTGCGACTAATGCTGTGGGACACAGCGGGCCAGGAGGAGTTCGATGCAATCACCAAGGCGTACTATAGGGGTGCGCACGCATGCGTACTCGCCTTTTCCACCACTGACCGGGATTCGTTCCTGGCACTACACTCGTGGAAACTTAAAGTACGTTCTAGTTATCTTCAACACATATACTGTTTGTGGCCTTTACTAATGTTATAAATGTGAAAGCGAGTTTGTTTCTTTGATACCTCTTGGCGATTCAACAGCTGAACCAATTGTGATGAAATTTTTTTCACTAATATCCCAATTTTAAAGAGAATGACTACAGTGTTGTAGTAAAATAGATTTGTAGAAGATTTCAGTTTTTATGAACAAGGAAGGTAGTATTAAAATTAAAAAGAGCATTTTTAAACTAAGTATTTTTATCCCGGTCATTCAGTATATCCTGACTGACTTTTTATACAAGTTAGAATAGCAAACAAGCTGACGGCCCACCTGATGGAAAGTGGTAACCGTCGCCTACAGACATAACAGAGTATACTGTTTCGCCCATGATACCCTTCATACGTTGCCATTCCTGAAGACTCGGGTGTTATTCCTCTGTACCCTGTAAATTCATGCCATATCCAACTCTTCAAACCAAAGTTGCAGGTAAAATAACACATTCAGACATTTATTTTGTGCAGTTTAAAAATAAGAATTGGTAATACTATTGTAAATAATAGCCGCGACTTCTCCCGTATAAATCAGTATATATAAAGTTTCGTATGTTCTAATTTAGAATATAACCGCACCTTGTAGAAAATTTAATCCAAATTTGTTCAGTAGGTCATGCATCAAAAAGTAACAGAGTCCATCCATCCCAACATCCTCATAAACTTTCTCAAGAGTAGTAGGATTTTTAGAAAACTAGAGCTATTAAGACCAATTTAATTTAAATGAGTTAATAGCCATTTACAGAGTGGCATAATATCGAATATCTACGTAGGTAAATCCGCTAACCTATTGAATCTTCTACAGTGAATGACCGAAAAATGTCTAAATAATAATACCAATTCTAGAATTTTATGTCTCACGATGTGGCACTTAGCTTAAGTTTATTAGATAAATATTTCCTTTTCTTAAGTAGAATGCTTAGAGTTTCTGTTAAGATCTTACTAATATAATAAAATTTTAACTACCAGACAATGTCTGTACATATATATATCAAATTATCAAATGATATCATAGATGATCAATAGAAAACAAATGATGTATTTCATTAGTTTTCCTACTTTTGAAATTCATGAGTACGAAGTAGCTGGCAAAAAGCTAATCTATACTAATTTTATAAAGAGAAAAGATATGATTGTTAATTTTTTTGTTTGTAATGTATAAACTCAAAAACTACACAACTGATTTTAAAAATTATTTCATCCACAGAAAGCTAATCTATCAACAAGTAATATAGACTACATATTAGTTTCTTAAATTTTATCTACCCGTGCGAAACTGGGTTGCTATATGTTGTATAAAATATAATCATAAATTCTAAATGGCGTATAAAAACGTATGCACAGTGCATTTTATGCTAACTTAGCTTAATGCGCTCAAACGATTATGTTTCCGTGAACAGATACCTAACAAAACAATAATTATGATACAGATATGTGAGGTCGTGACTCCTGTTACGATCTCGTATGTACACAAAGTAGGAACACACATATCTAAAACACACTAACATATCTTGTATCAGTTATACTGTTTATATTATTTTGTGAGCACACATTTGGACTCATTCACGAATTCATGTCATAAATACATAATAATTTCGCAAAAATGCAAGAGAAAAGGAATATAATTTTGTTACTATATATCGTCACAATAAGTGGACCGAGTAGTGCCCGAAATTTAGGAAGTATCGAACATTGTATAGACTACTACAAGACCGGGATGAACTTCGATTTAGCCACTTTGCAAGGTGAACATTACGCAGTCTACTTTTGGCCTCCGAATCAAAGGGATAGAGACACTTGTGCAGTGATTAATTACAAGAAACTTCCTCAGCACGAATTTGAAAATACATTAAACGGATGTAACTATACATTGCCATCAAACAGTACAGTGATACAAGCGACATACGTGAATAATGTTGGCAAAAACATAACTCTCCTTTACCATGGAGACGAGGAAGTGAAATATTTGTACCGCTCCTGTAATCGTATCTCGAGATATATTTATATAAGGTTGAATGATAATTACGTGCTAGGCATCAATTGTTCAGTTGGAGGACGAGGAGTGTTGCTGTCTAAGAATTTGCCTTCGGATATAGAAGTGCAGTCTATCGTAAAGAGTATAGATTTCATGGGTGGCCGTGAAGGGGCATCGGATTGCAAGTTGAGACCGTTTTGATTTTGTATTTAATTGATAATTAAAATAAAACAACTCTCGTTATACAGAAATGATGTTTGACTTTGTAATTCCTTTTTTAAATTAATTCTACTCGTAACAGCGACAATGGTAAAATTAAAATTATAAATTCTTTTATAGTAGCTAGTAAACTTGAGAAAAAATGCAGTAGATTCATAGTGGCACAATTTTTTTTTCAGGTGGAGAATGAATGTGGGGAGATCCCGACTATAATAGTTCAAAATAAAATAGATTTGATGGATCAATGCGTCGTCGGCCCGTAAGTATTTACAAATAATTTCAATTTAGTTGATAGATTATTAACTGCATTGTTTGTAAATTATCGTAATTAGAATGTTAAATAGTACCTAGCTGCAGCATGAACCTAGGTTACGAAAAAAAAACTATAATACTGTAAATTGCATTTAGTTTTTTTTACATCTAATAGGAAAGTTATAATCAGAAATTACGTACTGTTTTTAAAGATGATGCAGTATCGAAAAATTGTAAATATTGATTAAAAAAACTATAGATTACTGAAATCAGCTGTAACATATTCTATCATTAATCATAAGTCTATACACTATCTACGATAAAGAATTAATAATACTTAATTATAATTTAAGTACTTAATGTAGGTACTTATTTATTTTTTCCAACCCTACATTGAGAGTTTCCGCTTAGATTACGTTACATCCTCTTTTATAAGAGGATGTAATGTAATCGATTGTATTTTTTGTAGCTAGGTAAACACCGGTAACAATCGCTGGCTACGAATACTTGACATTTGGCATATAATCATCATAACTAATAATAAGAACCCTATTGACAGTCAGTCAAGTTTTTGGTATTTACATTCTCATATGATTATAGGCTTTGGAAATTTGAAAATAAACCGTTACGTTTCCGGACAATTTTAAAATTATACGAAGGTAGCGTGGCTACATGAGCATCACAGTGTATTCACCTTGCTACACCCGTGTTACATTTTATCTCTAGAATCGCTATAAATAAGCTCCAAATTGTAAGATTATAATTTATATCTGGTAGGGGTCAAAATAACATTTGTTATGTCAGGTATATTAATGAGTAAATTCATATATTATATATAAATTATGTGAACATTTAATTTCTATTTTGCACTACTACTGTCCACTACTTCCTACTGTGTTAGGTTGACTGGAAGAAATCTCTTTTAAAGATAAGTTCGCCTTTGCTAACATTATTACTGTATGTTTTAGTGTATATATATATTTATACTCATATTGATGCAGAGACGAAGCGGAGCTGGTAGCGCGCGCGCTCGGCTGCCGCCTGATGCGAGCGTCGGTGAAGGAGGACGTAAATGTGAGCGCCGTGTTCCGCGCGCTCGCTGCCAGGTGCTTAGCGGACATGCGCCGCGAGGACTCCGACGACAGTGCACCGCCCTGTGTCTCGCCTGTCATTGGTAACTACTACAATGTTTATATATTTAGATATAAGTATACGATATAGGAGGGAAGGTATTGTTGGCAATACGGAATACCAGTTCCATTGCTAGCAATATACCCTGTCAGGTTGACTTCCACGTGGTCCCCCCTGGAAAACATTGAGCTGAATTCCAGGCATAATCATCACAATGGGCTAACTAACCTGAATTTTCATCCTCACCTATCATTCCTCACTGGTGCCTTGCTAGCGTATACCGTTAGCGCAAACGAGGTTATCATTACATTATCATCCATTAAAAAAAAACTGTACGAAATATACGAGGTCTGTCCGGAAAGTTCGTATAAAAGTGTTCTGGAATGCGAGAAAGAGGAGTGGGGAGGCCAGGTAAGCGCAGGACCCCTTCCTTATGTCCCTAACAATGCTTCAGTTCTGGTCTGACCGCCGTGCGGTGCGAACTGGCTTGTCACGCCATCTGTGAAGTTACCTCTTAACGAAACCCCGTCGGCATGGAGCCCGCTTCCGTTGAAGAGCAGCGCGTCGTAATCAAGTTTCTCTCGAAACTCGGCAAGAATGGCCGTGAAAGCAAAGAGTGGAAGACATCCGGGGAACCACGAACAAAAAAATCAAGAAAATCCCGCTCAAATGTCAAGACAATGTTGATTGTTTTTTTCGATGTTCGGGGGATTGTCCATCAAGAATTCGTCCCTCCAGGCCAGACAGTTGATGGAAAATTCTACGTCGATGTGCTCAGACGCCTCAAAGCTCGTGTGGCACGAGTTCGTCCAGAATTGGCGCGAGAGGGGCGTTGGATTCTTCACCACGACAATGCCCCTGCCCACACCTCTCTTGTTGTCCGTGAGTTTTTGAGTAAAAATTCCATTACGGTGACCGAACACCCCCCTATTTGCCGGATTTGGCCCCGTGTGACTTCTTCTTGTTCCCAAAAACCAAATTGGTACTTCGGGGGCGGCATTTGGGGGACATAAATGAGATAAAAAAAGCTACGACGGGGCAGCTGAGAAACCTACAACCAGAGGACTTTCAAGGAGCCTTCTCACAGTGGAAACGGCGTTGGCACAAGTGCATTATGTCACAGGGGGAGTACTTTGAAGGGGATAAAATTGATTTACCTGAATAATTGTAAAATAAAATTTTTAAAAAACTTTTATACGTACTTTCCGGACAAACCTCGTATGTATATACATATATAATCTTGTAACTGTAATCCTTTCTGAGGTGGTCATTGGAGAATCTGTCAACAACGATAATACAGTTGTAGCTAAGGTAACATTATAAATGTCCACACCTCTACGACTATATATCAAGCCTGTCTCAACCCGAGAGTGCAAGGGGAGATTGTTAGTAATATGATCTAGTGACAATGTACCCATCAAGTCGACCTCCACGTGGAAACCATCGTGATTATTTCTCGATGAATTCATCACGGTAGGCCAACTGGCCGGCTCTCATCCTCACCTATCATTCCTCACTGATGCCCTGCCAGCATACAACGATAGCGTAGATAGTGTTACCGCTCCATTATCATCCATTAAAAAAATCAAGAGTGCAAGGAAGGCAACCTATTTAATTTCACGATAACGGATATATTAACATAACCCGCTTCTCTCCTCTCTTCATTGTCAAAGATTTTAGAAGTTTTAAAAGGCAGAAGTAAAGTGCAGAGCTGGTTTCTGCTTCCTGACACAAAATATACTTAAAATGGCCCAGAGCCAAAAGTACCGTCAACGACACAACCTAAAATGTATTCATGCCTTTAATTGATGCTAATCTAGCCTACTTTCCTAATAGATATGCAACTCTGAACCAATTACGTACGTCATTTTACTATAATTAACTATAATAATTACAGTGCTAAACCCTTTTTCAGTTTTTGACCATTTTTGTTATTGAGATACACCTTGATTATAATAATATCTATTCATATTTTTAGGCACATTCACAAACCAAAATAGCAACGGCACAATACTCCTGCGGCCAGCGAAGCACAGGCCGGGCGGCAAGAAGAAAAACGTGCTGAAAAATGCTTGCAGAATACTATGATTGTTCGCCACCAATATTCATTAAATTTTAAGCCATGTAGACAAAAAGTTGGCTTTAATAACAAATCAAACAAAATTGCATTTAAATTGGTAAATGTGAACGTAAAAGTGAACTTTAGTGCTAAACTTTTACGGAGTGTCGTAGGACATTTATAACTGGACATACTGTGACGCTGTATTCCAAAGTGGAATTTTTTTTTTTATTTATATAAAGCAGATTCTTGCTGGTGTACACTTATTATGTTCATAGATAGAAGAGCAAATTAGCTGAACTCGGTAGCATGTTAGGATGCCCAATGTAACATGTAGATAACATAATCGGTCGAGTGCCATGTGTGAGCTGTTAACAGTATCTGAAAAACACTACGTATTCCTAAAATTTTGATATATAATTTCTCTAGTTTAATTTTTCTAGTGTCCAAACATCATTTTGAAACGTGTACGTATCATGACAATATCCGCATGACATGAATTTATTCGCACTATAAAAAAAAACATTTTCATTAAGAGCTTTTATGCAGACAAAAAACATAGAATTGTACATAAATCTGGTATGTAAAAAGAGAACACGTTATGACAAAACCAAGTTCAATCCATTTATTCTAGTTCAATCCAATATAGAGTAGATTGCATATGACTCAGATACATTACATAAGGTGAGTAATAGTTATGAACACCATTCTGAAGTAAAGAATAGACTGTATTTCTCTTATTCTATGGTGTATATACCACATGCAGCTACATGTTTACTACCGAATTACACATTTTGAAATGCCCTTCTCGTATGAAATTAAAATATAAGGACTATTTACCGAATGCGAATACGTAGTTTTTGCAATGGAAAAAGCATTGATACGTTGTACATATTTGTCTAGTTTTATACAAATACTTGAAAATAATTTGCAAAGTGCAATCAGTTTAGAATCTAATATGTATTCCGTATAAGTATTGTGTATAGAGTACGGAAAATGTTCAAGTATTTCATTCGATGCAGTCATAAAATGGCGGTAAATAAATATGCACCCCTAGACAAAGTAACATTTTTTCAAAGTAACATTTAACTGAATTAAACGTTGCATAATTCTCGTTTTGCTTTTTCTGTCAATGTTTCTTTAATGACAAACATCAGCAATATCGTTTACAGAATAGTACTTTGTATAGGGGGCTGATTTGATAGAAATGCAAGCAGATTTTTTACCATATAGTAGTTGAACTCGGTACTTTTCCATAGTGCAATTATTACACGTGCATATTTGAGGTTATTTTTGTGTTCATTCAAGTCACTGATGATAGTGATAAAACTACCAACCGATAATAAATTGCAATTAATATTTTAGTCATTATTATGTAACATGAGAAACGATCATAACAACGAAGTTATGTAAATATTCTGTAGTTTAATCCATTATATATAAATAAATAAATTATTTTTGTCATTGTTTTTTCACTTATTGTTACCCTTTCTTTACTTGGATGAATGAGATTTTTAATTTATACCATAACTTAAGGTTCCAATCCCTACTAAATATAGGATAAACAGCATTATCGGACCGTAATATATTACTAAAAAGGAACAATGAAAACACATCATAGATTAGCAATTATTATATTAAAAAACGTCACTGCAACAAATTTCAATAAATTACAACTGAAATTGTCGTGAAAGATCTTTCAGAAAAATTACAAACTAAACGAACGAAACGGAATACTTTAGTTCTAAACAATAGTTACCTATGACTCGCCAACAACACACTTCGTAGTTTAAAACGTGCCCGTTAGTGAGTATATGACGACAAATACATTATAATCGAGAATATTTAATTTTTCTGATTATGGAGCATCTATATATATGTATGTACATATATAATATTATAGACAAAGTGATTAATTAAATTAATTTTTATTCCTAGTCCTCAATATTCATACTATTATTACTACTAAGTACCCAATACTAGGTGCCTAATGTCCAATCGTTATTTTGTAATGTATGCGCATCATAACAATGTTTATCCGCACTATAAAAAACAATTTATTCAAAATTTTTTATGCAGACAAAAAACAGAATTGTACATAAATTTGGTATGTGAAAAGAGAACACGTTACGACAAAACATAGTCCAATCCATTTACTGAAGTTTAATCCAATGTAGAGTCGATTGAATATGACTCAGGTACATTACAGAAGGTGAGTAATGAAATATAGAACAGACTGTATTTCTCTTGTTCCATGGTGTATATACCACATGTAGCTACATGTCTACTACCGAATGACACATTTTGAAATGTACCATATTGCCTTTTTTGTATGAAATAAAAATAAATACATATGCATATGACTTATTTCGCAATACAGCAATAAAATTGGTGGCACCCAGTTATAGAACCTAAGAACATTTACATTAATTTGCTTATATAAATACAAACCAATTCCCAATATACTGAACTACATTTAAACAGATCTATTGACTTTAAAAAGCTTTTCCAAATTTATTGTCTTATTGATATGATCACTACACAATTTTCTTTTATGTTCAAAGCGATATAAGTACAAACAAGCGGACATTTTCATTTAAAACCAATGATAATTTGTTATAATTATTTTCATTAATTTTATCAACTTTAAAGAAAATAAAAATATTATATTTATGCAAAGCTTGTTGCATATTTTTCCGAACCAGCAGTATTCAGTACATAGTAGAATAATGGGTAAACAAACAATACACTTAACTAGCATTACCATAAGGTAATTTATTAATTAATTATAGGCCAGTATTAACGAGCAATTGCTTAAAATGGTAATTAATCACTTGGTCCATAACATTCTATGTATATTTTTAACAATTTTCGAACTTTTTCCATACTTATTCTACTTACATAAATACTTGAAATGTAAGCAACCATATCTAGTGGTTTTTTTTTTTCTTATACAATTCGAGGTTCAGAACACCTATCATTTAGAGTATTTAATGGATATTTTCAAAAATCTAAATTAGTATAGGTATTTAATAATTGAGAGTGAATGTAATGAGTTTATAATGCCAATCATGTCGCAAATCTCAAACGAGAATAGATTTTACATACTTAGGCACTTTGTTAGCAAAAATTATTACCCGTACGTTTTATATTTTATAAAGAAAACCGTTTAAAATAAAGATCAAATGTAAATTTATTATTATGTCATAAGGCTACAACTTCAATAAAAATCTATGACCAGATTCAATTGTATAGGCAAAGGAAATAAACTTAATCCCGTTAAAGGGTGGTAACGTTGATTAAATTGATAAATTTTCTTCAAAAATTTATTATATCTACCTAAATATTCATTCAAGCACAAGTTGCCAAGGGCACGTAATATAATGAGATGAGTAAGTACATCATTTCTCAACAACTTGTGCATTTTATATAGAAATACGCCCTACACGATATTCATGCGGCTAATTAAACTTTATAATTAAAAAGGCTTTTAAGACAAATTACTGCAATCCTCAAAAAAGGTAGCTCAGTTCGCGACACAGAATCATATCAATATTATGCTTATAACTAATAATTTTACATAAGAAAAATTACATCAATTTTACCAAAATTAGTATGGAATCCCACCTTGAATTAAACTTTTCCGACATATAAATATACAAAACAGTCCCGATCTCGAAGAAATGTGTATGTATACATAAATAAAAAGATACGCGCCGCGAGCATAGCATCCTACTGCTTTCAAAATCAGTTAAAATAACAGACTTTTATAATAGTTGTTAATTTAATTAATATTTATTAACACTACAAAATCGGCCTGGGAACTCTGGATAAGAAGCTCGCTTCTAAAATCAAATGACCACACAGTGTACAAAAATATAGCAATTCAGATTTTTTTGTTATAATACTAGAAATAAATTATACATTTTTTAAACACAGACGAATATACATTTGTGGTTTATAAAAAACAGATACTAACACGATTATTTATGATCATAAATTATTATAATTTACCTAAATTATCTCGGCGTTTCGACCAGGTTACACCGGCCGTGATAACGAGTAGACTGATTTAGCGCTATCATGTCACCTCTTCTCTTTAAGGCAAGAGTTGTTTTGTCACCCATTCATTTATTCCCGTTTCTTATAAACCATAATACATGTAGCGCGAAAGTCTACAAATGAATGAATACACACTTTTAATTTTTATACTTATATTCTGCGTCCTTTCCACCAATTCAGAGGATTACAGTATTATCCCTTTGTCCCATATAAGTAACGTTTTTTTCTTTAACTGGGTAGGTAACAAACAGTCTTCTCAAGTTTCTTTTCTTCATCATACCGACAACAATCATGAAATCTCACTGAGATGTCTCCTAGCAATATATTTATTTATACAACAATATTGACGAATAAACAAGTAATTAAAAACTTTGACAAATATAAAAGCAATAATTAAGAGCTAGGTCGACCACTATCAATGGTACAATTACATGCTAATTAAAATTAACATTTAAAGAAAAAATTACGCTATCAACTGAATTTACGGAATTACTATAAAATTTAACTATAAAGTATACAGATATCACATTTGCCAAAGCTTATAACCACTGCCGTGGAACCGAGAGAGAAGCAAACATAGACACAAAACTACAATGTATTTTTTTGGAGAAAACAATAAAGATTCTATCTATCTATCGACAATGATAAATTAGTATCATCTACGCATTATAGCGTCGTGTGGGTGACAGCTGGCATTATTTTTTTTTTTATAAAAAATTGCATTGAGTGAGATTTTTAAGTTAAAATAAATCACGGCTGACATTTCCTCGGAATCAATTGTTTTGTCGAATACAAAATTCATTAGCAACATTGTTGAGACTCTGTCACTCACACTGTGCTATTTATTAACGTAATTTAAATTTATAATGTAAGGTATTTATGTTCATGTATAAAACATTATCATCTTATTTCAGAACAAATAATGTGGAAATTATATTTTTTTTATAAAAGCGGAGTTGGAGTGTGATATTACATATTTTATTATTATTATACATGTATTATTAAGATAGGATTTTATTTTTGTAAAGTGAAGCAAATGGGCTAGATATAATCAGATATGTTCATCTAGTTTTAATATTAATCATATGTATTTATTATTATTTTTCTATTAACTGTTGTTAATAGTAAAACAAATGATTTCTTCGAAATAGATCTATATCAAGAGATTGCAACGTTAACACATCACATTTCTCTAACTCTGTATCATCATTAATAATTATTCCCGCTATTCCAATTGGTGAGTGAACGAGACGGAAGACACGTGAAGGAATTTTGTATTCACGGCACAATCTCCTCTTGGTTATCTCCATAAATTCTTGATCTAAACCAACTGAATTAATTTTATTTATGTACACAGTCTAAGAGTAGACTGTATCAAAGACAAAAAGCTAAAGTGTACAATTAATAATACAAGTTACTCGAATAGGTACAATAACTCTCGGCAAACAAAACCAAAACGTACTCTCGGTGGTCCAGCGCTGCGCAAATAAGAAAGCTGGCAGTAAAAAGGAACGCTCAGCGTATGACAAGCTTGTTACACATCAAGTCCTCGACTCACGAGCAGGTGGTGACGTTGAGCTTCGCGAAGTAGTCCAGGAGGCCCTGGAGGCGCTTCTTGACCCGTTTCTGGTCGTCGAGCGTGCAGCCCAGGATGGCGGTCTCGAAGTTCTTGTCGGTGCCGGTGGTGGGGTCCGGTTGGGAGGTGCACGCGTTCATGTACATCTGACACCGCGTGTGTGCTTGTACCGCGTCGTCGTGCACTGACACCACCAGTTGGTCTATGTACATGTTCACCTAGAACAATGAATTTTCCTTCAAATGTTACTTCAAAGGACAGTTATGTATATTTGTAACCAACATGTATATTTTAGATGTCACTTCATTCGTGTTTGCTACCTCTTGTTACCTTAACGGGTCAACCAATTGTCATGAGAATAAGTATTCACAAGGGGCGGAAGGGAGTGTTAGTAATGCGGATTACCAATCCCATTGCTAGCAATATTCCCTATCAGGTCGACCCTGATCCTCCCTGGAAACCATTCTTTATTCTTTATTGTACACAAAAGTTTATTGAAATAGAAAAAAAACAAACAAAAGCGAGCTTATCTCCAAAAGAGATTTCTTCCTGCAAACCATCGTGCTGAATTCCAGGTGTATTCATCACGATGGGCTAACTGGCCTGCCTTTTCATCCTCACCTATCACCCCGCACTGATGCCCCCGTCAGCGTATACTGTTAGCGCAGGCGGGGTTACCATTCAATTACCATACATTAAAAAAGAAATAGGTATTCACATAGTATTTAGGATGGAGAAAGATATTATTAGAGGAAACAAAATGTTATTACCAACTTTAACAGCGCCCATACAAATCGGCTATCCATATTCATTACGATCGGATTCTTCATTTCATTTAATATTTAATATCATACACATTATTTATTATTGGAAAAATATACATATTGTAAATATCTATCAATATTTTTGTATTATATATAATAATTGCTTAATTTCATACGGTAATTAAGTGGTTATTTTTTATTATTCTTTAGTTCTATATACTAGAACTTGAATACAATTTTTAACAACAACTCATTTTCAAGCAAAAGGCGAAACATAAATGAAATTCTTATAATTTTTTTTTTTTTATACAACTTAAAATTGCAAACAAACTGACGGTGCACCTGATGGAAAGTGGTAACCGTCGCCTATAGACATGAGCAGTACCATTGACATATTCGAGTATACTGTTTCGCCCATGATACCCCCCATGCATTGCCATTCCTGAGGACTCAGGTGTATTTTTTTTTAATGGGTGATAAGGGAATGGTAACCCCACCCGCGCTATCGGTATACACCGGCAGGGCACCAGTGAATATCACCAGTGATGATAGGTGAAAATGAAGTAGGTCAGTTAGCCCATCGTAATGATATCAACAAGAATTGTTCACGATGGTTTCCAGGGGGAACCACGTGGAGGTGGACCTAATAGGGCATTGCTAACAATCCCTTTCCTCCCGGACTCAGGTGTTATTCCTCTGTACCCAGTAAATTCACGCCATATCCCACCCTTCAAACCGAAACACAGCCGTGCAAACACAGTTGAAACTTCAGCTTCACGGTTGAAACACGAATGAGAATTTATTTTCGTAGTATTTCTAATTATTGATACACTACTATTAATAATTAGGATGCTTGGTTATTTCGTTAATTTATATTTAAATATAAAAAAAAATTTTTCATTCACGAGAGTCGAACCTGGAATGCTATTTATACATAAAAAAACGTTCGTTTTACATACCAATACTAAACTAAATAATGTTGTTTTTTCCTTATGCATTTATGTTTATATCGAATGATTAAATCACTGTTTAGTACGTATACATATCAATGACGCCTAATTGGAGTGAATGGTAAAATCATCTGAATACGATTTGGAATACAAACAAGAAGTTAATGGGGTCGAACGTCCAATATTTTATTTAGGACGAATCCAAAAAGTTTGGGTACACTTTCTTTTAGAATTACCACTTTCATTGCATCACGTATATGAACTTTATGGAAATACCAATGGAAATTTTCATTGTGTCATCTATTTAGTCGTAAGATGAGTGGTTAGTAATGATACCTATTATGAATTATATACAAAGAAATACAAAATATATAATCAGATACTAAAATACAGCACTGAGAATAGAGCTCACTCATACCTAATAACACCTAAGTGCTTAGGAATAGGTACGCGTGAGGGGTAATGGGAGCCTATTTATTATATTGTATATTTTCTAGAATTAATATTTTTGTTATACAACTTAGAATGGCAAACAAGTTGACGGCCCACCTGATGGAAAGTGGTAACCGTCGCCTATAGACATGAGCAGTACCATGGACATAACAGAGTATACTGTTTCGACCATGATACCTCCCATGCGTTGCCATTCTTGAGGACTCAGGTGTTATTCCTCTGTACCCTATAAATTCACGCCATACATATCTCACCCTTCAAATCTAAACGCAGCCATGGAAACACAACTGCTTTACGGTTGAAACACACACGGTTTTCTAACGTCTATGGCACTGTTCATGGCTATATATATACATACATGGCAATTATCAGGAGGGCCATAAATTGTTAGCCATTCTAAGTTACATAAAACAAAATCTTAAATAAATTTTGGTAATGTGATTGTATGGTATTTATTTCTATTTCATCTGAAGTTTATGAACAAGTTCATCTGCGACACAAAAGGAATGATAACTTTCCAATCTACAGGAACGACATTAAGACAAGTGGCACTAAGTAAATTCTGTGCTAAACGTATAGTGCATGTATATACACTCTATATCGTATGCTCCCGACGCAGAATGGGCCAACCCTTCCTTTCCTGTAAGTGTCGTAAGAAACGACTAAAAGAACTTAATGATCGAGGGATGGGCAGCAGCGTCCCTTTTAAAACACCACTAAAGCCTAACTGCAGTTGCCAATCAGCCTGTCAAGTATGGCAACTACTGGCAAAGCCTTCCTGTTCAGAAATGTATAATAAATGGCTGATATGATAATATTTACAGAATTTACGCACAAGCTGTATAGACACAGTTTATGTAAATTTATTTACTTAAACTTTTGCATACATTACTTAATGTCTTATAAGTATTCTCTACCAGTCAACCAAATTTACACAAAAATATGTTAAGAGCCCTAATTACATTACTACTCGTAGCATGACTGAGAGATATGGGTACAAATTCTGTTAAATCGCTAAACCCAGAACTTAAACCGACTTTAAAAAAGGAGAAAGTTCTCAATTCGGTCGTATTTTTTTTTATGTTTGTTACCTTAGACATTACAATCTGTCGTTTATAAACCCATTTAGAAAATTATTTCTTTTTTTTTTAAAGAATATACTTTCAGATTAATTCCATAGAAATTTTATCAAAATCGAATTATTAGTTTTGTTTTTAAATCAAAATAGTTTTACCACGAAGTCGGTATTCTTTTTGTGGAACAAAAAAATATTTAATCAATGGTCCAATACTTTATTTGTATTCACATATTAATAACTAAGTATTTAAATATTTTCAAATACTAATTTAAATTGGTCTATGTGAAATGTGTATGAAACTGAATATCTCTAATTAAAATATAATGAGAAAACAATATCACGACACGGATTTCCTTGTAAAGGGAATTACCATAGGTTTTCGGCAGGGGGGAAACATTACAAGGAAATCCTGAAGCCCCGCGACCCGCGGCCTGTTAGATGATTCAGTTATAAATTCCGCATAAAATTTCACACTATCCTAATTACTAAATGAAGTCACGCGTGGTTTTTTTCTGACTTCTAAGCAGAGATTCTTGATTGGACTATATGTACACATATGTGACGCGATATCATCGCAGATCGTGATATATTTTTTTAATCGAAATTTACTGCCGTAATAGTTCGATCTTATTTTATAAAATTATTAAATATTTTAAATAATCTCTTAAATATAATTATTAGTTACTATTTTATTTAATTTCATTTTAGTTACTTCAATATAACAATTCTTGCAAACTTTATTTTGAATTCATTTTTACGTTAACAGTGACCACATAACGTATTTCTAATCCGACAAGGAGAATTTTCCACGCAACCTTTTCATATTCAAATATATTAAAAGTAAATTATTTACCCATATCTATCCATTTTTAAGCTAAAATCCTTAAAAAGAAGATAGAGATAATAGCGTTAAAACCTCTATCCTCAGACAACCGTTATATTTCAGCCATTTGAATCATCTTGACATCCACTAAGGATACCAAGATGATAATAAGGATTTTAAGATTTCCAACAGGACCGGAAGAAACTCGGGTCCTCGAGGGATAAATCCTACAGCTTTTTAGTAATCTATCAAAGGTATTACCTGATGTAGTGCTTCTTCTTGCTGCGAGTCGCGGTCGGTCCGCACTGCCACCTCCACGGTCATAGCCCGGGCCAGAATCCGTTCGGCATATCGCATGATATCGTCCTTATCGCCTATAAATCAATATGTTTAATTATCTTAATTTTTTATCTATAAAAAAAATAACGTATGCAATCAAAGACAAAAAGAGAATGTATTCAAATAACGCGCCCATTTACTAGTATTTTCAGCCAGTGACGTTTTATTTATTATAAAATACAAAATCTCGTTTTCTTATTCATTCCACTTTTACTTTTTTTTTTATTATCAATTAAAACACGTAGTATACATATGTTTTAACCTCAATAAATAAATAGATTTACTTGACTACGAATTTTTATCTTCTGGACCGATTTTGATAATTCTTTCTTTCAATCAATAGGTTTATGCTAGTCCTATTATAATTTTAGCACGAACTAACTTTTTCACTACACTGATATTGTGACTGAAAATAAAATATTAGCTAAATAAAAAGAATATACCTATATTAAACGAGTACACTGCCAGTCACAAATAGGTAGGTACCACACCTATTTACATTTACTCGTATATAAATGATCTATAGATGATACGTATACCTATGAACTTAATAGGTACATAGAGCAGGCACGTGTAGAATATACCTAATTTCTTAGTCACTTAGTCCCAGTATACAAATAAGATTTGTATTTATATTTTTACAATTAAGTAAATACACGTATATGTAATTAGCACTTCCCTTTGTCGTCCTATTATAATCTGACCAATAATTAACACAAAATCTAAGAAGGTACTTAAACAATAAATTATATTTAATCCGCAAGAATTTCCAGCAACATTTACATAACTTCAAGTATACAAATACACAATTACAATACACAATGTTATATACGTTCATGCATGTGCAAAAATTCTGGACAACTGAATTATCAATCAAATATAAGCATAAAACTACAACCATCCCAATACTATACTGGTGTCGCTTCTGTTTAGCTACCACATCGGTCTAAAATATACAGATATCACTATCCTTTTGAATTTCTATTAACAGAATATTCTCCAATTCTGCTAATAAAAATTAAACATTTTTCAATGATATGTGTTGAAAAACGACAAAAAAATCTAATTGTGAACAATTTTTAGCGTAATCTACGAAGCCAATCTCAATATTAAACCACAACAATACTATTTGTAACACCGTTAGTTGTTAGTCTGCTTGTTTGCCATTATCTAAATGGCATAATTGTATAACAAAACCGTTAACATTATTGCGAAAACAGCATAGATTATTAGAGAAAAAATATTAAATGAAAACTTACATTCGGTGACGTCGTTTAACAATTCCGAGTGCTTGACACTGTCCAGCGTAGAAAGTAAAGAGTCCCGCTCCTCCTCAATGCGGACCGTGTCACGTCGGAGCCGCTCCACCCTCATCTCCACTTGATCAAGAACAGCAATCAATCTGCGCACAACATGTTCGCAATTAGCTTCCTTTTTACTTTTCTTTTTGGACGCTTTCATTCGACACCAGCCGTTCAAGCGTAGAGCTCGCATTTTTTCATTAAACAAACACATTTACTCCTATAACACGAATGCTTTTCGAGTTACCACGTCAGTGCAATTAAATATGTATTCGTCCTAAGATCCTAAACATCAATGAACAAATCTCATTTCAACGCCCCTTTATATACGGAGTAGCGTTATGAAATGAAAATGTTAATAAATAATACACATTACCGATATATATTTATTTCGTTTTCACTCATGTGTATTTTCCATTTATTAGTTTTTTTTAATACCTTGTTTTTCCGCGTTAACTTTCACTCAGAACTGAGTAAATAATAACTTGTTAAATAGTTACTATTCTCATAGGAATCCGCTTAAATCCTAGCTGAATATGTTGTCATACATTTTTCCACCTCTGTCATCCATATTTTTTCTTGATACAATACAATTATAATACCGATGAGAAAAAGTATACCTATTAGAATAATTTTCATAGTTTAACAGTGTTGCAGTAATTTACTGAACACGTCATCCTAAGGTAAAACACATAGATTAAAAATAAAAATAACAGTTGAAAGATGAACTAACATGCGTAGTTACATTACATTCTTATAAAGACATATTTGAATCTGAAAGAAGTTGAATTTATATAAATATTAAAAAAAAACGTAACTCTTAATGATCCCTTACCATTTTTCTAAACTTATCGCTAAAACTAAAATTTCAATTAGATATCACGACGAAATTTTTAATGTAGGAAGCAGTATGAACTAATTTTCTTATGTATTTAAATTTAAATTATTATAATTTTAGTTTATTTTATGAGTTGGCAAAAATATATAAATAATTGGGTGAAATATGATAGATGAACACTGAAGGCTGAATTATAGAACCCGAAATTAAGATATCCGCAGAAAAACTAAAGTTATCGATATGTTGCGAAGGATAAGGAAGCTGAAATGCCAATAATGCTCGCAGAATAAACAACGTATGGGAAAGAAATGTTCTTAAATTGCAACACCAATCCATTCAATTTATTTTTCATAGTACTCCTTATTTTAAAATAACTTTACAAATCATATAAGGCGTAGTCTCAGTAGTAGTCTCTTCTTTCCAATCATTAGACAGACATATATTTGGACCAGAACTTAGCGACTTCCACAGCACAGTCGTTTACCTCAATCAGGTTCGTTCAGAATACGTGTAATGATGCGCCGAATATTCGTATCCTAATCCGTAATTGCGGATATTAGATAGAAAAAAAAAAAAGATCTGTATCTATCCATTATTTTCTTGGCGGATCTAGAACGAATCTTTTATGTCATTAAATGTCATTACGTATATGCAATTCTAATTATATGTAGTCATTAACTATCTTAAATTATCCGTACCCCTATCCATATTCGCGGATTTACATACCAATTATCCGTATTCGTATCCATATCCGCAGATATTCATCTGACTATATATCCAGCTCATTACTAATTACGTGATATTACTGAACTAATTTTGTTGTACTTTCTACCATCGATAGAGTTTAGTCTTATGTTGATTCTCAATACAAGTCACGATATTTTTTTTTTTTTACAAAAACAATAAAAGAAAAAACTTATTTTATAATATTTTACAGCTAATATATTTGTTGTAGTACAAACATAAAAACAAATAGTGTATCTATTCTTTATCTACGGCAAGTAATAAATATTCTTGTGGGAAATAAAGACAATTATTTACGAACTTTATCACTAAAATAGTAACGGGAAAACCGGGTGTTTATTATTGAAATGGTACTACAAAAGCGGCGGTATTGACCCTCGTGGCCATATACGTACTTACTGATAGGTCACACACACCACAATAATTTTTATCATTTTAAAAAACTAGCTGTATCTCACGGCTTTGGTTGCGTAAATTCGTATATAAAGTACCCTATGTATTTATTAATCTGGAATACAGTCTATTACATACAAAGAAAGTACATTATATCCTCACGACAATGAAGGTAGTCACTAGCATTTGACGACAGTTGCTGTTGTAATGGACGTAACACTCGACATGTCTATATTTCGCCGATGGTATTAGAATTAAATGTGGAAGGAGGAGAGCCTACTGCCTATATTAAATTTTATTGAAATAAATTCAAGCGTTTAAGAATTGTTAGATAACACCAAAACATCTTTACATACTTGTATATTTATATTTATAATATTAATAAGATTATTGCAAAATTATTTTTCTCGGGATTTTGTCAACGACAAACATTTCATGGCAAAAATTATATAAAGTGACTAATGTATATTATACTGAAATAAGAATAATTTTCAAGGTCATCATGATAATAAAATATTAATAAAGGTGTCGACCTCTTAGCTTTAGACGCCTATATTATTGGTAAGCACTAATAAAGAAAAACAATATTTCTAAAAATAATTTTTAACTAATAAGAGAATGTATTAATAACAAAAATAAAAATCTGATTGAGTAAAACCCCAAAAACATTCATAAAACATAAATGTAAGTACATTTGTTCCAGGAAAAAAAGATTTACTTCCTGTAATTTTATTGTAAATATTGACAATGGGTATTTTTATACACATATAAAAAACTATTCAAGTTCTACAAAATGATTTGAAAGTTCTTCTTTTTCTGCAAAGAGCTTCAATGGATGATTTATTCACTGTACATAGAACTAGATATTATAAAAAATACTTACAAAATTATATAGAATATTTAACAATATTAAGGTAGAGGATAAAATTTTTTATTATAATTTAAGTGCACAATGTGCAGTAAATAAATAACTAATAATAATAATTTTATTTAGAATTTCATTATATTGATAACATTGAAATTGAATTATTTAATTATTAAAATCTTTATGAAAATTTAAGGATCAACGCCCTCCTCGTTTCTAATTGCTGTGCCCTACAGGGTCTCCAATGTACTATATCAATTACTAACATCTTTTATAATAATATTGTAGAATGCAATAAATAAATTGAATTGAAAAAGTGTATTATTCATCATCATCATAACAGCATTTAACTATCCACTGCTGAACATAAGCTTCACAAGCAGATTGGTAACTGCAGTTAATTTAGAGAGGCTTTAGAAATATTTTAAGATGTACACTGCTGCCCATTCCTCACCCTCCCTTAGTCTTCTCTTTACTGGGGTATGAGAAAAAAAATAGCCACAGAATATTTATTTCCTCTGGTCTAGTAAATTGTTATTAAAAATTTTCTTATTTATATTTATAAGATAAAGAATAAAGTTTAATGACAGAAAAAATTGTAATACAGTACAATAAATATTAGGCATTCAGTGCGAGGAAGAAGTTAAAACTATGTAAACCTCAGAACAGAATTTATTTTTATTAATTAAATTTAATTGAATATTGAAGTTCACTATTTTAATATGAATAAAAATAAAAACAACAGACTTATATAATTGCTTTGTTACCTACAGAAAAGTGAATGCATTTCAATGCAACCTTGATTGAAACAAAAAGACCTTGAGCACTAAGGCTTTGTGCCTTGAAACTATACTTATATATTACAATTTTATTATTTAGAATCCTATAAAAAGATCTAATTTTATAACTACACTGAAAAAAGATGAAGTTCTCAATTATGATATGTATATTTTTATACATTGTGTTCAATTCTAAACTGCATTATATGATTCTTTTTTTTTTTATTAAAACAGTTTTATATTTATTTTCTTTTACTATAATAGTCCACCACTATACTATAATAATAAACAACATAATGATAAATGTTAACAGAAATCTGATTGATTGATATTTTAAATTTGAATGTAATTTTATTTATAACTTCTTAGTTCCTTGACTGCTTTTCTGATACTCATAAAATTTGGTATACACACATTATTTGGAGTAAAGGTGGACATAGACTACTTTTTAATCCGATCAATTAACATGCCCCAATCACACAGATAAAGTTACTGGTAAAAACCAGGAACTACTTAAAAATTATCATGCAATAGCAATACTATTTTATTATGCTAACAGTAAAAATTAAACAGATATAATGATGATATATAATTATATCATCTTATTATTTAGTTATCTTATTTTGTATATTGAGGTATTAACAATATTTATTCTTTTATAACCAACAGGTAATAGTTTCAAAATCAGACTATTGAAATTACAATTTAACGTGTCCACGTTTTGGGAAATTAAAATATTAATTCTATCAAAGAAAGACGCTCGAAGTATATTAGATATATGTGGGCGGTTTGGTCATTAACTTTTTATAACCAGCACGATAGCGCGTTGACCATTTTAGGATGTTACCACGTGTAGTACGAATAACGCCGTATAGGTACCTGACTTAACTACGTAGAAAACCAAATTAGTTTTTAATAACAGCTGAAATTCTTTTCCATACCTGTCTTTCGGTGGTTGGGTTCCAAGAGTTGACGACTCGTCGATAAGAGGTAACCGAGATCCTTCGCCGGGATACGTCCAATCTGTTGAGAACTGATCAACCTCCATCGTGAGAAATTTATCTGAATTATTGGAGTCCAGATTTAATTATTGTTTTAAGTCCGTAATTTTGAGAAAAAAATATTTATTTACAAGTAATCAAACCTTTACTAAGTAGACTTTTCGTTTTCGTATCGCACGTAATGTCAATGTCATCTTAAGTCAACCATCAAATATCTGACAAGTAATGTCAACAAAAGGATCTGTCGAAAACTATAGGAGTATCAATCCATAGCAGGCTAGTGTACAAAAAATGCAAGAACAAGTAATTATATAGAAGGAGTGATAAAATTGTCAATTCATAGTGGGCTAGTGTATAAAAAATGTTATACGGCCTTATAACCCTACCAAATTCAGATACAACATGCTTGCATACTTTCTACATAAACTGTGTCAAATATATAATCTAGTAATGCAAAATTTGTCATTCACAAATAATTGACATATCAAACATTTTCTATACACTAACCTGCTTTGAATCAAGATAAATAGCAACTGATGGTGTATCTTTTGTCCTCTTTTTACTAATTATATTTCCATAAGAAAAAAGTAAGCAATTATATGATTTACAGTTTTTATTTTATCATTCATATATTTTGTTATTCCTTGTTCTTAAATTTTAACAAAAATATTATTATTATAACGGCTATAATGGCAGAGAAAGACCTAAAACGACGGATGTACTTTATGAAAAATTATATCGTCAGAATGGGAGTAATGACTTTGAATAGATAAGAATGAAAGAGAAAAGCATATGCCGACCCCAAATAATAATTGGGATGAAGGTAGGAAGATAACGATATTATAACGGCTAATCTGCTAAATAGTTTAAATCGCTTGTTAGTAAACCTCTAAGGTATACCTATTATGGTATTAAGCGGAATAGTTGCGACGTGACATAACACATAACAGCAAGTCCACCGACTAATAAATTCTTCGCTAATTCACAACTCTTTTCATTTGTAGGCACATATTAAAAAGACTATATCTAAAGATTTATTAGATTGAGACCTCCATAATAAATTAACATGTTAATTTCCAGTTAAATAATTTCACTGGCCCGTTCAAATATTTTGAAATCCTTGGCCTCTTTGGCGATTAAAGTTGATATTTAGATTCTTAATGGTACTTTAAATAATCTATCTGTGTAAAGTACCATCCATTCAAATCCTTTCGTCCATTTTAACAAGATAAACATTATTACCATTAATTTTTAGTGTTAATAAACAAAGTTATTGTTATATAAAGCATCCCTTATTAAGGGGTGTGGATTCTAGATGTTATGGTCTTATATTCTAAGGTACCTCTCCCTGTAAGCCCCCCCCTCCCCCCCCCCCTAAGGCACGGTGATCAGGGGGAAAGGGGGGGTTATTATTATTATTATTTATATATAATTAAATAAGGGTATACAATACAAAGTACTAGATATATTTTGAAACAGATTTATTACAGTTTTTAATAAAATAATAAAAATAATGAAACAATAACAAGGCTTGTTAGTGGTTAGTTTTTTTTAACATAAATATAATTTTTAAATGGCTACTATATATGCCTACCTACATAATATTATTTCAAGGACGGAATGCCTTGTTTTTGTGTCTGCGCTAATCTGTATTTTTGAATTTATTACCGACTAATTTGCCTTTGTACATCATATAAACAGAACACTGAGAAAACAGATTTTTTAAAGACCATGGAACTATATTATTTCAACAAAGTATGCTTTAATTGAAAATTATTGCCCTCTTCAAATCGCAAGTCAAGGAATGTACACACTTCAAAATTATAGTTTTGAATCAAATATTTAAGAGCGCCCAATCAGGATGACCATATTGTAAATATTATATCTGTCATTTTTCAATGTTTCTGATTGATCATTTAAAAATTGTTAAGCAAATTAGAACATAAATCATAGAATATGTTAAACATAAACCTATAACTAAAAATATTTGCACCTACTTCATGTTTTGCATCGATATTATTTAAATAAACTTTTGCCATCAAAATGCAAATTTTCAATGAAACCTTTATAAAAATATTATTACATAATTAGTTTTAGTTCACTGAGAACTTTTTATATAATCAGTCAAAAGCACTGAAAATTTTTGTATTTTTTTTTAAATTGACAGATAATTACAGACTCTTACCCTACTTCGGTAAGCTAAATTTATAAACACTCTTAATACTCAGAACACAAAGTTTATTTTTAGGTATGCAATATAACGTAGCCAGGACATTTACCTAAATGATTTATAAAAAAGAAATTCGTTATTGCTAGCAAGTGAATTTCTTGTTTTTCTCATGAGAACATTAATCGTTTCTATAGATAGATTTGTTTACCATTCATCTATAAGTATATAACAAAAACAATATATATATATATATATATATATATATATATATATATATATATATATATATATATAACATTAACAAACAAAAATTTCTTGTTAGATAGGTAATACCTATTATTTTTTATGGAAGAGTCTCAATACTTAGACAGTTGATTAATTCTGACTAGCCATTAAATAATAATACAATTATTGTGCACATAATATTACGTGTGTGTTTTGTAGTAAATCTAAACACATCAATAACAGTTTTCAACTAACACCTCACTAGTTAACGTTACTATTCAAACCGGGGGTTCCCAAAATTATTAAGTTTGCGCGGCCTCTCTCTCTCATAAACTTGTTTTAGCTATTGTCTTGTCTCTTTTTCTTGCACTAAATTCCCTACATGAAAGAAAGTGATAAAACAATGTTAAAATAGGTTACAAAGCTAGTTTTAGTTTTTATGAATAACGGTGGTTAATATTTTGTCCCAGTCTACCTAACTCGGGTCATTTACAGTTATAGACTGTATAACATATTTTCTGTTATCTCCAATATAGATGGGCAAAATGTTTACTTAATTCTATAACATAAAAGTCATGTAGGGATATTTAATATTACAATATTACTAGTTTATAAATGTTACAATTCGCAGTGCATACATACAAAAATCATAAACAAATTATAACATAAATAGGACCATAAATCATTAAAAGATAATTTGCCATTGCTTACAGACTTCATTTCGTTCAATAGTAAAGCAATTTTTTATTATTACACTGTCTCCTTTTTCTAGAGAATCAAATGAGTAATAAGAGGCCCTTGCTAAACTTTATACACGTATTAAAATTGATATAGTCAATTTCAATAGAATTTGATTAAAACATATATTAATGAAATCAGTGAATGATTGCAACATTCCATCAATTAATCGATTTTTTATTTGTACTACTATCGGACATGTACAGACTATCTTATGGTCGTACTAAGTTCTCTTGAAACAACAAGTTATAAATAAATTTGAAGTAAAATATTTATTACAATTATTACTACATTATCTAACGATTCTTTATAGTACTATACTCTCTGTTCACAATTATAATGTAATTATGGAATAGATTTTAAGTTAATGTCACAGGTAAAATAAAACGTGAATATGACATTGCGATCACAAGGGCGGCCTTAATCAGTATTCGATATTTTTTTATACGCTATTAGCATTTGGATGTTGAGGACACGTTTTTTTCGTTCTTTCTGTCTATAATTATTTTTATACTTGGCATATTTAAATTTTGTCATCAATCACAGCATGTCATTTATTCTAAATTGTACACTAAAAATATGACACGAAAAATAAAATTTGATATGACCAATTAACACAAAAAGCTTTCTATTCTATTTGTATATTCTATCCAATATAATTTTGATTACTAAATAAACCAAGTATAAAAAAATTAAATTATAGTGATCTTTGCTCTCTTTCTATCTTAGAATTATCGCGTTACCGCATTAGTTACAATGGCAATATGTAATTATTACTAAATTTATTACTCTAGGAACATACAATATATTTTAAGGCCTTAACATAGGATATACACAAACTATAATAATCATATACAAAACATTATTATTCTGTAATAAAATAACAAAATTCTTTGAACAGAAAATAAAGAACTCATACTTAAAAGCAATGTTAATTCTACAGCTAGTGACAAGCATTCTAAGAGACTGTATATAAAAATATAAAGAACATCATATTTTGTTAATTATTCTACGAAATCTTAACATAAAGCTGCAATTCGGTATTTAATAAATAGTTTTATTTAATTATAGACTGATAAAAACATGATTTAAATTCAATTAAGCAAATATCCAGTAACATTTCGTGGGCACTACCAGCCTGAAAGAAAGCAAACCCTTTCAATAGAAATAAAGTGAAATACATGTGCAGACATTATTTTTTTAAGTCAACTTGCTTAATTCTTTTCAAGATAAATAAAGAACATATACACCAAACGATTAACCTGTTCCTTTTTTAAAATCGGTCATAGAATTTGTATAAGGTCTGTGAATAAAAATAATAAGCAGTCTATTGCATCTGTGCGTGTCGATAGAACTGTAATATATACTTGTATAAAATTGTTCATATTTAGATATATTTTATTTAAAAAAAAACTGTTCAAAACGAACAAAATAATTATTAATCACTAGACAGTGAGTACAGCCTAGGTTATTTGATTATAATTAGCATCCAATGACAACTATCGTGCCTACATAAACATAGTACAAACAAGAATTGTAATTGTAATTTATTATTATAAAATTTATTTTAAAATTACTATTAACAAAATACTAAAACATATAAAAAGAAAACTATTTATATTACAAGCTAATTATTGGGTATAAATTTTACTATACTAATATAATAAATATATTTCGGTTTAATCACAAAAATGTATGTTACTAATTGGAAAACAAGTAAATCTCTACATTATATATATGATTCACCACACTATATTCAAATCTCTAGTAAAGCTCAAAATAAATCACAAATATATTTGTCTCATTCACACAGTTGTATCGATGGGTAGATATGGCGTGTGCAAGGGAGATGTCATCATTTCCCATTCCACTCGCTTATACGTCCATTTTCAAATACGAGACATTTCCTTGGTAATGGTACTAAGTTACCACGTTTTACTATTCCCATGTCCTCCCCTGGGTAATACTGGAAGAAAACATTATCATTTATTTCATATACATCAGGAATTTGTTTGTGAAAAACAATCATAAATTAATGAAACAAAAGTATGTAAGAGGGAGATTTGTACTCTGTACATTTTAAAATTCAGATTCCAATTGTATTCCACAGGGAGACTTTGTACAAAAGTCGATTGCTTGGGTACCTCTGTCCCATTCGTGTTTTAACCGTGAAGCAGTTGTGTTTACATGGCTGTGTTTCGGTTTGAAGGGTGGGATATGGCGTGAATTTACTGGGTACAGAGGAATAACACCTGAGTCCTCAGGAATGGCAACGCATGGGGGGTATCATGAGCGAAACAGTATACTCTGTTATGTCCATGGTACTGCTCATGTCTATAGGCGACGGTTATCACTTTCCGTCAGGTGGGCCGTCAGCTTGTTTGCCATTCTAAGTTGTATAAAAAAAAAGTAAATTGAAATAAGTATCATTGTGACATTCTTAACCCCACATACGACGAGTATACAAGAGAATCCCTTTTACCAAATTCTCTCTACTCATAAATTTAAACAAGAATCGATATGCATTTTTTTTCTATACATGACTGTAATTACTGACCTGACATTGTGAAACAAACTTAAGTACATCTGATCGAATAAAGTCATTGTCCTCTTTCACTTTCTCTAATCTGAAAAATACAAATATAATATGTTTATTACTTACACATTATTATTGTGAATAATATATCATTATCGTTATCATATCAGCCTTTCTGTCCACTGCTGAACATAAGCCTCCTCTTGGGGGGTTTTGCCAGTAGTTGGCACACTTGGCAGACAGATTGGCAACCACAATAGACCTTTTAAAAGGGGCGCTGCTGCTAATCTCTCGCCTCCCTTAGTCGCCTCTTACGACACCATAAGAAAGGAAGGGGTGGCCTATTCTATGCCAGGCCACATGGGCCATATTTTAATTATATATATTAATAATATAATATACAAACTCCATATTAAATGTCTACATAAAACATACTAATATATTGAATATACTTACAATTCTGGTTTAGCTATACGATCTACTATACAATGGCAAATCTTCTCACAAAGTGTTTCATCAAAGAGTGGAATGCCGAATTGAAGATCCAATATAGTCCATTTCTGAAATAAACCAGAAAACATTGATTTTTATATGAATAATGTCAAACAGCAAAATACATTGTCTCTTCTATATTCTTTTCTCCACACACAAAAAACTATCATCACCACCATCATCAGCTGTTAACTGTCCACTGCTGACTATAGGTCTCCCCATATAGTTATATACAATCATACTCAGTAGTTGCCGAACTTGGCAGATTGGTTATCAACTGCAGTTAGGCTATGGTGATATTTTAAAGACTTTTTTAATGTTGCTGCTTATCCCTCGACCATTAAGTACCCCTAATTGCCTCTTACGACACCCATGGGGAAGAAGAGGTGGCCATTTCTATACTGGAGCCACATGGTGGATAAGGTTTAATAAAAAAAAACTGTACAAAATAGTATTAATAGGAAGAAATTTTATAGTTCCTTTTAAAAATAAATTAAAAAAGGTGAAATATAAAAATGATAGTATAAAATTACCTCTGGCTTACAAGTCTCCTCGTCGGAGTAATTGTGTGCTGTATCGACGCCGCTGTCGCCCTCTGCCGTCATCTCTGTCAACTTATCTGATAGCTGAGTGAACATAGATATCGACTCCTCTGCGGGACTCAACAAATCATTCAACTGATTCATCGATTTCTCGCTCGCCGTCTCACTCTCCTTTTTACTGTCAAACTTCAAATTCTCGATGCTGACCGACGAGGAGTGTATCGGTACTAAATCATCGGAAGTAATCGATTCTTTGCTCAATGTATCGGTGGAATGTTTTTTACTATCGATCTTCTTTAAATCTTCAATACTTGTCGACGAGGAATGTATAGGTATGATATCGTCGCTACAAGCAATCGATTCTTTGCTCTGATGTATCGGTTTTGTTTCATTTATTGCTAAATTGTCCAGCTCCTCGCACAGTAATTGGCCGCCTTCGACGCTCGTGAACCCGTTTGCTGGAGAGCTGTTCTTACTGTCGATTGTTGGTGTGACAGCAAAGTGCGATTCTATCGGTGACTGTAGTCTGGCTGTTGCCGTTTTATATTCTGCCATAGTTTTCTCAGTTGAGTCCGTCGATGACACCGATACCTCACCTACGGGTTTAGCTACGCCACAAAATTCTTTTTTCTTTCGAACTGGGACTGTAAAATAGAAGTAAAGATAAATTATTTCTAAATACTTATCTCTGTACTTTCTAATGGGATAATCACAAACATTTGTCGACTATTAATGTTATAGTAAACATAGTATTTCGATCGTGAATACATAAAAGTAACTGCATGTTAAATTTGTTTACCATTATTCAGCAGTCTCTGCTCAATAATGGTAGCTTCAATCGTCACTAAACTAATATAGAAGTAAACACGACAGTAAACCCAACAATCAATAGAACATAAAGGCAATTATGAAGAATCAGTTCAGAATTGTCAATGTAATCGCGTTCGTGTTTAACATCAGATGAATGGAGAAGGATTTTCTTTAGGAAGGTAATAGTAGACTATATTTGTATACTATATATAGTGTATGAAGTGGCTGCGAGTACCTAGTTGCACGGCAGTGGGCGGGCGCGCGCAGCCGAGGTCGGGCACGCCGATGTCGGCGAGCGTGACGTAACCGGCCGAGCGAGACAGCCGCAGCCGCGCCAGCAGTCGTCGCAGGCCCGCGTGTCGACTCCACAGCGCTTGCGACTCTGATTACACACAAATCACAATAGGAGTATTTTTTTACAAGACTAGGACGTACATAGCGCCATCTAGTTTCAAATTAAGTAAAGCTTATACTACCAGTACTAAACATAAATAATTGATACTCTCTTTTTTTTAAATTGTATATAAATTTTATATACAAAATTATCCAGACTAATGTTAGCAGATATACAAATGAATAACAATTTTTATATTATATGGAAATCAAATCTCTGAAATGAAATTAAACAAAAAGTGAGATGGCGTATCGAACTTTTACACCACCAGAATATTTCAATTCACAAATAATATTAATTCAATGAGAATAAATTAGCAGTACACCAATACAGAAATTAGATGGGTTTATATGATAATATAAAAAAAAAAGTGTACCACTGAATTCAGAACCTTCTCCTTTTTTAAGTTGATTAGAATGTAACATCGTTGAATAGTAAATATTATTTTAAAAAATATTCTAATAATAAAATAATTTAATGCCTACATGATTTCATTATAATAGCGAATTATCATATTTTTATATTTGAAATATGAGGTGTATGGAAATAAATTCTGGAAATGAAAAAAAATGTTTTAAAAAAATTACCAGCACAGCAATGTTCGTTGTGTGGCGGGAACATGAGGTGCGTAAGCGCAGGCGCGTGTCGCACGCCGACGGCCTGCAGCAGCACGGGCGCGCGCCGCAGCGCCGAGTTGGCGGCGGCCAGCGCGGCCGCGGCCGGCAGCTCGCCGCCCGCGCCCTCCGCGCCCCACCACCACACCGACAGCCGCGCGAACCCCAGCAGCGGCCGCGGCACCATGCGCAGCACCGTGCCTGCACGCAACCCACGCACTCACACACTCATACGACCTTGATGCTTTGAAAACAACAGCGGGTCCCCAATGACCTTTTTTCTGTTGTGGAAGGAAGTGGTGAAGGAAAGAGCTGTCTAAATATTTTCTAAGGGTGCCAGATAAGCTATTCTATTATTATATAGGCCGATTCTATTGGCGATATAGGTCGTGCAACAAAAGCACACTTTATACGCACCCTTAGTGAGGAGCAGGGTAGGCGGGCCGTAGCCGGCGACGTGGTACAGGTAGAGTCGCATCCACGGTTCGGAGGCTTCGGGCGGCGCGGGCCCCACGTGTGGCAGCCCGCCCGCCACTACACCCGCGCGTGCCGCCCGTCCAAGCGGCGCCGTCGACAGCGCTAGTCTGCAATTCATAAAAAATCTAAATCACCAAATCAGGGCCGAATCAAATTTTTTTTTTTTTATAAAGTCATAAGTTCCCTCTAATAACTTTCTTGAATGACAAAATAGTAACGTGCTTAAATGGCGATGTACAACTACATTTACCACAATATTTGATTGACTTTGGATCATTTTACCTTTATAATTCTAAATCAATAATACAATCATAAGACTGATGTAAAAGAGGCAAAACTTATTTAAATATTTATCTAAAATAATTGACAAGTATATGACAAAATACAAATGTTATCCATTTACAACATTTTAGGTTAGTATTCTGTGAGCCGATTTTATGAAAGCCCATACCGGTATTTTGTAGCGAGTAATCGCGCCCGTGCAGTGGTCCCGAGCGCATGCAGCGCTTCACAGCGCAACAAATCTAGAGGGCGCAGCTTCGGTCGCAATGTCCGCAACGCTATCCGTAAGCACGCTGCAGCTGCTAAATACCGCCTTGCTTCGCCTTCGATTTCTGGGTCTGCAGCCACCTAGAAAAAAATAAAAACTTTCATTCAGTTCATCTTTCTTATTGATTTTAATATATTGAAAAAAATAATATATACTTAAAACTTCAATTCTTTAAAAAGAGTATTAAAAAGTAGAAACTTTTTAACTTTTTTTATGGTCAACAACATGCTACATGCATATTCACGTTGCAGGTATCCATAATCTATTTTTTGCTGTGTTTTCAATAAACATACACCATATAAGTATTATTATGATGTACAGCAATGATCCCTAAAGTAAATTCCGCGGCACCTAGAGGTAAAAAGAATTAAGAAAAGAATAAAGTGTTTCATTTTTAAAATATTTCTAATAAAAGTTTCAAAATACAGTGTCTTTGATCTGTAATCATTAAATATGGGGTTTCATACAATAAAAAGTATCTAGTAGTGTTTGGTTCTTAAAAGTTTAAGAATCCCTGATGTACAGCAATTATAATATGTTTTACACAATTTTGTCAGAACAGCCATTTCCATCAAAATACATGTCGCAAACAACATGCCACATGTATTTGGGTGGTTTATATATCATTGAAGTTATAAAATCATTGTTTGTTACATATATTTTATTTGCTATTACTACATAAATACACACTCTTACCTTATCCAACTCCATAAGCAAACTGTCCAAACTTTCGTCACACAATTTGCCAACTTCAAATAATGTTACAGCATGGCTTTTTAGATCCTGAAACAAATAAATGTATCATTAAAAAAAAAAAAACTCACCAAGAGTGGTTTAGCCCTGCGAATTAAAGAGTATTATTTCGACAATAGGTAAGTAGATTCTCACCATATCAACTATTCAATAATTATTATTGTATTATTAAATTACAGTACAGTACAGTTATATTATCTGTAACAATAAACCCTCTGTCTCCCAGATAAAATCTCTTTTAGAGAGAAGCTCATTCTGATACATTATTATATATAGTTTTGTTATTTTTTATGTGTATGTAGGCGAAAAGACTGCTGGTATAGAAACACAGTGTCTACAGGAAGGTAATATAATTATATAAGTAAAAAAAAGCAAATGAATAAAATACAACAATTATATATATATATATATATATATATATATATATATATATATATATATATATATATATATATATATATAGTAATATCAATGCATACATTCAAGTCAATCACCGATGTTAATCCCCTGCATGATATACTTGAATAAATAAGACTTTTTTCCAAGGCAGGAGGGGTACTTTCACTGATATTTGTTAGCTGCTAAAATTATATTTACTATCTTTTTACACAATAAACATAACAGACCGGTGACAAATTTCCCATCATAAGATACGCAGCTAAGGTGGAGTCGAAGAGAACAGCGACCCGCCGACCGCCACCATTATTCGATGTTTCCGACACTTCTTGGTAAATCTATAAAAGAAAATACTATTATGGAAAATGAAATATTTATAAAATAAAAACTTTTTACTATGCTAGTCTTATACAATAGGTTTTAAGTAATGTTGGATGCTAGTTGTATACACGGTGTAAGGGACAGGTTGGCAAAACTGTAACAGCGAATTCAGACTATTATTCTGAACTGAAAACCAGTGGAAATTCTTTCTGGAAAATTTCATTTTTTTTTTTCATATAAAATAATGTTATCTATGATATTATGTCATAATATAAAGAAATAATATTTTATAATTAAAAACTATGAAATACCAAAAACCAGCAATGTGATATACATATTAAAATCCAACTGCAATACGTGGAATTAGTCAACGCTACAAGTGTACGAAAACTACCTACGAAGAAGCGCCATTGACCGAGCGATACCTTTGTATCACGCGTCGTGTGGATCGTAAAATTTCAAATATATTGCGTGGCGTTAAAATTAAGAATCGTTAATTACATGGTGGTAGCAACTCCGGTGGGAAAATAATCTGCCATCTGATTCAGACCATTCACCTAAATCAGCTGTTTTTGTTTTGGCTAACTTGTCCCTTTCACCCAGGCCCTCTAGACAAGAAGCAAACAAATACATAGATGTAATCGATATCGCTAGCGAGTCCGTGAAGGTAGAATGAGATAGTAACGTCGGCTGTTTCATTCCAACTCATGGACTCGCTTGTGATACCAATTCCATCAATGGATTTGGTTGCCGGTGTAAGATTAGTGGAGTTTGACAACTATAGAACATTAAATACAATAAGAAATACCTTTTGGTGGGAAGTAGATGGTTCTTGCTTAATTAGTACTGGTTCCATCTGCAACGCGTCATCGTCCGCATTTGGATCAAATGTCAGTGGCGCGATTTGTCGATACCTACAAATTTTAAAAATATTAAACAATAAATTATTGCATCTTCATATCAGAATTTTCTCTACATGATATTTTATTATTCATAAGTAGTTTAACTCCATGTTTCATCTGAGGACGAAGTCAAATCCCCAGAGTCGAATGAATGAATGAATGAAGCAATTAGGGAACATTTGTGTCTAGGCAAATTGTATAGGATTCGCACGAAGACGATTGAATTTTACAAAATGCAAATATTGATACATAAACAATTAAAAAATATATAATTACTTTCAAATAATATATCATATATATATATATATATATATATATATATATATATATATATATATATATATATATATATATATATATATAATAGACTAATAATATAATTATCAAGTCCGAATCTAAAGTTTAGGTTCGATTTTCAGTCAAGCCAGTTTAGGAAGGTGGATTTAATAGTAATAGTTTATTATTATATTGTTACATACGGCTGATGGTTATGCGTAGTTACAGCGTCCCGCCACGAGGGGTGGTGCTGCGCCTGCGGCGGGGGCTGCAGGTGACGCGCGAACCCCAGCCGGCAGTACAACGACACCGCCTGCTTCACCAGCTCGCACTCCACCTGCACAATAAATTGAATTTAAAACAAACAAGCAACTTATACATACAAAAATAAATCTCTCATACTTGTACCATTTTCTTTAAACCTTAGATTATTCATACAAATGCTTCATACAAAACTGGTCAACTTTTTTATCTGTATGTACTTTATTCTATCGCGTATCTTCGACAACGGGACACCAATACATTAAACTATAGCAATTGCTATTCCCGGCAACACTATACCGGTAACACGCGATAGACTGGTCATCACGTCGATGAGTTGACGTCGAACGTCTACACAACAGGTATTCGATCGATGGAACATTTGCAACGCCGCAGTTTATGTAACGCGCCACATTCGACGAACGGTCCGCATTTACTGATCGCTTTAAAAGGTCTTCATGCAACCGAGCATACGTTGAACTGAATTTGTGATTGCTATGTTTTGCCACCGAAATGTAGCGCTAGCCATAGATACTCATGCAGACAAGTAACTAAATAGAAGTACTAACTTGTAGGACGGACGCAAGCTCCGCAACTGAAGTATGCTCGTCGATGGATACAAACACTTTGTACAGCAATGTCTCGAAGTAATCTCCAGCGATGCGGTTCATTACAAACCCCTTCAGCGGCGGGACGGAGACCTTATCAGCCGCTGTTATTGGTACGTCCAGGTATATTAGGCCGCGCCTACAAGTTGTTAATATAGGAATAAGAATAGGGATATCTTTTATTCAAAGAATCTTAATTACAAACATTTTTGGAGTATTTTTTTAATTATTCTACCGCCCATTCAGAATGCAATTTTAGCTAAAAAGAATATACAAGAAACTCACTTGTTTCTATATAATTAATATTATAAGTCATCATATCAGCCATAAAGTATCCATTGCTGAACATAGATCTCCCCATAAGAGGTTGGGCCCCTATAAGAGTTGTCATACTTGGCAGGCGAATTGGCAATCGCAGTTAGGCTTTGATGACATTTTAAGAGGGATGCTGCTGCCCATTCCTTAAGTATTAATATCCCTTAATCACTTCTTACGACACCCACGAGAAAAAAAGGGGTGGCCCATTGTACTAAAGGATGTGGCATCCCGGCAAATATTTTTCTAAATAAATTCCATTACAGTATAAATAATAAAGATGCCCATCCATGCATCTGTGGTAGGGCATCTCGTCAGGACGATAACTAAAACACAAAATGTGGTTCCTGGTTCGTTGCCGTCCTAAACCTACCTAATTAAAATTATAACCATTTTTACTAACATCTTTTTAGGTCTATTACTAACAAAATAGATCTTATTATTTGACAATAAATAAATTACAATTTGAATAAAATAGTGCAATCAGCAGACATAAATTATAAAAATTTTCCATCTCATATCTTCTAATATTTATTTACCTGTACAAAGTTTTGACGACGTTATAATCCAGGGTGCCTGCAGTCTGCGAGCCGCGGTCGATTAGCAAATCTATTAGCGCCTTCTCGCTCTCACTCAAAGGCTATTGCAAAACGAGAAATAAGCTGAGTACATGCTAATTATATTTTACCACAATGTAATCATGAATTGTCCAACAGATTAACATAAGGGTTGTCACACACGAGGTAAATGATATATGTATCGAAATATTAATACTTAAATAATGTTATATATAATAGTGAAATCGCTCTACACAAATAAATGAATCAACACAATATGTAAATAACTATATTTTTCATCAAATGTCTGATACTAATATCGACATATTCAGTAAGTTGTAAATATATAAGAATATCTATAAAATTAGGTTAAACTTTCATTAAAATGTTTCTTTCCACTCAGAGTTTGCTGGAAGAGAACTCTTACAGAGTTAAGCTCGCCTGTTGATGTACAACATTTAATATAAATTATATGTTTGTAATTTTTTGTGTACAATAAAGAATAAATAAATAAAAAAATATATCATTAAAGACTCTTTTGGGTTTCCAAAGAGTAAAGAAAGAGTATGTGCAATAACATAAAATGTCGTAGAAACTGTACCACATATTAGATCCTTAATAACTTTTTAAAATAATGTACATAAGATATCGAATTGTGACAATATTACCTAAATAGTGTTACATGATGGATATATTGATTGCTGATTTTAGTAGTCAAATTCGAGGCGAAAAAAAAAAACGTTAATTCAATGACATAATAATACAAAAACAGTCTCAAACAAAACAATACAAAAATATAGAAAGTCAAGTAACCTTAACATCTTCTTCTAGTACATATCCCAACTCGACGCGCCACCACGGCTGCATCGGTATGTTAAGCGGCACGCGAGGCAACAGTGCTCTAATAGCTTTGGAGCGGCCGCGACGCCCCAGCGAGCGGGCTTTCGCTACCAGTTCTAAATACTCATTACGGCCTATGCCTAGCAAACGGAGACCTGAAAATATCAAATATACTTTATTAAAAAATAAGCAATCAGAAATAACGTGACCAAAGATGAATTTATTTAAGAAATCTCTTTCAGTCAACCCAACACAATGGTATAAGAACTCATACACATATATTATAGAAAAAAAAAACAATCATTTCTATAAATACACCACACACAAGAGGCACAAGACTAACAACCTGTTCCACAACTTACCATTTTTTGTATGAAATAAGAATAACAATAAATAAATAAAAAAAAACTAACAATAAAGAACCATAATAACAACCTATGTTACTTAATAAAGTTTCCTGTAGGTGATTTTTTTAAATAGTTTAACTATTTTTTGAGCTTATCCATTATAAACAAAAACTAAAATCATTGTTCTTTATAATTCTTATCAGAAAAATTTTACAGCAGTTTTGCCCTAAGTGCAGGACACAAATATTATTACAAGTTTGTAAGTTATAAATTTGTTTGAATGTTTGCTACTTATTAAGTTATTATATATACTAATATATAATACTATTAATCTTAATAATATCGACTATACTCTAGCTTAGTAGCTAGAACATAGTCTATTTGTGAATAAAATTTCATTATTCAAATCCATTCAGCTCTTAAAGCGTGATTAGTAACAAACATCCAAACATTCTTACAAACCTAAACATTTTTTCTTATGTGAAAGGGCGACAAACAAGCATGCAGTTCAGTTGCATGGTAAATAAATCCATAGACACTAATAACACCAGGGCAGTCGTCAATGCATCGCCAGCCTTTTAAAAAGGTACAAATTCACTTCTTGAAGATCCCCATATCATATTTATTAGGAAATGCAGCTGTTGGTAATTTGTTACATTTATTGTGTTAGTAAAATTTATACTTACAATCAGCAGCTGTAAAGTTAGGCATTGTGTCATAACTCTTCTCCAATTCAATCAGCAATGCTACCACTTCCACATAATATATAAAGGGAGTAATCCTCAGCCCTAAAAATAGGTTGAATAAGATGAAAAATATTCTAAAAGGATTATTTAATAAAAGTTGTTAAAAATTAAGAGTGCTCATAGCTTACAGTATAGCAACATTGCAATTGTCTGTTGATTTTCAAAAACAAATGAATATTACAAACTAAAACATTAATCTTTCGATTATAGGCATATGTAAGGGAACCAGGTGGGTCATACCCATCATGAAATAGTATGCACCCAGAATGCAAGAGGATCTTTCAACCATGTGTAGACACATAGAGCTGAGAATATGTATGAGTCTTTTTTAAGGGTCTAGGGCCTCCTCTGAAAAATAATCTAAAATAAGTAGATGGAAGCTCTTTTTTACTTTTATAAATAACTTTTTATTCATCCATAGTTATGTTAAAGTGTGTAAGGTTTATTATTTTAGATAACCAACAAATAAAATACTTTTTAAAGGTATTAAAAAACAGACCATTTATTGAGTGCTGGTAACTAATCAGAATCAATGGGTACTAGACAACTGACTGACACTTAGATAAAATTATTATTATTATTTATACCTAAATGGATTTGTTACAGTCATATGAAGAAAGTTTACCTGAAGAAAAGTTTACCTGAATAACACATTAATGTACCTACAAATTATGTTTTAAATTTGAAAACTTCTGTTTAACCAAATACTTTATTTTTTATTAAGACATACATAACATAATATACATATAAAACATCCAGCCCAATACAAACAGATCTACTCACACATGCATACAAATGTTTATATTACATCTAATAAATCAATACATAATTATCACAACATGAAACAGTGTGCTAGATAACTAAACTGCTTCATCACCAAGGTCATAATTATTAAATTCAGATATTTCCTAACTTAAAAATTAACAAAATTTATAACAAAAAAATATAAATATAAAATACTACCTTTCACAATCATGTCGGCTAAGTGATATGGGTAGAGCATGAGTCTTTGTATGCTGCTCTGCACAAGGGTCTCATAGTATTTCCTTTCATCTTTCCGGACAGTTCGCACTACCAACAATCAATCCATTAATATCAATTAATATGGATTACATAAACAAATACTTATGATACATTTTAGATTAGTACTTGTATTTTGCAAGTTTGAATTCTGCTTAGTAGTTGGATTCCAGGTTTAAAGGTGAAATATGTTTATAAAATTACCAACGAATTGAAATCTTAATGTGAACAGAATTGGCATGATGTGAGTGATACTTTTAATTGCAGAGATATTCATTAATGTAATGCCCGGTTAGCTATTTTTTAAATGAAAACTTTTAGTGATATCCTATTTCAGTACCAAATTTAGGATCCTATATTCTGAGATTGGTTTGTGAATACTCTGTAGAAAATATTTTTTTGTTTTTTTACCTAGGCTTCCCCTATAGCGTATTTGATTCTTAATACTAAACTCAAATATATATCGCTCATATTCCTTAGGTGAATCTCCCAATTGCTGAAAAAAGAACAAGATATCAAATTACAGATCTGATTTCGACGAAAACATATATATCATTTATAATAATTATTTGCAATTTAACGAAAGCTACATAAATTAAAAACAATTATACATATTCTGATAATTAGCATTACCATAGGCCTTACATATGATAATATGTTTACCTTTTTGACAGTCGCAGGCAACTGAGACCAAACAATCTTTTTTCTTATACATTCCTCTATTTCATCCTCCATTCTGGTGAATATATACTCAAAGAACTACATTGAAACGTTAACAAAAATTAAATATTATTTGCACAAAAAAAGAGAACTGAAGGAAAATAAATATAGACAAATTTAACCATCAAAAGTACACTGAGATTAGGATACGGAAAAGATAAAAATTTGCAAATAGCCACAGAGAGCAAAAAGAGACGACAAACTCAATGGGGTCGATTCTGAAGTATTATTTCTCTACATGTCTTTAAAATTAAAATTTCACAGAAAAATCTTTATTTTAGGAATGAATATAAATTAAATTTAAAATAAGATTTAAGTCAAAATTATTATAAATTTAGTTTATAATTGTCCATAAGGTAGAAATATCGCAAACCTATCAAATTTAAATATTTAGGAAAAGTTTAGACAAAATGACATCTCAGAATCGACCCCAATATCTTTGCTACAGAAAAAAATTTTACAAAGCACAATAATTTCACTTTCGATTTTTTATCTCTATCATTTCAAATTGGTAACCTCATATAGTAACTTCATAAAGTTTCGGAATTTATAAACACAATGAACAAATATTATATTTATAATATGTGTCATATTTATAATTTCTGCGTTCCATCTAATCTATTCCGAAATCTTTGGTTCGATGTACCAAACCTATATCTTTGAACAGAACATAATATCATATACTTAGATAATGAATGAATAAATGAGTATTTTATTTGCATTATACAATGTAGGAAATAAGCAAGACAATTAACGAAAAAAGCGCGGGAAACGTTTAAAAAAGCGGGAGTTGTTTTTTGATCTTCTTTAAATTAATTTTATTTTTAATTAATAAGGATTAGTCTTATTTATATATTGTGTATTAGATTGTATATATAATTGTATATTTTGTAGTAATAGTGTTTGTTGCTGTAAATATTGGTAAGTAAATTACCTATATTAACTAGACATTATGGATCCACCTATAGACCCTGAGGGGACAACCCCCCAGATGTCTGCAAATATAACTATCCCATTTAATAATAGTTTTTATATATTGGGTGAATCTAGTATGGACACAGATGGTTCTAGCGTTGCAAGTTCTAAACGTAAGCGAGTACGTGGCGAACGTCGCATTTGCAAACATTGCAATAAAAAACGAAGGAGGCACACCAAAGGTCTCGAATCTAAAATTAAAGATAGTGATTGTCAATGTATTGAGGATGAGAATCAAACTCAAGTATCAATACCTGAACGGTGTGGACTGCCGTTCGGTGAGCGTGGACTGTAGGGGCGTTGGTTCAGGCTGGAGTGAAACACAGCGATTACTATTCTGAAGCCTCCGGTACCGTCTGAAGAGAGTATTTTTTCTTCTTGTCCTATTTCTTCTCGAGTGTAGTGCGTCGCTGCCCGGAAGCGAATGCCGCTTGTCCAAAGTCCAAAGTCCGTCTTCTTCTCATGCTCTCCCCTAGGAGGAGCCGGGGAAACCTGTCCGGGGTTTTTTTACCCCTCTCAGGTGGTCTCTATCCGCCGCTCATTAATATGAGCGGGTCGTTGGGGTGAACCTGGTTCTTAACGTGCCGCCCCGTTCACTCTGCGCGGTCTTCGCCTGCCGGGTGAGACCCCGTGGGGGGAGGCCCAGCAAACTGCCAGCGTTTGAATGATCGGGACGGCATTTTCAACCCTCATCAGAGGGGGGAGGGGTCTTCATGTGTCCATGGCGTCTTCCTCTGGGTTTTCTTGCACGCGAGCTATTAGTTCGCGTGCGTAGGGCTTGTGGTCCGGAGGTCGCGCGTGCAGGGGCGCTATTCCCTTTAGGTGGTCCCAGCCCGATGCGTCCGCACGCGCGAACATCTTCGTTGCGAGGCTGCCGATGAATTCGTTCAGCGGAGGGATCTTTAGGTCCCTCTCCAAGGTGGCGTTCCTTACGTATTTATGCGCGCCGGCGATGGTGCGCAGTGTAAGGTGTTGTTGCGCGCTGAGTTTCTTCTTATTCGACGCAGACGCGTAGACATACCATGCCGGCGCTGCGTACGTAAGTCGCGGTCGGATGTAGGTTTTGTAAATGGCCGTCTTTATTTGGAGAGGGAGTCTTCCTGTCAACGCTGGGCGAAGGAGGTGCCTGGCCACCCTGGTCTTGTTGCAGACCCCCTTGATGTGGGTGTTGAAACTTAGACGCCGGTCGATGTTCACCCCCAGGTAGGTGACGGTGGTAGACCACTCGATCGGGGAGTCGCGCAGGTGCAATTTGGGAGGGCAGTGACGTTGTCCGAAGTAGATCGCCTGCGTTTTGCGCACATTCACCGACAATCTCCAGTCGTCCAGCCACTTTGGTAGGGTGTCGAGTTGCCGCTGCATTTTCAGCGCTGCGTGCTTCTTGCCGATGGATGTCACTATGAAGGCGGCGTCGTCGGCGTACAGCGCGAGGAGAGACTCGGGGGTAGTGGGAATGTCGTCGGTGAACAGCGCGTAGAGCGCAGGCGATAGGCAGCTTCCCTGTGGTACACCCGCGCGGATGGGTCGCTCTCCCGAACAGGTTTGTTCCACCGTCACCATGAAGCGTCTTGAGTGGAGGAATGAGGCCACTATTCGGACCAACCTTCTTGGTGTATCGGTCTGAGTGGCCATTTTATACAGTAGACCGTTGTGCCACACGCGGTCGAAGGCTTTCTCCATGTCCAGTAACACTGCAATAACGTGCTCGTGCTTATTGTGGGCGCTCGTTATGACGTGCAGGACTCTGGTCAGTTGCAGTGTCGTGGAGTGTTCCGCTCTAAATCCAAACTGCTCCAGGCGTGGTTTTAAATGTGGTTGTAGATGTTTGAGGAGGAGTTTCTCAAACACCTTTGACATGTGTTGCAGTAACGTCACTGGCCGGTACGATTCCGGTTTCAGTACGTTCTTACCGGGCTTAGGCAGCGTGATGACTTTGCCTATCTTCCAGTGGTCTGGGAAATGCCCTGTGCGTACTATTCCATTGTACAGGCGCGTCAGTGCCGCTATAGTGCGCGGCGGCAGGTGACGCAGCGCCGTATTTGGGATGTTGTCGCTGCCGGGGGCTTTCCGAGGCTTCGTCTTTCTGATTTCACGCTGCACTTGTCCCGGTGTAAAGACAATCGGATCTTCGTGAGGTGATAGTGGCGATGATAGGTACTCCTTCACGAAGTTGTCTATCCGTGCAACATGATCACTATTTGAGGATGGATTGAGCTGGAACTGGCGCTCTAGGTGATCCGCGTGAATCTCCGCTCGGTCTACTGCGCGGTACCTCGGTGTTCCGTCGTTCGCCAGTAGGGGTCGGACGGGGGGGTGGGAATTTGTTAGCCGGCGACACAGGCGATGAATGCTGTTCCAGTCGTCACCGGCTTCCTCTACGTATCTTTCCCAACTCTCCTTTCTGTGGGACTCGATGTCACGCTTTATTTCTTCTGCAAGCTTGTTTAACCTCGTTTTGGTGGTGGGGCATCTGGTGGCCTGCCAGTCTCTGCGCAGTCGGCGCTTAACGGCGAGCTTCCTCTTTATTGCAGCCGGGATGGTATTGGTTGTTTTCGCTACCTTTCCCGGCTGAGATGCGTTTTGCATGGCGGCCTGTATGGAGACTGACAGGTCTCCCGCAAGCTGTTCGACGCCGGTGGAGGTTAAAATTGCCCTCGTTGGCGTGTTGTCCTGCATGAAGTCCGTGAATTTCCCCCAATCCGTCCGGCGGCGCGGGGCCTGCGGCGTCAGGAGCACCGGGGTCATCAGGATATCCATGCACACGGGAAGGTGGTCGGATTGGACGTCCTCCAAGAGGACTTCCTGCGTCAGTTGGCTGTCCAGTCCCTTGTAGAGGGCTATGTCGAGCACGTCGGGTATTCTTGCGGCGTCGTGGGGATAGTGTGTAGGTACCTCTGGACCATGCACAGCGATATTCAGTTTCTCTACTATCCCCAGGAGTTTTCTGCCTTCGGCGCTGATTATGTTGGAGTTCCAAGCCGTGTGTTTACAGTTCCAATCTCCTGCGGCGATGGTCGGCAGCGGCTCCTTGAAAAGGGCCTCGACGTCGGCCGTTGCAAGTTTCGTTGTCGGAATGCCGCTTGACGGGAGGCGGCCTATCTTTATACCCGCCCGCTCGCCCGATAACATTTCCAACTCGCGTTAGCGAATCTGTGTGAGCGGGACGGGGCGAGAATGAACGAGACGCGTGTCTCTTCAGATCGGTACCCTATAGCGTTTATTTATTTATTACAATTTACAATTTATTGTTACAATTTCTATTTCTATTTGTAGGTAATAATGACAACACACAAAGGAATACTTTATTTAACTTACACTATAGGTATCTTAAATCTATGTAAAATCTATATAAAATAACAGTATACAAGAACGATTAAACTAGGGACTTAACAACTAACTATAAACATTGCTATAAATATCGCTATATATACAATAATGTCGCGAACATAATCTCCCGCCGCAGCTCTCGTAGCTGGAGTTAACTCGTGTTCGCGTCGCTCGATGTCGATGTGGGCAGTATGATCAGCTTCTTAGTGGGTCGCCGTAGGATGCCCTTGTTCGTCCGCACGTCGACCGCTCGGATCTCGCCGTCTGGTCCAGGGTAGGTTGCCACCACCACGCCTCGCGGCCACGTGTTGCGAGGCAAGGTCCCATCAGCTATTAGGACCAGGTCGTCCATTTTGATGGCTCCGTGTGTAGCTCGGGGCTCCCGCCGGTGTTGCAACTCGGGTAGGTACTCCTTCACCCACCGGTTCCAGAAGCAGTCAGCTAGCCTCTGGCTGGCACGCCACTCCTTGTGTCCCGCCGCGTCGCTCTCGGTGAAGCTGCCTGGCAGTGGGACGCGCGATGGACCGCCCAATATGAAGTGATTGGGGGTTAGGGCGCTGTCGTCGTCTGCCGATGTTGACACGTGGGTTAGCGGTCGACTATTGAGGGTGTGCTCGACCTCGACCAGCAGAGTGTGGAGGACCTCTTCCTTGGGGGCCCGCTCGTTCAACGTGGTGGCTAGTGCGGTCTTCACGCTACGCACCAACCGTTCCCACGCACCTCCCATGAAGGGTGCGCTCGGGGAATGTAGCGCCACCGGATGAAATGGACTGATGACTCTTCTTGGATGGCTTCCTCGGCTGCTTTCTTCAGTTCGACGTCAGCACCTTTGAGGTTGGTGCCTTGGTCGGACCATAGCTCAGTGGGACACCCTCTGCGGCTTATGAAGCGCCGCAGGGCCATTATGGCGGAGTCCGTGCTGAGGCTGCCGGCGATTTCCAGGTGGACTGCGCGCGTCGTTAAGCAGGTGAAGAGCACTCCGTACCGCTTCTGGTGAGTGCGGCCCACTGTCACGGTCATAGGCCCGAAGTAGTCTAGGCCGGTGAACGTGAACGGTCGTTGATGATGCGCCAGCCTGCTCTGTGGATGGTTGCCCGTTGACGGCTGCGCCGGTCTTGCTCTTCGTAGGCGGCACAGCTGACACCTCTTCAGTTCACTGCGGACGGTGTGTCGTAGGCGCAACACCCACAAGTGTTGTCGCACCTCGTTCGTGGTGATCTCGAAGCCGCCGTGGTGAAGTTTCCAATGCACCCATGCGATGTATAGGCGCACCCAGGCGTGGTTTCCGTCGACGATGGGGGCTCTCGTTGCTCGGCTGACAGATCGGCGGCGGCTGCTATTCTCGATCGAAGTCGCAGAATGTCGTCGTTGTCTATGACGACCGACAGCTGTATGAGTCGACTGGATGACGGCAGCTGTTTCCCATGTTTCAATGCTGCGATTTCGTCGCCGAACGCCTCTTGTTGTATCGCGCGAATCCATAGCCGTCGCGCGCGATCGAGGTAGTGTGTGTCTATGGGGATGAAACACACAGATGGACTATTACTGTTCTTGATTTTCATCTTCGTCTTCTCTCTATCGACTTTCTTCGTGCGGGTCCAAGTGGGGTCGGCGCTCTCTTTCTTCTTGTTTCTCTTTCGGATGGCGGTACAGCGTTGACTGGTCGGTCGCAGGAGGTCGATGAACTGCAATACCCGTGCTGAACTGCGAACAAGTTTCAACCAATTAGAAAAACGTGACGGATCGGGTAATGCTATAGACAACTGCGTCGCGTTCTGTAGCTTGTGTACGCGTTCTTCTCCCGTTTCCGCTTGACTATCGTCGCTCGTACTATCTTCACGCGGCCACTGTTCTTCGTTTTTGTCGAATTTCCTTTCGACCAGTTGGAGACGTCGCATTGCCGATTCGTAGTTGTCCGGCGGCACAGGGTCGTCCTTCTTCCATAATAACCCCGTCTCGTATCTTCCCGCCGGTAGCGGACGAGTTTTCTCCTCTAAAATGTGTAGGGCGCGACGTTCCTCTTCATTGTAGGACCTCTTCGATGCGATCCCCAGCGATTCGAGCGCGAAATGTTGCTTCATCATTTCTTCCATCGATTGTTCCTCTTCGTGTGTCGTCACTATGTGGCTGATTCTGTGCACCTGCTGTCTTGTCCTGCCGCGACTCGTACCGTGCAGTACCCATCCCAGATCGGTGAGTGATGCGAACGGCTGCGTGTCGGATCCTCTTCTAACTTCGTGGGCCAGCAGTAGGTGCCAGTTGTCTTGCCCCAACAGTACCGTCGGTTTGCCCTCTTCGTAGACCAACTCCCTCTCTATGTCTTGTAGATGTGGACAGCCCTTGATGACGCTGCGCGGTACCGACTGCGGTGATAACTGCAGTCTGTCCATCGTCCGTGCCCCCACTGTGTATTCTTGTGAATTCCGCCCGTGGATCTTGAAGTGAACACGCGTCGATTGAGCTGCGTTGATCCGTGCCCCGGCCACACCTTCCATGTAGAATGGTGCGGGGGGACCCGTAGCACCGATTCGCTCCGCCACCGCCGTCTCGATGATGGTGCAAGTCGACCCGTCGTCCAGTAGCGCGTAGGTGTCGCACGTTCCCGTGGGACCGGTGACTCGTATCGGCAGGATCTTCAGGAACGCGATCTTGTCGTTTTCCCTTGCCGATGCGGCGACTGCGGCGGACTTGTCCTCGATGACGTGTGTTGTCACTTCGTTCTCCGGCTGTTGTCGCGTGGTGTGCAGCAGAGGGTGATGAGTCTGCGTGCACTCATCCACTCCACATCTCTTGCTCTTGCAGGCGTGGCGAAATCTTCTTACTTTGAGGCAGCGGAAACACAGCCTATGAGTCTTCGCTAACTCCCATCTCGCCGATGTGTCTGCTTCCTTCATCGTCTTGCAGTCCGATGGAGCGTGTCCCTCTCGTCGACACATCGGGCACGGTGGTGTAGCGGGTTTCTCCTGCGTCGTGTATGTCTTCGCCGTCTTCCTAGGAGCGGACTCCCGCCGGTCTTCGGACGGTATCTCCTCGGCGGGGGCGAAGTTTCCACATCGTGCGGCGGTCCTTTGCAGGAACTGAGAGAGTGTTATGAGGTCCGGTTGTCCCTCCGGTTGGTCGTTGGCGAAATCGTAGTACTTGAAGCGTAGTACCGACGGCATCTTCTCTGTGACGTTTCTCACTATTTCTTCATTGTAGAGGTAGTGACTCTTGTTCAGCGCTCGTATCGTGGCGACGACGTTCTGCACCTTGCTTGCGAAGAGGCAGACGTCTCTTGCGTTGTCCGAGAGTCGTGGTAGCGCGCGGAGTTTGTTCAGTTCGGCTGTGACGAGTGCTCCAGGGCGGCCGAACCTCGCGGCTAACATCTTCATCACTTCTTCTGCGGTCGTAGACCCGACGAATAGGGAGCGTGCCGCGTCCTTTGCGGCCCCCTTCAAACTTCTGCGCAGTCTTGCTAGGTTCTCTTGTTCTGTGTGTTGACTTGCGCTTTCTTCATAGGCCATCTTCCATGGTAACCACTCGCTCGACGATCCATTGAAGACTGGCAACTCGGTGACTCTTGACGCTGTGGAGGGCAGTATGTTGCGAGCGGCCATCTGCATGGCGATCGCAAACTCATTACAATCGATGCCCACTTTCAGCACCGGTTCTTCCTTCTTCATCGACTGCATCGCTGCTGCTATCGTAGGCATGGCGGCATGTGGGTCAACGTGGCGTGCGTGGTCCCGGTGAAGTGCGTCGCTGCTCGGCTGTGGCGGCGGCGCTCTCGAATCCTCTTCAACGGGTCTCGATGGGACGAACCCCTGACGCTTGCTGGTGACTTCTTCTATCTCTGGTACATGCGGCTCCATCGTGAGTGCTAGCGTGCTTCGATGAACCCAATCCGACGTTCGTTCTCTTCTGACGGTAGCGTCGTCGTCTTCTACTTCCTCGTCGTCCTCTGATTCGGCTTCTAGGGCGGCGACACGTGCAGCGGCCAATTCCACCTCCTTTTGAAGTAGCTCCTCCCGTGCCTTGGCCAGAGCCTTCTTCTTCTGCGAGGCCGTGGTGCGAACCGTGCGTGCCGTGCCGTGCTTCGGTTCCTTCTTCCTTGCTGTCTCCTCTGTCGTTCCTGTGGCTTCGGTAGTCTCCGTGGCTCCTGTGGTCGTCGTATCGCCGGACGTGTTCGTAGTCGATGTGGTGGCGGCGGTAGACGACGTGGCAGCGACAGATGACGTTCTGACAGCCGCAGACGACGTGGTGGCAGCAACGGACGGCGTGGCAGCGACGGACAGCGTTCCGGCGGCCGTAGTCGACGTGGTGGCGGCGGACGTTGTGGCTTCGGTGACGGCGATTTTTTGTTGCGATGACTTCATGTTTCTCGTAGTCGGCATTTCAGTGATCCGGCTTCAGAATGGTCTTCCTCCAGCGATCCGGCTTCTCGATGTACCAACGGTGTTCCTCCAGCAATCCGGCTTCTCGAAGGACCACGATGAACGGTGTGGACTGCCGTTCGGTGAGCGTGGACTGTAGGGGCGTTGGTTCAGGCTGGAGTGAAACACAGCGATTACTATTCTGAAGCCTCCGGTACCGTCTGAAGAGAGTATTTTTTCTTCTTGTCCTATTTCTTCTCGAGTGTAGTGCGTCGCTGCCCGGAAGCGAATGCCGCTTGACGGGAGGCGGCCTATCTTTATACCCGCCCGCTCGCCCGATAACATTTCCAACTCGCGTTAGCGAATCTGTGTGAGCGGGACGGGGCGAGAATGAACGAGACGCGTGTCTCTTCAGATCGGTACCCTATAGCGTTTATTTATTTATTACAATTTACAATTTATTGTTACAATTTCTATTTCTATTTGTAGGTAATAATGACAACACACAAAGGAATACTTTATTTAACTTACACTATAGGTATCTTAAATCTATGTAAAATCTATATAAAATAACAGTATACAAGAACGATTAAACTAGGGACTTAACAACTAACTATAAACATTGCTATAAATATCGCTATATATACAATAATGTCGCGAACAATACCAGTTGTAAATAATACCGAGTCTGTTAAACCTGCTTCTCCACCCAGTACTTTAAGCAGAACTTTGTACAATGCTGAGGATGTAGCTCCTTATGTCGTTCAATTACAAAAAAATGAAACACATCCTAATGATAACACTACATTACATCCTATTGCATTTGGTCGCTTTTTACACACTAATAAGATAAATAATATAGTGAATGGTAGCCTCAAAAGAATAGGAAGAAACCGTTTATCGCTTTCTTTCTCAAATTTTGAAAATGCAAATGCATTTTTAAATAATAGTAACTTAGAAACACATAATTTTAAGGCATTTATACCTTCTTTCCATGTAACCCATATGGGAATTGTGAGGGGTATTCCTAAAGATTGGACAGAAGAGGAAGTAATCCAAAATATATCAGTACCTATAGGTTGTGGGAGAATTCTAAAAACCAGAAGAATTAAGAAAAAGACCATTAATGAAGGACAACCAAGTTTTATTAATACTGAAACCATTGTTATTACTTTTGATGGACAAATATTACCAAAAAGAGTATTTATGTTTTACACATCATTAACTGTAGATTTGTACATTTACCCCACTATCCAATGCTATAACTGCTGTAGGTTCGGACATGTCAAGATGCAGTGTCGTTCAAATCCTCGGTGTTATAAATGCAGGCTAAATCATACAGGTGATAAATGTGAAGTAGATGAGGAAAATGTTTCTTGTATCTTGTGTAATGGTTCTCATTCAGCAATTAGTAAGAAATGTCCTGAATATGCACGTCAGAAAGCCATTAAAGAAACAATGGCCCACAGTTGTGTTTCTTATGCTGAAGCATCAAAATTTCATCCTCCCACTTCTAAACTATATTCAGATGTATTAACATCATCATCTCCGTCCAATAAATCTCATTTTCAATCTTCTTTCCTTAAAGAGAAATCATCATTACCACATATTCAATCATCATATAAAAAAACAGTTACACTTAAACCACGCTCTTCTCAAAAAGCACAACAAGGATATGATCGTTCTGCCCATGAAACCATAGTTAAGGAATATAATATTCCTGCTCCCTCTAATGGTTGTGCATTATCATCAAATAATATTGACAATAATCAATCCATCTTTGATATTATTCTCATGCTTATTAAAGTGTTATCGCAATCGAAAATGATACAAACAACTTTACCACCGTCCAACGATGCCATTTACAATGTATTTTCTCAATTATTAACTTCTCACAATGGATTACAAAGTCCTAATAATTCAGTGGAACTGTCGTAGCATAACAAACAAGAAATCAGACTTATTTTATTTGATTAATAAATATAATCCTTTTATAATAGTTCTCCAAGAGACTTGGTTAAAGCCAGGATATCCTTTTAGGATTTCAGGCTTTACAAGTCTCCGTGATGATAGAGCTGACGGATATGGCGGTGTTGCCATATTGGTCAAAAACTCCCTTCCTTTTTCTTCTTTTTCGCTTCCTGTATATAGCGGCATTAATGCAGCTGCTATAATTATAAATGGTATCTGTTTTGTTACTTTATATATTCCTGATCCTACATGCCAAATATATTCACAACTAGAACAATTATTTTCAATTTTACCTAAACCTTTTCTCGTAATGGGCGATTTTAATGCTCAGCACCAATCGTGGGGCAGTTCTACTTCTAATTTTTATGGTGGAAAACTCCTGACGATAATTGACACTTACAACTTATGTATTATTAACTCAGATGTACCAACACGTAGAACTGCACCAAATGAAGGGTTTAGTGCACCTGACATTTCAATATGTTCTTCTGATTTAGCTTCTTCACTGTCGTGGTATCCTCATTCCTCTACCTTCGGAAGCGATCACTTTCCCCTCATTCTTTCTTTTCCAATTTCCATTCCCTCAAGTCGAAAGAGTGGTCCTCGGCTTAAATATAATTTATCAAATGTAGACTGGAATATTTACAAACAATATTTAGATAATAAAATATCGGAATTACCTATTGTTTACCATGGAAATGAACATCAATGTTGTAATGACTTGATGATAAATATGAAGGAGGTTGCTGATTTATTATTTCCTGTTAAAAATAGTGCTTCAGGGAAAATTCCCTCCCCACCTTGGTGGGACAAAGATTGTACGGAAGCAATTAAAAATCGTAAAGAGGCTGAAAAAAATTATAATAATTACATGACACCAGAAAATTTTGAAATTTACACCGCAGTTTCACGTTCTACTCGAAAACTACTGAAAAAAAAGAAATTAGAAGGCTGGAGAAGATTTTGTTCTTCTATCTGTCCAGAAGTTAATTCATCAGTCGTTTGGAATAATATTAAAAGATTCAGATCTGCCTTTAGTGATCATACATCACGTTCTGCACTCGATTTAACTTTAGCGAATAAATTTTTAGATCGCCTTGCTCCTAGTTATGTGCCGGAATGCCTTTACAATATTTCTCTATCCGTCTCTGACGAATTATTCGAACTTGACTCTCCTTTTACTCTAGTAGAACTTAAAGGTGTTCTAGCTTCTATTAAAGACTCTGCACCGGGAGAAGACGGTATACCGTATTCCTTTTTAAAAATGCTAGCGATGCGACATTAATTTACTTTTTAAATATAATTAATTCCATAATTATTTCGGGAAATATACCTACTTCATGGAAGTCTCAGATTATTATACCATTTCTAAAGCCTCATAAACCACCTTCTGAACCATCATCATACCGTCCTGTTGCACTTTCCTCTGTCTTACTAAAGCTAGCTGAACATTTAGTGAAAAACCGTCTAGAATGGTTTTTAGAAAGTAATAACTTACTATCCCCGAACCAGTTTGGTTTTAGGAAAGGTAAGAGCACCTTAGATAATGTGAGCATTCTTATTTCAGATATTCATATAGCTTTCTCACAAAATTTGTCAATCCTCTCAGCCTTTTTAGATATAAATTCTGCCTATGATAATGTAATAATTTCTATTTTAAAAACTAAATTACAAGCTCTAAATGTACCGGTAATGCTTTCTAATTTCATTATTAATATTTTATCAGAAAGAACAATACATATGGATTTAGATGAAGATACCAAATTATCTAGAACTGTATGGAAAGGCCTTCCACAAGGATCTGTTTTCAGTCCAATCTTATTTAATATATACACATACGATCTAGAATTATTCCTTGATAAATCCGTCAAAATTTTACAATATGCTGATGATCTTTTATTATATTTTATTGCGAAGTCCATAGAATCTGCTTCTGCCAAATTATCTGATTCATTAGATTTGTTAAAAACGTGGTTAGATGCAAATGGTCTTAATCTTTCTGTAACCAAGAGTAGTGTAGTTTTGTTTTCAAGAATGAGATCACCGCAACAAATTAAGGTGCTTTATGATAACTCATACATTCCTATAAAGACTGAAATTAAATTTTTAGGTATCGTGCTAGATAATAAATTAACAGGTCTGTCCCACTGTAATTATATTTCCACGAAATGTGAGCGTAACCTCAACATTCTTAGGTGCCTTGCTGGAGTTTGGTGGGGAGCACATCCCGTTTCACTAAAACTTGCTTATAATGGTCTTATAAGGAGTGTCATTGATTATGGAACTTTTTTGTTAGCTCCAGGAAGTTCATTTGCTTTTAAGAAATTGGATTTAATTCAATCAAAGGCCTTGAGGATTATCTCTGGAGCAATGAAATCAAGTCCAATCAATGCTTTACAGCTCAAAGTCGGTGATCCACCTTTGGTTTTAAGAAGGCAATATCTATCTGATCGCTTCTTTTTTCGTTGTTTACAATTATCCGATCATCCGCTTATTCAAAAGTTATCTCAACTACATATCTTTATTTCGTCTTCATCTTATTGGAAACATAAAAAACCTCCATGTTTAATACAAAGTTATGAAAAATATAAATCCATAGAATCTCCCACTTTTACATCGTCCTGTTTTCCCATTTATAAATGCTCATATCAATCTTTAGTTTTATCTCCTAATATTAAATATGATTTTGGGTTATCAAAAAATTATTCAGAATTGAATGCCAAATTTATGTTTATAACTGACATTGAATGGAATGAATGGCACTACATCTTTACTGACGCATCAAAACCAGACAATAGCGGTTGTGTAGGTGTGGGTGTGTTTCAATGACAATTTAATATCGTTCAAAAAATTAAACTTCCACCGGAGTCTTCAGTTTTTACCGGGGAATGTTATGGTATTTTAAAAGCTGTAGAATATATACTTTTAATGAAATTACATAAGGCAATAGTTTTCACTGACTCTATGAGCTCTTTGCAAGCTCTAGCCAAATATCCGTTTAAATCAAAACCAGTTTATCCCATTATTTGTGACATAAGACAAAGTCTTTATCTTTGCATGTTGAGAGGGTATTCCGTTTCTTTTGCCTGGTTACCAGGACACAGTGGTATTAGCGGCAATGACAAAGCTGACCTTATTGCAAGAGAGGCTGTAACTTGTGGTGATATGTATCCGTATCATAATTACTGTAGTGACCTAGCTTGTCTCCCAAAAATATATTTAAGGTATGCCTGGAAGGAATATTGGGAAAAAACAAGTACAATAAAAGGAAGATTTTATCGCCTTATACAACCCGATATTCTTTTCAAACCATGGTTTTGTAAATTAAAGCTTGGAAAGACCGCAACAACTATTATAACTCGTATGCGTCTAGGTCACGTATGCACACCTTCTCATTTATACAAGCTTGGTATTGTACAAAGTTCGTCGTGTAATTGCGGTGCTGAAGTGGCGGACTTGAATCATATATTCTTCTCATGTTCTAAATTTGACCACACCTCCCTTTTTAATCATCTCCGATCCATCCGTGTTCCATTCCCAACTTCTATTCTTACTCTACTTTCTTCCAATGATCCTATTATCTATAAAATACTATCTTCATATATATATGATAACAATATTAAGATTTAGTTATATTACATGAATACATTTATAGTTGCATCAATTGCTTTTCCTATATATTTATAAGTATATTCTCATATGTACAAGTATATCCTTCATATCCTATAAATATCCTAGACCTAATCCTTATCCTTTCTAAATTCGTTTGTGTTAGGTATTTTTATTACTATTATCGTTTCCCCGTTTTGTTCTTGGCAAAATACCCTAATATCGGGGTGAACGCCACAAAAAAAGAAAAAAAAAAAAAAAAGACAATTAACAAATATAATGTTACAATTGTATAAGAACAGTAAGGTGGTCTTATTGCTGAGAGCAATCTTTTCAAGAAAACCTTAGGATAATGGACTGATTGCTGTATAAGCAGGTATGATAATGTAATGTTGTAAAACATTACAGAAAAGAATTATTAAAGATATGTACCTTTATCAAAATCAAAAAATTAAATTATTAACTATATACAATATATAATCCTACACATATATGTTAAAAATGTACTTAATACTAGAAGAAAAATAAAAAGTTATAGACACAAGGAAAACAAATTAATATAAAATAAATAAAGAATGCTAATTTATCAAATTAAGAACCAATCAGGTAGAGAGAAGATAATCTTTCACTTGTTGCTTGAAAGCATCAATGGATTTTATACTTCTAATGACAACAGGTTAATGTATTCCATAACTTAATGCTAGAAACAGAGAAGGAATTGTGATAAAATTCTGTGAAAGGAAATTCATAAGGGAAAGGTTATCGAAAGAGCATAATGTTATAGTATGAGTAAAGGGGATGAATTTAAAATGTTCTTTAAACCACTTAAGCATCTCGAACGAGACCCTCTCGCGCATCAAATGTGTTCCGATTTGCGCTATCCCGAGTACATAATATTTATAATACTTATAAATATTATGTTTATATTATTTTTCTGGAGCGATACGTTCTTGCCTGTTTGTATTTAATAAAGCTTAGTGTTTATTTATTGTATGCTCGTTCGAATTTAGAGCGTGCGCCAGTTGACCTCATTTCACGGAAAAACCCTCGCCTTAAATGGTTAAGATAGGCAAGGGCGCCACGATTAAAAAGAATATTATGTAATAAAAAAAGTATATACAAATCTCTTTGCCGGCGAATAGGAAGCCATTTAAGATGAGAGCGATAGTGCGATACATGATCAAATTTGCGCAGACCGAAAATAAATCGTATGCAGAGGTTTTGGAGTCGTTCTAATTTATTTAGCATATCAACATTTAGATCTTTAGATCATAAGCGACGTCTGCATAGTCAAGAATAGGGAGTAGGAGGGATTGAGCTAGAAATATTTTAGCGGCTTTAGGAAGAAAGTTACTAAGTCTCCGAAGCGACACAGAAGCAACGTACATCTTCCTGCTAACCTCAGTCACTTAATACCTCCAACATAGAGTGGAATCAAAGTAAATACCAAGATAATTGACAAATTCATTAAAAGAGACACAAACACCATTAAGATTAATTGAAGGTAATTTAGATCTATCTAACTTGGATATATAAGCGGGGCTACCAATAATAATCGTTTGCATTTTATCTGGATCGATCCGAATACCAAAGCACCTACTCCATTCCAGAATCTGCCTCAAGTCATGATTGGTTTGGTTGTATAGCTTGAGCAAATTCATTAAAAGTAGCCTGAGAATATATTTGCAAATCATCTGCATACATGTGGTAGAAAGAAGTCACACCACGATGAATTGGTTTGTTCCATCTTAATACGTTGCAGACGTCCGTACTAATCAATTACCGCTGGAAATATGTTAAGAGAGCTGAGGACTCCGAGCAGGACATTAAAATCGACAGTATTAAAAGCGTTACTGAAGTCCAAAAATGTTAGCATAGTAAATTGCCGATTTTCCATACCAGTTCTAATGTCATCCGAAATCTTGACTAGAGCTGTAACTGTACTATAACCAGAACTTAAGAGCGGAAACCAGATTGAAGGATGTTATGAGGACTGTTTACTGAAATAAAAGAACTTAATTGGTAGTGAATTAATCGTTCAGGTACTTTAGATAGGAAAGGGAAGAGTGAAATAGGGTAATAATCACTGAAGGATGAAAGAAGATGGGTTAGCTTTTTTTGGTATTAATTGCTCAGAATTTATACAAAAAGTTTTACAAGCTGTGGGGTATGAAATAGAACTCCAAAGAATAAAAATTTTTAATTACTTAAATATTTTATTAAAAAAAAAATATAAAATTAATTTTCCTTATTAAACAAAGATTCAAAAGATGCGTGAATATATTTCAACATATCAGTAGTTGTTAGACTACGACTATATTCAAGATAAGCTTTGTAATTACATTCTCTCGTAAATCTTGCAGCTGCGAATGTTGAAATGCTTTGTGCTAGTTGGAAAATATTTCCAGTATCACAAACTTTTAAATTTAAAGCCCAATTGTATAAAGTACCTAATGCACCAGATAAAATATCACCCTGACCACCAACTCGTCTGCCGGAACCTCCATATTTTGAAGACCAACTGTATGATGATATACTAGAATAGTAATGATCTTCACTACCTTTCACTAATACTGTCACATAATCTCCCCAATAATTAAACCAGTTGCTATCATTCAGTGAAATCGCTTGCTTTAATTTATTAGCTTCTCTGTAATTTGGTGTAAAAATAATACCAGGACTAGGGTAATTTTGTAAAACTGATAAATTCTTGGAAACAGCATATAACCCATCGGCGTCAATAACAAGCGGCTTACGCAATTTTTTACATTCAATGAATATTTCATATATTAATTTTAATGTTTCTTCTTCTCTACCTAATCCTGGACCGATAATAATAACATCCATCTTGTTTAACAATGAATAAATTTTAGATACAGTATTCGTGTTAAGATATGGATAAACTATAAGATCAGGACTATAGGCTTTAATAACTGGCGCTGCACTCTCTGTTGTTATAACATATACTAAATCAGCTCCAACCTGTTAATAAATATAAATTATAATGAAACGCACTTTATAATTACTGTAGATAAATACTTATACATCGTGATTTTATAACAATGTAGTATATAAACATTAAAAAGAAATTGTCATTAAATATGTTTTCTATATGGTAATTAATTAAGTCATTACGATAGTAGCTATTATAATACATGCGTGATTGATGATTAAAGCAGTATACGATAAATACAGACAAATTGAAAAATTTACAAGTAAAATACAAAAAAAAATTGAAACCTTTAAAGCTGTTATTGCTGAAAAATATGGAGCTCCTGTGTATTCTGTAGCACCTCCTATAACTCCTATTTTTCCTGCATCGCCTTTTCTTTTCCCTTCTAATTCTGGGACAATGGCTTTCATTAGCGACATTAATCGCTGATTGTCTAAATTATTGATATCTGTACATTCCTTTCCATTTTGTGACAAACATCCTTGTATAACTATATTAATGAAAAGTATTGCTAAACACCATCTATTCATTGTGAAACTGTAAAACGTAGACAGAATTTGATAAAAGGAACCTTTTTAAATGAGTATTAACTTCTATAAGTATAGATCGATTGCTTCTTATAATAAAAACATTCCTCCAAACAGAACCTATATATTTCTGGCGAATGACTAAGTTATCTATTATTGAAAGTATACCAATTTATAGGGGCTATCGATAACGAGCTAATTGTGTTTCTCGTAGATAAATTTATTTTTAAATAGGACTATAGAATTACGAGTAAAATGGTTAACTATAATTTTAAAGAAGTAAGTAACGGCTAATTTTGTTATTATTGATTAATCACTTTTATGATCCTTATATTTAAATGTTAATATACCATAATAAAATGTCGTAAGATGCTTAAAATGCGTGCTATTGGATTATGTGATGTTACCAGCTTCTCTACGAGCTACTTTAATGTAGAGTATTTGACACTGTTCGTATTACAGATAGAATTTATATTAATGAGCATTGAAACTCAAATATTTTATGCGATCGACGTACTTTATGGACGAAACTAGACGGTTCACAGACTAATCCATCAGTGATTTTTTTAACTAATCACCTATTGACATTTATTTAATTATGATACTTAAAAATAATAGTAGAATTTCAATGTTTTACAAAGTAAATGTTTTAGACAACTTACTTGTTTTTGTATAAAAATAATAAAAAAAAAAACATACAAATTTTATAACTTATATTCGAACAATTAACTGAAAACTTTTTTAATAACTATAATATGTTATAGATAAAATAGGCACAAACTACTACCTATATACTTTATAGATACTTAACCGATTAAGACAGAGTAAAATAAAAGCAATTCTAATTTTATAGCTAAAGACAACAAACATACAGATATTTGTTAAAATATGTCTTATATTCTACGAATAAGATCGTCATTGTGGTCAGCATAATCTCTGTTTTGTGAAGGTCAAGTTATTAAATAGGTAGGTAAGTACGCAATCCTACTAGGTGGTTCCTATTTACTTTTTTCTTCTGTTAATATACTGAAATTAACTATTGATATTATTGAAAGTACAAAGCAATTGTTTTACTATCATCATCTCAGCAATTAACTGTCCACTGCTGAACATAGGTCTAACCCCAAAGACAAAAATTGATCGAAAATGTTTTAAAACAATTTCTATAACTATTACAAATTAGGGGGAAGGGATTGTTAGTAATAGGGAGGTTAGTTCCCATCGCTATCAATATACCTTATCAGGTCGACCTCCACGCGGTTCCCCCTGGAAACCATCGTGACTAATTGAATTCGATACAATGGGCTAACTGACCCACCACTTCATCCTCATCTATTATATTTCACTGGTACCCCGCTAGTGTACAACAATAGCGCAGGCGGGGTTACCATTCCATTATCATCCATAACAAAAAAAACTATTCCAAATTTTCTATCGGAAAAAATGATAAAGACATACCAATATTGGAAAGGCATTTTTATCCTATGTCTCACAGTTTTTTTTCTTTATACTAAAGAAATAATCTAGTAATTAAAACTAAAGTAATAATCTAGTAATCTTGGTGCTTTATTTGGTGTTTTTGTTTGAAATAATGACCTTCCATATAATTTACAGACCGAGCATTTCATGCGAATTATGCCACAGATTAAAATTTTGTACAACATTTAATTGAAATAAAATACAAAATTGGATCAATAAACTTTAAGATTATTTTAAATATTTTTATTGTCATAAACGCTGTAATAATAATTTTATTACCAACAATTATGTCAATAATGTTTAAAATTACTAAACTAGAAATGTACAAGAAAATAAATATTTTACTGAACTAGTTGTTAATTTGCGGAATTCCATATCACTAGTTATTTGATTATATTTATTTTGTTTATTTCCGCAACCATTAATGCGATGTGTGCGACTAATTTTAGTCTCGGACTGTTGTCACTTTAAACTTAAAAACCTTTAGACATAGTCTCTCTAATTTGTGCTGTCGTCTTACTTACTTACTTGTACTATATCTTCTTGAAAAAAAAACCGCTTATATTCAGCCGTAATCCTTATACTGTGATGAATATAAGTATGGTAAGCAATGTACAATGACCAAAAATAGTTTGAATAAAATCTATGAAATCAGTTTATTGATTTTGAAAATTTATATACTATAAAGTTGTACTTAGTAGTTTTTTTAATAAATGACAATGTAATGGTAAAGTTCGCCCATGCTAACAGTAAACATTGCCGGGGCACCAGTAAGAGATGATAAGTGAGGATAAAAAACAGGTCTGTTAGCCCATCGTGATGAATACATTTAGAATTCAGCACGATGCTTTCCAGGGGGAACCACGTAGAGGTCGACCTGGTTGGGTATATTGCTAGCAATTGGGTCCTTAGTCTCTATTACTAACAATACGTTCCCTTCCCTGTATTTAATAGTAGCAGTATTATTCAAAGTATTTATACAATACCATAGATTAAGAATAGTACCGTGCGATACATCATTTAATATTTTTTTATTGTATTAATACTTATTGTGCATCGATTCATTTCACAATTTTGTCAAAGCAAAAACGATGCAGACTTTTAAATATCATAGGTAGTAATTATTTGTTCTGAGGTTGTTCTGATCACATATTACTAGAATATAGTACTTTTTTTATACTTTTATATTCCTTACTTTTTTATCTGTCTTTATCTTACTCTATGCTATGAGTTCCGTCAGGTGAGAATATACTTGTGATGAAAATTTTATAAACAATAAATTTTATTGGAGTATTACGAGATAGTACAGCGTCAAAATGGATGATAAATATGAAACGATAAAGCTTTGTTATACTGTACATAAATTTTCAAGCTACTCCGCAAATTACATACCAGAGTAAGTAACTTTTTTCTATTTTATGAATGTAACATTTCAATATCTGTAAGTTCCGCAATAAAACAGTTTCATATCCCCATATTTGTGTTAATTATACCATTGGAATTCACCTTGATTGTTTCTGTGTATTATAATCTTCTTTATTATTGTTGTCAACTTTATAAAATAACCCGGCATAATTACCACGCCATGTCTATCATACTATTTGTATGGAATCTAAACAAAAGTTCGAAATTAGTCGGGCATCCCCGAATTTTATATGTGAGTAAAGCCAACATAAGCATATACCATGCCATGCCACAGACAATGCAGAAATTTATAAAGAAGTTTTAAGTAGAGAAGAGCACAATGAGTGGCTCAAGCAACGTCTGGAGTTTATGTAAGCTACCACCCAATTCGGCGACGCTATCATACAAGTGGGTATTTAGAATAAAAAGAAACCCTGATGGTTCAATAGATAAATATAAAGAAGGATTTGTGGTAAAAGGTTTTAAATAAAAAAAAAGTCTTGATTATATGGAAACCTTTAGTTCAGTAGCTAGGTTAGCAACAGTTAGAGCACTATTAAGTGTTAGTGCCATGGAAGGATTGTACCTCACACAATTCGATGTTACAACTGCTTTCCTTAATGGTACACTATGAGAAAATATATGTGAAGCAGTCTGATGGTTTTCATGATGCAACATTGAATGTTTGCAAACTAAACCAAAGTCTGTATGGACTAAAACAATCACCAAGGTGTTGGAATACTTGCTTCGAAGAAATACTTTTAGATATGAACTTCAAAAGTGCTGCCTTTTTGTAAAGAAGATGGACAATAAAAAGATACTTATTTGCCTATAGATAGACAGTGGTCTAATGGCTACAACAAATATTAAATTGGCAGACTCGTTCTTGAAAGACTTGCAGAAATCTCTGAAGATAACCACAAAACCTGTGACGTAAGTGAAGTAGTATACTTAGGTCTAGAAATACAAACATCAAAAGGTTCCATCACTGTAAAGGAGACTGTTTCAAGATGCAAGACTGCAACCCTATTTCATCTATAATTTGTTCTGATGATACAGCTGTTGAATCAAGGAAAGCTAATGAGGGTATAGATTTTCTATATAGAGAAGCAACAGGTGCATTAGCCTATCTTATGGTCAGAACACGTCCTGACATTGCTTTTGCTGTTGGAATAATTTCCAGAAAATTATCTAATCCTATAAAAGCAGATTGGTTTAATGCTAAGCCGATCTGCTTTCATAGAATTAGAATTAGATATTTTAAAAGAACCAGATAATTATAGTATTAAGTATATACCTGGACATACAGTGATCATAAAAAGCTTTAATGATGCAGACCACGCAGGAGATCCACTCAGCGGATGCTCCACCACTGGCGTACTCTGTTTATATACCGGAGGGACTATATTGTGGCTTAGTCAGAGACAAGCATTGGTAGCCATCTGTACTACAGAAGCAAAAATTGATTGATAACAGTGAGCAAAGCTGGTAGAGAATCATTCTGCGGTCATTTGGCTCCAAAGAATCCTTAATGATATGACTTGAGCTACATGGAATACTTAACTTAAAGGTTGACAATTAAGCAGCAATTTGCCTTGCACATTATCCTGAATTTCATAAAAGAACAAAACATATCTGACTTAGAGATGCTCTCTGACAAAAAAAATGTATAAGAAAAATTACTACAGATTTATAAAACAAGCTCAGATCAGCAGCTCGTACATATGTTTACCAAACCAACGCCCAAGCCAAGACATCAGAGCCAGGCTAGAGATTGGACTGTAACTGATGAGAATTTAATTAATAAAGGAAAGTGTTAAGGTGCAAACTAAGTATGTATTAATAAACTATTTAGTAAAAATAGAAAATTAAAAAAAATTTTCCTAGTAACCTAAAGATGTCAGTAGTATTTAATATTTGTCATTTATCTATTTTCAAATTTCACTAAAGATTTTATTAAAACCTAGTTTGCACCTTAACAAGATTTACTGTTAATTTTAATCTATAGATGTAGTAAATATTGATTAAAAATCACCATGAATAACACTTTTGGTATAAAGTTTAAATAGTAATTGGATACAACATATTATCTTAATTAACTTCCATTAAATAATTATATTTTAATTTCCAGAAATATTATGGTAAACAATCCCTCCGATCAACTCTCACGATGGTTCACAGACAGTACAACTCCATCACAGTTTATCTTGTTGAAGTTAAAATCACTATCTATAGTGGAGACTATAAAATTCGGAAAGTATATAAAGGCACATGTCAGTGATCTCAAGAAATTTCAAATTTTTGGTGGCACTGATGAAAATAATCTTTCATTATTATTGTCAGCGTATGTATATTTACAATTTATTATATTTATATTCATTTCATCATCATCATATCAGCCTTTTTAAAAGGGATGCTGCTGCCCATCCCACACCCTCCCTTAGTCGCCTCTTAAAACACCCACAGGAAATGAAGAAGTGGCCTATTCTATACCGGGACCACACAGTGAATACTCATTTATTCCTTCACAAATGTACCATTGTGATTTAAATTAAGATTTTAAGATCAAACTAGAGACCCAGCACTGCTTGGCATGGTTTCTTTTAAGAAAATACTTTATTTTGTTGTTGACTTATAATTTAACTTTTCACAAGTGCAAGAATTTTTAAAATTAGTTATATATATTTAAGTTTATCAATTACAATAAAAAAGTAACAAATCCTTCCTCTTTATAATATTAAAGATTAAAAGTAATATTTATAATGCAATAACAAAAAAATAATTTGTCAAACAGTTAAGGGTTTATCCAAATTATACAATGTAATTGCCAAGTGTGTGATTATTAAATTTGTCCCATGTATAGAAACATCCTTTCAGCATAAGAACTGCATTTGATTTTGTTATCTGCAACTATTTTTCAAACAAAAATTTATCCATTGGAACTCATTTGGTAATATGCTCTGAATATGTAATAAATGCTAACATTAATTAAACTTATTACATTACTTGTTCTTTTATCTATTTTTATATTTATAAAGGCCTAACTGCGGTTACCAACCCGCCTGTCAAGCGTGGCGACTATTGGCAAAACTCCCTTTATGGGGAAGGCTTATGTCCAACAATTGACAGTTAATAGCTGAAATAATAATAATTAAATATACTTACCTTATTTAGCTGTATTTTTAATCTTTGAATCTTTAAACAGTGGACTGAAAAAAAACAGTGCCCCAGAGACATTCAGGTTAAGACACCGAACTGCAGAAGGTCTATATTTACCAATAAGGTATCTTAAAATAGTACCAATACAGTCATGGGGGCCTGCTTATAATTATACCATATGGTATGTGGAGCTGCAAGGCAAGAATCAAGACGAATTCATAAGCACAGTAATGGAGACTATTAACTTGGTATGTTTATTGAAATTTTATATTATTTTTATAGAATAATGTTTCAATCGATCTGATTTTATTAAAAAAAAATTGTTGACAATACATAAATTGATTTAATGTCACACAAAATTTTTTTTATTTAATATAATTATGTTATGAATATAAAAGTTTCTATTTATTCACTCAATATATATTATCACTCAAGATATTACATGCTTAAATAATTAAAAGGTTGTGAATAATTTTTATTGGATGGTTCCCTATATAGTATATTTCAATAGAATTTGATGGAATGGTAAACAAACATTTCTTTAACCAATCCTGACTATAGTCAGTATGTTATCCTATGTATGATATGATCATAATCCATTTCACTAATTGAATATGTTACATTATTATACTGCATTTGGTTTAGTATGGCTTATATATCACAATAAAATGCTAATGATGAAATGCTAATCTCTGAAAACAAAATATTTGATTGAAAAACATGAAAACTAATGAATTTTTGTAAATATGTGTTATAAATGTTAATGTGGTGCTCTAACTAACTTAGAACGGCAAACAAGCTGATGGCCCATCTGATGGAAAGTGGTCGCCTATAGACATGAGCAGTACCAGGATAGTTTTATCCAGATAAGATCAGCAATATTTGTTGCATCAGGTAGTTTAAGTATAAAGAATAGAAGCTCTGCAAAATATATATTATTTTTAACAAAACTATTTTATGCTTTCAAATCGTGTAGCTTAACTTCTTCATAGTTAAGAGTGATCTAAAGATATCCCGGTTATGGAAGTGTAACTAGCTGGCTTTAAGTTGCGTGGTTTACATTAGATTTTTCATGTACAATTTTGCTTTTCTAATTCTGTACACTAATGACTATTCAACTTTTATGTATAGCGAAAAGAAGAGGAAGCAGTGCGAATTATATTAAAGCATTTACGTACACGTCGCTATAAGGATGCGTTTGAAGCACTCTCACGCGAGAGCGGCGTGCAATTGGAAGGAGCTTTACAGGCTCGTCTATGGACTGCACTTGTTGAAAATGGGGACTATAATCTTGCTGAACAGATACTGGAAGAGGCTTACAATGGTGAGTTCAGATTTGTACACGTATATTTACAATTAAGCAAAGCGCCCACAAATCCCACATGCTTTGAAAAAATTTTATAACCTGATAATTATTTGAATATGACTTCAATATTTTGATATTAATTTGCAATTACTGTAGTATAATATACAGAAACTAAATTATTTTGCTAACAATAATATAATAAAATAATTGTAATCAAATAAATAAAGATATTGAATTTTTAAAATTATTTGCCCATTTATAAAAGTTATACAGCGGGTTTATTTAGTATGAAATTAGTCTTATTATAGGGGCATAGGCTACATTTTATTCTGCTCGATGAAGATATTATTTCTATTTTTGTAATTACATATATATTTGTATATTTATATTTTTTTTTAATAATTTATGTTACCGCCTTTTATGTATTGTAATTTGTGTGCTGTAAGTAATGCAAATAAATTATCTATCTATCTATATGTATATATGGATTTATTTAAGTATGAATTAGTACCTTTAAATATAACAACTATATAACATTTTTATATTCAAATTGTAGTATATATGCATATCTCTATATGTATTAAAAATAACCAGTTTCGTGCCTCTAGTCAAACTGTTTATAATTACTCTTCTCCATCCAAAGGTTGCCTGGAAGAGATCGCTCTTAGTGATAAGACCGCCTATTGTTCTCTTAGTGCAATATTTTCTTGTAATTGTTTATATTTATAATAAGTTTACTATTGTTTACTATATCCTTGTCACACGGAAGAAGTCACGGGTAAAAACTAGTTGACTATATAAATTAAAAAGCTACGGCCCTAATGTGTTCCGGTGTACATGGTGTCTGGCAGAGGGCGAGTTCTCGTGGTACGAATCGTGGCAGCCGTATAAGCCGGAGTGGCGCGAGATGTCGGCGTGCTCGTCGCAGGTGGAGGAGCGACTGTGCTGTGCCGAAGGCGCGCCGCCTACGCCCGCGCGCATGCCCGACCCGCAGCTGCTGTGCGTCGACCGCGACCCCGCCGTATGTACACTGCACTTTGTACTATCCACCGACTGCACGACAGTTACTGCCCTTTACTGCGTTATTTATTGTAAAAAAGAGTCCTATCTGTTTTAAGTAAAGTAAAAAATGTTACAAAACATACTGAAAAGGAAATGAACATATTGTTGCTTAATTTTTTGCATTACACTATTTTGTCTTAATTACAATTTTCAATATGAACTCAAAGGGAGACATCATCCTTTAACGCAGTGCCGATAAATGAGTTAAAACGGGCCAGAACCACTGACACGATTAGCAGGGGAGCAGACAGAAGTCCAAAATGTTTAATGTGCATTTTTAATCGATGCTCACAAGACAGCATTGCAGTAACTTAAAATCAATTTACAATTTGCATGCACCACGATGGTTTCCTAACAGAATGCAAGCAAACAAACTCGCAGCGGGTACCTATTTGTCTCGAGTTTGGAGATAGTATCTTGCTCTCTCATTTACTGTGCGACTGTGCTCAATAGGAGAACACGGGCATGGGGGCGGGTGTAGAGTCGACGGCGGAGGTTGGTGAGGCGGCGGCGTGCGAAGCGGCGTGTAGCGCGGGCTGCGGCGGCACCTGCTGCAGCAAACCTGGTCCACGCGGTGGACATCAGCTCGTCGTCGACGCCACCACCGGTCAGCCTTTTAACACCTACCTACTACTTATACAATATATTTTAATATGTGCTATAGTGATTTAACATACTGCCACATTCTCTGATGTTTGTAGATTTGATGAGTTCCTTTTATATAGTCTAAGAATGGCTCACAAATTAATAGTTTAGTCTACCTGATGTATGTAATAATATATGGCTTAGGGAGGAAGGGATCGTTAGTAATGCGGGCTACCAGTCCCATTGCTAGCAATATACCCTGTCAGGTCGACCTCCACGCGGTTCCCCCTGGAAACCATCGTGCTGAGTTCCAGGTGTATTCATCACGATGGGCTGACTAACCTGCTTTTTTTCATTATTCACAATCACCCCTCACTGGTGCCCCGCCAGCGTATACCGATAGCGCATGCGGGGATTCTGCAAAATATGTATGACTGAATCATACAGCATCCATTTACTAGAGGGAGACTTTGTATAAAAGTAGTTTGCTTGGATATCTCTATTCCATTCGTGTTTCTACCGTGAAGCAGTTGTGTTTGCATGGCTGTGTTTCGGTTTGAAGGGTGGGATGTGGTAGTGAATTTAAAGGGTACAGGAGGCATAACACCTTAGTCCCCAGGAATGGCCACGCATGGAGCGATATCCTGGGCGAATATATAGGTAACGGTTTTTTTAATGGATGATAATGGAATGGTAACCCCGCCTGGGCGGGGGGGAGAAGGGACTGTTAGTAATGGGGATTAATAGCCCATTGCTAACAATTTACTATATCAAGTTGACCTCGTGGTTTCCCTTGGAAACCATCGTGATTGATTTATTGTTAGATTCATCACGGTGGGCTAACTGACCTGCTTCATCCTCACTTATCATCCCTCACTGGTGCCCTGCCAGTGTATACCGATAGCGCAGGCGGGGCTACCATTCCATTATCATCCATTAAAAAAAACCCCGCCTGAGCTATCGGTATACGCTGACCACCAGTGAGGGATGATAGATGAATATGAAAGCAGTTCAGTTAGCCCATTGTGACGCATTCGTCAAATATTAATCACAATGGTTTCCAGGGGGAACTGCGTGGAGATCGACTTGACAGGGCTTGTTAGCAATGGAGGCATTAGTCCACATAACAATCCTTCCCTATAGGTAACGGTTACCACTAAGTTGCTAAAGAAAAAAATTTAAAAATAAGGGAATTATATGTGTTTGGGGCAGGCACGCTGTACTTGTTCGGCGGGTGGAACGGCACGGAGGACCTAGACGACCTGTGGTCGTTCTGCACGGCGAGCGAGCGCTGGGCGCTGCTGTGCCGGCACAGCGGCCGCGCGGGCGGGCCGGGGCCGCGCTCGTGCCACAAGATGGTGCTGGACCCGCGCCGCCGCCGCCTCTACACGCTCGGCCGCTACCTCGACACCGCGCACCGCACGCTGCGCAACATGAATGTAATCTATTGCAACTGCTACTACTCATATTCAACTACACTGAACATATACATTGTACAGTGGTTTTCAAACTTTCGCGTTTAATACATAAAAGAGTCTTAACATTTACCTTCTTATAACCACTGCCCTACTCTAGCCGAAATGTCTAGTGAGATAAATTCTTTATTTACACTCTGCGACCTATCGTGGCTTCATAAAAAATATCTGAATGGCAGTGAATGTAACTAAAACACCAATCCTAGAATAGGTTACAAATAAATCTATAACTAAAAATTACTTTGAGGTGAGGTTGACTGGGAGAGTCCACCTTTTGTAGCAAATATATTTTGGTCAATAAAGAATAAATAAACAAATATCAAATCAAATAAATTAAATGTATTTATTGGAACCATAAAAAATTACAAAAGTAGGGTAGTGTACGATAACAGCCACATTAGTTAAAAATAACTGTGTCGTGGCTGTCAACGCCCACCTCCTCAAGGCAGAGGCGCTAGCGTTCCAGTAGAATAAATAAAACTGTTAATTAAACAAGAAAAAGCATGTACCTACATGTAGCACATATATATGTGCCCAACATACATATAAACATTTAGACATTTAGTTTTACATTATATTATTATATTATATTAGTTTATAAATAAATAAATAAACTTTCAAGACTTTAGTTCATTATCATAGCATTCTTTATATAATCAGTCAGATATATTGAAAATTATTGGACTAATTAAAGAATGTGCATGCATGTTGTTTAATTGACAGATAATGGTTAACTGGTAAAGAACACCGTCCGGTGGTAAGTCCACCAAATGTACATAGAATTTTACTGCGCATTAAAGTTTAAATATATAAATAAATAATTCTGGTTTTGTTACGCTTTAGTAGTGCTCATAGCGCTACATCTACATAGCAGCGTGATATTTGCTATTCATATATAAAGTGCGTACACGTGATACTATACTACACAGAGCGACCTGTACGTGTACAGCGTGGAAGAGGGCGCGTGGTCGCTGGTGTGCGCGGACACGGCAGCGGTGGGCGGCCCGCGGCTCGTGTTCGACCACCAGATGTGCATCGACGCCGACACACAGACCATATACGTGTTCGGCGGACGTGTGCTGCCCACTAACACGTTAGTATACTCTCCTATTACATCCATATAGTCACATACATATTTAGACTAATACAAACTTAACTGGTGTTCCGAGAACCACTAGTTGTCCCTGGAACTTAATTTCTTATGCAAAACTATCCCAAAAAGATTAAACAAGTGACAATGGGTCGACATAACGACGGACAATGTTAGTTATGCCACAATTTGAAATATAAATGTATACATGTTTAATTTTTAGAATTATTTAAATTTACTTTTCTCAAACATGCTTGGAAATATGAGCATTATTTTGACAATCTTCTTCAAGATAAATCAAAATTGCCGTACTGGCCAGATACATGCGGGCAGCGGCCGGCAATAGTTGTATGAAAATCCATATTTGTCGTGTTTTGCGGCCAGATAAATTACTATGCAAGGTAATATCTGTCCTGTAATTAAAAATGGAATGACCTTTTACTTCGAAACATGGCTACCAAGGAGGTAACTAATAAAAGTTTTTATTTTAATTTCGAACTGGCTTGCAAATACAAAGCTGTTTATTGAAAAAAAAACAATGGGACATTATGGCGCGTGAAAAATTATTATTGTTCGTTATTCGTCATTGAACTTAAAAAGTGTTTTTGATATCCGCGCATTGTTTGAGAAAAGTACTATACAAACCTTGGCCACAACTAAGCATTGATGGACTCACGTATGTGTGCCTCGGCTACGCCTCGGCCCACATTTGCACGTTCGTCCATCAATGCCTCAGTTGCTGGCCGCTGCAGTAATGTACTAATAACTTCCAAAGTTTGGAGATAAATATAAATACAGTTAATGTAAAAAATGTAGAATGTGCTACCCTTCCTTTCCATAGGGTGTCGTAGAGGCAACTAAGGGAATTCAATGGTCGAGGGATGGGTAGCAGTTCTCTCTTAATACGTCACCAGGACCTAATTGCGGTTGCTAACCCACCTGCCCAGCGTAGCAACTAATGGCAAAACCCCCCAAGAGGAAGGCCTATGTTCAGGAGTGGACAATTAACAGCTGATATGATGATGATTATGATAATGTAAATAAATGTACTGTTACATGAACTGTTTGAAGTCCAAACAGTTGGTGGTCCATAGCAAGATAGAATTTTTTTCGATTAATGCCTCATCATTAAAAGGTTAAGAACCATTGAGATATCGCTATATTCAGCATATTTTCCGCCGCCGAAGATCGACGTCCGAACGTAGCAACAGACAACGTAGTCCGTCCGTAAAATGTAGCGCGTCAAATAAGTATGTAATGTGACGTTGTGTATCTTCCGTGTAGAGATGAGGCGGTGATTCCGCAGTACTCCGGGCTCTACGCGTACTACATCGCGACCAACACGTGGCAATTGTTGCTCAGCGACAAGATCGACCCGACGGTGCCGTCGCCGCAGCCGCGCGTCTCGCACTCGATGCTCTTCCATCCTGTAAGTTCATAGTATTAATGGAAATCACAAATACAACACTATAAAGTGAATAAAGATATGTAAATATACTATAGCACAAACCTCAAAATAATGATAGGCACAATAACAGGCCATTGTCCATTAAACAAACATTTATACACAATAGGAGCCACAGACAACCCTCTATGTCGAGGTTTCGACGCCGAAGAAACGGCTGCTCACGTAATCCTGGAATGTAAAGCTGTGGCCCATCAACGTTTAGAAATCCTCGAAACGGTGAGGGCGCTCCGTGAGGCCCGTGAAGATCCCAGGAAACTTCTGTGTTTCTGGGCGGAGCTAGATTGATTGTACTAGCCGCGGCTCATACGCACAACGGCCCAAATGAGAGGCTGAGCGCGGAAAATAGAGTCCTATTTACATTATATTACATTACTATAGCAATAGAATATGTTTTCATTTATTTTATAATTTTATAGTAAAAACTTACATAAGTGTGAGGAGATAACTCGATAGTATGGTCAGTAGAAGCTGAAAGTTCACCTGATGAAAAGTGGTAACTGTTATTAATGGATATGAATAGCACCATAGACATCACAGTGTTATCAATTCTAATAATTAAGCTATTTCTCAGAAATAGTAACACTACTGTAAAGCGTAATAACGCTTTATCATGCCCTATAATTTCACTGCTATTTCTCACAGGACAGCACAATGAATTTTGGATGTTACTTGATATATACATACTTTTATTGCTGCCGAGATTTTCCCAAGAGACTACAGCATGGGGTTCTTCAAAAGGGGGTTAAAGAGGTTTCTTCAGGGTCGGCAACGCGCGCGTAATATCTCTGGTATTGCAGGCGTTCATAGGCTACGGTAACCGCTTACCATCAGGTGGGCCGTATGCTTGTTTGCCACCTCAGTGGTATAAAAAAAAAACAAAAAACATTCAAACGCTAATTTGAAAGTGATTATCAACAATTTTTGATGCTGCTGTGTGGACCGGGCACGAGACCTGATGGCGTGTGTGGTGTGGTTGCGCAGGTGCAGCGGCGGCTGTACATCTTCGCTGGGCAGCGCAACAAGGAGCACCTGGTGGACCTGTGGTGGTGGGACGTGGGCTCGGGCGCGCGCCAGGCGCTGTGCCGCGCGGCCGCCGGCCCGCCGCCCGCCGCCGGCTTCACGCAGCGAGCCACGCTCGACCCCGACACCGACGAGATGTTCGTGCTCTCGGTCTGATCCCTTCCTACCTAGTGCTCACTTGCAGGCCCTTTATGTATAATATATAATATTATACATACTGCCGTGTGATTCCGGCATTGAATAGGCCACCTCTTCCTTTTCTGTGGATGTCGTAAGAGGCGACTAAGGGAGGGCGAGGGATGGGCATCAGCGTCCCTGTTAAAACATTTTTAAAGCCTAACTACGGTTGCCAATTCACCTGCCAAACCTGCCAAACTGGGAATACCCCCAAGCGGAGGCTTATACTCATTAGTGGACAGTTTAAGGCTGAAATGTTGATGATACATGTTAATAATACAGTAACCTTATTTATGTATATTATGTAAACAAAAAGCTATGAAGTTTGATAGGAATCCTAATTTTTTTATGCATTTTTATATGACAAATGTGATTCACACGATGAAATGAATTTTTATTTTCGTAAAAACAACTGTAGTCCAAATTTAGATACAAGTTGTGTATAAAAACGTCTTAGAGTGAATACTAGAACGGTCTCGATTTTTAAACAGGGTATGAGCAAAGAGAAGGACAAGCGTGTGTATAACACGCTGTGGGTGTTCTCGCTGCGACGAATGACGTGGACGTGCGTGTACCGAAACGACCGCGTGTCAGCCAACGAGCCGCGGCCCAGATTCGCGCATCAACTTGTATATGACCCAGTCAGAAAGGTTTGTTCAATAGTTAGTCTTACTATATTTAGTTTGTTATTATATTATTTTGGATGTTTAGGTGTTTAAATGAATATTTGTTTATTCTGTATACTGTGATAATTATCAGTTGATAGGTAGGTAGTATCGTATACTTCATATGTTTGTATGTTTGTTACTTAATCATGCTTAAACCGCTGAAATCATTTAAATAAAAGGTTATATTTTAACTTAACAAATAGGATATTCTTTAATTCACGCTATAAAGAGGCTAAGCGCGGAAAATACAATCCTATTTACATTACTTATTCACGCGGGTGAAATCGCGGAAAACAGCTATTAATTAGTAATGTAAAGATGTGTGTATAATACATTGTTGGTCCTTCGAGCCGGATCGACACGGTCTCTTAATCTCTAGCTGTACTCATTTTAACAATATGAATAGTATTTAAATTAGTAATATTGTTAAAAAATGTCATGAAACTCGGAGATCTACTGCCTCTTATAGCAATCATATTAATATAGTAATAAGTTATCAATTAATGATAAAAATAATGTGTGTGATCGTATGTGTGTAAATGTGGGGTGGGTGTGCAGGTGCACTACCTGTTCGGCGGCAACCCGGGCAACCCGAGTAGTCCGCGGCTGCGGCTGGACGACCTGTGGGCGCTGCGGCTAGTGCGGTGGTCTGCGGGCGAGGCGGTGGCGACAGCGCGCGCGGCGCTACGCGTGGCGCGCTACCGCGAGCTGGCCGCGCAGCCCGCGCGCGCCGCCTGCGCGCTGCACTACCTGCGGCACCGCGTCGCGCCCGCGCTCGACCACTCCGACCCGCGCCAGGTGCGCTCACACACGCACATACACGCTGCACTACCTGCGGCACCGCGTCGCGCCCGCGCTCGACCACTCCGACCCGCGCCAGGTGCGCTCACACACGCACATACACGCTGCACTACCTGCGGCACCGCGTCGCGCCCGCGCTCGACCACTCCGACCCGCGCCAGGTGCGCTCACACACGCACATACACGCTGCACTACCTGCGGCACCGCGTCGCGCCCGCGCTCGACCACTCCGACCCGCGCCAGGTGCGCTCACACACGCACATACACGCTGCACTACCTGCGGCACCGCGTCGCGCCCGCGCTCGACCACTCCGACCCGCGCCAGGTGCGCTCACACACGCACATACACGCTGCACTACCTGCGGCACCGCGTCGCGCCCGCGCTCGACCACTCCGACCCGCGCCAGGTGCGCTCACACACGCACATACACGCTGCACTACCTGCGGCACCGCGTCGCGCCCGCGCTCGACCACTCCGACCCGCGCCAGGTGCGCTCACACACGCACATACACGCTGCACTACCTGCGGCACCGCGTCGCGCCCGCGCTCGACCACTCCGACCCGCGCCAGGTGCGCTCACACACGCACATACACGCTGCACTACCTGCGGCACCGCGTCGCGCCCGCGCTCGACCACTCCGACCCGCGCCAGGTGCGCTCACACACGCACATACACGCTGCACTACCTGCGGCACCGCGTCGCGCCCGCGCTCGACCACTCCGACCCGCGCCAGGTGCGCTCACACACGCACATACACGCTGCACTACCTGCGGCACCGCGTCGCGCCCGCGCTCGACCACTCCGACCCGCGCCAGGTGCGCTCACACACGCACATACACGCTGCACTACCTGCGGCACCGCGTCGCGCCCGCGCTCGACCACTCCGACCCGCGCCAGGTGCGCTCACACACGCACATACACGCTGCACTACCTGCGGCACCGCGTCGCGCCCGCGCTCGACCACTCCGACCCGCGCCAGGTGCGCTCACACACGCACATACACGCTGCACTACCTGCGGCACCGCGTCGCGCCCGCGCTCGACCACTCCGACCCGCGCCAGGTGCGCTCACACACGCACATACACGCTGCACTACCTGCGGCACCGCGTCGCGCCCGCGCTCGACCACTCCGACCCGCGCCAGGTGCGCTCACACACGCACATACATGCACATACACGCACATTGACCGTGCTCACTTGATACAATTACTTTGTTTAACCCTTCTTTGCATGATTCTATTGTATTGGTGATGTAAATTAACCCTTTGAGTGCCGACGAGTGCCATCGCGCTCGTGCGCATTGCAGCTAAAAGTGCCACGAGCGTGATAGCGCTCATGAAATCAGTCGCTGTTTAGCTTGCTGTAAAAAAATATTAAAATTGCATAATTTTTGGAGGAGATACAGTTGTTTTTAGAGACAAGGGTAATTGACATCAACACGACAAAGATTTCTTTGGCATTTTTAAGTAGATACGATTAAAAATCAATCATAAATATGATAATACAAAAAAAGAAGTATTTTACTTAAACAAGACTTCCTACAATAGTTAGTATTTCTGCTATGAAGTTTATATGTTACATGGTTTCATATTGATTCTAAGGGCAATGAAATTATGGCATTATGTCTTCATAACACTGTGCCGTATTTCACAGAAATAACATCGTATCCTATAGTTCGTGATGCTGTGTATTCATGTCTATAAACAATAGTTACGACTGAAATTAATTTTCAGCAGCAGTAATTCTGAACCAATTTCACATGGTAACTTTCAAGAAAAGAGCAAATTCTATTTAAATGATCGATAGCACACAATTCCTCTGGTGTTACGAGTGCTCGTGGGCGGCAATAGTTACTCACTATAGGTGAGCGGTATGCTCGTTTGCGCCCTGTCTTATAAGCGGGCCATGTGCTCGTTACTTATTCTAAATATATGAAATGCGTGTGTGTGACTGGTGTGCGGTGTGCGGTGTGTGGCCGTGCGCGGCAGGTGTCGCGGTTCCAGAAGCTGGCGACAGCGCTGTTCGAGGGCGCGGGCGCGGGCGCGGGCGCGTGCGAGTGCGGGTGTGGCGGCGCGGGCGGCGCGGGCGGCGCGGGCGAGGCGTGCGCGTGCGGCGCGGGCGCGCGGCCGCTGGACGCGCGGCGCGTGCGCGCGCTGGCGCGGCGCCGCGCGCACCTGCCCGCGCACGCAGACCTCGCGCACGCGCTGCAGGCGGTACGTACCAGCCTTTACCGACCTTTCGCCATGTCTTGTCAGCTTCTGTCTGTGACTTTTGCCACATGACCGAGATTTGATAATAAATTGGGATAAATAGTAACTTATTTTCTTCTCTCTCCTGTATATGTAGATCTCATTTTTTTTTTACTAGACCCATTCTTTGTACTATGAAATTGGTATACCTATAGAAACGTCAATCAGACTAAAATTAGATTAGCACAATCTGTCCAGTCATTACGAGTGATGTGCGCCGACAGTTTTTTGCAATTAATATGCAACTTGTTCTACGATTAACGTTTTATTTTGCTATCAGTGTTTTTTAAATAATTTATCAGAAGTATTGAAAATTATTATTTATTTATTTAACATTTTATTGCACCAACATAACAGGATTTGTTGAACAATTTTCAATACGTATACTGTAGTACAAAAGGTGGTCTTATCGCTAAGCAATCTCTTCCAGACAACCTTTGAGTAGAAGGAAGTAAAAGGAATTTAAGCATAAATAGGTAGGTGGCTAAAAATGGATAAACAATTCCAACATTGCCACACTTCGATTTACTAAAATGTAGCGGCAACGAGCAATGAATGCTCTTGAAATGAAAATTATTAACATATCTAAGTGTATAGGTACTGGGTGCGGAAGAAATACCACCGGAGCCGCCGACGCCTTTCGAGGAGGTGTCGGTGCCGCCGCCCGACACGTGGGACGTGGGCGAGGACGCGGACGAGGAGCCGGCTGCTGCCGCCGCCGCCGCCGCCGACACCCGGCGCCGCGCCGCGCGCATGCGCCTCTACGACCGCCTCGCCAACTACTTCCGGCCCAGCACCGTGCCTCCGGCCGGGGACGTTATGGACCTCGTGCAACTATAACTCGCAGCCGCTCAATACTCGCCAGCGACAACGGTATGAACTTTACGCTACGTCACTTTAGAATTCTTTACACGTTACAAATCTGTCTCTATGGGCGCGTTATTAGAGACTCCAGCATCGTGCCATTACATAGGAATTTTATGGACCTCGTGCATCTCGTATTGTGACGTGACCACTCCGCGCTGACGGCGACAGGTATAACTTTAGGTGACCTTACTCCACAACTCTGGCGCAAGCGTCAACATGCTCTAGTTCCATATGTCTCAATTGTTTGCTTCTACGAATTCCTTGTTTACTTCCGGCCTTCAATAGCTAAAGTTTTTACAACCACAGAAAAATGGCAGTAAAGTATTATGTCTTATACTTATTACTACTGTTTAAATTTTCAACATGAATTTGACTTATGTTAGGATAATGGTTTATTATATATACTAAATATAAAATCGATCAGTTAACTCTATTATTTTTATTATATTTCGTTAAGCTGAGACCTATATGTAAAACATGACATGCAGTTTGTCTCTTAAGTATTTTAATTCGTCGATAATACAACTATTGATACAATAAGGAATTGAAACATATACATGTATCAATTGAATTAATATAATTTAAATCTAGTTAAGTCATCTATGTGTATACTTCAAAAATTATTTAAAATCACTCGGCACGCCACTTTAGCCGTGTTTTATATTATTAAAAAATACTAGAGAAGATTGTAAAATTTTCGTAGCTCTTTTCACTATTAGTAATCGTTGTTTTTACTTCTTATAGTTATGTATACTAAATAAGAATAGTTAATGTAACTATTGGTTATTATTTCTACTTACACAAAATGTATCCATGACGTCAGACGAAATTTTTGAAAAAAAAAAAAAAAATATATATATATATATATATATATATATATATTCTTAAAAATTTCGTTGATATTCTTTCAATTCGATTCACTAAGTGTAAAATGAAGCATTTCATAAATAAAAAATAAGTTTGTTACTAGAATTATTGTGTTGGTAGTAATACTCTCGTAAATGTTACAGTGCTTATATAATCTTAGAAATAAGGACTCTCGATAACAGATAATTCTAAATAATGCCAGTGTGTAATCACAGTTAGTTATACTATTATTATATTTCTACAAAAAGTATTAAAATATCCATTATTTATAACACTAAACTGACGAATTAATTAAAAAGGACTTTTATAATTTATTGTAGTATAGTTAAACATTAAATACTATTTTACCGTTACGATATAGTAGGAGAGTAAACGTAGGCAGAAAAGAAATAGAGAAATGTATACAATTAAAGCGTCTCCACGCTTTTAATACCTATATACAAACATACATACATATTTGTCACGCCTGTTTCCCATTAAAGTAGGCAGAAACAATGGAACGCCAAATGCTTCGAATCAAACAGGCCTCTTTCATTTCCTTTACACTCATCAATCTTTTCATACACGCTCGGCGGTTACGAATACATTTAATTTGGCACTTTAACACCTCGCATGTTCAGTAGACATAGGCTAAGGGTAGAAGTTTTACAAGCGTCTTAATGAAATTCCCTATATTTTGTTTTCCTATTCTATCGTGACAGTAAAATAGTAAAACATTATTACATTTTATCATAATATTACGTTCGCATGAATTATGTTACGGTGTTCACTGTAAATAGACTAGTCTTTTTTTTTCTTAATTCGTAATCTATGTAATGTTATTTTGACATTACGTTCAAATGATACAGATCAGTCATCAGCTTTAATGATAATTAATTAATGTAATTAAACTTTTAACTATAATGAAAATATTATTTAAATATTTTGTCATTAAATTTGTCACAGCGTAAAGCAGAGAGAGGGTCGTGTAACGGGAAAGAAATTTAAATGGATTTTTTTATTGTGCTGGATAAAGTTTAGGTTATATTTAAATTATGATTTGAAATAGATTTTAATAATAAATATGGTATAATAAATAGCCATTGTCAATGTGTGTAGTTAATTTATTAATTCGAAATTATACATATTTGCAATTGATAAATTAAGCTATGACCATAAATTTATTTGTACCAGTAAATGGACACAATGGCAGGGTTAAAATGACTACTTTAAAGGAATCATATAATTATGTTTGTTTATAACACTTTACTGTACAGTAGTCTGCAATTATAGGATATAGAGTTCTTAAGAAAAGAATGATACAGTAGCGGAATTATCCCATAAAAGGGACATTATGTTTTATTTCGTATATTTATTTAGTGGAATTACGAGTATATTTTTTAGATTATTAACGCAGCTTTATCAGCTGGTTTGTAAGATTAATTATGATTCGTTTAAAGTGGTTTTTTTAACCTCCATAACCGTTGCGTTAGGAACCCGTCATTTGCATATGACGACGACTATTAGCCAGTGCCAAGGTGTTTATATAAAAAAAGAATTTACTTATTAACATTATATAAGTATATATACAAAGTCCAAGCTTCATACAGCCAGTGAGGGATCTCAGTTCATCAGTTATGACGTAATATAATAACTTAAAATCCAATATTATATATATATTTCATTAAATAAAAACATTGATTTGTTCTATGATAACAGTTGTTACAGGAAAGTAAATCTAATAATCTCAAGCATGAAAGTCGAGTTTTATATTAAAACTGTCAAATTTCATACTTGAGATTATTAGATTTAAATATAATTTATTAATATATTTTATAAAACATGTAATTAAAGATTGTGTCCTACAAGAAAAAAAAAACCTACTTCAATTGTGATAAAACTACTTAATGTGATTTAGAAACTAAACAACTGAATCGATTTTAATAAAATTTATATTGTGATCCCATAATAAATAATCTGTAAGTATATCCCAATGAAAACTAAACCTATCCCACAAGGGAGCTTATGTGTGCATTGGCAAATAATACCAGACCAGTGCTTAAGTTGGGACTTTGTTTGTGTACTAAGGACCTGCGCAAACCAGAAGCAATACTCAGCGTAGTTTTTGATCCTTTCGAAATAAAATACACTGAGTTGCATTGAATAACACAACAGGGAATTGTGTCCACAACGGATAAAAGTCCGCAATCGAAATCAGTCAAATCGTCTGTGCAGGTCCTATATATATACAAACATTTTTAAAGACGATAAAATTATATACCTATTTTGACCACAATTTTAAATGTATATGAATACACGAGGGCTTACGTAATAAGGGAGTGCTTCAAAAAAATATACCTATATTTATACAGAGTGTAGTTGGTATAAGTATATAAGTAGGTAAGCTATACGCTGTGATATTGTGGTATCTATGTTTTGGTAATATTCTTATATAATATCTAATGCCTATCTTTACTGTAAATAAAATAAAAATTATAATAATTGTCTTGATAATTTCTTATATTGTATAATGCATATAAAGTATACTCATTCATTCATTCGTTAAATAAAAAAAAATTAATAATCTACCTTCAAGACTTATAATTATGTGTCTCAGCTAGTGCCGAGCGCGATTTCAATTACTGTATTTTTTTATATTTGATAACATCGTAATTGGAAACACACTACCGGCGTGAAACTAAGGGATTTTTTAATCTAATCTTTATTTAATTATTTCTAAATGCTGTTTATACTATTTGTACTCTTACAGCATTACTTTATATGTATTTAAAGAGGAGGCTTGAAATTGGATTGTTAAATAATTGTTAATTGATTTTTATTGTATTATAATAATTAGGACGGCGCGGCGGCGAGCACTTGTTTACAGACTGTGATACGATGTTATAGTCAATAGCGTGTAATGAGTATTTTCTCTTAGTCTTGAATCTCGAATTAGACGCTTGAAATAGGTATGTTTGATATACTTACTTATAAACGCTTCAAGTTGTTTCAATTCAAACCACGACGTTAAGAGAATAATTAATAATTGAATCATATAATTAAACATTAAATACGTAAAAAAAAATGTAAATTATAGTACATTTAGCGAGCTGTTATTTTGTGCATGTCAGCACAAGAAAACAATATTTTTAAAAGTATTTTAATATTTCGAATACTTTGAACAACAGCGTCTAGCTGTTATGCGTGGCAACTACTGAAACAGCCCTCCCTTTGGAGGAAGCCTATGTTCAGCAGTGGACAGTTAACGGCTTATATGTTGATAATGAATTATAAAAACGGGTAACTAGGTCTTCGATATACCTGGATATTTATTTAAAAAAATAAATTATTGCAACAAGCAGTTTATAGTAAAATTATTTGTTCTTAAGTATTCATATGTGTGGTGGCAAATTTTGTTTCATAGTAGATATAATAATATACTTTTTATAAAATATTAAAAGAATGCGCTACTCGATAATGAATCACATGTAAACTTATTTACGATTTTCATCTTAGTAAAATTTAAGTCTTTAATTTTAATAAAATTAAGAATACATCTAAAAATATGTTATACTCCAGAGCCCCCTAGTGTAAATTGTTCTTATTTACGTTACTACTATGAAAAGCTAGTTTTAGTACCGTTATCGACGTGAATAGTTACGAAGTAACGGAATTTGTATTCAACTTACACTAGGAACTCGGCAACGTTGAGATTACCAGTAGACCAATGTAGCCCGGTATGATCGAAGCCTTTGTAAATATGCATTTTATACTGTAAGAATAACTTATAATTATTGTTTGACCTTTTAACACGGAAAGTATTCTCAGTCTGTATGTATATAAATTAATAAATTTGTTATTTACCCATCAAAAATGTAAACGTCTTTTATTAACCCTGAAAATCTAGCATATATTTATGTAAACAACAATTAATTTTTCATTAGTCAAAATTAAAATCTTATTTTTTACATAAATAGGTCGGTGGTCCACCTTACGGAAAATGGTAATCGTTGTCCGTTGTGACGTGAATAACACCATGGACATCAGTATATTCTGTGATCTTTACAATCCCTCTCATGGTGTGGCAAAGCATGTTCCTGAGGATTAATTTGAGGTTCTCGTTACCAAACTAACCTGGATTTCCTAACCGAAGTGACTAGAATTTAGTGACAACAATATCTCCTAGTGACTAAGGGGATTTAATGGTCGAGAGTAATAATGGTAACCCCCCCTTCCCCCGTACTTTATGGGTGAGTATTATGTTCAGTGGACAGTTTACGGCTAATACGAAAAAATAAATATTGCCTCATCATCAGCAGTTATACCTCCACTGCTGAACACTGCTCCTCATAAACTGTCATAAAGGAACGGTCCTGACCCACCTGCATCCACTGACTCCCTATAATGAATTTGAGGTCATGCCATTCAGTAGAGGGGCCGTCCTACACTGCGTTTTATGGGCGTACGGAGTCGTCATTCAAAAACCTTTTCCCCATCGTTTGTTGGTTCTTCGAGCTATGTGACTAGTCCATTGTCACTTCAGTTTGCTTATTTTTCATGAAATACTGTATGCTTCTGTAAAATTTACTTAGAATGTTATGACACAATTTAATGGTATTGTTTTTTTTTTTATTTCCGAGTGTCGAAAACATCGAAATGATGTTATCGTTGACGGATAACACACAGTGTGCTCTCGTAATATATCATGATGCTCTCTTATTATATTATGATGATAGCGCCGAGCTATGATAAAAAAATATCTATACTATAATTTCATTCTGTCTACCTGGCCGGTAAATAAGCTGATGTGACCCATAGGGTTACCCGATCAGGTTTGGGCTTTGTTAACGCATTAATGAGTATGCCTCGCTGATAATTTTTTTTCTGCAACTCCTCACCAAACTTTTCGGAAAGGAAATTTGGAAATAGAACAAGAAAAGACTCTTAAATTTTAAATATAATAATTTATTTTCATACATGATTTATATCAGTCATTGCGACAACACGGCGTGCCTTATATTTCGTAAATAAATCCGCTCTATCTGTCATGATATGTTCCCGGGGTTGGTTCATTCATCTGTCGTTGAATAAAGATACAATCAATATACGACCAACAATTTATACTCTTCAAAGCTCGTACGTTAATGTTCTGCTGACGCTCAACTTGGCAAAGACATGTAATCTGGTGTGATTGATTACACAAAATTAACTGTTCAACGTAGAAGAGTTGCCATCTTGTAATATAAAACTAAAATAAAAACAAAGTTCAATCAAGTGAACCATCAAACTGTGCAATAATCAAGGCCGACAAAAACAATCCAACAATTACTCAGCTACAGATTAAAATGAATCCATTATATTAATGGGAACATACATGCTACAGGTTGTCCAACACATAAATCATGTTGCAATAAAAGTAGCGAGCTTTTAATATATATCATCTGATCTTTAAATAAAAAGAACTCATAGTCAATACGTATTTTAATAAAATATAAAATAATATCTATACTTATGTAAAATAAATAGTCTAAATTGTTACATAACAGTATAAAGAAAATATTTGGTTAATCGCTCTCACCACCACCACGTGCGTGTGGCAGCAGACATCGAGCGACGCCAATCTCTTATTATGCATAACGAATACTGCTACACTTGCAATTTGTAAACAGCCTGATAAATATGAGCGTAAAAAATAAACTAGACCTCTGCAATGTATTCACGTTACGTTATAGATAATTTCTGAAATATATAATATGTATTGATGCAGAAAGATCTTATCGGACCTTTTTGCTCCAATCATATAGTCGCAAATATGTCAACAAATATTATAACAATTAGAAATAAATAGAATAAAGATTGGTATGTCAAAATAAAACATAAATAATGCAAACATAACAATGATAAAAATGAAGAAATGACATGTCAAGTGTTGCAATATATGTATAACAATAATGTACCTACAACCTTCAAAAATTATCATGTGGACGGCTGCACGTCTGTAGTGTGTTTCGTGTAGATCTCCGCTTCATAAGTCGGCCTACGTAGAAACCGGCCACAGAGGCGCACCAATAATATTGACTAGACACAAACAATACATTAAGCGATGTCTGCTGCTAAGATATTGAGAAAAATAATACTTAGTAAAAAGATAAAGCTAATATGGTAAGTCCATCGTTTAAGTACACGAAGAGTGTTCTACGTTAAAAGCTAGTACAATAAAATATGTTATTATCTAATAAACAATAAATGCAAGGCTATGGTCCTAGGCGGCGCGAGCGCCCGCCGGCTCTGAGCCGCTGCGGCGCGATCGCAGCCGCCAATTTGAGCTATGCAAATAAATTATGCTACAAACAGTTAATATTGCAAATAAATTTCACTACTCGACAAATTAATTCTCAGTTAGACAGATATTACCTACGAAGTATACCTGGAGGCTAATGTATTATCTAGGTTTATGCCTAAATCAGTAAAAATACCTACTGAGGGCGAGTGCCCACTACATGGAACGGTTGAACTAGCCTAAGTCCAGTGTAACACTAGAAGAGATAAACGACTACGTCATCGACCGGTTACACGCGACCACTGGCGGGCGCGGGTAGCTGCCAATATCACATCCAATAACGTAAATAATACATCGTAACACTTCAATAATCATTTGTAAATTTTGACTTATTCATAGAAAGCTGGCCGACGCTCGTGAGCAACATTTTTGAGCAAACTCAGAGACCGAGAATTTTTCTTCAAGAATTCCAATATGTTACTGCTGTTTAAGGTAAAGAGATAGGGCTTAATAAAGATATAAGTGCACATAAAAATCCTTTCTTGGAGGTCGACCAGCTCATGGACAAGAAATGGACGCGTGTGGCAACGCCACGGGACGGCAGAGTGCGGCCTCCGGCCCACACGACAACCAAAAGGAAACACTACCCATACAACTAGAACAAGATGGACGAAAGTATTCGGCAGAGGGCCACAACAACACAACGCAACAAACATATCAACTAGAAACAGATTACATAGTCTTTTTTTGCGCACACAATGGATGGACATCGACGAATAATTTTAGAAATTTTTTGGACGTACTAAACATTCGTATCGAGTGGATTCCTTCTTTACAATTAATTATACGGAATCATAAGATTCACTTAATAAATATGTATGTATATAATAAAAAATAACACTGCATGGTTTTATTATAACTCTCGTCTGGCCACAGAATATAATGTAATATTAAAATCTGCTTCATTTCAAAGGTTAATTCTTCACGTTACCTATAGTATCAACAATCGTGATAAACTTTTTGCGGTAATAAAATACACCAATGCTATTACAAAAATACGTGTTAAATATTAATTCGGTGACGTGCAATAATAGGTATAGGAAATTCGATATCAAAATATTCATAATATAGGATATAGGAGACACGGGAGGGAGGGACACGAACGGAGATGCAACAATCGGACTTCGAACGAGAATCGGCTCGGCAAGAACAGCTAATCGATCGACGATAGAAGCCTAAGGTAACTAACAATAAATAAGTAGCGGGCGAGTCGACAACGACAACTGCGCTCCCCGCCGCGGCGGTCCGGCGACCGACTCGCTGGCCGCACATTAAAATCAGTCAACTGCAGCATAGCACCGCCGCCCGGCGCGGGCCCGGCCGCGCGGCGGCCGCCGGCCGCGGCTCTGCACAGTTTGATGGTTCACGGCGGCGCGGCCGGCCGCGGCCACGCGCCCGCCGCCCGGCCCGGGCCCCCGCCCTCGTCGTCACTGGTACTATTAACTAGATTAGATCTTACAAAACGTATAAATGATTTAGTTTCCCTAAGAGCAACATTATAAAAAGTCGGAGTGGTCGAGCCCCGCGCGCGAGGTCAACGTATAAATTCGTGGAGGCGCGGGCGGTGCGCGTGCTCGCGCGCGCGCGGCGGCTGCAGCAGCGCGCGCAGCGCGGCGGCGGCGGCCTTGAGCGCGCGCACGAGCCGCTAGAAGTCGCGGCCGCGCGCGCGCGCCGCGCCCGCCGCCTTCGGCACGCGCCGCGTGCGCATCTCGCGGTCCACCTGCAAACGAACGCACCACGCGCCGGTCACGCCGAGTCCGCCCGTCCACCCGTCCACGAGCCTAGTGCAAATTATCAGTAAACAAGTAAACGCGAGCTTCACTTGTTTACCGATAATTTGCGCTCCTTAAACTCTCATTTAATAAAAGCACCGCTGGTCTCGGATGCTTTTATTACAATGAAGATTTTAAATTTCGAAATTTTTTGAATTCAACCACATAATCACTTAAAAATATTTTTTTAAATAATGCTTATTCTTAGGGCGAGCGGATTTATACGATGTCATTCTATGATAATTACCTCTAGTTCCTCGAGGCGTTGCGTGAGCGCGAGCTTCTGCTGCACTGCGAGGCGCAGCAGCTGGTTGAGAGTCTTCTTCTCCTCCTCGGCGCCGGCGAGCGACTGCGTCAGCTCGTCCACCTGCGTGACGTATTCCTCGCAGCGGGCCGCGAACATCGCGCGCAAACCTAAAATACAACAGTTCATAACATCCACATAATATCAAACAATTCATTATATATTGAATCGTCATCAATAGTGAGACTATGTGGCAGGGTAAAATGGTGATATTCAGTTACATTTTTCTTGCATTTTCTATGCAACTTAGAATGGCAAAGAAGCTAACCGCCTGATAGAAAGTGGCAACTGTCGCCATAGTACATATATTATTCTTTCTCGTGCAAGCACTAACAGAAAGTCGATTTAATCTAATTTCACGGTTGATTGGTCACTTTACTATCGGGATTTTAAAATAAATTTCCTATGGTATCGCCGACACACAATTAATTACTTATTTATTTCGCTACAAGTATTCTTCATATACGCTTTTATCAACGCTTCTGTTATTTTCATACGAACCACGAGTTATTTGGAATTATTCTCTGATTAATGTTACAAAAAAAAATTATTTTGACACAACAACTATCGAGCCAGATAATTTAATAAAAAATACTCACTTGAGAAGGTAGCGGCGTCCTCCTTGAGCAGCCTGAGCTCGTTCCTGAGCTTGAGCATGGTCTCGGTGACGATGGTCTTCTCCGTCTCGTACTTGGACTTGAGATTGGCGAGAGCCACCTCCGCGGTGTTCTTGTTCGACTTGAGCACTGTGCGCAGCGTCGCGATCTGTTCTCGCTTCGTCGACAGCAGCGACTTCAGTTTTATTACTTGCTCCTGCAGTTCCGCCATCTCGGCGCCGCGCTCCTCGGTTTCCATCACTGTGAAATTGTCAAATTAAAAATTTTATATATTGATAACAAAGGTTGTTTTTTTTCTCTTTATATATAATTAACATTTATCTAGATAATTAAATTCAAATAAGTGAATGTTTTAAAGTCATATTTTACTATTTTTCGATTACAAATCTTAATATAATAATTAAATATAGTAGTAACTTATGGAAGTAATAACTACTATATACTTTTATACCAAAACCGTACATGCGGAATCTACTTTAGTTCAACAGTAAGTATTTTAACTTATTTTCATTCTTAAGTATTCTACACTACATAGACGACTACATACTTTTTAATTATGGTTTTCTATTAATAAAATTATAATTGAAGTATAAGGAACATAAGAATTCTTACATTGAACACTGCAATCTTAATCACATTATATATTGCAGCATAAGGACACAGGCAACAAGGCTCGACTTCAACGAATCTCTAATATTACTTAAGAGAGTATCGTTTTGTAATATGATTTTATTATTAGTACAGTTTCCACTTTGTAACAGTACATCCTTCCATATATTGGGGAGGCTAACTTCGCTTCTGGGAGAAACACATTGTTTCGATATATCTGTGTTTAATTTCCTTCTGACGTATGGTATACTAGTCTTAGGAAATGAAGTTATGGAGTTCTTTGTTCCATAACAATTTAATCTCTCTGAACTCCATATTTGTTGTCCTTTATCTTTTGATTTGAAATTGTAACTATTAAATTCATAGAAATCAGAGTTCATTTTTGTAATATTTTCAAAATAATCTGTTATTTCTTTAACTGTCCGTCCACTGCAAACATTAGCTTTAGAAATATGTGTAGTTTCAATTTCCAGTGAGTTCATTTGTAAGGCTAAATTATGTAGTTTTCTTTTTAAGTCCGATATTTTCAAATTGGCGTTATTTCGCTCTTTAACATTCTTTACCAAAGTATATGCATCTATGAATTTACAGGATGCCAGATTGTTTTGACATAATCCTGGGAATAAAATATCAAATAATACTACTGATTCTTGAGTCTATAGAAATAAATTACTTTTAGGTAATATTTATTAAAATTATAAAAATCAATTAGTAGTTCCGTGATGAGTGGAGGTGTCTCGGTTTGAAATTATATTGACGTTAGCTGTATGTATATATTGATAGGTGCGTGAGTTGGTCGGCGGCGTGTGGTGTAGTGTGGCGGCCGTGTGGTACGTACCGGGCTGGTGCTGGTGCCTGTTGCGCGAGTCGAGCGCGGTGTCGAGCGCGGCCCGCAGGTGCGTGAGCTGGTCGGCGGCGTGTGGTGTAGTGTGGCGGCCGTGTGGTACGTACCGGGCTGGTGCTGGTGCCTGTTGCGCGAGTCGAGCGCGGTGTCGAGCGCGGCCCGCAGGTGCGTGAGCTGGTCGGCGGCGTGTGGTGTAGTGTGGCGGCCGTGTGGTACGTACCGGGCTGGTGCTGGTGCCTGTTGCGCGAGTCGAGCGCGGTGTCGAGCGCGGCCCGCAGGTGCGTGAGCTGGTCGGCGGCGTGTGGTGTAGTGTGGCGGCCGTGTGGTACGTACCGGGCTGGTGCTGGTGCCTGTTGCGCGAGTCGAGCGCGGTGTCGAGCGCGGCCCGCAGGTGCGTGAGCTGGTCGGCGGCGTGTGGTGTAGTGTGGCGGCCGTGTGGTACGTACCGGGCTGGTGCTGGTGCCTGTTGCGCGAGTCGAGCGCGGTGTCGAGCGCGGCCCGCAGGTGCGTGAGCTGGTCGGCGGCGTGTGGTGTAGTGTGGCGGCCGTGTGGTACGTACCGGGCTGGTGCTGGTGCCTGTTGCGCGAGTCGAGCGCGGTGTCGAGCGCGGCCCGCAGGTGCGTGAGCTGGTCGGCGGCGTGTGGTGTAGTGTGGCGGCCGTGTGGTACGTACCGGGCTGGTGCTGGTGCCTGTTGCGCGAGTCGAGCGCGGTGTCGAGCGCGGCCCGCAGGTGCGTGAGCTGGTCGAGCAGCGTGTCTGCGGAGCGCGCGACGCCGCCGGCGGCCCGCAAGCCCTCCAACTCGCCGGCCGCCAGCGCCAGAGCCTCGTCTTCCACCGACCGGCCCTCGCCTCCGCCCACTGCCGGATGTCATATAGAACATTAAAAATTTATTTATACAATATTACCCTTCGCTTACACTATAAAACCAAAATCACATTGATCGGAAGTGAGGAACAATGGAAGTATTTTTATTTGACAATCAAATGTAAAACAATAACTGTAACATATCAGAATACTACAGAATACAATACACATACTCCATAGCAGTGAGATTTTATTTATTATTTATTTATTTAACTCTATATTGCACCATAAACAAAAATATACAATGACAAGTGAATAATTCAAGTGAAATACAGTAACATAAATACAGAATGAAATATACACATAGAGGTACAAAAGGCGGTCTTATCGCTCTTACAGACAACCTTTGGTTGAAGGAGAACAGATGGATTTTAGATTGGATAAGTAATTTAATAGCAAGAAGAAAAATTTTATGAGTTTATTTTAAAATAAATTGGAGAGTTTACAATTTCCTTAAAGTGTTAAAATAAAAGTCAAGAATGTACCGTCTGTTTGACCGGCGTGCTCGAGCAGCAGCCGCTCGGGTTGCGTGCCGTTGATGGCGCATACGTGGTGGTAGATTTGCGCGAGCGTCTCCGCGGCCGATGCGAGAGCTGGCGCCGCCGTCGACAACGCTCGACCCGCACCTGGGAATGAAAGTTAAAATATTTTGATATAGAAACAGTATTTACTGTAACAGAAAAAATGTTAAGCAAAAAATAATATATTCTTATTATTTTGGTACTATTAACTGACAAGGAGGCACAAAAATAACTAATCTATAAATTCTATTTTAAGATGTATATAACGTATGTTTAGCTTATATAGATAGTGACTCCATACAAATATTTCGAGAAAAGCGACTCAAGTTTTTCATACGATTTTGCGAGATAAATAGTTGTGATTCCTTTATAACTTGTATATTTATTTTGTCTTATAATTATTTATTTATTATTAATACTTATTGTAATTAAATAATACGTCAAACTACGTTGTATCTGTAAGTATATAAAACAATGATAAAAAAATCAGTCAGCTAATTTGACAATTAGTTGATTCATTTTTAAGACTCGATGCCCTCTATCTATTTATATGGTGTTCTAGGAACGTACATTATCAGTTACCGTAAGATCATGAATCGCGCGCAGGTGAACAGTAGTGAGTAGCATGAGAGGGTCACCTCCGGCGAGCGTGCGCAGCAGGTCGGCGTCGGCGTGCAGCGCGGCGGCGCGCACCTCGGCCTCGGCGACGCGGTCGCTGAGCTGCGCGAGCTGCTGGCGCGCCAGCGCGGCGGCCGAGCCGTCGGCGGGCGCGGCGCCGGCCTGCAGCTCGGCCAGCTGCGCCGCCAGCGCGCCCAGCTCGCCGCCCGACACGCGCCACCAAGTCAGCCAGCGCGCCGCGCGCGCGCTCACGCCGCCCGCGCACTTCTCCTTCTCCTCCTCCTGCCCGCGCGACGGCATGCGCCCACACAAAACTGTTACCACTACTCGCTACTGCGTACCATCACAACAACCACACTTACTATTCTATTTTCAAACTATAACAGAAATACTGAACAAACACTAATTATAACTAAAGTGGCTAACGTTGTAAACCCCGTATAGGACAGTGAGAATAGACAGCTAGAATAAAACTGTACTGGGCCAGCGCTACGCTGCAGTGAACCACAGCGCTACGCCATAATGAACCAGTGCCATGTTAAAATAACACAATATCACCCACTACTACTATACAGGGAGGAAAGATTGTGAGTCCCATTGCTAGCCTATACCTATACCCTATTAAATCGACCTTCACATGAAAACTATCGTGTTGAATTCCAGATGTATTCATCACGATGGGCTAACTGACCTGCCTTTTCATTGTCACCTATCATCCATCACTGGTGCCTCACCAGCGAGGCACCAGTGAGGGCTATCGTTAGCACAAGCAAAGTTACCATTCTATTATAATTAAATGATAAATATTATATTATTAAAGGGAAAGATATGTATTTTTGAGTGTATGTATGTTTGTAATGAATAAATAAAATCAAAAAATACTTTGCTGATTTCAAAAATTTTTTTCACCATTATAAAGTTACATTCACCCTGAGTAACATAGGCTATATTTCTTGCTAGAAAAGATTGGTAAAAGTATGTTCTACAATATTGAAGAAAATATCAATAACTACAAAAAACTTGGCGATACTATATGTCCAACTATTATCGTAATGTCACAATAATAACTTTTTAAAATGTTCACCCTGGTGAAGCTGGGACGGGCCGCTTGTTACCCATAAAATAGCACAATAGAACAGAGCAGTGTTACTGACCAGCGGCGCGCAGTCGGAGTGCAGCGCGTGCAGCGCGGACACGCGGCCGGCGGCGCGCACGAGCCCGGCGCGCAGCACGGCCGCCGCCGCGCCCTCGCTCTCCGCCGCCGCCTGCGCGGCCCGCATCGACGCCGACAGCTGGCTCTGCGAACACATACCACACTCTATTTCAATGATACACATATTATGATGCAGGGATTCATTCATTAGTCAGCCTTGCAAATGATCTGCGAATTGCACCCAGCAAATATCGAAAACTGCTAGAGTATTGACGTTTATAAACTCGCATAACAGGTACCCATCGCATCCCTGACACTGTTGATGCTTATCACGCAAACCAAACATGGATTCTGGTCATAGTCTTCAAACCCGTAATACTTGGGGGGAAAGGGATTGTTAGTAATGGAGTCTAAAAATCCCATTGCTAGCAATATACCCAGCCAGATCGACCTCCACGCGGTCCTCCCTGGAAATTATCATGGTTAATTCCTTGCGAATTCATCATGATGGACTAACTGGCCTGTTTTCATTTTCATCTATTACCCTTTACTGATGCTCCGCCAGCGTATCCCGTTGACGCAGGCGGGATTACCATTCCATTTTCATCCATCAAAAAAAAAGACCCGTAATACTCTAATATCAGAAAAGATTTTAATCTATTATTATTAGGCAAGGTTATACGTACATTTTCGTTATGTGCCTGTTCGAGTTGTTTCTCAAGACGCGAGATCTCGTGGAGGTGGACTTCTGAGAACAGGTCGGCGTGGTGATCGCCCATGGCGGTCGCGAGTTCCGCAGCGTTAGAACCGCCGGGCTCGCCCTCGTCCTCTGTGCCGTCTTCTGGCATACCTGAATAAAAGCAAATAATATAAATTTGTATAAAATATGACACTGATGTCGAACGAAATGCTATTTAGAATATACAATTTCAAATGGTATCTGAAACATAAATTTTACAGAAAAACACTTATTACTACAAACCTCTAACCGCGCTATTAAATACGTCATTATTTTAATAAAAATATTAGAATCATCTCACTGGCAATGCTGCACCGTGTTCCCCCATATACTGCCATAAGAAACGGTCTGAACCACCTGCAACCACTAACCCCCTGCAATGCATTTGAGGTCGTCATTCCATATACACTGCAGTCACCCTACACTGTGTTTGCCTTTACAGGATAGCCATTCAAGAATCTATATCTATGAGTCTACTAACCTCGTATACTATATGCCAGGTTGGTGATATTGTAGGCAGCCTCCCTGCTAAGATGTGCATCAAGTTCCTTCTTAGCAGCGAACTTAGCCTCCCGCTCGGCCTGCAGCGCTTCCAACGCTTCAGCCAGCTGTCGCTCTGCGATGCGACGCAGCGCCGCTGTCTCCTCAGCAGCTGCGCGCGCATTCTCAGCCTCCTCACGAAGCTGTCGCACTTCATGCTTTAGACCTTCAAACTCCACCTGTAACAGTAGTAACAATACATCAAAACATTGCTGGATAACGACAACGGTTTACCGTGCGGTTACCGGCATAGAATAGGCCATCCCTTCTTTTCACGTGGGTGTCATAAGAGGTGAGTAAGGGAACTTAATGGTCGAAAGATCATTAAGTTCCCTTACTCAAGATGATGTTTTAAGGGGGACAGCATCGTTCCCCTTAAAACATCATCAAAGCCTAACTACAGTTGCCAACCTGCATTCCAAGCGTGGCATCTACTGGCAAAAACCACTAGGAGAGGCTTATGTTCAGCAGTAGATAGTTAACAGCTGATATGGTATGGACAACGACATGATACCACGACACACTTTTATTGTATAGCCAAGATTTGTAGTGGCAATCTTACCTGTCTCAAAGAAATCCAATATTATACAAACAAATATAATATAAAGTACGAATATACAATTCTACCTGCCAATGCAGATTCAGTGAGCGAAGTCTAATATAATAAGACAAAGAATCATGAAAAAAACACGTAGACATAGACAATTTTTACTGGAAAATTAATGTAAGAGTTGTCTATTAATAATAGTGAAGTTTGAAGAAAATGCATAATGTTACTTGCTAGCATTAGTATGTAATGCTTATTATGACAAAGATCAATGATAGATGTTATCTTATAATACCTTACCCGCCGTTATGAACTTTACGCCACTATATAAGGTTAATTCTTAGATTATATAGATCTACATAGAAATGCTTCGAGAAAAATGGGTCAACTTTTTCATACAATTTTGCGTGATAGTTAAGAGTGATTCCTTTATAACTTCTATAATTATTTTGTCTTATTAATTCTGCTTCTTTTGAATGTATAAACACAACTTAATTTTATTTATTAAATAATATAGCAAGATACATTGTATGCGTAAATATATAGAATACTGATAAAAAAACGAGTCAGTTAATTTGACAATTAGTTGGTAAAAAGTTCACCCGTTTTTGAGGCTCGAAACTCTATTTATATAATCTAAAGGTTAAATATAGTTTGACAGGTTGTGGTTAGAAGCTAATTGTTTTAAGTAAATCTCTATATTGTCTTACTAACTGTAATTAATTTCAATTCCAAAGAAATCACTATTATATTATATAGAAAAATATTTAACAATTTCAAATTTAATGCTAAAATATGTAATCGTGCTGCAGCGTTCTCATTGTGAATCATGTTCAGAGTGCATGAAGATTAACAGTAATTTGTCGGATGATTTTATACATCCTACGCAGCTTTTATGTATTCTGTGGAATTTTTTATGACTCTCAAGATCAGCATTAGATTGAACAAGTTCAGTATAAGGTCATATCATTCATGGCAATTACACTTTAATTTTTGATTGAAGTGGAGTATTATTAGTAATAAACATTAAATTATGTATAACATTCTTTTCGCTGTACATTAAAAGAAAGTAGAGTAAGACAATTTATTCTTGATTTATTATACAGATTATTATTTCATTACTGGACAACTAACCACAATTATAGCAGAGGAAGATTTTGTACAAAAGTTGTTTGCTTGGATATCTCTGTTCCACTCGAGTTCCTGCCGTTAAGCAGCTACGCTTGTATGTCTGTGTTTTGGTTTAATAAACAGTGGGGCAAAGCAATAAAATTACAAAGTACCGAGGCATAATACCTCTGTAATGTTAACGCACAAGGGCTACCATGAGTGTTAGAAAGTATTCTGTAATGTCCAAGACGTTGTTCACGTCTCTAGACGACGGCTATCACTTTCGTTCAGGTTGTTCGCCATTACAAAAATGCATAAAAAGACTACTATAGATTACAACAGCGGCACTGACCTGCGAGGAGCGGAGCGCGGAGACCTGCTTCTGCAGCGATATGTTCTCGTCCTCAAGGTCACCGATGTCGAGCAGCAGCCGCTGTTCCCGCTGCCTCGCCTCGCGCAGCTCGGCGCGCAGGGCGGCGCGTTCTGACTCGCGGCTCGCCTTGTCCGCGCCCAGCTCCGAGCTCTCGGCCAGCAGCCGGTCGCGCTCGCTCACCACGCGCTCTAGCTCGTGCCGGAGCTGGGGGCAAATACTTTTATTTTGAAACCCACTAAAAAGTACGCTGATCAAATTTCTGATGACAAAATAAAAACAAAGAATAGGCAGAATTTCCTAATGTTTTACTTTTTAAAAGTGTATTTATATATCAATACATAAAATCTTTTATAACTTTTCAGTTACCTATCTGTATATATAAATGACCTGACGCATTTATAAAGCAAGCAGAGGGAGCCGAGTACCGAAGACACTTAATATAATACTTTTCATAGTTTTCGTATAATTGTATGACGAATCAATGCGGTCCGTTGACTTCACTCCGGAAATCTATTAGCTAACAACAGATACAGTGAAACTTGGTTAAGTAGGAACTGGATAAGTGAGAAACCTCCATAACTGGAGCTCACGCTGAGGTGCCAATACTTTGGTACTGAATTACCTCTGTTAGTGGGGCGAAACAACCTCTATATCTGGGATTCATTCTTTCGGTTTTATAGTCATAATTACCTCTATTCCTGAGACAGCGAGTGAATTTAATATGCATTAACTTCTGTAACTGAGACAGCATCAATTTATCATTTCTCTAACTTAAGCTATTTTGCATTTAAATTTGTTACTTACTTATTCTTATTCTACCCGCAAATTCCACACTTAACTAATTTTGAGCCTCAATGACCTTCAGTTTTAGCTTTGCTTTACTATGATACAGATGTTTATTTGAAAAATGCCGAAACGAAGGCTCAAATCGTTATCAGTACGTGAAAAACTGAAGTTAATATCCGTTTATCAAAGTTGGAAGACACGGTGAAGTTTATTAATGGAATAAATGAGACAGATATTTATTTTTCCTAGATATCCGAGACATTGGGTAAGTGGAATACCTATAAGTGAGACAAATTTGCAGGCCCCTTAATGTCTCACTTAACCAGGTTTCACTGTATATGACAAAATAATACGCATAAACCAAACAGAAAGTGGGTAAACTAGGGGGAGACTCTGTACAAAAGTCGATTGCTTGAGTACCTCTGTCCCATTCGTGTTTCAACCGTAAAGCAGTTGTGTTTGCATGACTGTGTTTCGGTTTGAAGGGTGGGATATGGCGTGAATTTACAGGGTACAGAGGAATAACACCTGAGTCCTCAGAAATGACAACGCATGGGAGGTATCATGGACGAAATAGTATACTCTGTTATGTCCATAGGTGACGGTTACCACTTTACATCAGGTGGGCCGTCAGCTTGTTTGCCATTCTAAGTTGTATAAAAAAAATATAAAAACCTATTTTAGGAAAAGAATTTTATAATCGATTTGAAATTAAGCGCCCTAACAGTGTAGATTCCATTATTGTATGTAAATACGGATGATCATATTATTAGTTTCTCTGTATAAAAACAAATTATATTCCCTAATAGATTTTTCTAATCAAAGATATAATTTTTCTAACTTTAGGCAAAAAACTGGCGTATATTTTTAATTATTTTTAAGTTTTCTAATACTTAGTTTGATTTAACTTCTACTACTTAGTTAGTCTTGGATACTTCGGCCATGTTGCTCGACGACAGTCCGACAATCTAGACAAACTAATGGTTGTAGACAAGATAGAGGGAAAAAGACCACGCGGACGATCGCCTAATCGATGGTCGGACCAAATAACCGCCGTTACGGGACTGTCAATTGCAGCTGCCCTGCGTGAAGCTGAAGACCGTGCACAATGGAATAACATCAAAAGAGAGGCAACGGACACATTTCAAGGACACGACCTTCAGTAATGAAGAGGACGAAGAGAGAGAGAGACTTAGTAGTTTAATTTTATAAAGTCTGAATAGATATATACACTACCTAAATGAAAAATATACTCAAGTAGATAATTTCTGAAATTAATACACTTAAATAAGTTTATCTATTTTTAAAACATTCACTCAGACGGTGGTTGTCCAAATAGGCAATTTTGTTGATTAGTTGGTATAGCTATTTGTGTACATATTACTGTGGCTACGAAGGGCGAAGGGTGTGCCGCCTATAAAACTTGTTCGCATTTTCGATGAGAATGTTTATCACTAGGCAAGTCACAAAAATATTAGAATGAATAGTTTAATGTACACTACAGGCATTCATGATTAGATTTATATGTGTGGGTTATATTTTATAATAATATAGATAGATAGATAAACACTTTATTTGAGACACACGTAAATTAACAAATGAGTTTATACAATCAGATTATTTATATTTTTTTAAATATAAAACAAAAGATAAAGTACGAAAATATGTTTTCACTAAGTGTGTCGCAGTGACCCAAATATAAGTTACTTTCGAGATATTTATTTCATCAATATAAACTTCAATTAAAACTATTATTTCTTAAATATACTTCTTTTCCATCTAATTCAAATGTATACTATTATAAATAATTAGATGTATGTATGGTATTCATATAATTATTTGCATATGTATGACGGCAACCACTTACCATAAGGTGGGCCATATGCTTGATCTCCACCTCAGTGGTATAAAAAAATATATGTTTTTTTTTTATTTTTAACAGGAGTAGTTTTAGTTATAAATACTTATTGCGCTAAATAGCTACCGCTTTTTTTTTCCTCTACGCAAAGGTTGTCTGGAAGACAATGTTTTAGTGATGAGTCCGCCTTTTAAAAATAAAGAAATAAATTTAAAAAAAATGACAAAACATGGGGACAATTTGTTTTACTGCATTCAAAGATCATTGCCTCTGAACAAAGTAAAAGAAATTATTGTCCGCGTCGCGTCGCGTCGGTCTAGTTCTCTGCTTACTTTTTTTTTTATAATACAAAAGTGGGATATATGTATACAGTTAGTTGTGTCTGTGACTTTGTCGGCGCGATCAAGAAATACTAATTGACCAAGATTCAAAAGTAACTTACGTTTTTTCATCCCAAATACTAGTACTATAAGTAATAGGGGCATAAATTTCATGACGGCAACAAACAAACACACTCTAAATTATAATATTAACAAGAATAACTTATATCAACTGATTTCAATATGTCACAGACTAGCAATATACCCAACCAGGTCGACCTCCTCACGGTTCTCCCTGGAAACTATCATAGTTAATTCCTGATGAATTCATCATGATTGGCTAACTGACCATTTTCATTCTCATCTATCACCCTTCACTGGTGCTCCGCCAGCGTATCCCGTTAGCGCAAGCGGGGTTACCATACCATTTTCACCCAACAAAAAAAAATATGTCAGTCGGATTTAAAGATTTTTTTTATAAAGATATTACAGTAGTTTGATACAAGACGGTGATCTAATGAAAGTGCAATGCCAAGGCTTTTACGTAATGCATGCAGCCTGTGTAACTAATTTGATAGTGATAACAGAATTGACCTACATATTTACATCTAGTAACTGATACTTCGTTGCAATATTCGTAGCTACTAACAACATGAAAATTGTTATAAAATTGTAAAGAATTTTTTTTTTTTTTTTTTATAAAAGTTAGTATTAGTTTAGTTAATATAACTGTTTAACTTTTAAAAAATCTTACTAACTCAAGCGTATAATTTATTTAACTAGCTACATCCCGCCCCTTGCTTTAAGACAATAAGTATCGATATATAAAGGGCTCGCGAGTGTATAACATTTTACTCACATCCGTTCTACCATTGAAATATGATTGAATACAAAATATTTAAACATATTTACATTCTTATACATTTACAACGACACAACACATAACATTCAAGACTGATTAAAAAATTAATTCTTTTTAATATTTTTATAATAATCGTTTTTTTTCAACCGACTTTAAAAAGAATGAAGTTCATTGTAGTTTCTCAGTTGTATTTTTTTATGTTTGTACTCATAACTCTGTCTTAGTTTAGATCTTAAACTAATTTGGAATATTCTTGTTTTTATTTTAAAAGAATATCCTTATAGATAAGTTCCATAGAATTTTTATCAAAATCTGTCCAGTAGTTTAGTTTTTAAATCAAAATAACTAGTTTTGTTACAATTGAAGTCGGTTTTTTGTGACCATCGTCATGATGATGATGATATCAACATAGTTTTTTATATAAAAACAGCTACAAACATATGCGTTATCAGTAATTTCATCATTAATTTTCAATGTTAAACTAAATAATTAACTAATGCGCGGAAATAATTAGAAAGATGATAATGGATTTCTTTACTAAGTTTATATGTAAATTAGTTCAAAGATCACACGATATTAAAAGCATTCATTATAATTTTAAATTTATTTATATGTTAATCGGTTCAAAGTTCGTACAATATTTAAAGCAGTCGTTATAAAAAATAGGAGAATTAAGAATATAGCTATTTTTGAGATTACTTAAAAATTCCAACAAATTCGCTTTCCAACATATAATAAGTATAGTAAACAGGTATATAATTTATAATTACTCCTCTCCATTCAGAGGTTGCCTGGAAGAGATCGCTATTAGCGATAAGGTTGCCCATTGTTTTTTCACTGTGATCATTTCTATTTATATTAAGTTTACTATTATAAACTTTTGGAGTAAACAATAAAGAGTATCTATTTATCTATATAATAAATAAGAGAAAAAAAAAATACTGTAATAATTAATTTCATTTTACGAATTTAGATCTATAAGCAAAGTAAGCTTTAAGTAGACACTAAATTACTTATTTGCAAAGTTATGTTACTGTAACACAAAAAACACAGTTAAAAAGGTTATCTCCTGCATTATGAACTCGGTTAATAAATTTAAACGAATTCAACTAAAAAAGTCTAATCATTTGATATGGCATCTTAGGGAATTCTAAAAATGGCGCTAAAAGATAACCGTGTTTGTTACCCTGGCCGGCTGCCAAATGTAGACGAAATGTCAACATTGTTCCATTATCCGTGTAAACATTACGGGAAACACGAGAACAAGATATGTCCACCCCTTAGCGAACACAGTACAACACAAGTAACATAAAATCACACACAATACCTCTTCACCTTCAATCATTTTCGTGATTTATGACCGCATTTCTGTTGCACACTCCTGAGACAATTGGCACGAGACAAATATTCCGCGATACATAAAACTATTTTAATGCACTATAAGCTTCTGCATTTCTAAAAAATCTACACACCATTGAGTAATGCGTGAATATGTGAATCAAGGCCGGACAAATAAAAATATATTTCTGGATCAGTGTTATGGATAGCCGTCTGCGCTTACGCTATTCGCAGCGCTGCGTCACTCGCGTTAAAGGTGATTTTTGTCCGTGACAGTCAATTTTATATTTTATCCCCTATGATTAATCACGACTATTGGTCGTGTACATATACGCGTAAATGAATATTATTTAAAGTTATCACGCTTGAACAATTCTTTTCATAAATTAAAAGAAGTTTCAGTGCGTTGGGATGCGGCGTCTCGTGCGCACTGTACGAGGGCTTCGACAATGATTCACATCAATTTGCTCCCATTTCATTAAAGCGAGCGTAGGCATAATTCGTCACCATCGTGCCTGGTGAAACGAATCGTTTAATATTATAACGAGCGACAGCTGAATGCCTGTTCATGTCAATTTTCCTGAAGACAACAGTCATGAAAATATTACAAATGAATAAAAACATAAAAACCGGCACTCTAATCGCGTGACAATTACTTTTAATTGTCGACGAAGTAAAATGTTTATTTTATGGCTTAGTATGTAATTTGTATTCGTAACCTGCTTATTTTTTAATAAAAATAATTAAGTCAAGTTTGGACGAAATCCAAATCCTTTTTAAAGACGTTAAAAATAAGTAATTAATATACCAATATTGACCAAAAACGTTAATTAATACAGATCGCTTAATATATTTACAGGGAATAAATATAAAATATAATGACAATATTAAAAATTACAATAATATAAATTTTTAGTAAATGAAATATTTACTGCATACTAAATTTATTTTAAAATTATAAGTAAATATAATGTGTTTCTTTTTTTAATAATTTACTTGTCTATATATTTACAGTTGATGATAATCAAATTCAATATTTGAAAATGAGAGAGAGAAAGAGAACGAGATAGAGAGAGAGAAAGGGAGAGAACGAGAAAAAGAGAGAACTATCCTACCGTTTTGGATTTCTGCCTTGTTTTAAATTAGCTGGGTTTGTTATCGCTGTTTTTATGTACTAGATGGAATTAAATTCACCACCTCTCAAGTCAATAATTAAATAACATATATCACTGCGGAAGAAATCAATATGTAAAAAAATAAACTAGTTTTAGAAAAGATGCTTTACTATTTATTGTGTGGCCCTAAAACAAAAGACGAAAAATAAAAAGCATCACATACCTCAGTCAACTATCAATTTTTATCAGTTTATTAATGGGTCTTAAATTCTTTCCTAGTTTCTTTTTTAGTATGTTTTCATTCTGCTTTTAAAGAAACTTCCCTACCTTACGAAATCTATTGAAATAGTGTAAAACTGTAGTTTTTATTTCATATCATAGATACAAACAAGCACGTGGTTCACGTGATGGTAAGCGGCTACCACCGCCTGCAACATCAGACAAATTACAAATGTATTGCTGGCTTTTCAGGGAATTATATATTTATTTAATAAATAGTTTCAAATAAAATTTATATAAAAAAAAGAAATACGCCCAAAATCTTGCATACCTAAACGTTAATAAAATCCATTTTCCTAATTAGTGTTTTCATGACTTAAATGAAATAGTTTATATATATGGTTGGATCATATTTGTCTTATTACTGGGTATTTAATAAAGAATGAATAGAACATAAATATCACTATAATAGATAACACAAGACATATTACACATTGACATCCCCAACTAAGCAGTACTTGTACTGTTTAGTTTGAGACTGGATATGGATACATACTAATAGTATAAATATTATATCAGTTCTAACCGACTAATAGAAAATTTTATAAATTTGTTTCTTTATTTATTCATTAAAAATAACTACAACGTTATGACAGCAAAAGCCAAATCAATGTTATAAACCTAATGTGCTAATATACAAAATTAGAATAAAAGTATTTAACCCAAGTTTAGATATTTGTGAGCTGCTTCCAATATCTTTGGCAGACTACTAATAAAATATATATTATATTTGTAAATATATATATTTACATACATACATTTTATATATTTTTATATTGCATATTTATTATAAATGGAAAACACCCAGACCAATACAAACATTTCGTATAAAATAAATATTTGTTTTGTACAAGGATTAAGCATGCAATTATTAAATAACGAAAAGTATTAAACACTATGTTATCAAAGTGGGCTAAACAATCTAACTTTAATTATTAAACTTTGTGAGTCTTAAGACAATGGAGAAATAAGGAAGAAAAGTACATATATTCAGAAGACTGCTGTCTAATTTCACTCTAACATATTTTGTGATAGATAAACAAACATATATTGTATTCACAATTTTTTTTAAAAGCTAATCATCTATAGAATCAGCTAAAAATGAAAAATAAACTTTCCTATTTACTATAATTATATATTTATATAATATAGATTTAAGATAAGAAAATATATTTTTAAAATAATACTATGTTAATTTTTTTTTAATATGCAGCTTTCGAAATTATTACTATCTAAAAGAACATAGTTATATATTTTCCCACAAGTTTTGCTATCTATATATCTATCATAGTTGTCCTTGATATCACATTATTTATTTCTTTCTGTATATTTATATAAGTATGTTCATTGTTTGCTTACACTATATGTTTATCTAAGCACAATCTATTTGACTACACACACTATACTTGCAATTCCTACCTGTTTTGTTTCACCTTCCAGTTCCAATATCTGTAATGTAAGTGAACTCTCCATAGCAGCAGATTCATTAAGGAGGGCATTTTCTTGTTCTATACCACTTCGTGTGGTCACCTTCTGTGTTGTGTCCAATTTCATAAGAGCCTGAGAATATAAACATTTATATTATTTTAGCTACTAGATAAATTAAGAGCAAACTTATTTGCATATATAATGATCAGACAAAAATGATAAAAGACAAAGTCTCCAGAACTGGGATGCATACATGAGCAATAAAATAGGAGTACCATAGGCATATTGGGTTATTGGCCCACCTGGCTCTTAAAGGTGAGCCAGGTGGGCCATATATAACCCAAAATCGTAATGTCCATCCCAGGATCAGGAAAAGAGATCTCAGCTATGTTTAAATACAAATCTAAGCATATGTATGTGCCTTTTTAAGAAGCAGGCCCTCCCTGGAAAATAAACTTTAATATGCCAATGCATAAATATATTGAACAGGGGGGGCAGGGTAGCCCAGGATGTAAGGAATGTCTCACAAATATATCTAAGAGTACATTTTGTGGGATTAAGCTGCCCTGGAAAATAATCTGTCTTATGCTTATTTGTGTATCTTTAGAAATTATAAGGCATTATCATTATACCTAGGAGTTTATCACAAGTTACTACCTTATATAATTATATATAATAATATAAGCTAATTAGCTTATAATAAATTTGCAAAAGTAAACACTTTATATAATGTCATAATACCATATATTTTATTTATGATTATGATAATTATAAAGAAATTATTATTTAAAGATGCTTTGCATTTCTTATATGATGGGTATAATGAGGAGTCAAAGTAGCGGAAAAGAGTGGAACCTACTGATGGATAGAACTGACATTTAAAGTAGATTATTTACATCTATCATAATTATTATATTATAATATCATTGTGAAAAAAATAATCTTTTTAAACATACAGTTATTCAAGGCAAAATTTATAAATGTAAATACATCAATATAATAAATCTAATTATTAACATCTCTTTATAGAAATGTCTTTTAATAATAAAGGAAAACAAATAGAAATAAATAACACAATCAATTAACTCAAAGACTTATTAATTTCAACTATTTGTTCATACATTCCAGTGTTATTTAAAAAAAAAAGGACCTGCTAACATTGTTTACCAAATATGCCAAGTGCAGATTTTAATATTTTTTGAGGATATATAAAACTCCATACTACTCTACAAGTTTTAATATGAGTTATTTAACCTGGTAAATAATGGTACAGAACTCAATTACATTAATATGAAATTATGCATTACATTAAAGAGTCAGAATACTCAGTCTAGCTTATGTAGGTTATATTAAATAAACTTCTTTCCACTCGTGACTTTTAAAAGTGGTACATAATCTGAATTAGAAATTATGAAAAAAACGCTTAAAATTTCAGCTTCTGCACATTTTTATGTATCCATTAATGCATGAAAAGTGAAAATAATGAAACAGAATGTAGGGCACTAACCTCTTGTGTGATTTTCAACTCGTGTCTTGTGTTATCGTAAATACCTTCTAATTCGTCATATCTTTGTTGCAATGCACTCTTCTCTTCGAGGAGTACCAACCCAAGTTGAGCTGATTGTATTTTTTCACTGCTGGCCTGGTCGAGCTCACGGCTCAGCCTTTCTATTTCCGCTTTCAGCTCGGCCACAGACATCTCAGTTTCGGCCGTGGCTGCCATCTCGACAGTTAAACGGCCAAGTATGTAATCTTCATAAACAAAGTAAATAATCTCAGAAAAACAACAATATAAAACGTGTAAAATCAATTGTTTCTACATTCTCCCAAAAGTAAAACGTCTTGACAGATCAGAGACAGTTCGTTTAGTGCACAGATTAACCTTCTCTAGACAAAGACAACGGTTAATTCTAGAAATTAATGTTGCGATATGTATTTTAATCTTGTCTATCATGTCAGGCATGAATGATGTGATTTAATTAGCAAAATTAAATGCAAAGATATTAGAAAAAGTCTTAGTAAAAATATTTTGTATGAAAACGCATATAAAATATTAGGTGTATATGGCACGAATGCCAAATGTAATCGCCAAAATATAATGGCAGCTATAGACGGTGATATAAATGCATGATTGCTGTTAGTCTCAAACACACGTTAGTCGCATTTAGCATTGCATCTAACAATAAAAAAAATATTGTGCGGATACCAATAGCGTAGGCGAAATATCATCTCATTATTATTCATAAAAAAAATGGTGTTAAATTTCAGCTAATTAACTAGTACCACATTGTTACTATTTATTTAAAACAATATTTTGTGTATATTTAGCACAGCGCTAATCGCGCGATTAAGCATCTTCCTTAATCCTGAACCGATTTTGATCATTCTTTTTGGAACTGACAAGGTAAAACTTCATATTGGTCTACGGTAGGTTTTGTTTCTGCAATGTTAAATTCTAATATACTCATCAACATGTTAATATATTCATTAATGCGTCGAATATTATAGACATACGCTTAGGATAACTATGTATAACGAGTCACCATAAAGAGTATTGATAACTTAGCTAAGAAGATTGAAATTACCTTCGGCTTCTATAATGTTGAGTAAAGATATATAAACAAGGCATGGTCATGCGCATATTTATTTAATTTTTAGTTTCATATAAAACGACCGGGGTCGTTTTTTTGCACAGCAAAATATTATTCAGAGAATAAGATTTTCGTCACAATAGCAATACTATTTTGCAAGTGGTATAAAATATGAAAATTAAAAACATTACTTCATAAAGACTTTATTTAACATCAATTGTTTCTAGATTACAAAAAGTTACAAAATTTAAATAATTTCTACAGGGCATACCTTCAACCTCCGTGCCTGTTCTGTAGGTATTTATGTAAACTTCTAATAGTTGTGATGACAAAATTGCAGGAGTGGTGGAGTGACTCACTTAGTAATTTTTAAATCTCTACCAACTAACACTGAATTCCATTTATGTGTGACACATGAAAGTTGTAATAATCATATTATATAAATCTTTGAAGTACCTAATTTGAGAACACGATTTCCTCTGACAATCTTTATCATTTTAGTTGTACTACCATTAGAATGGAACAACGCAGTTTCGTTTGCGTTTATTCCTTTACGTTCCAATAGGAATAGCGCAAAATTCTTTCTTAGTGAGTACAGGTTTAATACATAAATCATTGCTGAAAATTTAAAATTTATAGAAGAATATAATATTCTAATTTAATAGGATTTCACGACAGGCAGACAAATGCAGATTTAGATAATAGATATGCTTATATGAAGAAGTCTATCAATTCGAATCAACATTATGAATCATGAAGTTACAGTTCCCCATAGTTAAATGGCTGAAATAGGAATTCAGTGTGAATCAGTAAGTTCGTCTCCTATTGTTGGATATTCGCACACTTGCTTTTATTTAAAACTAATATCGAAAACTATTATCTATAAAATATGACAGACATTCCATAAAATAAAATTTATTAAATATATAATGACATGTAAAACTAATTTGAACTTCTAATTTGATTGCTTTGAAGTGCAATTAATTAAACTTACTGGCATGCGTAGACGAAGGGCATTTTATCGCGGACAAAATATTTGTTTAAAACATTTTTTTCTCGTCTTCCTTGTCTCATGTTTTTAAGTTCAACTGAAGACACAATGTCCATCGTCTGCGCAGGTCTAAAATATATCATTATACAGACATCAAAATTCTGTAGTTTCGATATAACAAATACAATTTATGAAATTATAAAGTATTATGCTTAATTTTTCAACAGTAGCACCTGCATTCATTTTTGACATTGATTGTGAGAAATACTTTTAAATAATATTCACAACTTTAATTGACCAAATCACCGTCTTATCTAATAGAAGCGTTAATTTTTACTTATTTACTTAAATACATATTAACTTATTGCGTTATGGTATACATACCGACAATAGTCACCACTTACATTATTTATCTACTTATTTTACAATTAGAGTTACATTGAGGAGAAATACGACATTATTATATGTAAAATCGAGAAAACAGTCACAACAATTGCTGGGGAATGTTTCGGTAAGTGTATTTAATGTAAACACTATATGGTTTTACTTCTAGACTTGAGTGTTGAAACGGAGATAATACTTTTAATATGCAATGAGAGGAGAAAACATAAGGGGACCGACATTAGCAAAATGTATTTAAATGTAAAAACAATGTCAAAAAAAAAATATAAATTTCAAATGACAATAAGAATAATAAAATGTAGCAAGGAGTTCATTACAAGTATGTTTACAACAATTTAATTAAACCAGCATGTGAATTATGTTTACATATTAACAAACTAAATAATGTCATATTTTATTATTTTGTACTAAATGGTATATAAAGAAAAAAATAATTAATTAAGATATACATAATTACAAATAAATAATTTGATAACTTGGCACCAAGATGGCGGGTATTAATTATTGAGGGAGGGAATATTTAAGACTTTTTGAGATTTCTCATTCCAAAAAGTGAAATTAGTACAAACATAATGAATCTTCAATAGTAGGGGCTTGTAATACATGATTCAACAAATAATATCAATACAAACACTGCACATAAGATTTCTATATTTTTTGTTACATTTTTATATAGGTATAGGTCTTAAATCCTTTAAGGTCATAATATAGGACAAATAGTAGTATTCAAAGACAAAAATGTCATGAGATTATCAATTGAGCAATGCAGAGACAATTGTATTATTAAAATATTCATAAAATAAGAGAGTAACTAATTAATATTAAAACTAAAATGAGCTGATAATGTAAAAACACCAACATACGTACTGAAATTATCTTTTATTTATTATAACCACTTATTGATAGTACTAAATTTTATTTTGTATATGAGTGTATACCAAGTAAAATGTTTTTAGATTCGTTTTGTATTATTTAAAAAAAAAAAAAACTATAATGCTATTAATATTGTAAAGACGACTTTAACAAATACAGCTACATCTGATTAACTGGACGTTCCACTAATTGATACCATTCAGCGAATTGCAATTTGTTTGCCATGATAGTGGCAAATAAAATAGAGATATTTTTCCCGTGAGTATTTCGTGAGGTATCTCTAATTGTATTAAAATTAAAGAATTTTTTTATGCAATTTAGAATGGCAAACAAGCTGTCGGTCCACATGATGAATTGACATGCGATTCATGGATAGTTTATTATACAGTATACACTCGCTTTAAGATACAATGTTATTTTGACAATATTACTTCGCAATGTAGGTGACCATAAAACAATAGAATTGAAGACAGCAAATAGATATATTTTTAAACAATTCATATATATTACTATTATAATATTTTTAATCGTAAACCACGTCACATAAATCTAGCGTTTGAGAACTTCAATTATGATTTTGTACATACAACACAACTATACATAAATTTTTTAAACTTAATTATGTTAAAATGCGAATCTATAAGTTAGAACGTTACTTTCTTGTTTTAATACTTAGATTTCAAACAATTTTTGAATGCACATATCGAATTGCCAGTAACTTGGCAAGTTAAAGTCCCTGTCTTTAGTTGATATGTTTCAAGTTCATGTAAACAGTTTATCTTTTTTATTTATATTTGGGTATAGATTAAATTACAGTTATAATCAATTAACGAAACAAAAAAAAAATCATTAAAAAAAAAAACTATTTTTGGTAATTATTGTAACTTGTCTCTTTCATTTGTTCTATTTTCTTAATTGAAAAAAAGTGATACTGAAGAGACACAAAATATTTTTTATTTGAAGTTTTTATAAAGTTCAAAAGCGGGATAAGTATTGAAAGTGCATGGCTGTGTTATAGGAAATTGATAACTGAAAGTTAATAAAAAAAATATAACATTCTTAGGTCCTCAGTTGTCTAGATTGAAGTTCAGTGGAATACGCACATTATGTACTATAGATCAATCGTTACGATACCGATAATCAAGAAAATTATCGTAAAAATTTCACAAAGATACCTACTTACATGTATATATAAAGTTATCCGACAATCACTACCAAATATTAATATCATATAGTCGATAATAATTAACTATAATATCTGCCTACTGTACTATTGATCTAATTATATTTATATCAACAATCAGATATCCATCACACTAATATCACACCGGAAGACCGATTCATCCAACACAATAGTGACGGCGAACTTTATACTGTATCTACAAGTAACTGTATTTTGCAGCTTTTCACTCTTGACTTAAGATAAAATATATCCTGTTAATCTAGGATATCTGTATACCAAATTCCATTCAAGTCTATTAAATTTTTTAAATAATTAATAAATAAATTTTTATTTCACTCATTGTTACAATACAGTGTGAAGTGCCTAACTCCGTATGAAAAATCTGTGTTTCAGAAGTTAGTGTCTTGTTCAATATACTTTAATTTAGGTCTTGCTCTGCCACTGTTTAATAATGAATTTAGTAACAAATTTTATATGAACAGTCTTGCCGTGTTGGTTTGATTTAGCGGATTAAGTTGATTGATCTTGTAAAAATTACTAAAATATAATTAAAAGATGTAATTTATATTACATTATAATACATATGGAATGTAAAACAAACAATTATATTTGGATATATACAGGCGATCTGTATCATCAAATCTCAAATTATGTTCGTAGCGGCATAATCTAACGAATTAACCAAAACATATTTTCGCGCCAATCTTTGTAGACCACGCCCCGGTCTGTCGATTTCGAAACATATGTTTGATTGTTGCCGCAAATACAATTCTGCATATTGTTACAATTCTATGCAACAAACAGTCATTGAATCATAAGATTTCTTGTTAAGATAACTCTCTATATTTACCCGATTTATGTAAGTACATTACAAATTGTTCTACATTTTTATTCTATTTACCATTATCTATTAACAATTAAGTTTATAAATATTATTTATTAAATTGAAAATATATTAGTTAATTAATCATACTTGAAGACTAGAGAAAGAAAAAGTTGTAAATATTTATAATAATTATTAATAGTATCAGATTATTTAAATAATAAATTATTTTCATATAATTCAATTCAGCACCAAATACTTCATAATAATGTAAATATATTTCATAAGTTTAAAATTATAATGGCGAATTTGTAGTTTCACTTGCAACTGGCAAGTAATTTTTACAATTATGTCTGTCACTAAATGTAATGCTTCATGTGATCGGAATAAAATATTTGATTGGCATGTTGATAAATATTAGACGATTTTAATATCATTGATAATTTGTTTATATTATTAAACATATTTAAAAAGCATATTTTGACTAAATTCATCATAAGTTATTCAAGATTGTAAAATTGAAGTCAATAAATTTTATTATCTAAAATGAGAGGCATGACAATAGTTTCATTAAAAAGCCATGCATAGGTTTCTGAAATAAATTTCAAATACATAATAATTATTGTTGGGATTAAATATCATAAAACTAATTTTATGCCACTAATTTCATAATGTATTTTCGGATTTATATGAATGAGTAAAAATTAACCATATAAAAAAAATCTAAATGACTACAGCAGCCAAATTTAATTAAATAAATAAATAGTCAATAACTGCAATTTAAACAGCCACATTAATATTGTAAACAGGGATTGGGCCTTGTGTTACATGGAGTGGCTATTTGGTTAATTTGTCATTCAGTCACAATGTATTAGTGAAGGCATTTATGAATATATTAATTACATTATGGCACAACCGCTGGTGGCGTCATCGCGCGCGGGCGTCGGTGATGGCGCCACCGGACTTTTGGCGGGCTCTGGTAGTGAGCTCGGAGATTCCTTCCTCACCGACTGCTTTGACACCTCCTGAGCTTTCTGTGGGGGTGGCAGCTTCGCCTCCGAAGCGGCTTGGGTTCTCGGCTTCGAGTCTTGCGTCAGAGAGCCAGTGCTGGGAGTCCTCACTCGGGGCCTGTTTATGGAGATCCGGCGCTCCCGCGTGTTGATTATAGAGGTGAGAAATGGTATCTGATTGCTGATCGCCATCATAAATGGTTTATAGCCGATGCTGAAATATAAAAGGGTTCAAATTTAATTTAAATTCAATTTCTGGTGAGTACTGGGCGAATGAAGTTTCGCCGGATAGGAATGGGTGGAGAGTTTAGTACTGAGCGAGAAGTCGACATCATCTTTGCATAACTAAAAAATATGTAAAATTGTATTTAAATGTCGGTAATCCTCATCATGTTAATATGATCGTTTGCTGTTATAGTTTGTGAGTGTGGTGTGTGTAGTGGGTGCGCACCACTCGTGGTCGGCCCAGGCGGCCAGGTCGCGCAGCGCGCGGCGCAGGCGGCGCACGGCGTCGAGGCTGACGTCGTGCGCGCGCGCCGCGTTGGTGGTGCGCAGCACGGCCAGCGCGTCGCGCAGCGCCACCGCCAGCACCAGCGCCCACTCCACGCAGCTCGCCTCCGTCATCAGCTGCAGCAGGTACCTGCACCACGCGCGCACACCTTGCCTTTCAATCGACTTTAAAAAAGGACCTTTTCAATTCTGTTGTATTTTTTGTTAGTCACCTTGCAATTCCATTATTTGTAAACCGATTTTGAAAATTCTTTTTAATCTAAAAGGCCTTATTTTTAAATTAGTCAGTTTTTTTTTTGTGGGGCACAATTTTAAATAATTAGTGTATAAATTTTTGTACAGAGCTACTGAAATAAGTCAATTGACCTAAAACATACAGTATCCCTAAAAAGCTCTATCTTCCATGTAAGTGCCCGACACAGTTGTTTAACAAAGTTCTCCAAATAATTGTAATGGGAGAAAATGAGGAATTCTTAGAAATTAATTGAATAGACTAGCTAACAATAAAATGTCAAATCTATTTTTAAACAATTTCCAAACCATCGTGGATTTTCTAAGGTGATCTCCAAAACCATCGTGGATAATTTCAAATGAAATTAATTAAATACACTGATTGGCCTCAACATTGTACAATGTTAGCTCAAGTGGGGGCACCGAATCAAACTCAACAAAAGAAAGCAGGGGCTAAAAACCCGAGCCGACTGATTACGAGTTTGCAATTGGTGTAATAGTATAGTATAGTATAGAGGAGGCATAGCGTATGCCGACCGCAGCTGCACGTGCGCGGTGTGCGGCGTGCGCTCGGCCTGGTGGTGGTGCAGGCGCTCCATGAGCGCGGCGTAGCGCCGCTCCTCGCCCGCCTCCACGCCGCCCCACGCCGCGCTGCCGCCCTCCGCCACGCTGCACTCGCCCGCCGAGCTGCACACCAATTGTACTTTCCTCGGTGTATCGTCACACACACATTGTATGTGTCATATACCCATAAACTTAGGTGTAGAAGTCGCCGAGTGTGGTCTGTTCTTCGAGTGAACAATCTGTCTATACTTTTTTTTTTATCATTTATTGGTCGAGTGAAAACCCGAGCTGAACAAAGGCAATATCGTTTATTTGGGATAAGGCATTATTACTAACGAGAACTAGCGGCCTCATTGATAGCAATATACCCAATATTTATAAGTTGTCATCAAAGCAGTCATTTCTAGAAAACATGGCAGTTAATTTTTTATATTAAAGTCTGAACGAGAATCTTGAGTGATTGGTTAATTTATTGATTGATTTTTACATGAAATAAAAAGCAGTGTTCTGATTAGATAAATAATTAATTTTGTTACCATGGCAACCCGTGAATTTCTTAGTTGCCGATATTAAACTTACTTTTCTATATAATCATACATTTACCGAAATCATCACGATAAGCTAAACATAAAACCAGAACATAAGGTAGAAACCAATAAACCCAATCGATTATTCGTATTATTCTTCCTTTAGAAAAACAGTGAAGTTTTAATCGAAGAAACAACAATAAATAGAATGAAAAACTTAAAGGAAAGTAATTACTGCTTACGAACATGAACAGCACAGTAACTTGCTTGTCTAAAAAATAGTGTTGTAAGTACCTGACGGGTCCGGGCGAGAGCGGCGCTCCGGCTGTAAAGGGAAGGCCGGTCCGTAGCGGCAGGCTCATGTACCCGCTGTCGCCGCACAGACTGTCCGACTCCGCTGACGGTGTGTAAGTACCTTAATAATTTATTTTATGTTATTAAACTGTTATAGAATACGATCAATTTTTAATAAATGTATTTAGTGATATAACTAGGTTAAAATCTATTCCGAATGGGTGGTAGATTCATAAAGAAATAAAAAATTATAAATGGATTCATTTAAATTTGTTAAGTAAAAAATATTTCTTTTATTTTTTATTTTTTACAACAATAAATAACGGTAAATTAATGAAAATACCAAATTTTTACCGTATAAACCATTAGATGAAAATTCGATATTCCAACATAGTTTTGTAATTATTAAATGTAAAATGTGTCAAGAATAAAACAGTAACATGAATAAAAATCTGCATAAAGCAAATTCACATTTTTTTTATGCAATTTAGAATGGTGACACACACACACACACACAAGCTGACGACCCATCTAAAGTCGTCTAAAGTCATGAACAGTGCCATAGACATAACAGAGTATACTGTTTCGCAATGAAGTTTCTTCAGGGTCGGCAACGCACGCGTATAACCTCTGGTATTGCAGGTGTTCATGGGCTACGGTAACCACTTACTATCAGGTGAGCCGTATGCATGTTTGCCACCTCAGTGGTATAAAAAAAATCTGATAGCCCCCCATGTGTTGTAGATAAAAAACTACCCTAACCTTAAATGCTACTATTCATAAACATATTTGGTTAAGGAAACTAGCTAGTTCCGTATTCCGTAACCGTGTACTTACTGGGTACAGCGCTGCCTTTCCTCTGCATGTACTGTGTGTCGTCCGGCTGCACGACCGGGTAGGGCCACGCGAAGTCTTCATGCAGTCGACGTAGGCAGTGCACGGCGGAGTCTAGGCGGGCCGCACGCTCGCGTTCTCCAGCTAGTAGCGCGACCAGGTGGAGGTCGAGCGCGGCCGCCATACGGCCTAGCGCGTGCAGTCGCGCCGTCGATAGCAGAACACGCGCGTGACGCTGGATCATCATGTCGATGAAGAATTCTTCGGCAGTGCCGCTGTACGACTCTCTGTTATGAAGAAATAACATTATCATAATGGATGTTTGGTCTTAAGTTAAAGGTTAGAGTTAGTGCCATATTAATCTTCCCTCTGGTGAAACCCCAAATTATTTTAGGGTACATATTATAAAGATACATGTTGTGTGGTCTCGGTATAGAACGGATCACTCCTTCCTTTCCCGTGGGTGTTGTAATTGTCGAGGGATGGGCAAGGAACGATCTAACTACGGTTGTAAATCTGCATGCCAAGCATAGCAACTACATACAAAACCTCCTAATAGATGAGCCCTATGTTTAGCAGTGGACAGTTAACGGCTGATATGATGATGATGATGATAATGTTTACACCAAAATGTCTATTGATAAGTTGGTGGAGTTTTTTTATTTTAATGGATCATAATGGAATGGTAATATATGCTGGCATGGCACCAGTGAGGAATGATAGGCGAAAATGAAAAAGCAGGTCAGTTACCCTTTCGTGATGACTACACCTGGAATTCAGCACGATGGTTTCCGGGAGGTGGGGGGGACTACATGGAGATCGACCTGAGAGGATATATTGCTATGCTAGCAATGGGGCTGGTAGTCCTCATTAGTAACAATGTCTTTATGTATGCAATATTGTCATGTATGAGAACATTCGTACTGCAACAACTATGAACGTGTGGGGGGATAATGGATTGTTAAAAATAGGGATTAGTAGCCCCATTGTTGTATTGCTAATACAGGGTGTATTGCTAACAATGGGTCAGGTCGACCTCCTCGTGGTTTCCCCTGGAAATTATCATGTTCTATTCCAAGTGAATTCATCACGATAGGCTAACTGACCTGTCTTTTCATTGTCACCTATCATCCCTCACTGGTGCCCCGCTAGCGTATACCGTTAGCGGAAGCGAGTAGTGGTGTAGTGTAGCGGATGGGTAGTACCTGTCGGAGCGCGCAGGCACCGACTTCTTCCTCTTGACGGCGGCGGTGGCACGGGCGGGCGGCGCGGGCGGCGCGGGCGCGGGCGCGGCGGGCGCGGCGGGCGGCGACGGCTCGCGCGGCGACACCGTCGTGCTGAAGCTGCGCCCGCGCCCGCCCGACAGCTGCCACGGTAACGTTACTTCATTAAACAACGTCGCTCACACCACCATCTAGCGCTTACTTTACTAACTACATTGATTTACTTATATATGTCGCATTTTTGCATATAGACAAACAAAAACTAAATAAGAGTTGACTATTATCGCATTTTTTTACAATGAAATCAAAATAGGAGCATCAATGCCTTGGACCCGTCAGTTACAGTCAATAAGTTAGACCCTACGACGCTACATAAATCTTAGTTATTTACAGTGCATTTCGTATGTTATTGAATTCCTTGTGATGTAAATTATTTAATTTTAATCTTTACAGTTACGTTAAATATTTGACTATAAAAACTTGAATTATAAGATAGAATAGAGAATAGATATTAAATCGTGTTTTTCTGAAAACTATCATTTTTACTTATCTATACGAGACGTGCATGACACGGCAGAGTTGAAAAATACGATCTTTTGCAAGAAATATTATTTGACTATATTTATTCGTTTAAAAGTTATTAATTACAATGTAAACAATAATTATTTACCTGCATACTGCCGAGTATGACCGATAAATCCTCAGCGTTAGGACTGACAGTTTGGGACTGCACAATTTGCCCATACTTCGCCTGAACATTCACAGAGTTCCGCGGTGAATCTACATCATTTGGATCTGTGAAACAAATATCACACGTGCGTATTTACGTTATACATATACCACAGATTGTCACTTGTTTTTTCGTGTATAAAAAACAAGTGACAGTCTGTTGTCTGTAGAAGTAGTAAAATAAATTTGAGAATGATAATAATAATAAATGCATATAATACTCGAGTCTATCTCAAGTTCGTATTTTATTATATTAATTTATCATAGTTATATCATCAATAGCCTTATATCAATAGTCTTGTGTTATATCACATGAATAAAATAGAAAATTACAAGGTACGGAAATATATTAGCAAAATCGTAGTTCTCAGGAATGGCAACACAGAATACAATAACGTATTCTGTAACATCCAAGTCATGTCTAAAGTTCTATAGGCGACGATTGCCATTTTCCATTGGGTGGACCGTCAGCTTGTTTGCCATTCTAAGTATTATTAAAAAAATTAAATGCTCGTCATATGTTTATATTAAAGATAACGTATGAGGGAAATTAATCAAAAGCTTGATGAATGTACAGAAAATAAAAGATGTCTAATTGAATCGGACCCAAATGCTCTCTATCTACCTCACTAGGAGATAGATGTGTGTTTCCAATGTCATGTGGATATTTTTTATGTCATATGAATAAATCAGCGCCTTAGTATCCCTAACACTGTAGCAGCATGTTGAGCACGGAATTTGTTTTGACAACGCATGCACGCACAACCGCACGCACGAACGCACACACGCACGCACGCAAACACGCACGCACTCACGCACACAGACACATATTCTAGTTAGACCGCTATAGTAGTTTTTTTTATTAGTTTTAGTTATTTTGTAACCCGTGTGTGGGTGCTGTTGTATATTTGTACAAAATAAAGTTTCTTTCTTTTACGTTGTAAAATAATATGGTCATCAATAAAATATAAATAATACCTATAGCCCTGAGGAATCGCACCAGGTCCCTAGCGAGGTCCCAGCGCTCCTGCTGCAGCGCTGTATCCAGTAACTGCGTAGCTAGCTGGCGGCTTACTGTCGAACTCTCCAAGTTCTGACAGGAAATAGATAAAATTCTCTATACTACATTATTAATATGAAATACAATAATGGAATTTGTTATGATTAAAAGAAATATGGGTTAAAGAGATATAAAAAAATAGTTTCAAGTTCAGCAAAAACATCATAAACAATGTTTTTATATGATAAAATGTACCTTAGTTAGCTGTAAATAGAATAATAATTTAAATATCACGGATTAAATATTACTTCGTTCTTTTTGAATAATTCAAGATTACCTGCAATATAATGAGATACGAAGCGGCAGTGTCTAACATCTTCCTCTGTAGACACTCCTGAAACAACTCCTTAGGCTTGCCGGCCGCTGAGAACAAATACGCCCATAGCGCTATCTCCGTCTTTCTAGCACATTGTACTACTGTCTAAAAAAGAAAGAGAGAAATAGGTTTTAAATGACTGGAAAAATAATAAAGATCTCAAATAACCTATAATCATACATTTAAAATTGAACAAGATATCGCGAAAAATTAAATATGATACGTCTATGCTAATTAAAAAAAAATTTTGCAATCGATGTAATATCCTCAATAATATGGTACAGTGGTATTTCCAAAGACGGTTATATTTTTGTGGTTTTTTTTTTTAAGAAGCCTGTTTGAACCGAAGCATGTGACGTTCCATTGTTTCTGCTTACCATAATGGGAGACAAACGTAACAGATATAATAATAATAATAAATCTTTATTTACCACTCATAAGGCATACCTACTTAATTAGTGCTTAACTATTTAGGTTTTTATCTAAAACATATTAATCCTTGTAAGAGTCTGAAGTCTGAATTAGGTCGAAAACTGTACTACAAATCTCCTACTTCCTCCCTCAGGATTTTTATATTACATTATTGTAACGTTTTATATTTTTTCTCATATACTATAATAATTATGTGTCAACAATCTCTCTACGTTTCTGTTGCTAATAAATTGGCAACAAAACTATTTGCCTGTAACTTTATATGATAACTATTTTCAATACTGACCTGCAGATAAACAGGGAACTCGTGAACAAACTCGATAATGCTGGGCAGTTGTGCATCCGGGATCGGTTCCTTGCTGGTCGCCTCCTCCTCTAACACTTCGTGCAATAGCAGCTCCAGTGAATGTGGAAAGTATGGCAGCTCAGAGCATGACCGTGCGATCTCCCACGCGTGGTATCCCAAGTTTCTTCGAAGCAGTTGCCGTAGAATTTGGTGTAGATATACTTGGCTCTATAAAATATTATAAAAATGTATTTCAAATTATCATTATTATATATATAGTACATAAATTTTATGCTATTCCTTAAATCATAGTTTTATATTTAATAAAAATAATGTTGTAAGTTTGTAATGTAATAAGTTTTGTTAATATACTTATTCAAGTTTGCAGTATTAGGGACAATTCTAGTAATGAAATTATCAACAATAATGTACTAATAAATATATAGAATCTTACAGTTCTGTTGACGACACAGAACGGCAGCGAAAACACCGAACTCGAATCAGACGCGTACAAGGTCGTGTCGTTTTCAGCACCAAGGAGTATTGCATCGTCGAATAGAATAGCTGCAAATTAATCATTATATAATACATAACAGCATTCATATTAACAGGTAGTTATTTATTGTATTATAAACATCATATAAGCTGATATCCCATCTGATAGGCAGCACTAACGATTCCTCATAAAAATATAGAACAACATAGTAGTAACTGCCAATAATACATATTTGTGGCCATCCATAAATTTTGTTACACGTTAAGAGAAGCGAAGGAGCGGTGCGTCAATGATATGTGACAGGGGAAAGGGAGTCATCAGTTTCGTGACTAACGTCACTCTTTAAAATTTATTCGTAACTCTCTATAAATATAAATTAAAATAATGTTGGAACTGATAACTTAATTTAATCATTTCTAATTGTAAAATTGCAAAATATTTGACGTCATACTAAAGAGATTCATGAACGTGACCAACTGTGACAAGGTCGGAGGGGAGAGGTGTAATATGTCAACATACAATGATAAGTCATTACCGCCGCCCATAGACATCAGAGAAATTTTAAGAAGAAATACGCAATTTTGTTGAAGGCCTCAAGTTTATCCTAATTTATTATTATGTAGTCTGCATCGGCCTCCTAAATAAGAGCGACCGTGAGCATGAAAACGAACACTCACTAAGTGGATAAATATTGAGATGGAACGGCAGCATGATCCTCTTGGCCATGAAGGTGTGTCGCGAGCTATCGGGGTGTCGCGTGGCGTCGCGCGGCAGTAACGGCAGCCAGACGCGGGCGCCCAGCGAGCCGCACCATAGCCAAAGCGCACGCGACAGCTGCGTTTGCGAAGAGCCCCCGCTGCCTGATGACCATACACTCTCCACGCACGAAGCGAGCACTGTCGCTGGCAGGCAGCTGTATGCCTGCAATTAAAATATTCGTGTAATGACAAAGTAGTAATAAAGATAATTTGAGAATAATATATAGAAAAAGAAACAATAATTATACATACATATACGTCAAGCGTATTAACCTCTGGGATAGAGATACTTTTTGAGCACGTCATGTTTGGACGACGTACGTTCACCTAGGGCAGCCTCTGTCCACATTTCTACCCATAGATTTCTTTCGTAATACTTTTTTCATCCAATTATCTATATAATTATTATTAAAAATGTACGTGCAGTGACAGAATAAGAATACAATTTACTGTATCATCTTTTCATCCCTAAAGTATTATAAGAAGCGATTAGGAAAACAAACAATAAACCAATGCAAGAGATGGTTATTTCGAAATAAAGCCACGTCACTAAGTAGCCAGTGTGGTAAAAGCTACTAGTAATTAGTCTTCTTACGAGAAGAGACTCAGCTCAGTAGTGGAACGCTAATAGATTGGTAAGATAGTGGATAAGTTGAAAACATAGAACGTTAGTAACGGGTACATTCCCGCAATCATAAGACAATGTTTTATAGAAATATATTTCATTTTGAAAATATTTGTGTGGTACCAATACAGGAATCTTCAACCGTTATTATTAATAACAGAACCATCATATTTGTTCATACATAATTTGTGAAAATATTAAATAACGTATAGGGTAAAGATTGGAATCTGTTTTTGAAGTCGGTTAAAAATTTATTTATTCATTGTAAAAACTGTTGCTTGTTGTCAACAAATTATAAAATAGCATTTAATGATATAATTAGTGTTCTTATATAGTCATTAGATATTTTATTTTCTCTTATAACGATATGAAATCTGAATTGATAAAATAATAAACCAGAAAGTACGTAAAAATTTTGTATAAACATAACAGACTAGTTCCTTTATTGTTTTTTATACAAATATTTTTCAAGTATCAAGTTTAAAATTATGTAATGTTATGAACAATTTTCCTACCGGCATCGCGCCGTTCGACGGTATTTTTTTGCAGTATAGTGCAGCAGATATGCGTTAACTCGTGAAGTTGGTACAATATGGGTGAGCGTAACTAGAGCAAATCGTCACACTATTAATTGGGTAACGTTGCGTCAAAGCAGGCACGCGTCGACTGTTCTTCGTATTGTGTTGCTAATGACATCGAAGGCAGTTGTCACGGCATTCTTATACTTACTCATAAAATATAAAATATAATTTATTTCACTGACAAATGATAGGTAACATTGAAGTGAGTTTTTTAATGAGACCGGTAATGTTTTATCATCGTTAAAGAGTTGTAACTTGGTGACCATAATGGTGCAAGGGTTTAACACACTCTTAAATTCCAATGGTCCTGGATTCGATTCCTGTATAATACAAAAATAGTTATGCATTTATGATGATGAAGTATAATATGTATTTACAAAAAAGTATTTGAATCTATCCGTTGTATAGTATCCATAGTAGAAGTTCTATTTAGTTTGGGACTAGAAGGCGCAGTATACCAAGTCCAGTGCATACCAGTCCATATTTATTATTTATAAGTCTTTTTTATTTATACCACGAAGATGGCAAACAAGCATATAGCCCGTCTGATGGTAAATGGTCACTGTAGCCACTGTATTGTCACTTGCCCGTTGCTGACCCTAAAGAAACCTTAATATACCCTTTTTAAAAAACCCCATATTGTAGTCTCGAGGGAAAACTTCGGCAGGGAGTTTATTCCACAATCTGAGTGTTCGCAGAAAAAAAACATCCTTTTAAATGTCTATGGTACTACTCATGTCTATAGGCGACGGTTACCACTTTCCATCAAGTGGGTCGTCAGTTTGTTTGCCATTGCTAAGTTGCATATAAAAATCGCACTTACGTTCTGTATATGACCAATTAGGTTCAAGCAACTTATAAATTATCAATTTTTTGATAATGCGCAAGCGTGTTTACATAATACATATTGTATAATTCGATTAGGTGTATTAACGCAGCGGATTTACGAATGAGTTATAACTTAATTTGTTCTCGCAGAAAATCATTTAGGACCGACAAAGTGGACGCCGGCGTCCTGTTTTGCAGTTCTCAATGTTTACACGCCAACGTTTTCACATGTGAAGGTTGTATGAAAATGAGGAAAACTGATGCAACCCTCCGCGATTGTTGTTGCAGACAGCACTGGCGTACACACGAAACGGTGTACATCCGTTGGACATCAGGACATTGAGGTTTAAGGCAGTTACCTATAAATTAGGCTACATTGCTTGTACTGGGCCAGTACGTTTTTGTCATCAACTAGTCAGTGCGTCTCCGTCAATATGAAATTATTTGCGGTCAGTTCCGGTATTTTATAATAGTTTAAATTTTGGTTTATACTTTGAAACAAATGGTGAAGTGAGATATTGAATGTTACAGATAGCGTGTCTCCTCGTTCTAACAGGGTCCACCAAAGCTGACGGCTCTTTGGGTGGCCTTGTCTACGCACCAGGTCACGCCTCGGTCGATTATTATGTGAGTCTTGATTTAAGTACTATTTATATAATTGAACAAGTTATTAATTTGCAACAAGTTACTTAATAAACATTTTTCCAACACAGGCATATCCCAGGTATGCATTTGAGTACGCTGTAAAAGACCCACACACTGGAGACAACAAAGCGCAATGGGAGAAACGGGATGGGGACGTTGTTAAAGGTAATCAAACACGAATATAGTTACATTTATAATAAACAATAAAGCAATTAATTATTCGATTATATTTTTAGGAGCATACTCGCTAGTAGAGCCTGATGGAAGCCTTCGAGTGGTGGAGTACTGGGCTGACGACAAATCAGGTTTCAACGCAGTTGTGAAGCGCTTGGGCCCAAACCTGCATCCAGTTGCACCAGTGACGCCCATTTATAAAGCGCCAATTCCTGTATTAAGGAGCGAACCAGTGGTTGCTCCAATTGCAATTGGATCAGTGGCCAAGTACGGGGGTTTGGCTAGTGCTCCACTTATAACTGGGCCTTTGGGCGGAGTGGCAACCTCTTCTGCGATTCTTCACAAGCCATCAGTACCGATATTATCAGGGCCAGTATTGCCCACACCAATAGTTCCAAATGTACCGATTGTGCCAACCCCGATACTGCCCTCACCTATCATAAAATCGGCACCAATTGTGCCAGCTCCGATTCTGTCCACGCCCATTATAAAATCTTCACCATATTTATCAGCACCGCTGTCAGAACCATACCTATCGCCTCTGTCTACTCCGATCAACGCCTGGGGACCTCGACTCCTTAAAGCTCCTGGCTTAGGCTTAGGACCAACCCTAACAGGTTTAGGCTCGTGGGGTGCCGGAAACTTGGATTTAGATTATATCGGAAGCAAATACTAGATATAGATGTTGAAAGCCTTTACAATTCTGTAATTTAATGCCGCTGCCTATTCTATATTCTTATGCTCTCCAAAGACGACTAGTTGTGCCTTGTTGGATGGAATACTGTTGTTAGTTATTTAATATTTATGTAAATAAATGAACTCGACATTTAGCACAAATATAGCATCACCACTGTGTGGTACTCAATTGTTGTTTGTATTTACCTCAGATAGTTTTGAATGGGAATTTTTTATACCACTGCGAAAAGCGATGACAAATTATCTGATTCAAAATGATAAGTGAGAACACTTCATATATGGATTCTAAGGAATTAAACGATTTTTAAACAACTACAAACAAAAATTTTTCTTACGAATGTTCAGAAATAATATATTGGACGTATGATCCCGGAATAGAATAGGCTATCCCTTTCTATTCCGTGGGTGTCGTAAGAACCGACTAAGCAAGAGCGAGGGATGGGCAGCAGAGTCCCTCTTAAAACATTTCTAAAGCCTGACTGCGGTTGCCAATCCACCTGCCAAGCGTGGCAAAACCCCCCAAGGGGGAGGTTTATGTTCAACAGTTAACAGTTAAAGGCTAATATGATGATGATGAATATAATTATAAACCAATGTTAGTATTTTTAACGATAGTTAATAATAATTAAGAAAATTTATCATTGGAGGGTTCATAGAAAATAAAAAAAAAACAGTATACGTTATGGTACATATAACGTTGTACAGGAAGTAAACAATTTATAGCATTATATCACAGAATCGATATATTTTCATTCATGAAAACATTTATACTAGTTAATGTTTTAGAGTTTCTTAATGGCACAAACAGACCGGGTCTTTAATTTTTAATTAAGAAAAATAGTAATCATAAACTATAACAAAAATTAATAATAGTAACGTTAAACATCGCAATGCAAAACGTAAAATTATTCTAATAGTACTGGCATGAATACAAAATACAAGCAGAGAGAACCGAGCATCACTGTCACCAAATATAATGTTTACATACTTGTATTACAAGAACTCAAACTCATGATACGCGTAACTTATCATACGCAAAAAATAAATATATGGTTTAAATTATAAGTAATTATTGTAAAGTAAGTTTGTATGTTGAATTAGTGACACAAAAGAACCCTACACATATGTATACCACGTTTATATATAGGTGATCCAACTGTTATTTTAAGTGTACAGACAATCACATAATACATGATAACTGGTCGAGCACCACGTACATATAACAACGTGTTTCACTGGTCTATCAATCCGGCCGTACATCTATCTGACATGATATAAAAGCAATGTGTAAGAAATTTTCGCTATTAAGTTACAAGAGCTCAACAATATAATTGGACAAAATGACTTCGTGGCTGATGGTAATATTTTCGACATATAAAATTCAGCACATTATCAAGAGATATTCTTAGCTAATATTTTTTTTTCTTATTACTTCTAATAAGTTTCTAATTGAAAATATAACAATAAACGTCATAATTTTGTTATTGAATCTTAAAACTAAAGATAGAAAGTAGCATTTAGTCTAAATTGTTTTGTACGAGCATTGGATTGTGGCGATGATCATTAGACATAGGCAACATTTTCATAGACCAACTTAGTAAATGCAAATATTGATCTTAATTATTTGAAATAAATATTTTTAAAGGAATTTTTAATAAGCTATTGTTTTTTATTTTAATTTCAGATCGTTTGCGTATTGGAAGTAGCTGCACAAGTCACTACGGGTTCTAAGTTACCGCTTGCTGTAAGTTGACGATGCTATTAATTAACAATTGATTACAACAGAACAACTATAGCTTGGACTGGCTAAGAAATGAAACTGGTACCCCTATGAAACTCTCTATTTAGTTCAGCGGCAATTAAGGGGAGTATATGTGAATTAAAACTCAAAAGTTGCGTTAGCGACATAGCTTCATTGCCTAAGGTTTTTACACGTTTTTGTCATCAACGTGTAAAAATAAAAACAGATATTGGATTACAGTATTTCTTTTTCTTTTCATTTAAAAGTTTCTCAGAGTTTTCTTGTCGGGGCAACTGGTTAATGCATTCTCTTCCAGCCAGCTCTATTCCGGTCCATATCTTTGACCTCCCTATACGACTTACGACCCTATACGACCTAGTGTTTCCTTTATCAGTCCCATGTAGTTATTTATCGATTTCTACCCTTCCTCTTTTGCTCTCTATTTTTCCTTTTAGTATTCTCTTTAAAAAATCATTACATCGTTTAAGGTAGCCCAGCATTTCAGGTGGCCTTTTCTGTTCTCTATTGTTTTTATTAATGTTCTTTTCTCGTAATTATTTATAGTAATTCGTCTGAGAATCAAACCTTAAATTTAAAAAAAAAATTATACAATTACAGGAGCAGCCAATACAAGTAGAGAGCGACTCATCAACAAAAAACAACGAAGCGAAAGATGCTGGAGATGACAATGATGTGCAAGGATCACATACGCAGACAGGTGCCATCAGTATCGCCGATTACACTGCCAATGCACTAAGCGGTTTGAACGCAGCCATCAGAACACCTCTATCTGTTTTACATCCGTCAGCTAACGTACCAGCATTAACCCCGTATCCATTAACACCCATAATAGTATCCCCAGTAAGTTACGGATTCAGCGCAGCACCACTCGCTACAGTATCCATCAATTTGCCGAAATCAACGCACTTTGGTCGTTCGAGCCTACCTTGGGACCCTCTGACACAATCGTACGGTGGTTGGGTACCACTTGCCGGCCCTCATTTGCCGCCACTTGGCCCACATATAACCGTGTTCAGCAAAAAGTATGTGAACAATAAAGTACACCACAGTTTGATATCTGCTCCTATACCTATTCATGGTGTTGCAACTGTGACAATCAAGAAAACGCATTGAGAATTCACTCTACTAAAAAATAGGGTTAATAACCTCGTTGAAGTATAAAATTATACTACGTAGGCAGAGAGGTGGATAGTCATGCATTGTATTTACTTAACTAAATAAACTAGTCTTCTGTATTATTTAGCATTGTAAATAGTATATGTAATAATGTATAAAATAAAAACGTAATGTAATTCATAAAATAAAAATAATATTTATATTTGTTTTTTTTTTTTAATTATTCCACTAAAAAGACGATTGCTTTTCGTTCGTATCTATGTACGAGAATAATTAAGATAAAAATTAAAAATAAATAGTGGCTGTAAAAAACCAGTACGTTTAAATATAAATCTACATATTATTAATTAAAATGAAATTTGTAATAAACACTATAATAATAGCCCATTGTTTCAATGGATATTATGAATAGTCTTCACACCATAGACCAGCTGAGTAGACTAAAAAACATAAATCCAAAAAGTTACAAGAAAAAAAATTTTTATGTTTTCAAAACACTAATGATAATTTGAACACGGGCTCAATATTAATTAAGAAAATTCCAAAGAATTTTATAGTATGAATGCCACGTACTAATTATTACAATCAAAGTAAAAATACGGTAAGTTCACTAAAATAAAATTACTTATAATATTTTTGATATAAAGTGTTCTGTTAACGAACTCCAATTTTAATTATGGAACAAGATTCTCATAAAGCTCTCACTGATTTGGATTTCATTTGAAAACTTTCGAAGTAAAATATGATGCAAGCGCAATTTTCATTACAAATTTATGTGCAACTTATTCTATACCATACCATATCAGCCTTTAAGTGTCATTGTCTGACTTTCGAATGATACTATGAAGATATGTCTCAAGACTGTATAAGGATGTACTACTAGTTGATGTACACAATGTAAAAAATAAGCTAATCCAAAACATATACGAATTAACATCTCTTCTAATGTTAGCTTTGTTTACTTGCACATAATAAATATAAAATTTAATATTACAATACAATGTCAAAGACGGTAAAATTTGATATATCACTATGTGTTCTTGAGCAAATTGTGATATATCAAATCAAAATCAATATGGTGAAAAAAAAATGTAGTTATTATTATGATATCAAAATATTATTATTATATTAAAATAGAGAGCAAAAGAGGAAGAGGAAGACCGAGGATAAACTTCATGGGACAGATAAAAGAAACACTAGGTGTCATGTCGTATAGGGAGATCAAGGATATGGGCTGGGATAGAGCTGGCTGGAAGAAGATGCATGAATTAGTTGCACCGACAAGAGGAAACTCTTAAATGAAAAGAAGAGATTATGATGTCAGGCGTTAACTGTCCACTGCTAAACATAAGCCTCCCCCATAAGGGGGTTGAGCAAGAAATTGCCAGACTTGGCAAGAGGATCGGCAACCGCAGTTAGGCTTTAGTGATGTTTTAAGAGGGACTTCACGCTACGATCAATAGGAGCAGAGCAGTGAAGGGAAATGTTAAAAATGTCCACCCGTGCGACGCCGGGACGGGCCGCTAGTCGTAAATAATTGTATAAACGCAGCGCAAATTAACCTTTTTTTTTTTTTAATATAGCACCAAATATAACACCGCCATCCTGAGCGAACATAAAGACGACATGGCCCATGAATATGTTATGACCAACCAAAAAGAGAACGCTCCACTCTCAACGGTAAACCGCGTTATACCTGCTCACTATGTGCTTTTTTCACTCTACTTTTGATTGTTAGATCGTAGTAAATATTTTACCAGGAACTCTGTGAGTAATCAGATATTGTTTGTAATTTTACGATAAGAGTGTTATCCTATAAATGAATACACGACTGTTTGGCAAAATGTAACTACGGTACGTACTTGTTAGGATTCCGTGCCTCAAAAGGAGAAATCGGAACCCTAATGTGTTCACTTGCGTGTCCGATTGTCATAACCTATTTCTTCAAAAGCTACTGGACTGATTGATTTTAAATTTAGCACACATATGTAAGTCGGTAACTCAAAGACGGATATTAAAAGTAAAAAAATAAAGAAATTTGAAACATAAGGGCCACTTTTGACGGCAAAGTAAAAAACAAAAAAAAAGTTTTGCAAATTATATCGTGTGACATATCAAATGAAAGGGCTTGTTGTAAGGTTTAAGAATACATATAACTAATGGATTTAAATTTAAAAAAAATACACCAAAAAGTTACCTATTAATTACAAAAAAAACCTATAAGAAGTTATTTAAAGTAACATAGAAAATTTTTCAATATTTATGAAATTTATTTGCAGTCGTAACGTTACAAATGCTTACCCTTTTTTAGTTAATACAAACAAATTTAGATCATATTTAAAACAACTTTGGGACTTACATAATCAACGTACGGAACCTTCTTCACGCGAGATTAACCCGCACTTTTTCGGTTTTTTTTTTAACTCATATCTATGGAAGTTTATAATTACATGAGTCACCATATTGACCGTTAACTATCTACCGCTGAACATAGGCCTCTCCCGTAAGAGGATTTTTACTAGTAGTTAACACGCTTGGCAGGTGGATTAGAAACCGCAGTTAGGTTTTGGTGACAATTCAAGAGGAATATTGCTGCCTATCCCTCAACCATTAAGTTCTCTTGGTCGCCTCTTATGAAACCCACGGGAAAGGGATAATAATAATAATAATAATAATAACCCCCCCAGGGGATTGAACCTTGACGTGGTGGGGGGGCTTAAGGGAAGGAGGTACAAATTAGTAGTCAGCACATCTAGACTAAATACCCCATTCGGAAGGAACTAAGCTACAAAGCCTGCACAACAAGGCTACCCTTCCTACTAATCATCCCAAATACAAAACCCTTATGGAGCAGAATATTAAAAAATACAATTTACGGTCGCTGCCCGGGGGTCGCCGGGGCGCACCTGGAGCCGGTGCTGGGTGCTACAGTTTACGGGACACCGGTGACGAGGCGCTGAGCAGGCGGGCACTCGTTACACAAGATGCTACAGCCGGTCGTCGGGAGTTGAACAGGCGGACTCACGACGTAGAAGCTACAGCCGACATTATAGACGACGACTCTACCTCTTTATACTCATCCATTCCTTCAACCCCTCCTTCGTATATGACAAAACGAACTTCATCATCTAGTACACTTGATAGTGTTGTGCAAGAGGCCAATATTGACCATGTACTTGCACCCACATCAAGTATCCCTCGTAAGCGCAAACGATGGACAGTTGAAATGAATAAATTCATACTGCGCACTTATCTTTTATTAACATCACTAGATACTGACAAAAATGCCTATTTAGAAGCACTCCATCTGAGATTTATAGAAAAATACCCACATATGCAAGTCAGCCGTCAGAGAATAGGTGATCAGCGCAGAGCTATTTTACGAAATAAACTTCTTCCACAAACAACAATAAATGAAATTTATATGGAAGTGACAGAAAAATTACAGTGTAACCAAAACAATATAAACCAAATCACCAATGAACATTCACAAGTATCCAATAACATAAATCAACAAAATACTACACAACAGCCCACGCAGACATCTCAAATAAACTCAGAAACAGGAAATAAGCAAATTAAACAAACCCGATTAAAATGGACAACTGAACACAATGAAACCCTAATGCGATTATACTATCGAATCACACTTTTGGAGACAAATAAAACTGCTTATAGGAAGAGCTTACATGAGAGTTTTATTACCCACTTTCCATCACTCGCTCATTTGAGTGAACAAAGAATAGCTGATCAGAGAAGGGCTATCATAAATAATAAATATATAAGTGAAAACAGATTAAATACAATAAGACAAGAAGTGTCTGAAGAGCAACTCACTCAATCAAATCAAATCAACACAGATAATCTAAATCCTGATACAAACACTACACATAATTTTGTCAATGATAATATTGAAATAGAAATAAATAGCATGTATAATATAGAACAAAATGATCAACAACTATCATCTCCAATGAATACAAGAAACCTAGAAAGAGACTTGAAAATTGACCAACTTTTCGAACAAGCATTGCAATACTATAAATTTACTAACCCAACATCCAGAACATATATACCTAAACAAAAATCATCATATAAATTTGCGAAAATAGTTGATTACATAAATACAATAATTATCCCTGAAAACATCAACAACAATACAGACTTTAACACTTTACAGACTATTATATATTGTGCAGCCTGGACGGCCTCTAAAGCTAATGGGGCAAAATTAGAGTTGAGATCAACAGATAAAGAAAAAATTACTCAAAAACAATACAAACCGAGCTGGCAGAAACGACTAGAGCATAAGGTAAATGACCTCAGAGCAAAAATAGGTAAAGTAACACAATTTATTAACGGAAATAGAAATAAAAAGCTTAAGATACAAGTAAATAAAATAAAAGAGCAGTACAAAATCCATTCCATACATGAATCACCAAATACATGTTTTACACATATATTAGACACACTGAAACAAAAACTTTCAGTTACATCGGGTCGGCTAAGAAGATATAATGCATGTACACTAAGAAAACAACAAAATAATCAATTCGACACTAACGAAAAACAATTTTACCGAAACATTAAACAAAATACGACAAACACACAACACAATAATAGCAATGAGATTGACACACCCAACCCCGAAGAATTACAATCTTTCTGGGCAGGAATATGGGAACAACCTGTTCGACACAATTGCTCTGCTGAATGGATCCAAAAAGAAATTAACAAAAGTGATATAACAATAGAACCAATGGCATTTGAACATATTCCGACAGATATATTTGAAAAGGTACTTCGTAATTCATATAATTGGAAATCACCAGGTTCAGATTATATACATTGTTATTGGTATAAAAAATTTACAAATACTCATATCCATTTACTTAACTACATAAACAATTTTATCCAAGACTCTAATACGATGCCTTCCTATCTAACAATGGGAATAACATTTATGATACCAAAAGACCACAATGACCGTAAGAATCCGTCCAAATATAGACCTATAACTTGCCTACAAACACTATACAAAATACTTACTGCCTGCATAGCTGAATTAATATATCAACATGTTGACACTAATAATATTTTGAACGAAGAACAAAAAGGATGCCGGAAATTTTCTCAAGGATGTAAGGAGCAATTAATTATAGATTCAGTAATACTAAAACAAGTTCATAAAGCTAAATCAAACTTACACACTATGTATATTGATTACAAAAAGGCATATGACTCAATACCTCACACTTGGTTAGTACAAATCTTAGAAATGTATAAAATTCATCCAAAAATAACAACTTTCTTGAAAACAACAATGGCAAACTGGACAACACAATTACAACTTAAAACCCTCACAGCTACAATACAAACTATACCGATCAAAATACAACGAGGCATATTCCAAGGAGACGCCCTCAGCCCACTCTGGTTCTGTTTGGCTCTAAATCCTCTCTCAAATATGCTTAACTCTTCTTCAGTAGGATACCCTTTAAACTATAAAGAAACTGATGATCAGTCTTCAAATATGAATAAAAATGTATTAAACCATTTATTGTATATGGATGATATAAAGTTATATGCCGAAACCGAAAACCAACTGAACCAATTAACGAAAATAGTAGAACAATTTACAAATGACATAAAAATGGAGTTTGGATTAGAGAAATGTAAAATAAATTCCATTAGGGCAGGAAGTCAACACCCATATAACAACACATTAGAATCAGGAGAACAAATAACATCACTTAGCGAACAAGAAGTATATAAATATTTAGGTTACAACCAAGCACTTTTTATAAACCATAAAGAAATAAAACTAAAACTACAGCAACAATTCCGACACAGACTGAATGCGGTATTAAAAACCCAACTTAATTCCAGAAATATGATTAAAGCGATAAACACGTATGCTATACCCATACTGACTTATTCTTTCGGCATAATAAACTGGACCAAATCAGACCTAAAATCATTACAGCGCACAATCAACATAAATATGACAAAACATCGTAAACACCACCCTAGATCTTGCATACAAAGATTAACTCTACCTAGAAAAGAAGGAGGCAGGGGTTTGATTGATATCGTAAACTTACACAACACACAAATTTCAAGTTTAAGACAATATTTCTTCAGCAAAATGGAATCATCAGCGCTTCACAAATCCATAGTACAAAATGACAATAAATTGACACCTTTAAATTTAAAAGATGGAAGTACACAGACAAATGAGACGCTCGTCAACAATCAAACTAAACTGACGGCGTGGTCTGAAAAGTCCTTACATGGGAGACACCGACACGACTTATGTCAATCTAATGTCGATAAAGAAGCATCGAACGCATGGCTAAGTCGAGGAATTTTATACCCAGAGACTGAAGGTTTTATCATAGCTATACAGGATCAAGTCATTGAGACCAGAAACTATCAGAAATATATTACAAAAACACTCACCTCTGATACATGTAGAAAATGCAATAGCTCTCCAGAAACAATTCAACACATTACAGGCTCATGCAAGGCAATAGTACAGACAGACTACAAGCACAGACACGATCAAGTAGCTAATATTATTCACCAAAACCTAGCACACAAGTACAATCTAATACAAAACACACATACTCCATATTACAAATACACTCCACAAACTGTGTTAGAAAGCGCGACATATAAGCTATATTTTGACCGAGCCATACTCACTGATAAGACCATACATTACAATAGACCAGACATAATCTTACAAAATAAAACGAATAAAATAACTTACCTAATAGATATCGCCGTCCCCAATACACATAACATCCAGAAGACAATAGCGGAAAAAATAAGTAAATACACAGAACTGAAAGACGAAATAACAAGACTTTGGAAACAAGAAAAAGTTTATGTGATACCTATTGTCCTCTCAACCACAGGAGTTATACCCAAACATTTACACCATAGCCTGAAAGAAATAGACCTGCGTAAAACACTATATACAACACTACAAAAAGCTGTAATATTGAATACATGCAGAATTGTTCGAAAATTCCTGCAAATAGAAAACGAAACATTTAATAATACCACAGAGACATAACATGTAATAGTTGCATACACATAGCCATAGGTGCGTGAGCATGCACATGCATATGCATGCATGGGCGCGCACACACACACACACAAAAACTCACACACTGCACTTACTTGGTCTCGGCCCGTAAGTGCAGTATACGCAAAGTAGCGTATATACCAGCTATAGCTGAGTAATAAAGTTTGCATAAAAAAATAATAATAATAATTTATTTCAAAATATATTATTATTATTAATAAGGAAGGAATGGCCTGTTCTATGCCGGGACCACACAGCAACATATTAACCTAAATCTTTTACATTTATCATACGTGTGTATTTACAAATAGACTACCAGAGTATATAAATATTCACCAGAGGGAGATTGTACAAAAGTCGATTGCTTGGGTACCTCTGTCCCATTCGTGTTTCTACCGTGAAGCAGTTGTGTTTGCATGGCTGTTTCGATTTGAAGGGTGGGATATGGCGTGCATTTACAGGGTACAAAGGAATAACACCCGAGTTCTCAGGAATGGCAACGCATGGTGGTATCATGGGCGAAACAGTATACTCTGTTATGTCCATGGTACTGCTCATATCTATAGGCGACGGTTACCACTTTCCATCAGGGGGGCCGTCAGCTTGTTTGCCATTCTAAGTTGTATAAAAAAATAGGCTATTTAAATAGTCTAATTATCTAGTTCCAGTTACGCATTAGTGTAAGCTTTATTTTGGGACCAAATTTTTGTTTAATATGTTTAAGGCATTTTATTATTATTATTATAAGGCAATGATTAAAATAAATTCTAATAAATTAGAATAAATTCTTCGATCTAATTTTCTTTGATTGTCACACACAAAGCCAATAACGTAACATGCGTAATCGTATATTATAACCAGTTATGTACAATTAAGAGCATATGAATTATAATACCTGTATAGTCCTGTAGCGAGTCATCCGTAAAAAAATTATGTTCGGATTAAAAACCGGGGCACAGTCGGGTCGAATAATTAGTGTTGTATAAATACTCAACTAGTATTTGCAGTGAGTACAGTGCACTTCGTTTGCTCAGTGGGATACCCTGTTAGCATTATGAACACATTCTTTGCGGTAATGTTTATTTTTTAAATTTTTTTTTTCATATAATATAAAAGATGAGAATCAGTCAAATTAAATATTTCCACAAATAAAATACCCATAAAATATAAAATTTGAGCTTTTTGTACTAACATTGCGCATCTGGCTGCCTAGTTAGTATATTATATATATAAAAACATATAATTGATGCTTGACTATACAGACGCCGATGTCTATTTTTTTGGATGTAACTGAGGAGCTTCTAAACAAGCTGGAACCTTTACAAAATCTAGCCATTAGGGCCATCTTTGGTCTTCGAAAATACGATTACGTTTCCCTCTTTCGCAATCAATTAAAGTGGCTCCCTATCCGACTACGAAATTATATGCATATCCTAGCTTCCTTTTATAACATCCTCAATGACCCCAATCCTTCATTTTACCTGAAGTTTTAATTATTACCACCACCAGTCCGTCCTAAACGCTCCTGTCAAGATCAGTTCAAAACGCTTGAACTTCCTTTGTATAAGACACATTCTTCACAAACTTTACTGACAATCATAAAATGATTAAACTACATTTCTAATGTAGGTAGTATATTAATTTTGTTTTAACATTTATTATATAAGTAGGTAAGTATTATATTTATATACTATTCCCGTTTATTTGTAGTTTACCTATTGATTAGCATTAGTAGTTATTCGTATTCGTAGTATTATTAGTTGCTTATAAGGCTGTCGTGCATTTTTGCTGCCCACTAACGATATACTATCCCACTGCATTGGGTTGACTGAAAAAGATCTCTTTCAGAGATAGTCCACCCTTGTTCACAATGTCTATATAATTTACAATTGCAATAAAGAATATATAATTGTATTCGGTATGTGGCAACATTGTCATCCTGTTTCATGCACTATTGCTCTCCTTGTAATTGCATTAGCATTTGATTCTCATAATAAATTATAAAAACTATAAAGTATAATTTCTAACAATATATTCAGCTATATAGCAGTCGTTCTTGATAACAATAATGCGAAAACAAACGTACTTTGCCGTTGGAAAGAATGGCAGACCATACGACCACACGACATATTTAGAATGGTCATGTTTATGTCAAGGTACAGAGATCAGATTGAATAAAATCAATATACGAACATCAAATTCTGTTAGAGATCTGAAACCTTAATATAACAGATGTATTGCATGACGTACTGATCTTTAAAAAAATGTCATCCTTTGTCCATACTCTTCGATTTTAAAAAAGGAATAAATTTAGTAACTCAAAATATATATATTTACAGGTATCGTGCCTTTTGGCTTTGGCGGGAGAGGCGTTCGCGAACCCACCCGCAACTTTGTCGTATGTGCCTATTTCCACCATCGATAAAGTTGTAAGTATGGCTATTAAATAATAATTGTGAGATTTAATTATATGGGAAAATGACACGCCTTCGGCCGTTCTGTTTTCCTAATGAGCATTACCAAAAAAAAAATATTTATGAGTAACTTTGTTTTTTTGCTTATTTGTTTTTGTAAGTTACACATTTATTGGATTTGGGATGAGTGATGGGATACTTCTGATAAAATAATGTCTGTTGCACCTATAGAGACAATTAATTTTATATAGTATTAATTTTCTTTGCTAACAGTCAGTGATCCGAAGCAAACCGACGAATAAAATAGCATTTAATAAAAAAAACAAGCAACTAAATTAATTTAAATTATTATACGACATTTCTATCTCCCATAGTCGGACCCCAGCTATCGATTTAACTACGCCGTGAACGATCCAACGACTGGCGACAACAAAGGACAGTGGGAGGCGCGCACCGGCGACGTCGTACACGGCGGGTACTCGCTGGTCGAGCCCGATGGCAACGTGCGCGTAGTGGAATACACCGCTGACCCACTGAGGGGCTTCAACGCCGTCGTCAAGAGAACCGGCCCCAACATTCATTCGGTCGCGTTGCCAGTCGCTGCGCCCATAACTCCTGTAATCACGAAACCTATTGCATCGGGACCGATCGTTGCGCCTGCGCCGATAGTTGCGTCTGCGCCAATCGTTGCGCCTGCGCCGATACTTCACGAGACGATCACTCCTATCGTTCACGCACCGGTAGTGAGCCCCATAATTGAAACGGCACCGCTCATCACCCCAATAGATGTGCTTCCTCTGTTGCACTTGCCAGCACCCTCCCCGTGGGTCTCGATTTCAGGCACCAAATACGGGGCAAAGGGCAACATCGTCCGTCGGTGGGCCGCTGGACCCATCTCTTTGGACGGCAAAACATTAACTATTAGGACGAAGCACTGAATATAGCTTCTTATTATTAGAATATGTAACAATTTGGTTACTCACGACACTAGTGCGTTCTTGCATTTTCCGTTTATGACGAGTTTCATGCAAAAATGCACTTAGGTCTATAATAAGAGTAGTGATACGGCATATACCCGCGAGCAACGAAGTGTACCTGCTAATAATGTAGATACAAATATGTATTGTACATAAATATATTTATTTAAATGACTTTTTTTCATTTATTCATTACGTACCTAAATATACAGGAATCACGCAACAAATTTGCGACATAATTTTTTAAAGTTAGAAAAAATTATGGCCAGAAAATAAAAAAAAAACAGTAAATACATAAATTCTTGTTTGAAACTAACGGATAATGATTACGTAAAAAAACACTTATATGTAAACCTGCAGTGCTTTATAGAGTTCAGATTACGGCAAAAACATAATTGTGCATAAAAAAGGCAATACTCTAAAACAAGGCTGTAGAATACTGGTTAAGTCAGTTTAATGTAATTAATGCAGGTCGGTTTTGAACGAAACGATACGTGAAATTAGACACAATCAAATGGTTACGTTGTCATCAATGTATCCACTGGTGCGTATACAATTTACGTGCGCTATTAGCAAATTAATAATCCGTCAATAACATCCAACATTAAATTATGAACTTAATATATCCATTATCAATATTGTGTAATGATTATGGCCTATTATTTAAGTAGATATTTGTGTTAAATAACAAGTTAGGAATAATTACAAGTAGCGCATATATATTATCCTATTAATATTATAAATGAGAAAGTTTATATGGAAGTTTGTTACTCTTTCACGTAAAAACTACTAAACGGATTTGAATGAAATTTGGTATACGGATAAGTTATACATCCTAACTTAACTTAACTAACGTGTTCTATAAACATAAACCTAGCCTATTATATCTTTCAAACATATGTAACGTCTAATTTTCAAAAACATTCCTATGACAATTTCTATATATACTCTACACCGTATATATAGGAATGAGATGGTGAAAATTGGGGAAAAGATAATCTTAAGACGGAAACGTCTAATATAGGAGGTATAAAAAAATATTAATACATGCATGTCTGTCAGGTCAAAAAATTATAATGTAGTAAATATACAAACACTATACAAATATCTGTATGAGATATCTTGAGTCTAAACACAAAATATTTAAAAAAAATCTAGTTATAGATAAAGATATCAATGTTTATATCTACTTCGACTTACTAAAACGTATTTCACTGAACTTTACAAATGTAATCTGTGTTCTTCAAGTTCGAGTATATAATTAAAAATATTTTATTAATTAAAAATTAATACACCTGTGGTGTGGTCCCGGCAATGAATGGGTCACTACTTCCTTTCCCGTGAGTTTTTTTTTATACAACTTAGAATGCCAAACAAGCTGACGGCCCACCCGATGGAAAGTGGTAACCGTCACCTCTAGACATGAGCAGTACCATGGACATAACAGAGTATACTGTTTCGCCCATGATACCCCCCATGCGTTGCCATTCCTGAGAACTCAGGTGTTATTCCTCTGTACCCAGAGTGTCCTAAGAGGCGATTAAATGAACTTAATAGTCGAGGGATGGACAGCAGCGTCCCTCTTAAAACATTACTAAAACTGCGGTTGCCAACTCGCCTGACAAGCGTGGCAACTAATGGCAAAATTCCCCTTATGGTGAAGGTCTATATTCAGCAGTGGACAGTTAATGGCTGATATAATAATAATAAAAAAAAACCTAGATGGTGTATGAAATCTCAATATAAAATATAATATTATTATATATTAATATAAAATGTAAATACTCACAGGATTGTTATCTTCGTCTACATCATATTCTTCTCTCTGCACCATCATCAATTTGCCGCTTGCATTGATTACCTGTACAGTTATAAATTTATAAATCCCATCCTTTTAATAAGAACAAAATTGTGAAACTAATGTAGGACGTATAGTACAAAGAAAATGCTTTTAGTGCTCGACTGTCAGGATATTTATTAATGATTATTATTAGTACAACATAACGCAATTTTTGATGATTTTTGACCCCTCATGTAACGCGCAATAACATTTTTCTGTACCCCCTTGCCCTCACCCTCCCTACGTCACGCAATACCAAAGCGACCATTTTTACCTAAAAGTCACAACACTAACAAATATTGATAACAAAAACAAAATAAAAATAACGTAAAATACAGTCGAGAATTTCCCCGTAAAACATAAACGAAAAGGATTGCCAAATTGGGAGATTATAATTCCCGAGGTCTTTATTTAAATAAAAAAAAAATGCTCTGTAATGTGTTGCTCTAACCCTTCCATCCCCTGTAATGTATAGTAAGATTCTACAAGAGCTCCCCCTACCCCAAATTGCTTTAGGTATAACTTGAACGAACTCTAAACAAACTTATCTATATTAAAGGAAAATTAATTGAGTTAATGTATTCAAATGATAAAATTTCATGTCACAATGTTCGTCGACACTAGATACGACAAGCACAAATAGACAAATAGAATTCTTTTTCGGAATTACTTTATTAAAAGGAGACCATACAAAAGTAGTCTGCTTGGAGTACTACTGTCCTACTCATGTTTCTGCTGTGAAGCAATTGTGATTGCATCACTGTATTTCGGTTTGAAATGCAGTATGTGGTAATGAAACGACAGGCACGGAGACAGCATAGTCCTTAAGAACGGTAAAGCACGAAGAGCATCATAGGTATTACAGTGTATCCTGTATTCTCTATATTTCAGTTACCATCTATAAGGGACGATTATCACTTTCCATGAGTTTCTTTGCAATTTTCAGTTGCATAAAAAAGCCTAAACGTATAAGATACTTACCAGCGAATCGGGGTGGCGCTGCGGCTGCGTGGTGTCCGGTGGCGCAGGCGCAGAAGCGGAAGCGGAAGAGGGTGCGGCAGCGCGCGGGCGAGCGGGCGCGTCTCGCAGCCGGCACAGCGACGCCGACACCACGCACGCGGGGTGCGACAGCGCCGACACGTCCACCGCCTGCACGCACCGCATCTCCACGTTGCCCACTAACAAACATTCAGTTGCCTTACAAATATAACATTGATACAAAAATTTATGTGTATGTACGTAAAAGTACCGGGAGGAAGCGGTACTCATGACTAGAGAACGCGTGGAATTAGTTTCCTGCAACTTATGCCCCTGACTAAATTTTAGATAATAAAAAAAAAAAAAACATTACAAATCCATGCTGTTCGCTTTGGTATTCACTGATCGTTTATTAACGTCTCTCTTAGACTTTGGGGTCTCTTTCAAACCTCAAAGTCAGAGACATAAGGGTCCCCGTCTCTCTGGGCCGGCATTGCTGTTAATCTTAACTTTTTTAAAACTTCTAATCATATTACAATAATTACCATGCATGCATATACTAGGTTTTAAAATATAGCAGAGTAGGGTATAGGATACATGCATTTAGGTTGATGACCGAGGTCATAAATTTCAAAAGTATGCAAAAATAGCATACCATTGTCGATACAGGTGAGCTCGTATATGGTGACGAGCGCGTCCGCACCGAACACGACCAGCTGATCGTCCAGTATGTCGAGCACGAATACTTGAGACTGCACGCGGACAATTTTCGCATACTTGTTGTCGAGTTTCGCGTCACGCGGGTAAAACCGGATCTCGTCGTGCCCGTCCAGGATGCTGTAGCAACCTGAATGTATAATAATTTTATGAAGACATCTCGATTATACTTTATTTCCACATTTATGTTAGAGCGAGATAGATGTAGAGTTTACGGAAATATTAAAGTTACAGAATGTTTGACGGGAATTATGAACTGGTTATTAAGTGTAATAAATCAAGTTAGGTTTTAAAATGTAATTAGATTTAAGCGAATATAGTTGATTGATTTATGCATGTATTATTTGAGTATAACATAAATTAGAAAAAAATATATAAAATTATAGATTTTGCATGGAAATATACTATAAACATTTAGCTCTTTAAACGTAATTTCAGACAATTTGTGTAAGAAACAAATTACTAACGAACGCCGAGAATAAAAAAGGAGAAATTTGAGATGAATTTGATTTAGGATCGTCGTCGACTTTTTTGTCGTCGAAGGTGGCGCCGTAACCATATCAGTAAGAGTCTGCGACGTTTCAGATATGAGTATTGTGGAAGTAAGGCGGCACGTGCGGCCGCATACGCACCGACGACGATGTAGTCGCGCCACCAGAGCATGCCGCCGGTGACGGCGAAGTCGCGCTCGTGCGCCTCGTTGCCGAACAGCTTCCAGCGGCGCGCCGCGCGGCTGTAGTGCGCCAGCCCCGCGCGCCCCGCCACGCACACGTGCGCGCCCGCCTCGTCCACCGCGCTGTACTGCAACGCACGCACGCACGCACGCATACACATACAAACGCGTACGTCCATACGTACGTAATTTGTACGCGTACGTCATTACACATAGATTACGCGTACAGAATGCGCAGTTCGTAAACGGCTTTATAATAGCACGGCTCGGGGGTTGCGAGGAGAACTAGTAACGGAATTTGTGCGTAGTTTTACGGAATTTTATGAAAAGTAAAATAAATTGCTAATCCAGCAAACATTATGTTAGCCGCTTATCGCTATCTTTTGAGTAAATTTTTCCTAATCAGGGATATACTTATTTTTCAAACAAAATTTCATTACAATCGGTTGAGCGGTTTTGAAGACTAGGGTAACTAAAATAACACGGGATTCTTATGTATTAAGATTTAGTATTATTTTATATTCTAACATTAACAATTAATTCGCAAATGTATATTAAATTGTATGACTTACCCTCAAAGGCCAGTTGGTGGCAATATAAGTAGCCGGCAGAGGTAACACTATCCATTGCTTTCTACACTCATTATCGTCAATGAATTCTCTATACTTGGCACTGCTATCATATTCTGAGTTTGGTTGCTCTTGAACACCATTTTCGCTTTGATACGCGTCACTAGTGGCGTCAATTATAGACGTTTTAGTTCGTTTCGTGAGATTATCTTCCAGATTCACGTATAATTTGTCATCTGCTTGTAGGTAAAGATGTCTTTGGTTGCTCTAAAATAATAAGATTTTTTATTGTAACAAAATTTTAAATCACTTTCTTTTCATGTGTTCATAGGCAATTCAAATATGAAGTATCTCATAGATACACTATCTCAACTATATGCATTAGATAGAACGAGACAACGTCTTGGTTCTTACTTTTTCTTAAGTGTATGATAAAAAAAACATGTCTAGATTTATAAATTTTGTTGTCATTTGTAAAATGAATGAAGATGTTTTAGAATCGGACGGAACATATTCAGCCAATCAAATCAGCTAGAGACAAACAAATTAGTTCCACTGTCGATTTTATTGCCACTTTGAACGTACAGTACACGACAAGACATGACAAACGTAAAAGTTAACTGGCAACATTTTTGAGACAATAAATAATCTATTGAATTAGTTTGCCACTTTTCTAATAATCCTCGTAATTTTCTGATTTTTTTCAGATATTAATACAAAGATTGTACTTAAAATAAAACATATCTTTTGTATACTTTTGTAGGGAATATATTCTGATAAATTATAATACATTTCGACTTGTTTTTCTTCATATTGCATAAACTCACCATACAAGGATTCACACTAAGTGGACTTTTGACGAAGTCCAATTGAATAATGTTAGAACTGGTATCTCCTTCCACTTTCACCATCCATAATTGATACCCTTCTGTGGCCCACTCCTGTAAAACATAAATAGATTAATTTCATCCAGTCCATTTTTATTTATATGGCCGATAGAGGGGTAAATAATTGTTATACCGAGGACTAGTGGCGACTTGACAGGTTGATTTAGCATATACTGGTATTAGGTGTCAAGAGGGGGAAGAGGATGTCGCATGTGCAGTGCCGTGAACCAAGAAGGGGTGCTAGGTAGGCTAATATTGGCCTTGCCCCTTGGAAACTAATTTCTAATGAAGGTGAACTTGTCACTATGGACCTAACGACATGACTTCATTCTGACCTATTACTAGTACTCCACAAGCTTAAATCAGTAACGAAGGCGGAGTTCATTCATAAAATAATATTACACGTTAATATTACTACATGATACACAATACATATAAATAGAAGTAATGTTAATTATAATTACAGTGCACATACAAATGTAAAATTATCTTGTACATAATAATTTGAAAAGAGTAACTGTTGAGTTTATTGCGAATTGTTCTCAGCAGATAACAACATCCTGCATCAAGCAGTAGAATCATAAAAAAATTGACAATTTAAAAGGGCTCATAAAGAATTGTATTTTAATAAAAATTCTATTTTACACATATATTTAAGATGGGTAATCACATTTCCTTTCCATGAGGAGGGGGGAAAGGATTGTTATTTAAGGAGGGGCTAATATTCATTGCTAGCAACATACCATATTAGAGCATATTAGACCAATCTCCATGCGGTTCTACCTGGAAACCTTCGTGATTAATTCCTATTGAATTCGCTATGATGGACCAACTTTATCCTCACCTAACATCCCTCACTGGTCCCTGTCAGCGTTTACCATTCTATTTTCACTCCATTAAAAAGAGACTGGACATGGAGTTATTTAAAAGGGGGGTAAAGAGGTTTCTTCAAGGTCAGCAACGCGCGCGTAAACCCCTGGTATTGCAGGCCTTCATAGGCTATGGTAACCGCTTACCATCAAGTGGGCCTTATGCTTGTTTGTCACCTCAGTAGTATATAAAAAAAACGCTTTTCAACAAATGGATTGCCAGGCTCGTTCATATTCCGAGTTATAATATATGTAGAGTACCATGCTGGAGACGACGAGCGGGTTGTGCGCGGCGAGGTCCTGGTGCAGGCCGTGGTCCCAGGCCAGCGAGCACACCAGCAGCGCACCGAACGTGCTCCACACCGACACGCCGCCGCACTCCCAGCTCGCCGCCACCGCCCTGCCGTCGCCCGTCCACCTGCACACCCACACACACACACATCCGCACATTTTGGTAAATAGAACACCATAACAGCTAGGGGGGAAGGGATTGTTAGTAATGCGGACTATCAGCCTCATTGCTAGCAATATACCCTATAAGGTACCTCCACGTGGTCCCCCTGGATACCATCGTGCTGAATTGCAAGTGTATTCATCACAGTGGGCTAACTGACCTGCCCTTTCACCTATCATCCCTCACTGGTGCCAGCGTATACCGTTAGCGCAGGCAGGGTTACCATTCCATTATCATCCAATGAGAAAAAGATCACAACAGCTAAGGGGGGAAAGGGATTGTTAATGATGAGATTTAACAGCCCCATTACTTTGATTTCAAATGATTTTTGCGCAATTTTTATGTTTCTATATAAATATACGCACTAATAATACACTATAGCGTCAACTTACCTAATACATTTCACAGGTCCAGGATCACCCGGGAAGTCCTTAGAACTAAGCACCATTGTATGAGACAGCTCTAAGCCGCCTGTCGCCTCGTCTATCGTAAATACATCCACTTGAGAACTGAAAAATACAATTAATTATATTTTTAATAGTGACCTAATACGATTTTGAGGGAGGGACTGTTAATAATGGGGAGGTTAGTCTCCAATGCTCTTCAGATCGACCTTCACGCGGTCCTCCCTGGAACTATTGTGACTAATTTATCGTTGAATTCATCATGATAGGCTAACTGACCTGCCCTTCATCCTCGTCTATCATCCCTCACTGGTGGCCCGCCAGTGTATACCGATAGCGCAAGCGGGATCACCATTCTATTATCGTCCATTAAAAAATAATACAATATAGATTTTTATAATTCACTAACTTCGATTACTCGCTGTACAGATTAATTTTATTGATTCACTTAAAACATTTTTGCAGCTAATTAATAATTTCGAAATTTTTATATCAATAATTCTTTTATAACAAGTACTTATAATAAGTTAACTCCTGTAATCTTGTGCAGGAAACAGAGTAAACTATCAATTTGTAGAAGGGTTTTCAAACAGTAATAATACACTCTTAATAGACCTGTCGACGAAGTTTACAGGACGTCAGCATTAAGTGTCCAGTCCTTCCGGCACGAATGAATCCATATGTTTACATACTTTAAATACTAGTTGTTTCCCTTAGTTTTGCCTGCGGTAATTAGTATGTAAAGTATTCTATTAGTAATATAAGTACTAGGATATGAACTACCCATGTACCAAATTTTATTCAAAGTCATTCAGCCATTTAACCATACAGCGTGATTGAGTAATGAACATAGATCTAACTATATATTTACAAACTATCACACTTATAATATTAGCAGAGAGCTCCCGTGCCTGCAGTGAGACCGTCGTGTTCGTGCGTGATCCTTCTCGTGAGTACTCCGGGCGACCGTCGAGACTCCGAGTAGCGTCTTCCCCAGCACGTCGTGACTCCTGCGCCCCCGAGAGCCCTCCAGAGCTGCCGCCGAGCGCCGTGGGACGCCACAGCCGCCGCTACAGCTCATCACCGAGGAATCAACTGTACAATCGTAAGATTGTACAGTCGGATTCCTCCTACACGTGCCCGCGAGCTTCGTGCTCCGTGTCTTCGTGCCGCCGCCGAGTAGGACGTCCTTTTCAGGACGAACTCGAGGCCGTCAGCCCTTCTAAGGGCTACAAGCCGACGGGGAAATAGCCCGTGCACCTGGGTGCACCAGTGTAGGCACCTGTGTGCTACACGCCAGGGCACGGTCGAGGCGTAGGGCTAGGGACCGTAGGTCGTCGCGGGGGTTCTGTCCCCCCGCACCCCTCTCGGCCGTTCCGGAGAGTGTCGCCTCACGGGGAGGACAAGTGCACTCACGGCAACGGTCGAGAGCACGGTCTTCCCGGCCGTGTCGTCTCTCCCCCCCCCTTCTGCAGTAGGGATCGTTAGTGGGGTTCCAATCCCCACACCCCCCTCTTTCAAACCGTAGGGTGTCGTCTCACAGGGAGACCAAGTGCATCCACGGTGAGACTGAGGGCACCGCCTGAGTCCCCACTTGGGCGGCGTCGGTCCAGCGACCCCTTCGCCCTTCGTGGGCTGCTACGCTAGGGACTTAGGGACCATGTCACAGCGCGGGGGGAAACCCCCCCGCAAACCTCTCGAGCCGGCCAAACGGCCGACTCGCTCTTCTTCCGCGTCGGCGCCCAGCGCGCCGGCGCCCCTGCCGCAGCGGCAAGCAGTGCCGAGGCAGGTGGTTTGTCGGGACCTCGCGGACCCGACAATCAGCAGACCGGTCCCAGAGACAGAGCTGGGACCTTTCTACACCCGCCGCGAGGCAAGGATCGCGCTCGCCAACCGCAACATTGTTGCTGCGGAAGGGGAACGCGCCGAGCCGAGCGGCGATCGGTCTGGCGCCACGCCGTCTACGGCCGCTAAACGCCGCACCCCACCATCGCCCGCTCTCTCGGAGATCCCATCCGAGAAGCGGCTAGACGCCGGCGAGACACCACCGTCGCCCCGTCTCGCTCCCACACCGCGCTACGCGGATCGTGCGTCTCGCTCAGAGAACGCACCGTGCGAGGCGCGCCCGCACTCACGGCGCGCCACACCCCCCCGCTCACCCTCGCCTGCCCCCTCTATGGACAGCGAGGACGAGCGAGTTATGGAGTACGACGCCATCGGCGCCGTGGGACACCCGGACGACGACCTAACGTCGTATGTGGGCATTGAGAGCGTGGATGTCCATGTCCGCACCGTGGGGACACTGTCCCCCACACGTACGTTTGCTGACGCGGCTGCGGCCGCACCCGTGCCGCGCCCCCCTTCCCCTCCAACCCTTAAGGAGGTAAACGCTGCGTCCGCCCCGGGCACAGCACCATCCAAGGAACCTGGGCGGGGAAAATACCCGCCCATTGTCGTCGAATGCTTGCCCAACTGGACGAAGCATTTCTCCGAGCTCACCTACGCACTAGGTGAGCCCCCCAATGCCCGACCATACGGGCAGGGCTTTCGGTTTCTGTGCAAGACGGACAGAGAGTTCCGTGTTGTACAGAACCACCTTACTACAGCCGGTGCCGCAGACCCAGCAATAAGCTGGTTCTGCTACAGCCTCGCCAACGAGCTCCCAATCAAGGTCGCCGTCAGGGGGCTCCCGGCCGACACGCCGTCGGACGTAGTGGCCGAGGCACTTAAACAGCTAAACTTCCCTGTACGCCTCGTACGGGGCATACCTGCCCGTCGCGGCCGCCCAGGATGCCTATTTCACGTCCAGCTCGATCCACTTAACAAGGACGAGCTGGAACGTCTATATGCCACGCAGCAGTTACTATGCATGCGTGGCATAACTATTGAAGGTTGGAAATCCACCTCCTCGCTGGCACAGTGCCACAGGTGTCAAGCCTTTGGACACTCATCGGCCAATTGCCACCGGCCGATCAAATGTGTCCGCTGTGCCGGCGAACACGCGGCCGTCGACTGCACACGACCGCGCGACCAGAGGCCCACATGCGCCAACTGCGCCAAACCGCACACCGCCAACGATAGGCGATGTGCCGTGTATAAAAGAGAAGCCCGCCGCAGGGGTATCCAACCCCGCCCTGCCGCACCCCCACTGCCTGCGGACACACCCGGGCTCAATCGTCGCGGCCCGGCGCCGCTTCAAACGGCCCCGACGCGCGCGCAACGCTCCGCGCGCGCCACAGCGCCCCAACGCTCATTCCTACCGCTGGCACCGGTGCCGGTGTCAACGGTACCAACTATCAAGAGGGGCACACTTATGGCCCCAGCAAATCCGCCCATAGCGAGAGGCGAGGCGCCCAAGCGCCGTAAGCGCAACCGCGCCGGTCGAAAACGCCGCAACCGTATGGCGGCGGCGTCCACACCGCTAGAGGAGGTCGAGACGGCGACAACACGCTTTCGAGCGCAACCGTCTCACGGGGCATTCGCCCCCCCCCAACACCAGCCCCCGATATCGTCTTCTTTGCACGGGGCAATCAATAGAACGAGACAGCAACAACAACAAACTAATGCTGTCTCGTTCGCTCGCCGCCAGACGGCGTCATCAAACTCGAGAGTGCAACAGGTGCGTGCCCGGCCGCTATTGGCCGACGCACCTGTTACACCTAGTAACGTACCTCGGCGGCCGATTCACACGGCACCACAGCCGACTCAGACGCGCGATTTCCCCACTATTACAGTGGATAACGGAGCCCTAAATTTAATACTAGGCCTCCTAGTCGACCTCCTTTCAGCCTTAGCGGCTGGAAAAGACGTTAAGTCGGCGGCATTGTCCGGATTGGCCACAATAAGCCAGTACAGAGGCGCGGAGTAACTCGCTCCGCGTCCTGTACTGGAACCCCGGGGATAAAGGATAAGGTGGACGGCCTCCGTCTCCTTGCTCAATCCCAGGATATCCATTTAATACTCCTGGGGGAGACCAAGTTGGCTCCCAGGGAGACGTTGAGGGTGCCCAACTACTTCGTGTACAGGCGGGACGAGCGGTCCCCCGCAGGTGTAGCTTACCGCGGCACCGCTATACTGGTCCGCCGCGACATTGTGCACGGTGAGTTGGCGCTCCCCGAGTTCCGCGTCATGCGCTCCATTGGAGTTAGCATAAACATCGACGGCGCGGAACTGAGAGTATACGCCGCCTACCGCCCCCGGTTAACGAATTCTGCCCCTCCGATGTCCGGAACGTTCTGGACGGGAGGAGTCCCACTTTACTCATGGGCGATCTTAATGCAAAACACCCGACTTGGGGTAGCCGGGTGATATCGCCTATGGGTACCAGACTCCTCCGTGACGCCGATAGTCACGGTTACGACGTGTTGGGCCCTTTACACCCAACACACATTCCTACCAACCGTCGACAATATCCAGACGTTCTGGACATAGCACTCGTGCAGCGAGTGCCCTGCCCGGTCAATATGGAGGTGTTGTATGACATGGACACACAACACCTCCCAGTTCTAGCCACGCTCGACCTAGGTGCGGTCACCACATCGCACAAGTCGGAGCGGCGGAGTACAAACTGGACGGCTTATCGTTCAAGCCTCCAGCACATACCCCTCGACGGCGACTTTACCACGCCCGAGGGAATAGAGGCCGCCTCTATCGCTATACAAGAGCGCATACAAAGCGCCCTAGAGGCGGCCACCACCACCGTTCACTCGGCGGCTCGTCGTCGAGTCGAATTGCCGGCACATTTGAGCGATAAGTTGTCGCGCAAACGCAAACTCCGCCGCCTATGGGCCCGCACCCGTTGTCCACGGGTCAAGCGTGAGCTTAACTGTCTCGCTGCGGAGCTGTCGGAGGGAGTCCGCGACTGGCGTGGCTCCTCGTGGGAGGGTGTAATCTCCCGCGCGGGCGAACACGACGACTCTCTGTACGCCCTAAACCGACAGCTCACTAAGGCACGACCCCCGTCTGCCCGTTACTCGATGAAACGGGCAGGCGTTGTTACGCAGCTATTGACCGGGCAGAAATCCTGGCCAGCCACCTGGAGGGGCAGTTTACTGCCAATCCGACTGCCGCCGACGCACATAGCACTGTCGTCGAGCACCACGAGCGCGTTGTACGTCGCGTAGGCGAGTTCCATACCGCTCCGCCGCCGGACTTAACGGAGGTTAAATTCGTTTCGCCCGGCGAGGTAAGGCGCATCATCGAGCGCCTACCTAGGCGCAAGGCGCCCGGAGCGGATAAAATTCCCACACCGGCACTCGCCCAGCTGCCCCGTAGAGCATTGGTGTTCATTACCAAGCTCTACAACGGCATACTCCGCACCGGCCACTTTCCTACTAATTGGAAACTTGGCCGAGTAATCGCCCTCCCGAAAGCCGGGAAAGATAAACGTTTCCCGGCCAGCTACCGGCCGATAACACTTCTCCCGCACGTAGCGAAGACCTTTGAGCGCGCGCTGCTCCGCCGGCTGTACCCGTCCGTCACTCCACGGGATGAGCAGTTCGGTTTTAGGGGCGGCCACTCAACAACGCTCCAACTTGCGCGTGTGCTGCATCATTTGGCCGTCGAACATAACCGCGGTCGATACGCCGTCGGTGTTTTTCTCGATGTCGAGAAAGCGTTCGACCGCGTGTGGCACGACGGCCTAGTATATAAGTTATTGGTGCACACAAGCACACCGCAAGCCTACGTGCGGGTAATAGACAATTTCCTACGCGGCCGGAGCTTTTATGTCACGGTCGAGGGCGTGGACTCAGCAGTCCACCCTATTGCCGCCGGAGTGCCGCAGGGCAGCTGTATTTCACCAGCATTGTACGCGACGTACACGGACGACATCCCCACCTTGGGGGATGAGCTCCTTGAGGGAGAGCGTGATGTCGTCCTCGCTCTATTTGCCGACGACAGTGCGTATTTCACGTCGTCGACCAACGCCGACATCGCTGCACGTAGAATGCAGCGACTGTTGGACCTCTTGCCTGCGTGGCTAGACAAGTGGCGTATCGCCGTCAACGTGGGGAAGACGGTGGCGCTGCTAACTCGTAGCCGCACACGTTATCCGCCGCCTCTCCACCTCCGTGGGTTACCCATATCATGGGAGCACTCAGTGCGTTACCTAGGGGTAGAGATCGACCGGTCGCTGCGAATGACAGCACAGGTAAACCGCGCGGTCACACAGACTAAGACCGCGCGGGCCATGCTGCGGCCGGTCCTGCATTCCAATCTCCCGCTGCGAACGAAGTTAGGGATATATAAAACCTACATTCGTTCGCAGCTGACATATGCCTCCCCCGCGTGGTACGCACTGTGTTCTGACTCACAGAGGCGGCGCATGCAGGTCCAACAGAACTGCGTTCTGCGACTGTGCGCAGGCGCGGGTCGTTACGTTCGTAATGACGTAATTGCCCGGGATCTCGCGGTCCCCACTGTGGAAGAGTTTGTCCGCCGGCTGGCACGCACAATGTTCAGCCGGGCGGACAGCAGTCACCACCCACATCTGAGGGACCTCGCACCACTTCACGCGCGCCCACCGGACGCGACACGCGCACTGCCGCGAGATCTCCTGCGCACAGCAGGCACCCCGCAGGGCGACGGTTAATACCGGCCCTGCACGGTCGACGACACACATTTCCATATTTCCCCGCTCACTTTTTCCATTTTTATTTTCCCTAGCCGGCGCTATTCACAATAGTGTCGGCTCAGCCCAACGGGCTGAAATGTATTGACGCACAGGCGGCAGCCTGTGCAGACCGCTCGGGCAAAGGGTACACACCCGAGGCCCGCACCTGCAACCCTGTAAAGGGTTGCGGATGAACCCTTATTATTATTATTATAATATTAATAGCAATCGTATAATAAATCAGTTGTTTACTTACTTCTTTCTCCCGATAGCAATGAGTCTAAATTTGTGGTTAACTCTTGTGCAAGTCGCATCATCGATGCCAGGCGCCCATATACCTTGCACGGCCTTAAATGATATGAAAAATTATTTTAGGTATAATTTAAAAAAAATATATTTAAAAGGAAACGATACATTAATAATACAGGATTACATTAAAAAAAAGGGATTAGCTTATTCTTAGCATAATTTATTTATAGAATATACAATATATCATTATTTCCATTATTCCAATTATGTCAAAAAAATATAGTACTGCTCATGTCTTTAGGCTACATTGACCACTAAGTTGCATAAATAAAAATAAAAAAATATAATAAAATTTTAACGAAACACTCTCTGTACATGGGAGATATTTATAAAACAATTTATATGAGGGGTTTTAATAAGTGCATCCCAAAATAATATTAAAAAAAAAATTTCCAATCGTTCTAGGTATCATGCAAAAAATTCCTCCACCAAATTTGATGCACTTTTCATAGTTGTATTTCTGAAGGTTTAACTTAAAATCTAGTATATGTTTCATTTTGATATACCATCTAGAAGTGATCTATTGCATTGGTTATCTTACATTGAAATCCACGCGTACGGAAGAGCGGGCAAAAAACTAGTTAGCTATACGTGTATACTTTGCTTTAAATGTAGCCATCCTAATTTTAATAGCTGACAAAAACATTGTAGCCTACGATGTGGACTACGATATAGTTCTTACCACCAATTCAGTATCCAGTAATATCTAGTAGACGTCATAAAATAAATATTTAAATTATTTAAGTGCATACAAAATATAATAAATCTGTATAATTTAATTAGAAATATTCAGTTTAAAACTGAAATTTCGAGCACATATCATATATTTTTATAGCTTATAAATTTAGAGTCCGTAGACAGAGTGACGTATCCTTTATCAAAGCACTTTCCTTAATTTTACATTTTGAAAGCATTTCTTTTTTTCTGATTTTTTTCTATTTCGGTCGGCTACAAAATGTCTAGGAGACATTCATAGTGCTCAAGTAGGGCAGATTATTGATGAATATGTTTTAAAAATATTACTAAAAAAACCTAACTGGCCGTGAATACGGATCTTGTCGTTTCCGACTGTACATTATTTTCAATGTACTATCAACTCTCTGGTAACAATTTCAACAACTGCAACAATTACGAGTAAACTAAATTAAATTGTAATGGTTTACAATTTAATTTAGTTTATTTATAATATAACTACCATTTACCTTTCATTAACTGAATTTTTCTATAACGAAAAAAATGCTGGCAAATCCAGTGTCATATGTTATACTCATCAACGCGGGGGGAAAGGGATTGTTAGCAATGGAGTTTGACAGCCCCATTGCTAGCAATATGCTTTATTAGGTCGATCTCCACGTGGTTCCCCCTGGAAACCATCGTGAACAATTCTTGTTGAATTCGTCACGATGGGCTAACTGACCTATTTCATCCTCATCTATCATCCTTCACTGGTGGCCCGCCGGTGTATACCGATAGCGCGGGTGGGGTTACCACCCCATTATCATCAATTAAAAAAAAAACTCATCAACACGTGTTTTCCTTATCACATATAGGATATCACATTTGAACAAAAATTTGTATAGATTATTGCATACGTGTTATCAGTTATAGTTGACAATTAATTTTATCAATTACTAACTGATAACTGCAAGGTAGCATCCGCGTAATATTTTTTAAAAGTCCATTTTTATCATGGGATTTAAATTAAATCTATCTGGTACAATTCATCTAAAACAACAGTTCTGCCCATAAGACGTAATAAGCCTATAAGTAGGAAAACAGACGGTCTCTTGGAGATATAATAACTAGCTCCAATTGTGAGGCTGAAGTAGGATATATATAATTACATTGTATGAGATTTATCACATTTTAAAGACGTGTTTTACAATTTAGCGTTGCTTGTCTTTTGTATTTCCTAAGTAGAGATCTCCCTACAGTGACAGAGTAACAATACAGCGTGTCACCATTAGGGTTTTTATTTTTTTTCATTCTCAAAAAGATGATTAGAACAGTAACAATATTGCAACATAAGAGAAATAAAACTAAATTTCACAACCTTACCAGAAAACTACTCTCCAGTATAGTAAAAATAGTTAAAAAAAAATAAATCATGGGGAGAAACCTCAGCTTTGTTTAGAGCCTGATGATGACGTAGTGGATAGGTACTTTGGAGTATGATAACAAATAAAAAAAAATTTGACACAAAAATACATGCAATTGTCATGTTTATTACTTACATTTGGATCAAATTTGAGATTAGGAGCGGTGAGGTATGCTGCACGGCCATCGTTGAGCGTGATCCCAAAGCCACAAACTAATGGTGAGTATTCTATGTCGTTTACATGTGTGTTATCCTCCAGTATGGGCTCCGCTATAGAAAATATAATAATATTAAATCTTATTTACCAGGTTGCCAAAGAAAGCAGGTCTCTTTTATAGGTATATTAATTTGGTTCATTTGTGAAATGAAAATAAAAAATTTAAGTAGCTTTATACATTTTCAATAAATAGTGTCATATTAATTATTGGCAAGTTATATATTAAGAGATGTTGGCAGTAAAAAAATATTATTCATTGTTATTACTATGACTATTATATTATTTTAGTTATTACTATTAATCAAGTGTTATAACACATTGTTTTTTCAAACAAACAATTGTTTTAAACTAATTATTCTTGTCATTTTTATTTTCTCAAAAAGTTTACATCCTATCCTTCATATATTTATATGTGCTATCTATCTATAGCACATTTATGTAAAAGAATAAACAGTCAATACATATTGGATACTAGAATATTAAATGTGACTAGTAAATCAATAACAGTCATCACATTTCATATCATGAAGAAAGACTATCAGCTTCAGTTATCACCTTTAGAAACTTGTTGATTGATGGAGAACGGTATTCGTCCAAGGTCAAGACAGTAGTCCCTGTTTTGCGAACCGTCCCACCTGTAGCGCAGTAAGTGCGCTCGCGTCGTACACACTAAGATCTCTGTTCCGGAGATACAGCACATGCGAGTTATATGACCATCCCATACTAGCACCTCTTTGAACTGTAGTAAAATAAACATGAACATCATTTTTTATTTATAATGATTATACAAATATAGTTTGTATTAATTGAAATCAACTATGTATTTTAAAAATGTTCCCAGATAAATAGATGATGTGAATATTTAGCATCTAAATATTCATTTATTGACATGATATGAGTAGTTCATTTAGTTATGAGCTTCTTTTATAAATTTAACAAAGTATCACTAATTCAAATTGATAGTTACGTTTTGCTGACTCTCAAATATTCAACTTTATTATGTTATTAGATATAGACGAGCAATGAGACATCCAAAAAAATATTCAACAAACACAAAAAATTTCAATTTTCATTTCAAATTGTACAAAAAAAAACATCCCTAAATAGATAATGTTTGTATTTATACCAGTGTAATTTTTAGTGATGGTATAACTTCTTTGACAAACAACTCAGCAGAGTCCCTGCGTAGGCTGGCCGTAGGTGGGTCATACTGCTGATAAGCAGTCTGCTCGCTCAACCCCTCTACATTGTACAATATCAAATGTCCCTCTGATGTCTGCAAAATTAAGTTACTTCATTATTATAAAGTCAATAATAAGTAGTATAACTTCATAGTTTAAAAAAATTTAAAACAATTCAAAATCTATAAAGTAAATAAAAAAGAAAACATAATTTTCATTGGCTAAGAACAAGTTCAGAAAAAAATTAAACACATATTTCAGAATAAAAATCAACTGAAGTTGGTAACATTTATATGGGATCAATATGGGACTAAACACTTGATAAAAAAATAAACACAAAATTGAGTTCAGAATAGACAATATATAAAAAATTACACAGATAATACATAATAGATGTATGAATATGATATCATACCGAAATACATATCATAGATGAATCTGGTTTCCATTCCACTCCCACATTCACACCTAATCTTTGTAGAGACTCTGCACTTCTTTTATGGTAAACAATTGGCACTGTTGGCTGAAAAGATTATTAATTCAATTTACAAATGTATAAGAATTAATGCTAATGAATACAGTTTTAAATTGTATTTTTCATTATAGGATTCCGAATTTACTACTTATTTCTTTAAATCATATATATTCTATTATTTCTATGAGAGATTTAATTTCCCAATATGTTCACTTAGGATGATACTACTATATGAAAATTACAATAGCAGATTATCATAAATAAAGATTAAGAAAAATAATTAATTGTCATATTTTTGCACTTTTAAGTTATTCAATGGTTAGGAGTAGTGCAGATTGCCACATTTAATTAGATGGTTTGATTTTAAACAAATGCCCTACATATAAGGTTCTTGCTCTAAAAAATTTTATATGTTGAATCAAATAAAAACAGACATTTTAATAAGAGCTTATGCTCATCTGTAAATTGTCATTGACTTATAAAGTAATAAGTACTTCTAATATGTTCTAATTATATAATATTGCGAAATAAAATGTGCTGTGTAGTTTGAATCAGTTTATATCATGTTGAAACATGTTCTACCTACATTAGTATACTTTATTATTTAACAAAGTATAAAAGTATCCACATCAATACATATGACAACTTCAATGACATTATGATACATAAGGAGTCTCAATGCAAGAGAGACTAAAATTTTTAGCCAATTCTGTTCTTGTCTGTCATACAATATTACATGCCATTGTCAATTGTGTGATGTTAATGATCCTACTTGTGTCTATTAGATAGGCCATCAGTTTTTTTGTCATTCCAAGCCACCCATAAAAAAACTTTTTTAAACAGGAATTATATTATAACATTTTTTAACACCTGCCTGCACCTAACATCTAGTATTGGAGAAAGGAATTGTTAGTAATAAGGACTAGCAACCCCACTGTCAACAATGTACTTTGTCAGGACGCCCTCCACTTGGTTCTACCTGGAAATTTTTGGGAAATTCTTGTGGATTTCATCTTCACTTATCAACCTTACCTGGTCCTTCATCAGCATATACCGATAGCACAGGTAAAGTAACCTTTCTATTATCATAAAAATTAAAAGTATGGTATTATTTAAATACTATACTACAAAACATTAACACAACATTGAGTTACTACTATTACTATTACTTATATAGGGAGCAAAAATCATCACAATAACAAACCTTGCAATACCATACACTGAGGCATTCATCACTTAATGATGCAAACAGAATCTTGTCTCTGTTTGATACGATTTGCTTAATAATTTGATTATCTGCACCTAGATTCTTTAAAACTTTGGGCCATCCAATTGGAAAGTACATCTTGACACAAAAACATTTGCTATTATCACGAAGTGGTAACAAAAATTATAAAGACCAAAGGAATAGGCATTGTTCTGTAAAACTAATCTGGTGATACTCGGCGATGACGAAAATATTTTTTAGATAGGTATTAAAATAATTAATAATATTAATGTAATTAAATAATATTGAAGACACAATCAGAAAAACTGTCAACAACTTGACAATGAATGACTGCCACATGACATAATTGTTGATGTTAAATACATAAATGAAGTTGAGCTATTGAAAAACTGTCAAAAATGATTGCATATCGATTCGCGAATCATTGGATGTATTCGAATGTATTTGATAATTATTCTATTATATCGACTTTACCAATTATTTATTCTATTATTAATTTTCTTCATTTCCTATATCGCTTCTACTAATCTCTAAAAACATTTATTTCTAGTTGTTCATTTACAAATCAGTACAATACGATTGTAACAGAGTCTAGCCGATCGTTCAAATTAAAGAGTATATAAGCAGGCTAATGTATAGAAAATGTTATACGGCAGTAGAACCCTATCAAATTCCGATACAACCTGCTTACATACTTTCTATATAAACTGTGTCCAATATATAATCTAGTAATGAACGAACATTTTACATACAAATTTTTTATACACTAGCCTGCTATGAATTGAGAAAAATAGCAACATGGTATATGTTTCGTCCTCGTTTTAAATTATATTTGCATAAAAAGAAAGGAGGCAAAAAAAATTATTTATAGTTTTTATTTTATTGTTCCTTCTATGTAATTCCTTGTTCTTAGGATAATGGTTAATAGTGTTGACAATTTAGTGTATTTAGCAAAAAAAAAAAATTAACTAATTTAATTAATATGTAAAGTTGATTAATAATTTTAAATAATAAAGAAAATGAAATAAAAATTGTTCATGGATAATTACCCCATCACAGAACAGATTTTTTTTGTTATCGTCTATTCCTAAGAACAAGGAATTACATAGAAGGAATGATAAAATAAAAAACTGTAAATCATGTAGTTAGCTCCTTTCTTCTTATACAAATATAATTAGTAAAAAGAGGATGAAAGATACACCCTCAGAGGGAGATTTTGTACAAAAGTCGATTGTTTGGGTACCTCTGTCCCATTCGTGTTTCTACCGTGAAGCAGTTGTGTTTGCATGGCTGTGTTTCGGTTTGAAGGGTAAGATATGGCGTGAATTTACAGGGTACAGAGGAATAACACCTGAGTCCTCAGGAATGGCAACGCATGGGGCGTATCATGGGCGAAACAGTATTTTCTGTTATGTCCATGGTACTGCTCATGTCTATAGGCGATGGTTATCACTTTCCATCAGGTGAGCCGTCAGCCTGTTTGCTATTCTAAGTCGTATAAAAAAAAAAGAAAAAGGTTAGTGTATATAAAATATTTGATATGTTAAATATTTGATAATGACATATTTTACATTATTAGATTATATATTCTACACTGTTTATTTACAAAGTATGCAAGTAGGTTGTATCTGAATTTGGTAGGATTATATAGCCTAATAAAGTGTGAGTCGTAACCCTTGGGAGGACCCCGAGCCTCTACAAGGGGGTCGCAGAAAGTCGCGAAGCAGTGAAAAATCAACAGTTTTGTAAATACATCAATCAATGATACATAATGTAATATCTATATAACAGACATCGATTATATTACTGTTTTAGATATTTTATTATGTATTATTTATTTTATTTTATTGCTATCTAACTGTGAATATAAATACAACTGTACAGATTTCATAATTGTACTATAATAAAATTCATACACATTCGAAACCGTGGAGGGAGAAACCGCAAGATATTTTTACATAATAAGGGGGTCGCGTCATAAAAAAAGATTAAAAAACACTGCACTAACCTGCTATGAATTGAGAAAAATAGCAACTGATAGTGTATGTTTCGTCCTCTTTTTTCTAATTATATTTGCATAAGAAGAAAGGAGGCAATCATATGATTTACAGTCTTTATTTTGTCATTCCTTCTATGTAATTTCTTGTTCTTAGATGGAGCTTAATATGCTGCGAATAAATACATGTACTAAAAACTTCTCCGTTTACGGCAGCCCTTAAGAAATTTATAGTTTAATTTAATCTGTCTTCTTGAAAACATTTTTCAATCTTGTAACCCTATATATATATGGCAAATTGATGCTAACAACAGACACTAATAAATATAATTCTTCATTTTATATTGCAAAATATTAAATAACCCGGTTTATTTACAAAATTCAAAATCCTCGTATTTTAATCTTACAATGCGTGAAATTATTTCAATGACCAAGGTAAGAAAATTAACTCAAAATGTCGAAAGATATTAATTTAGATTCTAACAACCTCTGTATAACGGAGGAAGTATTTGAAAACTTCCAAGCACAATCTTTGTGTGAAGATGAAGAATATATTACGTTGTCGGATATTTTATCACCAGTTCCACGTAGTTCTGATTCAATAGCTGATCAGAAGGAAACATCTGACATAGATGAGTTGTTGTCGATTAAATCTACAGAAATAAACAATGAATGTAATGAACATAAAGCTGCAGGTGGAGATATTCTACAGTTGGATATAAGTGAGAAGTCTACTGAGGACTGTCAGGAACATAAGGTTGCCTCTGGAAGTAAATCAGAACATTTATCTATTTCTAATGTTAATAACTGTGTTCCTGGACAGTCTCAGTCAACATCTAATCAAAATACTTCAAAAAATGATATTCAACCCAAACAGTCCAAAAAAAGGGGTAGAAAAAAGAAAAGTACACTAAATTCAAATACAGTTAATAGCAAAAATATTTTTACTGATGAAAGTATGGTTAGTCAGATCAATAGTATAGATTTAAATAAACAAAAACCCTCACAAGCGAAAAGAGGCCCTAAAAAAAAAGATAAGCCTATTGACTTGGTACAACACAATAATAAGAACCAGTTAATGGAATCTGTCGATTCTGTATGCTTTCATCAACCTAAAGTGTATACTAGAAGAAGTACATCAGCTAATTCTATATCAAAAACTCCTGTTTTAAATGAAAATATTAAACCGAGAAAAAGAGGAAGGCCAAAGAGCACATCACAACAAACAGCTATTAATTCTGACCAAAAAATTATTAGTGAGAACAGTGTTTTATCTGAAGCTTACAATACAGACACTGATCATTCTAGTATTCAAAACAACAAAAATATTAAAAGAAGAGGCCGCCCAAGAAAAGTAATTTCGAATCAGACAAACAATAGTGTTGTAATTCAAAGTACTTCTGAATTGAAATTGTCACAAAATGAATACAAGGATTCTAATGGGAAGAATATATCAACTACCACAATTACTAATATCTTATTACCAACTGAATGTGACAATACACAGATTTTGTCTAAGAATAACATTCTTGAAGATGGTGATAGTAATCTTACTAAAAGTGAACAATGCATTGATAAAGATAAAATTGCAGAAAAAGAAGATTCTGATGATGGAGATAATGTGTCCCTAATTCAGTTAAAAAAGACTCTGGAATCAAATGATAATTCAAATGTAACATTGGAAAACAATGTAATTCCCGATTCCTCTACTGAAACTGATGACACTGTACCATTAATAAAAAATAAAGTAAGTGAAATTGATGGTACACCCACCAAGAGAAATTCAAAGATGCCTATTATGTTGGACTTTGAATATAATATAGACAGCATAGTTAGTCAAGTTAAATCTTATGATTTAAATGAAGAAAATAAAGACAATGATACTGAAAGTTCTTTATTAGTTGAAGACACTTCAAAAAGACCAGTCCGCCGAAAAATTAAACAAAATTTACATTATGATGAAGACTCTGATGAAGATCCATTTGCTAATGTTGAATTATCTGATGATGAACCTAGACGAAATAAAAAAGGTAGTAGATATTACTCAGATGATGAATATATTCCAGGTGCCAAACGTGGCAAATCAACCAGGACTGAAAGTTCTGATAGTGAAGATGTTGCTGAAGAGGGATTAAAAAAACAGAAAAGGAAAAGATTTAGAAAATCAGATGTATCACAATCCAAGAGTCCCCGAAAAAGAGTGAAGAAATGTGACACAGAGAAATTGAGTCAGGAAGAAGTATTGACACCAGAAGTTACTACTATACCACCTAATTCAAGTTGTTCACAGGATAATGACATAGAAATTTGTTTGGAATCGTCTGTTATTAAAGCCAAAGAAGAAATTTCCGATAAGTCCAATTATGAACATGATTTTGAAAATTTTATAGTGAAAAAAATACAGGGTACAAATTTGAAAATAAAGAAATTATCACCCACAGCATCAACTCAAAGTTCAATAACACCACTCGAAATACCTGTTTTAGATGCAAACGATATTAGAAAAACTGTGGAAATGTGCACTCAGACTTCCACAGTACAAAAAAAGGCAGCTGCTGTTCAGACAATGACACCTTATGATGTTCCTATGAAAAATAATGTTACACTAACAAAAGAAAAGGCTCAAAAAGCTTGTGAGTTTTTGAACGGTATTGTTAAAACTACATCTGAATTAGGAGTATTGATGACACAAAAGTCTGAAGACTTTATGAAGAAAAAAATTAATACTGAATATGTCACAGATACATTTAAAATGGATTATTGTGTAAAAAAATCATTTTTGCTTTTTAAACTTGCAAAACACAATTTAATCCAAATGGAAGAAGACTTAGCTAAACAATATGAGGAGTTCTTAAAAATTAATGATTTGCTAATTCATAGAGATGAAGTAAAAACTGTAATACCAAAAGTAAAGATAGATAATAGTGACAGTGATTGTGAAATTGTAGAAGAACCTATTATTACAAAACAACAAAAGCCTCAGGTTAAAGCAAAATTTAATCCTAAAACAGTTTTTCTTAACAAAGAACTTTCAATAAAAATTGCAAAGAAACCAACTGATGAAAAGAAACTTAATATTAAAGGCAAAAATACAGTATGGATTAATGATTCAGTAATGGTAAAAAAAGTGAAACCAACTCAGTCTTTTTTAGCCCAGGACAGCCGAAATAAAAAGCCTCCTGATAATTACATATCATTTAAAATGGTAAGTGATTTTTTTAGGATGTACAATCGCAAAAAAGTTGTTGCTACCTGTGCTCCTTTTGTGTCTAGAGAATGGCTTCATGTAGATAGGAGTTATGTATGCAATTATTTTGTGGTTCAACCAGAAGAGTATCCCACTACTACCAGTTTTAGTAATAACGATGCCCACTATATGAATAATTCGGATAATGATGCTACTATATCTGATGTAAATAAAAACTTCTCAGAAAGAAAATGCCTAAAAAATATTACACTAAAGTCATCTCCAAAAACTCTGTTTTTATTATGCACTGAATATTTACAAAATATCTTTCTGTCGGTACATATTAAGACGAGTGATAATGACTTTGATACAGAAGATTTTGTACAATATAAACAGCCCCATACATTATTTCGTCTTTGTTTAGATAAATTGTCTATAGAACTGGACAAAAATTATATGACTAATAATCAACCAAGAAGAACTGACATTGGTCTTGACTTAGATGAAATTGATAGCAGTAAGCAGATTTACCAACAAACAAGTGATCAAGCTGAAGTTAATATAAAAATAGACAATCTTCCTGTGAAACTTACTGAATATACTGAAATTAAATCACTACTGCATTCCAAACCAGTAACCTCAGATTTGACAATCCAAGATGTTTTTTGCACTGATCAAAAAGAGTTTAGTGAGCTTGATAAACATATTAAAATCCAAACTTTGTTTTCTTTATGTGTGGAGCTGATACAAAATAAATTAAAACTACCAGACAGTAATAGAACAATTATATTTCAACCTAATTTACTTAAGTATATTGTATATAAAAAAATTAAAGAATTATTATATGACAAAAAAGAAAAAACATATGGAAATATGAATGATTACAGAATAAAAGACAAGGAAATATGTTTTACTGATAATAAAGTTAATACATTGAGCAATATTTGTTTAGAATTTATTAACACATATTTTATTAATAACAACAAAATTGCTTCTCCTATTCAATCCATGACTATAAACTCTGTAAATACGATGTCAGAGGAAGCATTTTTAAACATTGAAAACCCATCCCACATTTATGAAAATTTTGAATATTTTGATGACGAGGATAGTACTTACTATGCCGATGAATGTGATCAAAATGAATATGAAGAAGCTTCTGTTGTAGAAGACAGCAACTGGGTAAATCAAATAAAAATGAAGGAATTGCGATCTTATGTTGATCCGCTTCAATCTAATGTTATCGACAAAAACAGACAAGATGAAACTTTTACTCTCCCATTTATGGTTCACATCAAAAGTGAACCAGAAGATGAATTTCCTAATACTTTAGTGGATACTACCATTATAAAAAGTGAACCAATTCAAAATTTTAATGGAATTAATATCATACCAGAAAGCATAATTACAAAAAAAGAATTAGATTGTCCAGATAATATTGTAGAGTCCATACAGAGACGAGACAGCAATAGTTATGATGTTGACGAGTTTGAATCTTTTGTAACTTCACATAAAGTGATAAAGTTTTCAGATACTACTTCTAAAAGAGACATATTTAGTCAAAGTAATTTGAGAATACGAAGACAATTTGAACCTGATTCAGATCTTTTGGAAAATGACATGGGCTTATTAATACCACATACATTTGAACCAATGAAAATAGATAAGGTGAAGGACAGACTTATGGAAAGTAGTTCTGATGAAAATAACAGTAAAAAGACGCTAACTAAAAAGAAAATTGAGAAACGTAAGAAGAGGTCCAAAAAAATGGAAACAAAGGCAAATAGCAAAGATGCAATTGAGGCTACAAAAAATAAAGCAACACCACCAATCAATGAAGTTGCTGTTTTAACAAGAAGAATGAGAGAACGAATAAGACAAGAACAAAAGAAAATAGAATCATCAGATTCTGAAAGTGAAAATATATCTCTGTCATCCAAACGAAATAAAAAGAATGTAGAAAGTACTATTGACACTAAACAAAACTCTTCTAAACACAACAAAGTTGTTTCAGAAGAAAAAGTGGAATGTAAACAAACTTCAACAAATAAAAACAAATATGAAGCAGATCAGATTCAATGTAACAGTGTAGATTCTACTGCTAAAATTGGTGATGACTTAGATAAAAGTAATGGCCCTGATATTAATAAAGAAGAACAATTCACTGGTTTTTCGGCAATGGATCAAAACGGAATGTTTAATTATCAAAAATATGTAAACTATGTTTATGACAAAATTATTGCTAGGGAGAGTTCTGAAAAACAAAATGAAACTGAGAATCAATCAAAAACTAATGAAAGCAGTGACGTCATCACAACTAATGATAGTGACCGACAATCTCCTGTAATAAATTATGAAGATCCACCAGAATATCTTGTGTGTCAACCAACAATGCCTATATTTGATAATGATACGATTAATTTAAACAAACGTAGTGTAGTGAAAGCCTCTCCAAAAAGATATAAAACTAAAGCACCTCAAATTGAAGAAAGTAAATTATATGTTGAACGTTATGGTTGGAAATGCTATCCGGTCGATATTAATGATACGAAAATATACCAACATTCCCAAATTATACTGGAAAAATTACCAGAATCATTTGTACAAACTTATTTTAAGTATCAAGTCATAGCTAATAAAAATAAGGATGATGAAGAAGTTGAAAAGTGAGTAACATTGTTTAGTTACATATTTTATATATGAGCTACATTTGAGCAAACTTTTATATATATAAATATATGTTTTATAGGTTGACTAACTTGCAGTCTTTAAATAGAATATCAAATGCAAAGGATGGTAAGAGTAAGGGAACAAAATCTAAAGTTTTATCACAGCAGACCATAGATGAGAAAAGAGTATTAACTCAAAATTCTACTTCCAACTCTAGACCAAATTCTCCACTCTCTGATCACTGTCGTGAGCTCACACCTTCTGAAGATGAAGGGGAACAAGTCGAAACAAAATTATCACCATTGGTAAGTTTTTTTTTTTTGATAAATAAAACAATAAGTTTACGACTTTAATCTCTAATGAAGTGGACAGAGATATTTAATTTATGTTCAAATTATATATTAAACCAATATTATGAATTAACTAATTAATAATCTCTATGAAAATTTACAGTTTCATTATGAATTTATTGACAATAATAATTTTCATATTCATTTTATCTGACTGCAATTGCAATTCAAATCTTGTAATGGATAGGATGATTACACATAGGTAAATTGTACTAATAATTTAGTCAAGTAATTTGAAGCATGGTCCAGACTGGTGGCGCGTTGTGAGCTAGTAGATTCTCGATCTCTCTAAAATATACGTTGTTGTATGCAATAATGACTGGCTCATCTATCATACTGAACGAATGCTACTTGTGGGGACATCATCATCTTCCTACCCTTATCCCAATTTTCATTTGGAGTCGGCGTAATATGCTTTTCTTTTCCATTCTTCTGTGTTCACAGTCATTTTTGCATTCTTAATTTAGCTACTCGTGGGGACAAAACATATATACAAAACATATATATTCACAGTACCCAAACAAATGTAAAAATATTTTGTACATAGGTAAATTGAAAAGAGTAACTATTGTGTTTCTTGCGGGTACAACCTCATAACCAAAACAAATCAAATCTTATTTGAACTGAAAGTACAAACCAAAAGTTACTAATTATACATTTAATATACGGAGTAATCAAAAGCTGTGCATCCTGTGTCAATCTACGATTTCTCATAGCATAAGTTGTCTTAATGTAGAAATTAGGCATTATGTACGATTTATACTTATTTTTCAGCCTTCGAAGCAAATTGAAAATAATTTAGCGAAAAATTCTCTTATGAATGATAAAGATAGTGAATCTGACACAGAAAAAAAAGTACGCATAAAAATCGAACCGGATTATGATAAACAGTTGAAGGAAAGAAAAGTGAGCACCAGGTCTAAAAGCAAGCAAGAAACAGTTGAAAACCCTGAGTCTCTGATGTTGACTGCTGATAAGATGATGAATAAGGAATTAACAATTTTACACGCGCCGGTTGTACTTGCTGAGAAAGACGCACCAGACACTTCTGTAAGAAGGCCAGTGACTAGAAACAAATGGGTAAGTCCTAAGAAATGACTCATCATCATCATCTCAGCCAGAGGGAGACTTTGTACAAAAGTCGATTGCTTGGGTACCTCTGTCCCATTCGTGTTTCTATCGTGAAGCAGTTGTGTTTGCATGGCTGTGTTTCAGTTTGAAGGGTGGGATATGGCGTGAACTTACTGGGTACAGAGGAATAACACCTGAGTCCTCAGGAATGGCAACGCATGGGGGGTATCATGGGCGAAACAGTATAATCGTTATGTCCATGGTACTGCTCATGTATATAGGCGACGGTTACCACTTTCCATCAGGTGGGCCGTCAGCTTGTTTGCCATTCTAAGTTGTATAAAAAAATAATTAATAAGTTACAGTATAATCAGTTGTCACGATTGCCTAATATTAATATTGATATTAACACGACCTTAAACAAATTCAAATCCACTTTGTATAAATTCTATAGTTTAATTTAATCAGTTTAATAACAGCATGGCATGTATCATTGCACATATGTATAGATATAAGTGTACAAATCTTTCATATTTCATATATTATGAATAAGCGTGTCGTGGCGGCCTTTAATTGAGGCAGCATTTTATAATGTAACCATATTATAATGTATTTTAAGTAGATATAAATGTATGCTTTGTTGGTTGTCCTTAAATAAATAAATAAATGATCTTTTCTACAATACGAATATAGTTTTAAAAATATCTCTATAAGTATATACGAGGTTTGTCCGGAAAGTACGTATAAAAGTTTTTTAAAAATTTTATTTTACAATTATTCAGGTAAATCAATTTTATCCCCTTCAAAGTACTCCCCCTGTGACATAATGCACTTGTGCCAACGCCGTTTCCACTGTGAGAAGGCTCCTTGAAAGTCCTCTGGTTGTAGGTTTCTCAGCTGCCCCGTCGTAGCTTTTTTTATCTCATTTATGTCCCCCAAATGCCGCCCCCGAAGTACCAATTTGGTTTTTGGGAACAAGAAGAAGTCACACGGGGCCAAATCCGGCGAATAGGGGGGTGTTCGGTCACCGTAATGGAATTTTTACTCAAAAACTCACGGACAACAAGAGAGGTGTGGGCAGGGGCATTGTCGTGGTGAAGAATCCAACGCCCCTCTCGCGCCAATTCTGGACGAACTCGTGCCACACGAGCTTTGAGGCGTCTGAGCACATCGACGTAGAATTTTCCATCAACTGTCTGGCCTGGAGCGACGAATTCTTGATGGACAATCCCCCGAACATCGAAAAAAACAATCAACATTGTCTCGGCCCTCTCTGAATCTTTTTAGCCACTTGTGGACGGTTGGTTCCTTCACAGCATCATCCCCATAAACTGTTCTGAGATCGGCAAAAATTTCACGGCCATTCTTGCCGAGTTTCGAGAGAAACTTGATTACGACGCGCTGCTCTTCAACGGAAGCGGGCTCCATGCCGACGGGGTTTCGTTAAGAGGTAACTTCACAGATGGCGTGACAAGCCAGTTCGCACCGCACGGCGGTCAGACCAGAACTGAAGCATTGTTAGGGACATAAGGAAGGGGTCCTGCGCTTACCTGGCCTCCCCACTCCTCTTTCTCGCATTCCAGAACACTTTTATACGAACTTTCCGGACAGACCTCGTACTCCGAAGAACGTTTTCCTTTTTACTTAATAATAATAAAACATAAAATTTTGTAGTAGGTAAATTAATAATCACTTTCATATTATTATTGCCATATTCTCGATAGAATTTTTAACATCACTTTCAAATATCGATTTCCACTTTGGCTCCTTTTGCAAAGATAATAAAAAAATATATTTGTTATGTATCTATAATGACGGTAGCTCGTAATTTTTTTTTTTACATCAACTGTCATCTACTGAACATTTCTGAAGCATTCAATATACAACTCAGTCCGCGATGGTCATCGATTCATTTTATACATTACAATATTATAAATAAACAATTTTTTTTTCCTTTTACAATAACGTTGGACCCACTGTCTCGTATCAGAGTATAAGGGTTCCTTTTCGATACGGAACTTAATATTCAATATGATTTTTTTTTCGAATTAGAAAAATACATCAAAGAGTCAAATGAATCGAGATAATATAAAACAAGAGGAAGATTCCTCATCGGAAGAAGAAAAACAATGGGTCACAACAAAAGAAAAACTTCTTAAACGATTGGAAAAAAAACAGGAGACCGCCATGTAAGTGACATAGTTTAATAACATCTTGTTTATGTGAAACTTGTAAACATTAATCATAACGAAATAAAATTATTTACATTTATGATTAATTAATCGTATTGTCATATTTAATTTCATACACTGCTGAACATTGGCTTCTCCCTATCGGCGGGGGTATTGTTAGTAGTTTCTACGCTTTGTAAGCCGGTTGGCAACTGTTGTTAGGATTTGTTGATGTTTAAATAGTTAGATTAGTTAAGTTCCCTTAGTTGCCTTTTACGACACCCGCGGGAAAGGAAGGAGTGGCCCATTCTATGCCGGGACCACACGGCAATTGAAATATTTAAGAGATTATAATATATTCATAACTATAACTCAGCAGGTCTACCATGAAATGAAATTCCGAAATTTCGGACTCAATTTTGTGTTTTTGTTTATACCAAAATCGGATCGATAAATGGAGTTTAACATTTCGTTCGACGTACATCTTATCATAAAAGTCCAAAGGAACAATATTTTAACATTTTTAATATTTCCAAACGGCATGTATTGTTATTTTAACATCAAATTTGTGTTTCGTTTGGCTCCGAAATTTCGGAAAACATTTCATGGTAGGCCCTCAGAAGATGTATAAACAATAGTACAGTGTATTAAATATTTGTTGTTTGGAATAAAAATGTGTATATATACATAGGTGCAACCGAAATCGCTAGCAACCTATCTACCAAGGAAACAACATTTTTACCAAAGAAAAGTGATAAAAATGTTATCCTTCTATCTTATTATTAACACGGCGAGTTCAGCTAACGAGTTAGTATGGGAGAATCAAAAATTGGCGTGTTTGAATTTTTAATTAACTGAATTGCATTAAATTAGATTCTTAGTTTTGCATACCGCTAATTATTTCACTATATGTATGACTTATTATGGCGCGGCGAGGGATTGCCTTGGTGGTTTTAGCCGGTAGGAGTCCGGTAGTACACATATGCTTCCCCCGGAGCGTACGGGTCTGCATGATGCTTTTCCCCACGTTAAAAAAAAAGACATTGGGGTTGATGCTATAACATATTGCATTAGGAAGAATTGCAGTATTAATATGATATTTTACTTTTAGCGCTGACGACGCGAAACGGGCTAAGATTGTGAACGAGTTCATTGAGAGACGCGGTGATGGCCCCGAGCTTCGTGTAAAGCCGCAGAGACGCCCGCGCAGATCTGTTAAAAAGCGGCTCGAGAGGCAAAAACAACTTCGGTACTCCTATTTTATTTTAAACTAACTATATCCCGCGACCTTGCCCGCGTGAATCAGTATATAAAGAATCCTATGTTCTTAGTTAAGAAATTTAATTTAAATCCATTCAGTAGTTTTCGTGAGAGATTAACAAACATTCATCCATACATTCATTCTCACAAACTTTCGCATTTATTATAGTTACATACTAGTGGAGCCTGCGAATTTCCCCGCGTGGTGGTCGAAATTAATTAAAACAAATACTATCACCATTTAAAGAATATTTATTTATTTACACTTTATTGCATAATTTTTAAATAAGTAAATACATTTAATTGTAATGAGAAATGATACAAAAGGCGGCCTTATCGCTAAACAATGTCTTCCAGACAACCTTTGGATAGAGGACATTGAGAAAAAAAAGGGTAGATATTTTTCACAAACAGTACATATCTATAGTTCACCGAATATGATTATGAATATTTGGTAATTACGATATTTTATTTACAAACATATAACTAAATTATTTGAAATTATAATGTTCTGACATAAAAATAAATAATGTTTGACACCTTTACAGCATACTATCAAAGGAACTTTTCGGTGAGTCTTCGGATCCTGTGCAGCCAGGCAAAAGGTACCACCAACCGTACACAAAAGGACGCCGTAATATAAGAAAGGTAAGTTAATAATATAGACACTCAGTTACAAAATTATATTAATCAAAATTCCTATACTTTTTTTTTTTTTACTTGACAACTAATTTAAATATACCAGCAGTTTCTCTTTATCAGATTTTATTTTTCGCGCATAGCTTCTTTGTATTTTATATGAGGGTAGGCGCATATTTGCGTATTTGACACAAGTAGATATCAGTCAAAGTAGAATTATTCCGTTGTCTACATTAAGAAGACGTTGCTTAAACAATTCGCAGTGTTTTTGTTTTATTTATGGTTAATATTTTTTTAAAAAATATATAAACTCGTTGATAGGATTTGTAAAAATCAGGTATACCGCCTACTTAAAATTTCGAGGGTGTAATTTGTACAAGCCGTGCGTGCCTAAAACTGTTCGTCAAAATTATGTGGATAGTTTGCGACAATCAAGTGGAAAATGAAGTCCGCTGAAGTTCACAACCTTCACCTTCTTGGCGAGAACCTAAAACCACTCTGATGATTGTTATTGTGCCTTTTTGATTGTAAATGGTGTTAAACCAAATAAATTGATTTCTCCTAATTTACTATTTGTCAAACAACTAATTTAGTTCTTATCTTGTCACCAAAGCATGTAGTTTTCTCAGTGCGTAAAACCTCATTATTTAAACTCTCATCTGGACCATTTTTCTGAAAAATTTTACAACTTTTGTGATGAACAAGGAGAACAATTCCATCAAGAAATTTGTTCTATTAAGTAAAGATATGAATGGACTGGAATATGCATGCGATGACAGATTACTTCTGAAGAATGAAACGAGAAATCTCGTTCAAGAAAAACATCAAAAATAAATATCAAAATTTTGGACTTTTTTTCGTTTTTGTAAAAATGGTTTTTGTTTTTAGAGTCAAGATGCCAAATGCTTACAAAAAATAGCTATTTAACCTTTCAAGGGGAAAAATATAACAATATAAAACCAACATTATATATAGACCCTTTTATTAACTATTATTTCGACTTTAATTTTGAGCCGGACAAATTGTATTCTTATGGCTATGGGATGAGGTTGTAGTGTACACACACTTAGTGTTATGTCATACGTGTTCATATATAATATAAATATCTTTAACTTGGGGGAAAGGGATTGTTAGTAATGAAGTCAAATAACCCCATTACTAGCAATATACCCTGTCAGGTCGACCTCCACGTGGTTTCCCCTGGAAAACATCATGGCTAATTCTAGTTGAATTCGTCAGGATGGGCTAACTGATTTGCCTTTTCATCCTCACCAATCATCCCTCACTGGTGCCCCGCCAGTGTATACCGATAGCGCAGGTGGGGTTACCATTCCATTATCACACATTCAAAAAAATATATCGTTAACTACCGACCCGCTTTTAATGAATCATTTGTAACAAATTCCTAGAAATCCCATGCAGATATTTCGACCGAAGTTGGCCGCTAAAGAGACACCAAGATTTCTTTTTTTTACAAACATTTCTAAATTTTTGTTTACATCCACACAGATGGTCAGCAACTATACCTTGTAGTAGACCTTTACCTATTGTTTATAGATATCAGCTACGTAGGTAGGGAAGTGTGTACGTTTTTTATGGTTCAGTTACAAAGTGATATTTTGAGCTGCAACTGAGTTTTGTAAACTTTTGGATAAGTATGACTGCCTCGACGCACATTAACTAGCTGGAGGTGAGCTTACTTATACGGAGAAAAAATAAATATTGATTATTATATTAAAAGAGGAAGAGGAAGACCGAGGAATAACTACATGGGACAGATAAAGGAAACACTAGGCGTCATGTCGTATAGGGAGATCAAGGATATGGCCTGGGATAGAGCTAGCTGGAGGAAGATGCATTAATTAGTTGCACCGACAAGAGGAAACTCTTAAATGGAAAGAAGAATATTAAATGCTGACAAAATGATATATGAGTACGTACGTTAAAATCACATCCTCCATATATATGATTTTAATGTACGTACATATCATTCTTATTTTAAAGTTTCAAAATGAAAAATGTTAATCTAAATATTATATTTGTATTAATATTTAATATGTAATAATAATAGTTACTTCCACTACTTGATTCACCAAAATATTATGGTGAAACGAATTGTTTTTTTGTATTTTCTGAATGGATAATGCAGTATGTGTTTAGCTTTATGTCATATGTGTCCTGTGTAATATAAATATCTTTAACAAAGGGAAAAATATTAGACATAATCCGTGTGTTTCACTCGTCTCCAACCTCCCACCTTACAAGGTTTACTCTGATTGTGTGTTTTTTTAAATTTTGTATGGAAAAATTGAATTATAACTGCAGGTTTTCTTTTCAGTTAGTTTTTTTTATGCATATTTTTTTTCAGGTCATAGACAAGAAATCTTTGGCGCGCAGCACTGTGTTAGCAAATATGGAAGAACTAGAAAGAAAACGTAGATTGAATATGAAACAAAATAGATTGGTAAGGCAATTTATAATTATTTATTTGTTTATTTGAACAATTGGGTGAGCTTTACAGTCTTCCAGTATGCTTACCCATATGCATATTATTTATACTATTGTCAACCCAAGAACAATATCATATTCTTTAATAAAGTTACGTCGCTCGTCCATTAGTTACAGTTATATATAAATTGTCATTATAAATAGATAAATATTATGTTGTAAATAACAGTTGTAAGTAATCTTAGCGAAGTGAGATAATGTTGCAATATTCTGGCAATTTCTCTTCTTTATATATTCAATTTGATTATATATTTATGTTTGTTACCTCAGAACTCGGTCATTTATAAACCGATTAGGATTTTTTTTTTTTATTTGAAAGAATATATATAAGTACTTTCAGATTGGTCCAATACAAATTTTATCAATATCGATTATTAGTCTAGTTTCTAAATCAAAATAACCAGTTTTGCCACGTATGAAGTAATTTATTTTTTGTGGAGAAAAATCTTAAAATATCAATTTTTAATTTAACATAATAAAATCAAATTATTTCTTTGTAGAGAGAACTGCTCGGGTTAGAAGAGGGTGTAAATGTTCTAGTCATAAACGATGAGGTCTGCTTGGAGTACGATTTCGAACAAAATCAGCCCGTCGTCACAATACATCCATTCTTCACCAAGGTCATGAAAGCTCATCAGGTAAAAAGAAACTTTATATATATTATATGACAATTTATTTCATATATTTGATCGAAAATAACCATAAATCATTGTGTACTCTTCCCTTTATTATTATTTAATAGAATAGAAATATTTCTTATACAGGTAAACTGAATTTTATAGCCAAGACATTTGAGTTCAGTATTATTTATGTCTTGGTTTTTGTCTGCTACTTCGTACGTGTGTTATTCAAAATTAGGAAAATTAATGAAATAGACCACTTCTAGATAACGTATTACGTTAAAACATACACCAGATTATAAGTTACGCTTTAGGAACACAATTGTAAAAACTGCATACAATTGGATGCAGTAATTTTTGTGTCATATTAAAACGAATATACAAATAAACAAACTAAATTAAAAAATAGTTTTGACTTCTATTGCCCTTATTAAGACTCATCAATATTTTTTCTTAAATATCTCTCATGTACAAACATTGTCTCCCATGTAAAAACATAATTTAGAATGTCATATTAGCTGAGGAAAATGGATAAAAAACACAGCTACTGTTTTTTTTTTTTTTTAAAGTTGCTTTTAGTTTTTAATTTTGTATTATTGAATGATTATTTGCTTGAATTAAATACATTAGAAGCATTTTATATTAAAAAGAGAATGCTGTATGAAGTGCAAATATTTAAAACTACATATGTATGTATGTATTTGGACAGGATTATAAATTATTGATGAATTGAGCGTTATTCTACTTTACGCAGTACGAAGGTGTGAAGTTCATGTGGGACGCATGCTTTGAAAGCCTGGCGCACATAGCAAGCGGCCACCGCGGCGGCGGCTGCATCCTCGCACACTGCATGGGGCTCGGCAAGACGCTGCAAGTGCTCGCGCTGCTACATACCGTATGTATATCTGCTGTCATACACAAGCATGTCTCAAGTGTTTTTTATGATTTTCAGAATAGCAAACCAGCTAATGGCCAACCATGTAAAAAATGTAACATCGCCTATAGCAGGAGTCGGCAACCTGCGGCTCTTGAACCACATGTAGCTCTTTGGGCGTGAAGTTGCAACTCTTTAGTTCCATACGCAAATATTACATATTTCTTTAATAAAAATCGTTCTAAATCGATTAACAACGATTATTGTTGCCAAGAAAACTTATTATATAGCGGCTCTTTAAAAACTTTGAAATTTTGTAAATTGTAATTGTTTCCTCTTCCGATTCAAAAGGTTGCCGACCCCTGGCCTATAGACATGAATTGCTTCTTGAACATTATAGAATAAATTGTTACCCATGCTATGCGTTTCCATTCCTGAGGACCATGGTGTTATGCTTGCAAACTACGTATTTTTTATACCACTGAGATGGCAAACAAACATACAACTCACCTGATAATAAGCGGTTACCGTAGCCTATGGGCAGTTGCAGTACCAGAGGTATAACGCGCGCGTTGCTGACCCTGAAGAAACATCTACAGATGTTTCTTCAGGGTCTTCAAAAATAGGGTACACCCTATTTTTGAAGAAACCAATGCTGTAGTACTTTTGGAAAAACCTCAATCGGAAGCTCATTTACCCAATTTAAAGCATAGTCATGTAAGCACTGCTGTTTCACGGCAGAAACACAGATGGGTTAAAAGTACACATGCAAATGACTTTTACACAAAGTTTATACAACTTGTTATTAAATATGTATTTTAAAAACATCAATGAAAATATTTTTAAAAAGTTCTATAGTTTTGACTGTCTTATGCTTTGCTCAAACGGTGTTGCCATGTTCAAATCAACCGGTTTGCCATTTGTAAATTACTTTAACGATGTTTTATACTATTTATTTTTAATTATTTATTAAAGAAAAATATTCAATAAAGGTACTGACACATCCGGGCGTTGGTATGCAACGTGTACTAGTGTGTTGCCCGCTATCCACTGTTCTCAACTGGGTGGACGAGATACACAAGTGGATTGGGCCAGTCACCGATCAGATTAAGGTCAGTACTACTAGTGTTTAAGTTCCACATTATATGTCATTTTTGTGGATTAGAATACAATAGAAATTTATTGTATAATTGTACCCATACTACTAGTTTTGTTTAGTCTGGTGCTAGATGGCGCTGTGTAATGTCCAAGGATATTAATTAAAATTTATTTTAGAGGATTGGGAAAATGATTAAATATTAAAATTTTAATGTTTATTTTTCATAATTTTGTTTCAAGCAAAGGAAATTGCGAAGAAAACTTCAGGTCAGTGCTAAAAAAATGCAACTTTAGAAAGAAATTACATTAGGTGTTAGATGTAACTGTAATCTGTTTCAATAAAACTTAATGAAAAGTAAACAAGTTTCCTTGAATTTATCACAGTTAAAATACCGAAATATTTAATCAGTTAATCTATTTTTTATTTGTGCTGCTATTTGACATCAGCTAATATGTCCTATTATTATTATTTTTAGATTTTTATTAAGCTCTATTGAATCAAATTTCAACACCTAATGTTATTTATAATCCCTTCTGTCTTTCTTTTTTCGTTATATCTTATTTTAAGTTCAGTTAGTTTTAAATATATATAATCATCTGTGAGATAACTGAGTAAGACTTCAATATATTACCACTCTTCTACCACAACGTCAAAGAGGTGTCTAAAGGCTAACATGTCATCTTGTTTACCTACGTGGTCTTAATAGTAGGCTGTTTTCCTCTGCTTATGGAGAGGGCATTACTCAGCAATGGAACGTTATCATCACCACTGTAACAACCCATTAACGTCCTTACTGAACACGGGGTTTTCTTCATAAAATGAGCAGATAGCCTGTTTTATCACACTGACTCGATATGAGGTTTTGTTTTATTTCTTAGTTGGCTCTTATGACTTCCTAGAGATAAAAAAGTTGTGACGTATGTCTTCTTACACTTTCACTACACGGACAAAGATTATAAATAGGTTTTACTTTATTAATAGGTTTAAAATCATTATTTCTACAGGTATTCGAACTATCGAAGCTAAAGAAAACGTACGAGCGTGCTTACCAACTCGAAGACTGGTATAATGGAGGTGGTATCTTCATAATCGGCTATGAGTTGTTCCGTAACCTGAGCACACTGGACCCAGTCCTCGACGATGTCCGCCCGACTATTGTCAACAAAATTAGAACGGCTCTACTGGATCCAGGTCCAGATATAATTGTGTGCGACGAAGGCCATTTACTAAAGAACGATTGTTCGGTCCTCGCGGTAGCAATGAGCAGGGTTGTCACAAAACGTAGAATTATATTAACCGGTACGCCGATGCAAAATAATCTCCGAGAGTATTATTGCATGGTGGATTTTGTGAAGCCGAATTTACTTGGGACGTATGCGGAGTATTCTAACAGGTAATAATTTATTTTTAGTCGTTTTAGAATATAAATTTTCTTTCCATTTCGCTAATTTATCTATTCTAGATTTGATAATAGAATAAAAAATCACAATTAAAATAATAAGGAGGGGTTTTAAGGACATGTATTTGGTCAGAGCAAAGTGACACAAGTGATGAGTAAAAATAATAAATTAATATTATAATATTTTAAAAATGGTAAACAATATAAAAAGCTGCCAGTTATTCACATTGAAGGTTTAACAATTAAACTTACTACTAAAAAATGAAATACAATCAAATTAATTTATAAGGGACTAGTCGTGGATAACTATAAAAAAGATTTCTGTTGTCTTCATATAATTCTTATATTTTTTTATTTGTGCTTAGATTCGAAAATCCAATAATGAACGGACAGCACCGAGACTCCAGAGAAGAGGACATTAAACTAATGAAGGCGCGGACACACATCCTGCACAAAGTGCTAGAAGGATGTTTACAGCGGCAGGAAGCTTCCGTTCTATACCCATATTTACCAAAGAAATATGAATACACTGTGTTTATTTCGCTCACTAAGTGTCAATGGGATATGTATAAGCACTACTTGGTCAATTATACCAAGCAAAGCAAACAGAATATACTAAAAGATTTTCATGTACTACAGAAAATCTGGTCACATCCACAGGTGATGCATAACTTCCAGATTCGAACAAGGGATGTGCTCACCAAAAAAGTTAAAGGTAATTATAATTTTATTTATGGTGTTGAATTTCATATTTTATAATTTAATTTTACTTCTACCCTACTTCCATTCTTTGTCTGTGAGTACTACTTTTTGTTTTTGCTTTTTTTTTTCTTTTGCATTAAGGGCCGTGCTATCGTTCAATTTCTGTAGGGATGGTAGATATATACATGTTAATACATGTTTTTCTATTTTTACCATTTGACATTACACATGCTTTAGAAAATACCGAACAGTGGTAAGTATGAATAACTGAAGTTTCCTTCAGCAACTTTGACGAGTGATCAGAAAGCACAACTTGTAGAGTGATGTCGTGCCATCTGTTCTCTATTCTGCCTTTTGAATTTGGCTTTTGTAAACTTCCTATTTTTTTTATACCACTGAGGTGACCAACAAGCATTCGGCCTACCTGATGGTAAGCGGTTACCGTAGCCTATAGCATGTAAGCAGTATTTAATCCTCGCCTCGCTTTAGAGACACTAGGGCCTTAACTCGTTAGTTATGGTTCGCTTGTATCTGTTGATACGAGCTATGGTCCTAGACTCATATATAAAGTTTGTTTAATCTAACCCATTTTCAAATAATTTATTTTTAACCTCAACAGTAATGTACTATTGTTATTATATTTATTTTATATTCTAATTATACCAACTTTATACCGACCAGTTGAGAAACTAGAAGATGATTTGGCTACGGAAGATCTGGGCGCCTCCGAGGACATAAAACCGACCGACACTGAGGTGTGGTGGCTACAGTACTTAGAGAACGGTGCAATGCTCGACTCTCTCGATAGCTCAAACAAATTTGTCGTAGTATTCCGTATACTCGACGAATGCCTCAAACTTGGGGACAAAGTGTAAGTACCACACTATATTGATTTATATATTTCTGGATAATATACAGCTTAACCTAAAATTAAATTTATATTTATAAAAATATTTTTTTATGGTATTTACAGAAATTTATTGTAATACTTGTGTGATTTTCTGTTATTTTTGTACACACATTATTCTAAAATTGCTTTGAAAACCTGCTTTTAGCATTATTTTTATATTATTACTAATAACAATCGTATTTTCGCATATTCTGTCCTATTACTATTTTAAAAATCTGCCACTTCTTTACGTAATATTATGGATTTGAATGAAATTTAGTATACAGATTCTAACTTAGAACATAAGATACTTTGTATACTGATACACACGGGCGAAGCCGCGAAACACAGTAAGTCTATTATATGTGTATTAATGTGTGATAAAATTGTAGTAGAAGCTCTGCTTAGTTTAGGATGAAATGAGGTTGAGTGATATCCAGGAACTGTTATTATATTACTCTGTTATGACTTCTAGATTAATATTCTCAACGTCGCTATACACGATGGACGCGCTGGAGTTCTTCCTGCGCAAGATCAACAAGTGGAGCTTGGGACAGGAGTACTACCGGCTCGACGGCTCCGTGCCGGCTGAAGTGCGCCAGAAATGGTGCCGCGAATTCAACGCAGAGCAGAATACTAAGACCAAGTCAGTATCATTTATATATTACATAACAAAAATATATTAAGTCAGTAAGTAGATAGATTTGCTTGATTTTTGCGGGTGAACTGCCAAAGAGGCCTATTTAAAAAGTGACTACTTTTTTCTTACAAATGAAGGATAAAAGTACATCTTTAAATTTAAGTTTTTTTTTTTATGCAACTTAGAATGGCAAACAAGCTGACGGCCCACCTGATGGAAAGTGGTAACCGTCGCCTATAGACATGAGCAGTACCATGGACATAACAGAATATACTGTTTCGCCCATGATACCCTCCATGCGTTGCCATTTTTGAGGACTCGGGTGTTATTCCTCTGTACCCAGTAAATTCACGCCATATCCCACCCTTCAAACAGAAACACAGCCATGCAAACACAACTGCTTCACGGTAGAAACACGAATGGGACAGAGGTACCCAAGCAATCGACTTTTGTACAGTCTCCCTCTGGTATAATATAATAAATAGTAATAAATTATTGTATAAAGCAGTGTATTACTAGGGAGAAAGTATAATTTCTAACCTTCGGTTTTGGTGTGATTTTGGTTTGATTATCAAACGACACACCCTTTGACAATCTGTCACTTTTTTCCATCGATGAATAATATAATATAGCTATTGTAACAGTATTTATGGCCAAAACAAGTATAATTTTATGTAATCTTGTGTAAGCCCTTCCTGTTAATCCAATGATGATTCCTGTGTATAATGTTATGTGCTTCTGTCTGTGACCTATATTCACCAATTTATCATCATATACCCGCAGACTCTTCCTGATCTCGACCCGTGCAGGATCACTAGGGCTGAACATGACAGCGGCCAACCGGGTCATCATTCTCGACACCTCGTGGAATCCTGCGCATGACATACAAAGCATCTTCCGCGTCTACCGCTTCGGGCAGAAGAAGGACTGTTACATATATCGCCTTGTTGCACTTGTATGTATATCATTAACTAACTATCTGGCCCGGCTTCGCACGGGTAGATAAAAATAATATATTGCCTGTGTTAGTCGCTAAGAATGTAGCTTTCTATAGGTGAAAGGATTTATAAAATCGGTTGATTAATTTTTTTGTTTATCCATTACAAACATATAAATCCTTTCTCTTTATAATATTAGTATATATAATAAATAAGTGCTACACAATCACGCCAATTGCTTGAGGGTCTACCATCAAATAAAATTCCGAATTTTCATACCGAAATCGGCTCAGTAAATAGAGATTAACATTTTCTTCATCATAAATCCTACCATAACAGTTCAAAGGAACGATATTTTAATATTTTTAAATGGTATGTCATATGTAACTTTAACATGAAATTACTGTTTTGTTCGACCTCGAAATTTCGGAAAATATATCATGGCGGGCACTCTGGTTCTCAAGCTAGAATATTCTGTATTATGAGGAACTAGGCAACGAACATCTAGAGACACTAGAAAACTAAAACCTTGGCAAATTATTACATCGTTTTGAGTATTATAAGAACTGATGAACTGATGAAGAAAGAACAATGACAAGCAGAAATTTAATTTTAAATTATATTTGATTAATCTTTAATAATATAATAACAGTAATATTTATTGAAACCAAAAAGACATGTAACGATTATACATTTTGTTCCCAAGACTTCACACTATTATTCAATGTTATATTATTAGAGAATAAAATATTTTGACAAACTACTAAACCGATGAAGATTGAAGTGAACGGTGCATTGTTGATCTGCAAAATACCTATATAATAAGGATTAGTTTATATCATTCTCGTATCCGTTTTCTGTCACAATATGTTTATTGATTATTGATGAACATACAATGATTTAAATATTTTTAATATATTAATTATTGTAAAAATATATGAAATAGATATATAATTTATTTGCATTACTTAAAGCACACAAATAATAACAAACATTGCACAGTAAAAAAAAAAGAGATAATAGAATGCATATACAAAAAAAAAAACAAAATATATCAAAGAAGTAACAATTTCTTTTTCTCCTCATATGTGTGCTATAGTAACACAAAATGGTCATAACTCACTGTAGTATTATAGATGTCGAAATATTGATTTATTAGGGTACTATGGAACAGAAGATATACGAACGATCGGTGACAAAGCAAGCGGTGTCGTGTCGAGTCGTCGACGAGCAGCAAATAGACCGCCATTATAACATGGAGGAGCTCACCGAACTGTACAGGTTAGTTGATCATGTAATAATGTCTCATATAATTTTAAATGGCCATTTGTATAAAACTATCTGACGAGGTTTCTTTTAAATCTATCTAGCTAAGAGCTTATTTACAAATTGATGATTGCTATTTAAATTTTATTTCTGTGCTTTATACAATTGTATCGTTACCTTTATTAGTTTTTGCTTTATTCTCTATTAGCTGTTGTCCGCGACTTCGTCCGCGTTTCTGTCGTTTTTCGTAAAATAAGTAGCCTATGTCCTTCCTCACGGTTCAGTGGTTTTGATCTAACAGACACATTTCGCATTACTGCTCTGCTCCTATTGATCGTAGTGTGATGAAAAGTATACTATAACCTGCCCAGGAGTATGAAGAATAATAGTACCAAGTTTCGTTAAAATCCGTCGAGTAGTTTTTGTTTTTATAACGAACATACAGACAGACAGACGAAAATTTTACTGATTGCATTTTTGGCATCGGTATCGATCACTAATCACCCCCTGATAGTTGATTTTGAATATATATTTCATGTACAAAATTGACCTCTCTACAGATTTATTATAAGTATAGATAGATAAATTATAACTATATATCAATCAATCAATCAATCATCTTTATTCATATACATCTGTTACAGATACTTATGATACGTCAATCTATAATTATAATAATTACTATAGAAAATAATATTGATTTAAGAAAAAATACAATAATTACATTTACAATACAATTCACATTAATACAAAATTCAAATCCATGCAGTTTTGTCATTTAAATAGTCATTTAATTTATAATATGCTTTTGTACAGAGAGTCCTTTTTAAATATGTCTTAAATTTTCTTTCATTTAAATGTAAAACGTCATCTGGAAGTTTATTATAAAAACGTATACAGTTCCCCATGAAAGATGTACTGACTTTTCCAAGGCGATAACAAGGAACATTCAATTTGTTTTTATTTCTTGTATTGAAATTATGTATGTCACTGTTATTTTTAAAAAGATTTATATTTTTACGTACATACATAATGTTTTCGTATATATATTGCGAGGGAACAGTAAGTATACCTGTTTGCTTAAAATAATCTCTAAGAGATTCCCGAGAAGGCAAATTAAATATTGACCGAACTGCTCTTTTTTGCAGTACAAAGATTGTATCGATGTCAGCAGCTCTCCCCCATAATATAATGCCATATGACATGATACTGTGAAAGTAACTATTTTAAATTATAATTTTTGTATACAATAAAGTAAAAATAAATAATTAAATACTAAATACTTACCTATGTGAAATATGTAGGTTTTTTTTAATGAATGATAATGAAATAGTAACCTCGCCTGCACTAACGGTATCCGCTGGCGGGGCACCAGTTGAAGACGATAGGTGACGTGTGAGCAGGTCAGTTGGTCCATCATGATGAATACATAAAAAACATGATATTTCGTCACCGATGATACGTGGCCGGAGATCGGTTAATGTGGCGCTCTCTTTAAAGTGAGGTTACTTGGCTCCGTACCCATAGTCAATAGTTGTGACGTATGAGTGCGAGTAGTGAGGTGTGCGCCGGTTGGTGTCGCAGGTTCGACGAAGGCGGCGCAGGAGTGGCGGGCGGCGTGGCGGCGGGCGTGCGCGACGTGGCGCTGCTGCGGGTGGCGCGCCTGCCCGCGCTGCACGCCGTGCACGAGCACGACTCGCTGCTGCGCGGCTCCGAGCCCGCGCTGCCCGAGCACGAGCGCGCCGCCGCCTGGATGCAGTTCCAGCAGGAGCACGCCGGCAAGCGTACGTACGCACGCTCCCACCGCCACCACACACACCCACACACTTCGCCTGCCCGCGCTGGATGAGCAGGATTTGGCACTGCGCGGCATCGAGGCCGTGCGCACATAGGCTACTTTTCAATAGACTTCAAAAAGAAGGAAGTTCTAAATACAGTTGTATTTTTTTTATGTTTATTAACCTATATAACTTCATCAATTGTAAACCAGTTTGGATTTTTTTTATCTGAATGAATATACTTACAGATTGGATCCACAGAATTTTATCCAAATCGGCAAAGTAGTGTAGCTTTGAAATCAAAGTAACTAGGTTGACACAATTGTATTTTTTTTTTTGTGTAACAATCCTTATTATCCCGGGCTGTTAGTATTTCGCTGTTAGATGGACTTAGTGATAAAAATTAATTAATAGTGAAAAATAATGATCATATTTTATATTTACAGAGATACAAGACCTCAAAGTTACTAAGAAAGGATCTAATAAACGCCAGCACGCTACTGATAATTTAAAAGCTGCTGCTGTTAAAGAAGAACCAGTAGTGGACATCAAAGCTGATCCTGATTTCAAGCCTTCCGAGTCGAAAGCAAAGAAAAATAAAAAGAGTATAATAAGTTGCCGTATACCGATACAAACGGACTCCGATAAGCCGCAATCTCCGTCTCCGACGACTAGTCATAGTGTACCTAATGTAGATAAAAGTAAGGAGGAAATCATGGTGAAGAAAATTTCAGAGCTATTAGTTGAGTATGACTTTCAAAATACACATGGGGTCGAAGCTGTGCCCCTGCTGGTTAAAGGTGTGCGCGAATTAGTCTCCACTGGGCACACTAATTCGTTGCCTGAGAACTTAGCAAACAGCGAATTGATTGGCCGCATTGCTAATGTGCTGCTACAAAAAGAGGATATCACACTGCCAAATGTCACTGATATTGTTCATGAATCTGTAAACAATACATGGACCGGAGACGATGGCGAGACGCCTCCTAAACCAAAGCCCAGATCAAAGCCAGGCCCAAAATCTAAAAAGACAGAATATAAATGCCAAGAAACGTCATCAACTTCCACAGCTTCGACTTCTGTCGAGAAGATCAATGATGGTAGGATAAGAAGGAAAGCGGCAGTGGAAGCTATAAAGTACATAGAAAAAGTAACAGACGAAAGCATTGTGAATTTAGATGATTCAGATAATAATGGTAGCTCCACAGATATTGTGCCAGAAACAATAAAGAAAAAAATCGATTCAACAAAAGAATTGAATAAGAAATTGAAAAAAGAACAAAAAGCAACAAAGGAGGCTACTTCTAAGGAGAAAAATAAATTTGAAAAAGAAGTACAGCCAAAAGGAGTTTCTGATATGGACACTAGTATACTGTTGAGCGATGACGATGAGTCAGCAGCAGCGCCGCCACCGCAGCTCTCATCGCAGCAGCAGGTTGATACCGAAGCGATTCCACTCCATTCGTCGCTGCTTACAAATAAGAATTTCATTAAAATAGTAGCACACACCTACCTGAGCGGGAATCCCATGTTGGATGACGACGCAGCAACCCTGGCCGCACAGTATAGCACTTATAAGGCGTTAAAGGAAATAGAATCTACAGGGAAACCTTTAACTAGTGGTCCTATTTATGATATTGCTTTAAAGGTAATCAATGTCTCTAATTATAGAAATTTATAGTAATTGTAAACATTTATTAATAATAAACAAATAATTTAAATTAGCTACATTTCTTTATATTTCGACATATTGTAATACTTGGTAGTTTAATATTTGCGTTTTGTTTCAGGTGTTAGGAATAGACGTTTTAAAGAAACTGCACAAGACAACTAAGAACTTACAAGGAGCAACATCGAGCTCCAGCGAAAAAACTGCGGCACGAAAACAGAAAGAATCTATATTGGAATCAGAGAAAATATTAAACAATACCCCTACACCCATACCTAAGAGCAAAACCAAGAAGAAAACTGCTACGCTGTCTTCCGCCTCCAAATCAATTCCAACCCCAACTGTAACAACTGCATCCAACGTCGTGCCTGTTGGACTATCAGCTGCTCCCAACGTTATTCCTGCCGGGCTGCCGGCTTCATCTAAAGTAGTGCCTGTTGAACTGTCTTCTGTATCTAACGTCATGCCTGTCAGGCTATCATCTGCATCCAACGTCGTGCCTGTCGGGTTGTCATCAGCTCCAAATGTTGTCCCTGTGGGCCTGACACCTGCTCCAAATGTTATGCCTGTTGGACTAACATCTGCTCCAAATGTCATGCCTGTCGGACTTACACCTGCACCTAATGTTGTGCCTGTCGGATTGTAAGTATACTTAGACTCCCTACTGCTATTAATGATTTTTGAATAATATTTATTTAAGCCAAATTAAAATAAATAACTTCAGGATTTATTATTCTAGTAACAACATGACTTTTCGCTTTGAAGACCTTTGTCTATTTCAATTTGCAGAAATTGGGGTGTGATGATATTTGACCAAATAGTTGTAGGTGTACGTTGATATGTTTGCTAACTATAGTATACACGTATTTGTATACAGATCGTTATAATACGAGTGTAATTTGTGTTATTTCTATTTCATCAGGTTTAAGAGAACTATACCAACAGAACGTACGCGACATGAACCTAATGAAGAATGCATATTGCCGGACGACGACGACGATGTCAGCATCGTCAGCGACCCCCCTCCGCCTCCCACCCAGTCTTTTAGTCCGAGAATTATGCATCACCGTGGACAGTCACAGCCGCTCATAGTAACCACCGTGCGAGCCACAAACAGTTCCTCAAAAATGCCAATTATTCCTCCACAGCCCTCTGCGTCTGAGCCGCACATTGTTACGGCACAGCTAAATACACAACCGATTGCAACCAGAGGCATAATAAATACCACTGTCACTGTTCCTGTTCCGCCGGTAATTGATGTCAATACTTACACGACAGCATCCAATGCTGGCCTAGTCACTTCGAATACCAACACTGATGCAGATACGATCTGCCTGGACAGCGACGAGGAATTCCCACCAGTTGAGCCTCAGCAAGTAACAGAACCGACACCGTGTGCCTTGATACGTTTAGCTCCAAAACCGCCACAAACAGGGCCGCTCCCAAATATTCCACAAATGACGACGGCCGTGCCGCTCCCCAAGGGAGTGTTGACCAAAGTCCATGACCCTGCGTCTATAATATTGACAGCGAGAAACGCATCGAGTCCAACCATGTTTAAGACTATAATACAAAAACCGCCCGAAGTAGGAGCAACTAGTTCATCAACTACCAACAATTCTAGTTCTGTACGATATATCGTACTTCCACCTTCGTCAATCACTCAAGTTCCTGATTTTAAAACTCTCCGTCCAATATCATTGGATGAAATACTGATGAATAAATCAAAACAGTTCGGTAAGCAAGATAATTCACCGTCAGCTGCAAATTCACCTGTTGTTGAAAAATCTGTTCATCTTGATACGACATCGGGAGCGGCGCCCAAGGCTGCACCTACTAAGAATGTGGTTATTAAATCAACTTTCCAACGGAACCCTACGACTGAAAATATACCTAAAACTTCTACATCTAACACGACTAAAAATGATGCCGGTAAATCATTGCATGTAGAGCACACGGAAAGCGTTCTTTCTTCAAAATCAATAGAATCTCCTATATCTAATACAAGTGTCAACGTTCTCAATAAATCGTTGCACGTGAAACACGCAGAAAGCGTGTCTTCAAAATCAAATAAGGATAAAACTTCATCAGATAAAATACAAGTACTTGGTGAGTCATCGAGTGGTTCGAACAGTTCATCTTCCTCAAGACCATCTAGTCCCGATGACCCACTTTCTATTTTGAAAGACGTAGTTCACATTCAAGCGTATGACACGCCGAAACCGGGCGGTAGTAATAATGCTGAAAAATCTAATATAACACCTAAACCGTTTGAGAAAAAATCTTCTAGCTCTAATATTATACCAAACAATGTCAAAGCAGTACAGCAGATTAATACGAAATTAAATCCAACAGGCACTCCTATAAAAACTTACTCAAAAGTTGTAACTTCAAAAGGTGTAAATAATAAAAGAACTATAAATGTACAGGATCTAGTACTAAAATTTAAATCTGCAACATACGAGACGTCAAATCAGTCTTTGGCAAATCAGCAAGTAAATAAATCGGCTACGAAATCGGCTACGAGAGCTATAATAACGACAAAACATAAAAGTAGCACAGAGAAAAGTAAACTCTTGAATGAAACATTAAAAAGCGTTGGAAGTGTGGCAAAATCTAAATCGATGAATAATACTGATTCTCGCGGTAAACCAACGACGCTGAATAAAGCAAACGAGCGCGTTTTGGGCATGGTTGATTTGACAGAAACCCATTCCAATTCAAAACCGAGCGTAGTGTCTATTGCTACCTCGAAAACAAAAAGTACCCCGAAGTCTACAGTACTTTTGCGAACCAATACGACTACCACGTACGTAACCATTTTATTATGAACTTATATCTATGTACCTATTTTAATTGCAAATTTGTTAATGGGGTAAAAAATAGAATAAATAATAATTAAACTGCCTAATAAGGTGGTTATTACATTATTAAATACGACAGACTTATCGCTATATAATCAAATACATGATTATAATATAATAAAAATATAAATATAAAAATTAATTAGTGAATCAACAGGCTTATAAATTTGTAATATTATTATAAATATGATTATATATTTGGTAGTCTAATATTTCACATTGAGTTACAGACTGTTTTCCTAAACTACAAAAAATATTGTAAAACAATTTACTGCTATCGAAAATATTTCACTGACTTGGCAAATTTATTTAGATTACAGTAATATCGAAATGATAATATACTAAAACAAACAAATTCTCATTATATTTCATAAAGTATTTACAGAATTATATAATTTTATTAACAGACCTGCTAAAGGATCGCCAACGCCGATTTCATCAAGTTCAAAGACTTGGAGCGACAATAAAAAGCGGCCGGCGACCTCTGCCACTAGTGCTCCAAAAAAGATGAAGACTGATCGTAAGTATAATGCCACTTTTTGGAGACCATCAATGAATTGTGTCATTAAAAAAACATGCTTTTTGTTTGAATGAAGAAGGTGCCAATTTTGGAATAATACCTAATTTTGGTTATTTTATAGTAGTAGTCGTACATATTCCATGATCGTTCTTACCTGTTAGGGGCATGTGCAGAGAAACTTTCAGCTAATAAAGGCCTGACCGTCATGGGCTCTTGCTCTATTATCTGAAAGGACGTACTTACAGATTGGTCCCATAAAAATTTGGTTTTTTAATTAAAATAAGTGATTTTGCCACGATTGTGATTATTTTTTTTTTAAGGAACAAAATCTGCTTGTACGATTACGGAATAAACAAATAATATTTCATTTCAGACCATAGTTCATGTAATGTTTCCCATTAAGTATGGAACTTAAATTGATGTTTCCAGATCGGGCTCATTAGCCTCGCAGCAATACTTTTAATTATATTGTTTTTTTTTTTTATCTTAGTATATATAGTATCATTCTTCAACGAGTTGTCTTTTTTTAATATAACAGATAGTTTTATTATTAAAGGACTAATTTAGAAAAAAAGACCTATGAATATTTATTTATTTAACACTTTATTGCGCCAAGATAACAGGATTCGTTGAACAATTTATCTATATGGAAAGTCGATCGTGATAGATGATCATTTAAAATACATAATTAAAAAATAATATAATGTTAAACATACAGAGATTAATACGCTTTACTTTGATTGAGTTAAATAAAAATAACTATTTAAATGTAAACGTAAGAATAATTATCTGGTTATCTGTTTCCAATATTCCATTTCTAATCTAACTCATTTACCAACTGTTAACTCAAAGTTTTGGCGGTGTGAACTAGGATTCAAAGCATATTTTGTAATAATTTAGATATGACTTATCTAGCAATTTTGATTCAAATGCATTTATTTAAGTCTAAAATCTTCCATATTTGTTATAATAGGTTTTTTTTTTTTACAGAACTGATGACCCTGAAGGATTTTAATATCGACGACATAGATGACGTTATTGAGTTAGAATAACAAAAAAAAAAGATAATTTAACATACTAGGCATAGTCGTAGTCCATAGGACATACTTCAGTTCTCATTCTTATTTTTAATAGCTTCCATAGTATTGATCGTATTATTTTTTTTTATTTTACTTGTGAGATAGTAAATATGTTCTATTGGCTTACAAGTTGCAAGATTATGCCGAAATGTCTCGCATGTCTACATTGCAACATTAGTGTATTTGTGATAGCAGTATCACATCTTTTATTGTGATTGTGAGAATTATAGATTTCCACTTATGGTAAATATTATTTTATGAATGTTTATAATTTGAATTAAGATTTAAAGATGGTAAATAATTAAGCTAATAGATCTTACATGTATATGTAACAATGTATCTTATCATTAATACAATATCGAGTAATGTGTGGAGTGACTCCTAGTCACTCTGAATGAGTCAGAGAATATATGGAAACATTATCGTGGAAAAATAAAGTCTCTTCAGTTTTTAAGTACAGTTTTTTTTCTTAATAAATATATTTCAGTTCCTAATTGTAAAGTTAACATTTTTCACTGCAATTATATTGTATGTATTGCAGATGATATTTTATTTTATTTATTATATGCTTCAGGCAGAATAAATAATATCTTTTTACTAGGGCAGTGTACAGACTTAAGTCGGTTATGTATTGTGTCCCTTTTTAATTCATAAAAATTGTTTCTTTCGCCTGTATCGGGTATATGTGTTGTTTTTATTTAGATAATTAAATTGTAAGTTTAAAAGATATCTCTTTTATTATTATTTCTAATAAGTGCAATGTAGATAAATAAAACACTCGTAAATTATTACTGCAATTGTATAATAATCTCTTATATTTAGAACAAAAATTTTAAATACAATACATAAACTTCTAACTTTAAAGCTTCTACATAGATATAATTCGAAAAATAATTTCTCAATAAACCAATTAGACAATGAGTGACCAGCATTTTATCACTTTCAAACTTAACATTTTTAAAAAGTAACAATAATAATAAATGCTACAGTTTCACAATACTCAATTAGATTACATAGTTGCGTTATATTTTTTGTTCATATTAAAATATTAATAATAAATCTTCACTGTATTATTCGTCAAATGTCTAATAAACCTATTTTTAGCCATTATGGTTAGTTTACATGCTTGCTATTTCCAGTAAGCCTCAACAAGTATTTGACAAATACTAAACCATGCAGATATATGTAGATGGCACCGCAAGTATTTGCCATAGACTTTCTTTGAATCCTTTGATGTGTGTTTAAAGAAAACAGTGACAAATATAATCTTATGCAAGTCAAACCTAAGTATCGTGCATATAACTGTTTGTCTATACTTCTGTCCAATAAGTTCTAAACCGTCACAAAAGAAAATAATTCGTTTTTTTCTGTAAATACCGAATTAAAATATTTTATAATAAAAGACTCTTCGAGTAGTGTTTTACCATTTTTTCTTATGTAATATGAGAATTAGAAACTCTTGTAGCTTTGCACGAGTATTCTGGGTTCAGCAGAAAATATAATTTCGAAAAAACGCTGTTATGGCGGTTTAGCGTGAGTGAGACAGATTGTAAATCCAGCATTAGGCATGTCTCTTTATTCCAATAAAATTTTTTCTATTACAGAAAGAGCCAAAGTATACTAAGAATTAAAATAGGTCTATTAAAAGTTTTACGTTTGTGGAATAATACAGGGGGTCTCACCATGACATGAAATTCCGAATTGCGTGTTTTTGTTAATACCGAAATTGGCTCAGTGGAGCTTAACATTTCGTTCGTTCTAAATCCTATTATAAGAACCTAAAGGTAAGATATTTTAATATTTTTAAACGAGGTGTTTTAACGTCAAATTTGTTTCGTTCGGCCCCGAAATTCCGGAAAATATTTCATGGTAGGCCCTCAGTATGCGTGCAATCACAATCTTGTACCGAATGCTTCAATAGTTCTATATACAACTTAACCATAAACATTATATTTAAAATTATTTGGCTTAATTCAATTAACTAGCAACTAATAGCTACATAACACCAATTATAATACCGAAAAATTGTTTAATAATATAATAATGTTATTTCATATTTCAATACAGAGATCTAGGGGAGTAGAAAATCTCGCTAGACATGCATCACAAAAGGATTTGTTTTGTATAACCTGCCGGTGTGATTGTACAAGTCTGTTAATGTCAGCTCAAAACGCGAAAGGCCTATTAAATTTGGTGGGTTATTCTCTATCATGATTCATGTGGCTTTTAAAACCCCTGCTTTAATTTATATTAGAGTCACTATATAATCAGGGCTAGTAGGGTCGGTATTATCATGTCGTCATAGTCGTAGAATACTGACGGATCTATATATGTAATCTGTGTCAGATCCGTCAGTATTCTACGACTATGACGATATATCGGTAATGGATAGTGTGATCATACTGTTAAATAGATTAGAAATTTCTGGTTTTTGTTATTTAGCATAAATCATACATAGCATTAAAAAATAGACATCACAAAACGTATAGTCAAATGTATAAAAAAGTTATCTATTTATCCAAGAATAACAGGGTCAGGATCTGTTTCATGTTGTTTTTTCTTGTTGATATTGTTTTGAAATATATAAATTCGCGCGTAATTATAGTATAACTACAAAGCAATCTACAGTCATGCCAATAATTATGCGCATAGTGTATTGTAAATAAAGAATCAATATATTTGCATATAAAACAAAAAATATAGCCAGTATTTTTTTATATTATACCTAAAGAAAAAATATATTATTATTTATATAAAGGTTATGGGATATTCTAAATTTGTATTATCATAGTCACCGAAAAAAAAAAACGCAACTACAATTTTTGTACTACAGACACAGATATTGTCTCTTATATTGTCTTATGGAATATATAAAACAGAAAAATAAAAAAGTATAAATATGAATTAACCATCGTGTGCACTTGTAATTGGAATACATGGAGAAATAAAAAAAAAAAAAATTGAGCAATAATAAAATATTCTAGAATTATCACAAGCCATAATGCACCTTTTGATTAGCAATATACTTGTATAAGCACACAATCTCAGGTTATGGGCCCAGCACCCGTCAAAAAGTACTTAATTTGGTGTTTTCGTATTATATAAGTAACATTTTAGTATAGGACAATCTTTCCTGAGGGCAGAGGAGTCTCGAGACATAATATATCATATTAACTTTCTATACTCCATAAATTATCCGGTAATGGGTTATATGCATCGTTCGAATCTACATTATTATAGGCTTACAATTTCCCATCAGGTGGGCCACAAGTTTGTTTACTATTTTCATTGATATAAAATATATCCACATTGACTCTTACATCTACCACGAAATCACTTAAAAATCATTAATTATAATGCGCAATTTTGATCGTTCTCATTTGTTCGTTATCCAAAATATAAATTATTCAGATATATGTAAATAACAATTTAATATCACATTCTGTTCGCTCATGCTATAAAATTACATAAAATCATTTAACACCATATATTGGAACATATTAAAATATTTTTAGAAAAAAAAAGCCAAAATTAAATGAAGTAGTGTACAGTACAGAAGGACAAACCTCGATAATGGTACTTTAGTTTTGACCATTAAAACAAACCACTTAAAATTGCATTGCAAATTTTGTCCTCCGTTAATACGAGTATAAGGTATACGACATGTACGAGGTCGCGCAGTGCTGCTCGCGACACAGCCGTGAACCGTGCTCATGAATAAGGGCTCCTATTGAGTTCAAAATTAGTCAAGCATCCCCGAATTTAAAACGTGAGTAAAACCCACAAATAATTATAATACGAGTATAATGTATAATTAAATTCTACCAAGAAGTCACAACACATACATGCTATAATTACAAGAATTTTAGCAAATGCACAGGTTGTCAGGGATTATTATTAGGGAAATTTTACTTTGCAAATGTAGAACTGCTTCAATCGAAAAACCTTTTTTTTTAAACTGGCAAAAACCTTTTTATAATAATAATAAATGTATCTCCGATAATAAACACAGTAACTTCATAAAATTCCAGTTGTGCATGCATTTAAACGTCGTTAAAAAATTAACATACATTTTAAAAATAAGATTAATAATAATTGTAAAAAAAAAAATCGAACATCCTAATTAATGAGGCGTCAACGAATTCACGATTGATAACTTGCTTTTTATGCATTTATATTTTCATAATTTACTGTACTTATAATTTACCCGGTGGAAAATCCAAATATATTTTCACCAGTTTAAAAATAGAGGTTATTTTCAATTCATCTTCGTTTCTTTTTTTTTGTACGTTATAAGATTCGGAACGGAAATTGATTGTTGATGTTTTTTTTTTCATTCCATATATTATAAATTTTATTAAGATTCCCTCATATAAATATATAAACAAATATTACAGTACTAGCAATATTACGTGATAGTAACGATAATATCGACACCTCAATTAATCTGACGAAGAGTTGCACGTTTTTTATTTATCAAATACAAATTTTGCACCCTATTCTACTAACGTTAAATCTAAACATTCGTTAATACTTCCTTAGTACAAATATAAAAATGCAGTCATTCATTTCATAAACGCATTAATTAATTGCGCTATTTAATAATGTAGTTTTTTACTTGGTATATTTAATAATAAACGCAAAATTATTAAAACGTATTGTTCATATCTTCAAGTGGTTACGGTGTAAGCACGTAAGACTACCTTTTAAGTCGTGTCGTTTGCCAACCTCCCGGGATTATAAAAAAAAAAACCACATGGCAATTTCATCTTTTTGAATTTAGTCGAAAATAAAAGAATGTTTTCAGATTGGGCGAATAGTTTTATTGTATCGTCTATTCAAAGGTGAGAAGTCGCACACAATATTTAAGGAAAATTTGTGTGCGATAATTTTCTACAACTTTCAAAGAGGATTATCGCAACTTCAGTGCTTTGAGGAGATCACCTTTGTGTTCAGTGATGCAGCACCATGTCTTAAGATTGTAAAACGCTAGTATTTAGAATTTTAACGTGGGCACTCTAGCCTCAGTGACAAGCTATGTGAAGGTCGTCCAAAAACCACCATGACGCAAGAGAATATCGAAGCCGTGGTGCAGCTAACCCTCGAAGACCGTCATGTGACGTACTGTGAAATAGAGGCATCCGTGGGCATTTCAGGGACCTCTGTCCAAAAAATCCTACACGAAGAAATGGTGTAAGAAAGTTGATCTCTCGTTGGATACCACATTTGCTTAGCGACGACAAAAAACAAGCCGTGTTATTTGGTGTCGCAAAACTCTGCAGCAATTCAACCGAAGCGAGTCAATGCATGTTTATGATATGGTAAGTGGTGTCTTGGATATATGCTTATGATCCAGATTCTAAGCAGCGGTCAACTGTCTGGGTCTTCCAGGATGAGCCAAAACCGACCAAAGTCATACGCTCATGGAGCACTTCGAAAAAAAATGGTTGCCTCGTTTGTGGCAAAGGGTGGTCACGTCGCCACTATTGTGCTAGAACAAAACAAGACCGCTGTTTGTTTGCCACAAGTCATCACCGAATTTCGAAAAAACAATTCAAGACGTCGTATGATACTGCACTATGACAATCCAAGATCCCACACCGCTCGCCAAACGAAAATGTTTTTGAGCATAATAAATGGTAATAATCTATTAGATTGTCTATACTTATTTCAAAAGACACAACTTAAAAGGCAGCTCTCCTATACTCGTATAACACATAGTATGTTAACGCCATCCAGATTTTTTACTAAATATGCCAAGAAAAACACTATATAACTTTGTATTGTACAATTTTATAATAGTAGGCCAGTAAATAGATGGAAATAATTAACATAAATAATACATTATTCATAATATTGATATTTTATAATAATAAAAATATTAAATAATATAATAATAATAATATTGTCTCATATGAAGATACAGATCAAAGTGCAGTCAAAATTAAGAAGGACAAAATATAGAAAATGCTTTTTACTGAGGCGTTTTAAAAAAAGAAAAAAAAAAATACTTTTTAATATAATTACATATTACTAATGGCTATACATTTTTTTATTTAAGATGTTGAATTTTTTATAACTGCACACTAAGAACAAATAGCAGCAATGTAATCTATGTGGGATGTATGGCATGTATCAAATACTGGATATTTTAATATACAAAATATCCAATTTTTTTATTGGTCATTTGGAAACAGAAGGGGAAGCGAAGTCTGTACCATAGTATAGAAAACAACCAGTGTTTCAATTTCTCTTTAGCATATCCCAAACGATTTCATAAAAATATACGACACATTGTACTGTCTAGACGTGTTTGTTTTTTAGACTATGGTAGTACTTAAAGGCAAATAATTTGAACAATTGCAGGTCACGTGAAAATTACTACTGAATAGACTTCACTATCTATGGTTTTGTTCAAAATGTTTACCACGAACTGTATTATCACAGTGTAAGAGTCAACCAGTGGTCTAATGGCTTTAGCATGCCCCAAACGATTACATGACTAGAACTATCCATTGGACGACTGGCAGAAAAGTTTTTAAACTGGAATGCGGTGGTGTGGACTAGTCTCACCGCGAGTTGACACGCGCGAGACGTGACTTGTCGAAAGAGCAAATGGCGTCAAGGAGTGCAGCGCGGCCGCTTGACTCTCGCGCTGCGCCCGCTGGCGGAGTAATCCCTGCGGCGGCCCCAGATGCCGGAGTGCAGGCTCCATTCCCGGTCGGTTCGCCAGCTATAACAACACATGACATGTATGTAACCAACTCTATTTATTTGAACATTATTACTGTATTTGTACTGTAAAAAAAAAAAACAGTAATTAAATTAATAAAATTCATATGGAATAAATCCTATTAATTGCAAAAATAATGATTAAAACCACTTCCGAATTGTCGACGATATCTGGTAACAGATAGAGAAAAAGCATGGAGGCAAAATGAAAATTGTTTAAAAAGTAGTCAATTAGTAAAATGATTTGGTGAAATGGTAAATAATTCCAACGTGATTACACTTTGGTATAAATGCTTTTAATGGACTATTTGCATGGAGTATAATCACGTTATAGATACTAACGTATAGATGGCGGCGTCGGCGATGAAGCTGTACTGGCGCTTTGCGACCGCACCGTCTCTGCTAACGACGACGTCGACTTCCATACACTTTCGCGTTTTTTCTGTAATTAAATAGAAATTACATAAAATTTATGACTGCGCGGAAGGAGACAATTACATCTCGTACTTTCCATTAGATGGGCCATCATCTTGTTTGCTATTCTGAATATCATAAAAAGGCGGTCAACTTTTTCTTTCTAGTAGACCAGAGGGAGACTTTGTACATAAGTCGATTGCTTGGGTACCTCTGTCCCGTTCGTGTTTCAACCGTAAAGCAATTGTGTTTGTACAGCTGTGTTTCGGTTTGAAGGGTGGGATATAGCGTGAATTTACTGGGTACGGAGGAATAACACCCGAGTCCTCAGGAATGGCAACGCATGGGGTGTATCATAGGCGAAACAGTATACTCTGTTATATCCATAGTACTGCTCATGTCTATAGGCGACGGTTACCTCTGTCCATCAGGTGGGCCGTCAGCTTGTTTGCCATTCTAAGTTGTATAAAAAAAAACCTAATTTTGTGTTGCACGTAGAATTGAGAGAGACTATTGTCTCTCGAAGTTAACTATGAAACTGAAAGTGTCTTTAATAATATTTGCGCGTTGTGACGGCCTAATAAAGGCAGTATTTTATAATGTAACCATATTATCATGTATTTTAGGTTGATGTAAATATATGCTTTGGTAGTTGCCATTAAATAAATAAATATTACATAAAATGTTACGTGATCAGTAAAAATTAAGTAAATGATCTGCTCGCCAGCTCTATTCGCTTTGAATTTCCGTAGCAAAATATGGAATAATGGCAAAGTATACTCTGTTACGTCCATGGTACTGCTCATGTCTATAGGCGACGGTTACCACTTTCCATTAGGTGGAACGTCAGCTTGTTTGCCATTCTAAGTTGTATAAAAAAAATGGATTAGTAGTATTATTTTCACTATAAAAGAACGTGACTGTATGTGAGTTTACCGTCGTGGGTGTATTTTATATAAAGATTATATAATATTTATTTTCCAATCCCATAATGTATTAATTTTACAAATATCAAAACAAGTTTATAGTTTAGTATAAAATAAAAAAAGAAAACAAATTACCGCTCGTCGTTTTTGCTTCCTTAATTCTTCTTCAGAACTGAGTATCTCCTGTATACGTACTTCTCTTTTCGTACTGCGAACCTGAAATTGAATCAAAAACATGTTTACAACCGATACCTAAACATTACCTTGTAAACATATTGTGCGATTTCGGTATTTCTGTAATGAAACCGATCACATAATGGTTTTACAATTTCACTGAATTTTAAGAGTTTAATGTTAAAAGTTACGTAAAGTAATAATTATAACAGAAGACACGTGCAACCAGTTTAGATTTTTTTATTAAGAAGAGAGTGAGGACAGTATTGTCATTACATTTGATTTATTTTGGGTTGCCAATACATATCACTTTACAAGAACCAATATTTGTATCTATCAATGACACAGATACTAAATTATCCTTACATAAAACAATATCAAAATCCGTACAGTAGCGTTTCCTTAATATACATACAGATGTGTACTATATCACCAATTTATTGTATCTTTGTTTTTAAAAAATGTGCCAAAAATTGCACCTTTGGTTTGGTTCTATAGCTACGATATCGTAAGTTATGAGGATAATCAACATATACTGGCACAAATCACACTAAAGCCAATTCAGGACGAACCTTTTCTTAAACTGGGCCGACCGGGAATTAAACCCGGGACTTCATTAACCTAAAACGACACACCCACCACTGCGCTAAGGAGGTCGTCTTATCTATACATAAGTTATTTAGCTCACCAATTTTTGATCGCTTTTTAATCTCGACTCCATCTGAGCTACAGCTGCCTTCAGTTCGTCTTTAATGGGAAGCGGAAACTTCAAATGGGCACGTTCGTCGTCGTGCATGCTTGTCAGACCGTTTAGAGGAGCGCGGGAGAAAAATGGATGCGCCAACAGATGTAACAACGAAGGTCCGCCGTGCTTGCATGACGTGCTTGACAAACACAATCTCAATACAGATTCTGAAAGGATAAAGTTTATTATATGTATAAATATTATTAGGCCACAACTTCTTTTCCCATAGGTGTCGTATAAGGCGATTGAGGAGGGCGAGTGATGGGCCGCAGCGTCTGTCTAAAAACATCTCAAAAGCTAACTGCGGTTGCCAATCCGCCTGCCAAACCTGGCAACTACTGGCAAAGAGGGTGGCTTATGTTCAGTGGACAGTCATGATGATAATATAAGCTATAATATGTGGCGTTGTTCATGTGATACAAAATAAAAAGTACCTTATGTCCTCCATCTTGATACATATAGTATTACAAATTTTGTAGTGATTGATTAAGCCGTAAAGGCGCCAAGAGGTAACAAAACAAACTAATTTTAAAATCTATACATATAATAAAACTGTAGAGGTCTTATTATATGTATAGATATGTAGTTTGACCGATTTAAATGAAATTTCGCATGGTGGTGCCTTACATCCCCGGTTAATATTTTAGATATTTTTGATCACAAAAAAAAAAAAAAAAGTTTCCGTGGGATAATTAAAAAACTATAATAACTTATACAGCTTAGTACACAACCTACTTAAGTAATTTTGACCCAAGGCAAAGAGATCGACAAGTCATTTGTTCATTATGGTCCAGTATTCCCAGACATAATAAATGGGTAAGTTCGTTACGTATCGATATGTATTAAACAGGAATAACAAATACCGCGCAGACATCAGCTAGTGTATAATATTAGTAAGGAATAAGAAAAAGGAAAGTACCATGTGCTATATAAATTAAATATTATCATATTGGTCGTCTGTATGTTTAAATAAAATCTCACCCAATTCATTTGAGATTCCGTCGGGGTATATGTCACAGTAATGATCATGGAGGGGTCTCGCGAATGCCATCTCGTAAAGAGTGTGACCGAAGCAGTAGACGTCTACCGCTTCAGCGGTTGCGGTCCGCCTGAGCTCCAGTAACTGAGGCCGGTACAAACACGGGACTCCTATTATTATATTCTCTATATCCATTAAAAGCACCCTCTGGTTTTCTATAGCTATGTTGCCAGGGTGTATGTGACCTGTAAAATAAAAAAAAAAGTTTATTCTATATCCAATTGTCTACAAATTATTGATTCACTAAGTTTACAGATTAATTATGTGACAGAAGTAACTGATGTTTTTGAGTGTTGGTAGTTGACATCTAATTTATGACCATTTCAATTTTCTTTTATAAAAATATGTAAGTATACAAATATACATTTATCAATGTTTAATTCCATATTATTATGACCTTCGCCCCCCAAAATTATAAAAAGATTACCAAAAATTATTAAAAATATGAAAACGTATAAATACAATACGCAAGTTCAAGAGCTGGAATCGCCAAGAATTGAAAATGTAATGTACATTTACATAATTACGTACAAAATCACTTTGCTACTAAACTGACAACTAACTATACTTTTCATTGCAAATAAGAGCAATAAAACACAACCAACTCATACAACATGCATACTTTCTCCAGTAATTTACATTTTATAATTGATACACATTATCTTGTGATTTTAAACAATGATAACATTAATTTAAAATTATATAACTTTTCCTTTTCTTGAAATATACATATTACGGGAATTTTGATTATTTTCATTGCACCTCGAAAAAAGTAACATGTTAATACAATAGTAATGTACAAGGTTTATCATCCTATATCTAGATGTATGTATATTTGTGTATGTACTTTGTACTGTATATGTATTTTTACCTGTACTAAATTAAATTGCCATCGAAGAAACCTACACTTCCAAAAAGTAACCTGAAGATATTGTCAACAGTACAATAATCATAAAAATATATAAATAATTTGCTTTTGAGACTACGGGTAAGTGGGGAACGGAAGCAAATTCTCTTATAAAAGAGTTAGGTCAGCGCATTGTGGATAAGAGCAATGATTGACATTCCGGTTCGTATCTGGCTCAAAGGATGTTTCTGGCAATACAACGAGGAAATGCTACAAGTATTATCTTTAGTAGTACCTTTGGATCGAATACGAAACATTAATATTATTTTGACTTATTGTTAATTTATTTCTTAGTTTTTATTATTCTTAATAACTAAACGTATTAAAACGAAGGGCACTAACACATTAAAAAAATATAAACAAATACACATAACAAAATGACATATCTACAGATGGATTGTAATATTCCTCTCTGTCATGTCACAAATGATTTAATTGGGAAGTTTTTTAAATAAAAATATACATATTTATATATATATAACAAAGTACACTCACCGTGTGGTAAGCCTTTATCATGTAAAAACTTCAATGCTTGTAACATTTGATATCCATAGTGAGATATCTGCCCATCGGTCAAAGGTTTCCTCACTTTTGGATTTCCATATTTACTTAAATAATTCTTATCATAATCAGTTCCATATAACATATCTCGGAGACTTCCATTTTCATGTATTCTTCTAACTACATAGGCACCAGTTTCTAAATTGTGAATTGCTAATATTTGGTCTATATAAGGATGCTGAAAACAATACAATCCATTACAGGAAATATATTTTCGGCTATGTCTGTAAAGAAACAATTTCATTTTTTTTAATGGATGATAATGAATTGGTAAGCCCGCCTGCGCTAACGGTCTACACTGGTGGGGTACCAGTGAGGGATGATAAATGATGATGAAGCAGGTTAATTAGACCATTGTAACGAATTTAACAATAAATAAATCACGATGGTTTCCAGGAGGAATTGTGTAGAGCTCAACCTAATAGAGTATATTGCTAGCAATGGAATTGCTAATCTCCATTACTAACAATCCCTTCTCCCCAAACAGTTCTCTTCAGAAATGTCAATGTTACCACATAGTAATGATTGAATATGACACTGGATATAAGTGTCCCGTTCTATCGCTTGCACATGGTAGTGAAAACGTAACTAATGATAAGATTTATTTGTTATTTTTCTAGGACAATAAACAAAGATATAAAAAAGACGGATAATAGTAGCAAACAAATATACAGCTTGCTTGATAGTAAGTGATTACTGGGGCTGTGGATGCCTGATACAGCAGAGGTGTCATGTGTAAATTTCAAACTACTTTATCTTAATATAGCCACTGCAATCTAATTGGTCCAACACATGAGACCTAATGGCGATTCTAGGCTAGATGATAATTAATAGCACTGAAGTACTAATTTTTTTTTATCAGGGTAGTTGCGAATTTGTTCATATTTTTAAATTATTAAAACCATATCTTAGGCCTTGTATATAACAAAAGCAACGTAGAAACTCTTGACAACAGAAAATAGTAGTCTTGTTAATATAATAAAATTGTACTAAGATGTCGGTACATAGAAAATATAAAAAAAAATATGAGGTGTCTTAAGAAGCCCAGTAGATGCCAAAATAATAATATTTCGAAATGTTGTCTGTCTGTACGTTTGTTTTGGTATCACGCAAAAACAACTGCATCAAATTGAATATGGTTTTCACAGTTGTATTCCTGAAAGGCTAACTTAAAGATTGGTAAAAGTTTTATCTTTATACACCATCTAGAAATAGTCTAATTCATTGGTTTTCTTACTTCTGAAATCCACATATACGAAGTAACAGGCAAGAATCATTATTACTCACAGAAATATTCAGTAAGCTCTTGAAAGCAGTCTGCATTTCTTTCTCACTCAAATATTTATCAGGTCCATAATTCTGCCAGGACAATAAGCAATTTGTTCTACTTTCTGCATCTGTTACCTAAAAATTTGAAATAAATTTATAAACAACTATGATATATATAAATATATATTACCAGAGGGAGACTTTGTACAAAAGTCATTTGCTTGAGCACTGAGCACACTGTCCATTTGTGTTTTATACAGTGAAGCAATTGTGTTTGCATGGCTGTGTTATGGTTTGAAGTGTAGGATATGGCAGTGAATTTACAGGGTATAAAGGAACAACACCTGAGTCCTCAGGAATGGCAATGCATGGGGGGAATCGTGGGTGAAACAGTATACTCTGTTATGTCCATGGTGTTGCTCATGTCTATAGTTGACGGTTACCACTTCATCAGGTGGACCGTCAGTTTGTTTGCCATTCTAAGTAGCATAATATATATATATATATATATATATATATATATATATATATATATATATATATATATATATATATATATATATATATATACATATATAGTTATAACTATATACCAATTTATTCTTTTTGCTTACCTCATAAGGCACCTGATGTGAAGATATAAACTAACAATTATGACTACAAAATAATATTTAAAGAAAACTATTTTGCATAATATTATTATATTTTTTTAAGATAAGCTCATTGTTTTTATGATGATTAATAATGAATCAGTAAGTCAGTTATTATTAAACTCCAAGTACTTATTTTAATATCACAGGGTCATTAACACCAATAATAAAAAGATAAAAGCCGCCAAGAACGTGTCAGATATGCATACAATTTTAAGATGTTTTTTACATATTTAAAGTGTCCTGAATAATTGAAGCGGTTGTTTTTTTTTTGCATAACTAGCTCCAATTTTGTATTATAGTTACTTTATGCTAAATGTTTAATGTCATTTATTTATATAGATTCTGTCGAGTTACCCATTTTGGTTTATAGCACAATTAATTTTTACTATTTTACACATAAATGTTTACTATTTTCAACCAACTTCAAATAGAAGAAGGTTCTCAATTTGGTATTTTTCTTTTTGTTTGTTGCTTTATATCTTTGTTCATTATAAACAGATTTGGATTTTTTTTATCTGAAAGGACATACTCACAGATTGTTCCCATAGAAATTTTATCAAAATCAGTTCAGAAGTTTAGTTTTAAATCAAAATAACCAGTTATTTTGATGCCACAATTAAAGTTTATTTTTGTTAACCCAATCTTAGTTATAATAAAGATAATTGTTGTGATAAATAAAAATTAACGAAAAAACATAATGTACATCCTACATTATGATTTTTCTTTATTTTTTTTTTTATAATTACCTTCCCTTTAAAGACATAATACTTATGGTCACTTCATAGTTAGCAATAACTAAAAAGTATTTAATATTATTCTTTTCATATCGGAGGATAAAATAATCAACACTCTGTTTCATACAACTAGCAATACTATATTTTTTACTTTTTTGTTTTTATGTACTTACTAAAAAGTAGTGTTTACGTATCCTCCAACCTACATCTGACAAAGGACACTTTAGCTCATATCTTCCATGCCCTCGTAATGCAATTGACATAGTCTGCAGGGCTTGTTCTGCAATAAAGATCAAATAATTAATATTTTTTACATTTTTTTATAATTCAAGGTGACTCTTAATTTAGATTTTTTTATGTTGTATGTCTCCAAACAAAATGAAAACTTAAGTTAGTTATTATACTATCATTATGTTATCATTAATAAATATACAATACATTTTATAGTTCTGCAGATTGCTTTGTTAGTCAGTGAGTGGAATTTCTATCAATCTATTTTCTCACCACTTCTTTTATGGGGTAGGCAAAAGAGTCAAGTTTTAAGGGTTCATATTTTGTATTTGTTCTATATAATTCCATATTTGTATTATATTTAAGACTTGTTATAATAAAAATATTACCTGTAATGTTTAATGAATAGTTGTTTGGATCTAAAAAACTTCTTACTTGCAAAGATAAAGCTAATATTTGATGCTTTAGCACTTCATTTATATAGTTCTGAAACAAAAATTTACATTTATAATCACTTTTGAAATGTTTTATTTAAACTTTGGTGATAATTAATTGGCTGTCAAATGTTATTATTAATATGATAATTAATAAACTAACACTTAGTTAGATTTTATATAAGATTATATGGATTTGATCTTCTTTATCATATATATGAGTAAATTATGGAGCTTGTGAATAAATAAGATAAAAGATTAAAGTAGACAAGGACTGACCTGTAAAGCAATTTGTCTCTCAGCAATAAAAGATGGTTGCATGTTCCCAATAAGTTTCTTTGGTGGCAGGGGCAGTGCAATGTTTGCTGGTTGCAGAGATGAATGCAATGCAGCAAAATCCCTATACCTACGAGGAACATTCCATTTGTTTTCTTTGCAAGGCCCTCTTTGTACTCGTAAAACATATTCCTAGAAAACACACCCACATACCAAGAGCTATTATTTATTTGTACTCATGCAAAAAACCTAAGGATTTGTAAACGTTGTCGAAGATCCATATATAAAAAGTATTTATATACTTTTTATTACGATATTGATATGATTGATTGGTTGATTTATGATGATATGATATATTTATATATATTATCACATTAGGGAACTTACTGTATGTTTATTAATATTTTGTGCATTTTCAACTACACAAATAAGTTTCTCGGTGTCATCAACAATGGCTTTGGTTTGAGATGTTTTTTCAAATATAGCCATTACACTGGATTAGCAAATTCATTGATTAACGTTTCTACTTTTAAAATGAAAGTTACACATTTTAAACATCTTAAAAAGTACTTCTGAATTTTTTCGCAATCGCAAATAAATTATAAAATACAAAAATTTGACATTTTCATTGTCTTGACATGACAAAAACAAAATTGATTGACAGATGACAAAAACAGCTGACAGTCAATTTAAAGTTTAGAAACTTCGAAACCTTAAATGTTCTTAAAGTTTTGTAGTATTCAAAAGAAATAATTAACTTTACACTTTTACTTTTAATGAATAATTTTAATACATAATGCCAATTCAATTCAAAAGGGGCATTTAACATTAAAATACTTATCAGAAATCCGGAAGTACTAACAGAAACATTTGTCTATGAAAGCTCGTTTCCTTGGAAGCTCGGAAACCTAAATTAAATTCATTAAATTAAATTAATTTACAATAATAAAAATTTAATTTATAATTAACAGAAAATTAATGATGGGTTTTACTTCATAATTACAATATATTTTGATGAGTATTTAAATAACTAGATAAAGTTAAATTATACATTTCCCTAATTTTATATCCTTAAATTTTTAATTTTATATAGACGAAATTTTACCATAAAATTTGTTTAATAATATACAATATATAGAATTCGTTATATATTATTTTTAATTTTATCAGCAGATCTTAAAAGCACATAATACTCATTTTTGAACGTAATATTCAATACTGATGAACCATAGACCGATTTCTTTTCTGCGTCACTTCCGTTCCACCAAAACGAACGAGACGAGCGGAGGTTCACTCGGGTCTTGAGTCTGCCATATAATTTAGTATTTTGTGAAAAATGTCGCTGATCTCCGCTCGTTTGGCCTCTTCTGTGGCCAGGCGCCTCCCTAATACCACATCTCAGGTAATTTTATTGCAAATGCTACATTCTTTAATTTTACTTTGGATTTTTGTATGTCTGGATCACACCCGGCAGTACTTTTAATTAGAAGAATCAAGTTGGGTTGTCCATTTTGCAAAGAACGTACTCCAAATTATCATGTCTAATATTGTAAATCAACCATTTACCGTTCTAAATATGATTTTGTTGTTAAAAGAATGATATATTTTCATAACAGGTAAGTACTGAATATTGTGTTATGTAATAGTGGGCGACCATTCATATCAGATTAGATGATAGTGATTATGTGAATATATAGGCTAATAATGCAAGAAAAAATGTCTACATGTGATCTATTTAGTGGTTCGTGAGTGCCAATTAGGATACAAGTGATAAAAAATGCAATGTTGTTTTTCTATGGTAGGTGTCGAAAATTGCGGCGCCAGCAATCGCTGTCGCCTCCCGCAAGGTCCATGTGTCCTCCACACAGCGGGCAGCTGAAATCTCCACCATTCTGGAGGAGAGAATCTTAGGTGCTGCACCCAAGGTCAGTATGTCATATTACATAAACGTACCCTTAACTCTATTATCAATTGAGGTTATGTTGATTAGAGTTCACTTTGGTGACTTTATAGCAATAGTATATTTTCAAAGTGTCTTAATTATTTTAAATAATCTAATAGAAGAATAATTTCTTTATATAGTTAAGTAGGTTTTTTATAAGAATGAAAATTGCTAGTAGGAAACTATTTTGTGTCTTTTTGTTTAATAATTATAGGAATGATTTGTATTTTGTAGGCTGATCTAGAAGAAACTGGCAAAGTATTGAGCATTGGTGATGGTATTGCTCGTGTCTATGGCCTCAAGAACATTCAGGCTGAGGAGATGGTGGAATTCTCTTCTGGACTCAAGGTATGTGTTTTAAGATGTATATTAAAAAATCACTTATTAGCGGCAAAATGTTAATGAGTAAAATTCCTATATAATATTTGTAAGTTTAAATTAGCCAAGAAAATAAATGAGAATTAGAGTTTAGAATTAGTTGTAATTTAGTAATTCGGAAATTTAAGATTTTGGAAAATGGAATGAATTAATATTTTGAAATTTCAAAAGTCATTCTCTGTTTACAAAGTAAAGGCACATATTGATATTTTAATCAGTGTTTAGCATAAGAAAACCAGAAAAATATCATTGCAAAAAATCCCTAAGGACTTAATTATTTGAAGCAGTAATGTGACGTGTTTAAGATGTAAAATAAGGTGTCTATACATAAACTTATGTTTAAGCGAAAACTGTTATAAACTTAATTATAAAAAAAGTAGTAGATTTAAACTAAAACTTAGAATACTCAAAAGTTATCCCTTATTGTCTAGGGAATGGCCCTCAACTTGGAGCCCGACAACGTTGGTGTTGTCGTGTTCGGTAACGACAAGTTGATTAAGGAAGGCGACATTGTCAAGCGAACTGGCGCCATTGTAGACGTGCCTGTAGGTGACCAGCTTCTGGGCCGCGTCGTGGATGCCTTGGGTAACGCCATTGACGGCAAAGGTCCCATTGACACCAAGAACCGCATGCGTGTCGGTATCAAGGCTCCTGGTATCATCCCTCGTGTGTCTGTACGTGAGCCTATGCAGACTGGTAAGTTTACAGCCTGAGAGCCAAAATTGAAATATATAAGTATAGAAAATGTTGATTTTCTTTATAATAAAAATATCTATAAGCAGTGTTTATATGAAGTATCCTTAAAAAAAGTAGGTATGTTTAGGCAAGACCTTTTAAGTATTCCAATTGGAATTTATAGCTAATAATGAATGAGACTTTCTAAACTGATAATAAAAAAACAGTGAGGACAATGTTTACAAAGTGTCTATGTGGATTTTGTGAATAAATATATTTTTAACTTAATATACATATAGCAAGAGATATTATGTAAAGATTGTTATATAATCGGTTATGATTTTTTAATTACACTATTACTATACTTCATATTATTTCTCAAGTTCATTAATTTAGATATCTAATGATGGATGTGTCAAACGTCATTTTTTGTAAAAGGGAAATATTTCATTATAGGACATAATAAATGATACAAATAATGCAAATATCTAAAATTTATTTATGCTGTAATCAATAAATTGCAGGAATAACATTAATGTAAGAAGTACTAGGTGAAGGGACATTTTGGCATATTGACCAAATCTTGCACTTCTATTTAATAAAATTCAGTTATACTGCATTAGGAAAAATATAAATGGAGGTTTAACTCAAACTTGAAATTTGGTCACTTAAAATCTTTATTATAAATAATTAGTCATTGGATAAAAACAAATTGCTGGTTATTTCATTAGAATTATTTTGTTTAATTCTGCTACCATTAGTATATGTTTTATTGCCAACACTCAAAGATTGAACACACCATTGTTACTACCAGAAGTTCTACAATCTTCCATATTAGCTCTCAATCTCTGGCCATTTTGTCCACGCATGTTTTTATCAGTTTAAATAACAGAAAAAAGAGTTTAAATATTTGTTAAAAATTATAAAAATATTTAAACTAGTGATATGGACTTAAGGATAATATAGACTAATACCTATTTCCATAAAAAAATTGAAAACAAATTGTACACCACTTGAATTTGCATAACAGGTATCAAAGCCGTCGATTCTTTGGTCCCCATCGGTCGTGGTCAGCGAGAGTTGATCATTGGTGATCGTCAGACTGGCAAGACTGCTCTGGCCATTGACACCATCATCAACCAGCAGCGCTTCAACAAGGGTGAAGATGAAAAGAAGAAGTTGTACTGCATCTACGTCGCCATCGGTCAGAAGAGGTCCACCGTGGCCCAGATTGTAAAGAGGTTGACAGATGCTGGTGAGTTGTCTGTTTTATAAAAAATATTTTAATTATTTAGTATTTGTAAAATAAAAATATAATTGCACCAGCACATGTTTAACTTATTTAGTAGTTTACATAAATTTCTATATGTAGATTTCATAATTTTTTGTTTTGCATTTATCTATCAAATTGTGTAAAAATTTTAAAGGTATAGAAATGTTTTATTATATCATAAATATTATATATTCACTTATAAAACTAATTATAGGTGCCATTAACTACACCATCATCGTATCCGCCACGGCTTCTGACGCCGCGCCCCTGCAATACTTGGCGCCATACTCCGGCTGCGCCATGGGCGAGTACTTCCGCGACAACGGCAAGCACGCCCTCATCATCTACGATGACTTGTCCAAACAGGCCGTCGCCTACCGTCAGGTGAGTTATCTAAACTTGCTATCCTGAAAAGTATCTAAAAGTTCACAACTCGAGATGTATATAAAAGTAAATATTCTAAACAATCTGTTTCTATCACAATCTGTTTCTATCACAATCTGAACAGTCATGTATTTGCTTACCCTTTGACAGGGTTTATTTTTATTTGAGGAGTGTTATGTTATGTTTATATATCCTAATTCCACATAAAAATATAGTCTTCCAATTTTCATCTAATATAACAGCAGTTCATTAAAATGTAACATTGTAATGTGAACATATGAGTTCAATGAATGATTTACTGTAGTGCTGTTTAATTAATAACTAAACTTTACACAGATGTCCCTGCTGCTGCGTCGTCCCCCCGGTCGTGAGGCTTACCCTGGTGATGTATTCTACCTCCACTCGCGTCTGCTCGAGCGTGCCGCTAAGATGTAAGCAATACATACATTATTTTACTCATATTTACTGCAACTTAAACCTTATATTCTTATTGTTATATATGTAAATAAATAAATTACCAAACTATTTGTAGCTTTAACAGTCAAATTTAGTTGAACTCTATTTTTTTAATATAAAAAAGGTCATAAATAGAGTAGGCTTTGTAATATTTTATTAGTGCAGAACAGAGTCTAATATTTTTTTTAATGTTACTCTATCTTTTACAAAAAAATAATTTGCATCTAAAATAATTGTAATTTATTAACAAATTAACAAACATGTGTACCTCCCCCAGGTCCGACAAGATGGGCGGCGGTTCCCTTACCGCTCTCCCCGTAATCGAGACCCAGGCTGGTGATGTGTCCGCTTACATTCCTACCAATGTGATTTCCATCACAGACGGCCAGATCTTCTTGGAGACTGAGCTCTTCTACAAGGGTATCCGGCCAGCTATCAACGTCGGTCTGTCTGTATCCCGTGTAGGATCTGCTGCCCAGACCAAGGCCATGAAGCAGGTAGAGCTAAATATGCTATCATAGATATAGGTTTGAAAAAAAAGATCAAAGTTACTTTTAATAAATTTAATTAATAAAAGCTATAATTAATGTAATAACTATATTCCGACGAAATTGATACATCAGTAGTAGTCAATTCATTGTTTGATTGATAGTGTCGTAACTCGGCGTTGAAACACTGATGCTTCAATTTGTATATGGGAACAAAGTACAAGGACTGTGTATAATACTGTTAGCAATATCCCTATTAGCTAATGCATATTTTTATAGAATATTTTGTGCACAAAATTAACTTTATTAACTTATGAATTCCCAACAAGAATTATACATATCATTTATAGGTATGTCTTGCCTTCAGAAATGTTAAAAAGTAAAATTATACTTAGTGTATTACACACCTAAAGTACATGGAAATGTCAATCTTATCTACATATATATAGACTAGATAGATAAAAATAGTTATTGAGAATTAACTATTATGTATGTGTATTGTAGGTGGCTGGTTCCATGAAACTGGAATTGGCCCAATACCGTGAAGTCGCCGCCTTCGCCCAGTTCGGTTCCGACTTGGACGCCGCCACCCAGCAGCTGCTGAACCGTGGTATGCGTCTCACCGAGCTGTTGAAACAGGGACAATATGTTCCCATGGCTATTGAGGAGCAGGTAAAAGATAGTTTGATTTGCATTTTATTATTGACTTTGGGATAAAATCCCTAAAATATTACTCATAGCCAACAATAGACTATAAAGAATCTTTGATAAAAAATATTATTTCACTTTTTTTTTAATAGAAATAATCTTCATTTAAATAATCCTTTCTCTTGTAACATCTTGATGCAGGATCAACTGAACTTTAGATCAATTCTGAATTGACTGTGTTATTTTAATAAAATATTGGATAATTTTAAGGCTGTCTTAATAAACAACACAATTTATATACAGGTCGCCATCATTTACTGTGGTGTCCGTGGCCACCTTGACAAACTGGACCCCTCCAAGATCACCGCTTTTGAGAAAGAATTCACCCAGCACATCAAGACTAGCCACCAAAGCCTGCTCTCGACAATTGCCAAGGATGGACAGATCACACCGGAGTCCGATGCTACCCTGAAGAAGATCGTCACTGACTTCCTTGCTACCTTCACACAGTCGCAGTGAACAGTGTAGTCACTGGACAAAATCTGACTTTGACGTGACATTGTGTCCCGAAGCATTTAGGATAAATCATCTAAATTGAAACTCGTAGCACAATGTCAAGTCAAACTCTATGGTACATTTTAAGTGATGTCTAACGAAAGCAGTTCTCCCAGTGATCAATGTTTTCGTTAGCCGTTTAGTAGTTTTATCATTCGTATGGACTGTATTGAATGTTGATACAATCATGGAATGTATTTATCTCGGAAATGTCAGGAGTGGTTATATATAAATAAACATCGTAACAAATACATGATTTTTACTTTCTCTACTTACTATACTATTTTTATACTTTTTATATTTTGGATGACAATTAAGATTATAAAGTGGCGTATGATAGTTGATCATGAGAAGTCAATTCGCCCATCTTACCAAATCAACCATTCTTAGATGAATTTAATTACATATATAAACGTAATCATAGATTTAGATTTGAAAGTAGACATAGATTTAAATATTCATAGAATTATCAGCTTACTTATAAAAACTGAAACTCTCTATAAATATAATTTAATTAGTATTAACGTGTTTTGTAATTTTCTTTCAAATTGGCGACCATATTCATAAAAACGTTAAAACTCGCTCATAAACCTATTTTAGATATTGAACTGTTTTGTCTCTTTCTTTTAAGTTAAATTCCCAATTTGAAAAAAATTACAAAATCATGTAATAGTTAAAATACGTTTGTAGAAGGTTTTAATTTTTATGAATAAGATTGTAAGAGCAAATCTGTACAAGAGCCCTTTACTTGGGTACTTCTGTCCCATTTATGTTTCTGTCGTTAAGTTGTTGTATTTTTTTTAATGGATGATAATGGAATGGCTACCCCGCCTGTGCTATCGATATACACTAGCGAGGTACCAGTGATGGATGATAAATGAGGATGAAGCAGGTCAGTTAGCCCATCGTGACGAATTCAACAAGAATCGTTCACGATAGTTTCCAAGGGGAACCACATGGAGGTCGACCTGATAGGGCAGGTCAGGGTTAGGGCAGATATTGCTAGCAATGGGGCTGTCAAACTTCATTGCTAACAATCCCTTACCCCCCAGCTGTTGTATTTACTTAACTGTGTTCAGGTTTGAAGGGTGGGATAAGGCAATAAAATTACAGATCAAATAGGCATAACACCTCTGTTTTCAGGAATGGCAACGCATGCGACTGTGCATGAGAGGTATCATATAGGCGACAAATTATACTCTGTTATGTCCATGATTGACTATCATGGACATGACATGAGCACTATCATTGATAGTGCTCATGTTTCTAGGCGACTTTCCATCATCTAATTAGCATTAGCATAAATTTTTAGATATTGTAAAAAATTAACTATAGGATAACTGATTTCGAAAATTAATGTGTAATTAATTAAATTTTGTTAATGTGAGAAACTTAAAGATGGCGGATGTGAAAAATATTAATTTTCCCCGTCATGTTGTTAAATATTTTTAGATTTTAAAAAGATGGAGGATGATAAAAAAATTTTCAATACAGATTGCTAATTGGGGCTAATTAAATTGATGAAAATTGTAACGTATTTTAGTAGGTACTTTGAAAAATAAAAGATTTTTCACTTTTTTACTTGGTTTACAGAATTTTGGTTATTGACTAAAAAATTAAGAATATTTTTGAAAAAAGTTTTAAATTGATAGATTATTTTAGAAAAGTACTTGGTACGTGAGTGGATCAAGTGTCATATCTGAGCTGTTTTATTAATTTATTCGAAAAACTTTTCCTCACAAAAGGAAAACAGGAACAATTGTTCGCAGGTTTCCCGAGGTCCACGCCGCATCATATTTCTAATCTCTAATATATAAAGCTGCAATTCATATCACTCATTGACATAGTTATTTATCCGGAAGGAGTCGAGAAGTCAAAATACACTGATATGATATAGTGACGAAATACTCCTATCGTCAGGGTGACCATGAGAAAAATCTGAAAGTTGGGACAATCTAAGATGGCGGACCAAATTGGTGACGTAACTTTGAAACTATCGGTGCGGTTGATTTCATTTAAACGCTTATTTGTAGTAGACTATATGTAATTCATTTTGGGATAAAAGAGAAAAACAAATACTAGATGATTAAAAAAGTAGGCTATAATAAGATTATGATAAAAAAAAAAATTAAGTTTCTTTAACTTTCTTGTAGTAACTTTTACATATTTGTTGACACATCAAAAGCGACTTCCTTTTGAATATGCTTTTTTTTGCTTGCTCTATGATGTAAATGGTACCTAAGGCATATAAGTAAATTAATCCTTTGTTTTTGGCGAATGCACTATGTGCTGTGCCATACGAACCGAAAAATTAAACATTTTATAAGTTTCATTTCCTGTTTGTTAATGGCATAATGGGCAAAACTAGCTCTTTGTCAATATTAAAAAGATAAATATTTAATCATATAGGTAGGTAGTTCTCTAATCATTTCGGTTCTTTATTCTGTTCATAGATAAAGAGAACAATGAAATTTTAAAGATGAATGTGATGATTAAGTAAATAGATTTCTATTTTTTTTTTTTAACAACGTCATAATATACACATTGTACACATCCTGTTTTACGGTATAGAAAAAGAATAGTACTACTATGATTAATGAGTGGGTATCTGGGTAGTAAAAAAATCGGTTTCGACAGCATGACAATTGACAGTGACATGTAAAGTAAGGCTGTCGTTATCTTGACGTACATGTTTTCTGTTTACATTTTTCCTCAGAATTTGCTTTTGTCGGAAATGAAATTAAATGAATTCGTATTTATATATTTATTTTTCAAGGTGATCCGTGCTAAATATTATTTAACTCTCATTTAAGTCTAGATCTACTTTATTATTAGTGTTTTTTTAAACAGTTATAATCACTTGGTTATATACTCTGGTCATAATGGAATACTTTGAGAAAGCACACGTTGCGAAAAAAGAATTTTCAAAAAAGGACAGTAAATCCGAAGGAGACGTGAAAAAACAATTAAAGCAAATGTTACAGGGATATAAGCAAAGTGATATAAAATTGATTCGAGACAGTGAAAATGTTTTCAATGATCCGTACAAATATTTTAATGAAGACTCAAGTTCTGTTAGCGGCTTTTCGGATTTGAATCTCACTAATTCGAGTAATGAAGGTGATATATACCTCGGTAATACCGGTTCTGATGCTAAAGAAAGTAACGCGTCTTTTTTACATAAAAGCTATGAAGGAAAAAAGAGAATTGATTTAAATGATATTAATTCAGTATCTATATCTAGCGCAGAATCCATCTCTGAATGTAAGGATGATATTGGGTCCCTTTCTGAAGATCCCAACCCTAATGAAAGTATATCATCAGATTTATCAGATAACATATCGTTGGTCAGCAGTTTGATGGAAACAGTTACTGAATTTGAATCTGAAGATTCAGAATCTTTTGATGCCAATGGGGTTTTGGCTTCAAAAATCCTTCAGAAATTAGCCGAGAGTGAAAAATTTATTAAAAAGAAAACTAAAAAGAGGTCAATTAAAGATGAAGACACAATAAAAAAAGATGTTAAAGCTAAGAAGTTAACTCAAATTAAAAGGAATGTTTTAAGTGCAAGTGATGAAGACAAAATACCTACTCTTGAAAACATACATGAAGACTTTCAGTCTGAGGATAATACTTCTCCATTTGTATCAGTAATAGCCACAGAGGTGGAAGTGGACCAAAGTTTTAATGAAATATTAGGAGATTATAAGCACTCAACTGTAAGCAATATGCGATCTGATAATCACATTGTAACACATTCTACAAACAATAGTAGTATATTTTCTATAGAGAATATGAGTATGGATGATGTACAAATTGAAGAAGAAATTAATGATCTTACTTATGACGATAATAATGAACTGACTATTGATGAAAATAATTTTAAAGATATAGAATCTGATACTGTACCTGAAGAAGAGACCACAAATTATGATGATACACTTCAATCAGAACAAACATTTGAAAGAGAATTATCTACTGAATCAACAGAGGAGTTTGTGAATCCAGTTAAAATTTATAATGGTAATAATGCATGTGTTCTAGTATTGAAACACCCAGCAGAAATATTTATTCATGGTAAAATATGTGTGCAATTGCTAGGTGGAGAAGTAGATATTTTTGGGTATACTTTAGAAAATCAGATATGTGAAGTGTATGCACCGAATTACAATTGTGCTCAGAGAATAAATACAGTTGAAAATCAGAATGAATATTATGGTTTGTTTGGCAAGTTGACTGCTGCTGGCCTGGCTGTGTATGAAGCTGAAGACATTGTGACAAGTATTGGAGAATACGATGGTGTTATTAAATTGAGTCCACTTAGAAGCCCTAAGATGGATTTTGTTGAAGACAATTTTAAAGCGGCAGACTTGTTTACAAAGTCAAATAAAAATATAGATAGTAGTTTAAAAAATATTTGCGATATATTAGGATGTTCACTTTATCTGTCAAAGCCATGGAAGCATTATACTGAGGCAAGTGTATGGAAGCCTGTTATTGAATATGCACTTGGTATGTTTTCAAGATACTATATATAATTCATAAGTTTTGCCTGAGTAATAAAATAATATAATAGTATAAAATGTGGACTGCCTATACACCAAATTTTATATTATATTTTAGCCATAATTATCTAATTAAACGAGTAATTGTTATGCATGCTAGACAATTGCAAGTCTGTATTATGAATTTTTGAACCACAACTAAGATTTGATGACTTTTGTGATGCTATGGTGGCTGCTTTGCTTTGCATAGATGAGGTTCCAGGTATGGTACTCAATGGGGTTAATTTAGGACATTTAATTTTCTGGATGTTCAAGGCTATGTCCCCAGATGGTTGTTACCTAGTTCTTTATAACACAGGGTGTCCTAGCATGAGGACCAGGTGATTGGTGTGATTAAGTGACACTTATTAAAAAGTAATCTCCTTTTTAATATTTATTTTCAATTTATATCCACAGATTCTCCAGGTAGAGGCATAATATGTGGTGGAAAAGGGTTGGGCAAGTCAACATTCCTACGGTACAATGTGAACAGACTGTTGACTCAGGGTCCTGTACTGGTAATTGATTTGGATCCTGGACAGTCTGAATTCACTGTGGCGGGGAATGTATCTGCAACGGTTGTCACACAACCACTTCTTGGCCCCAATTTTACACATCTCAGTACCCCAGAAAAGTATGACAATTTAATTTAACATTTTTAAGTGTCTTGAATTATATTCATTCATGCATTCAGGAAAAATTTTATGGTTATAAACATTTTGTAAACTTATTTTAACAACTACATTATTATTGTTTGGCAATGAAGCTAAAAACAGGCAATGAAATTTTTAAATAGCTAGTAACTAATATAAACATACACACACAAATACAAATTACAACTGATTACCTAACAGATCTAATATTTAAAAGAATTTTGAAGATGCTTAAAAATATAAATAAGTATTTTTAGTTGTATCATAGTATAAGTAAAAGTACTAAAGTGCGTCCATATTTGCATAATGGATATCTCTAGTCTACACTTCAGTTAGCTTTTTTTTGTTATGCCTTTACTGTTTACCACCTTCAGTAACTAAACACAAATACATCGCAATAAAAAAGCCAAATATAACATCTCATTTACAACATCTCACCTTATCACTTCATTTTATACCACATCTCACACCAAACCTCACCCCATAAGATCTCACCCTTCATCAGACTTCGCCCCCCACAAGGACCTTACTCTTCACCAGACCTCATCCCTCACTGGACTTCACATCAGACCTCATCTCACATTAGATTTCAACCTCCAGACTCCTATCTCCATCCGTATCCAAATATCACGTGGCGCTCAAAACTTACATTATCACTCCATCCTCCTATTTTATTCCAGTTTCCGCCATCCCTAACTTTTACTCCACCGTTTTAATTCCTATCCAATGACTCTACATCACTAACCCACCTATATCTTATACCCAACCATAAATCCATCTTCTATTTTTTCCTACCTAATATGGGATATATTGGTAGTATATTTAATTCCTATATATCCCGACGACTGCGAGCGTACCACATTAGCGCACCTCTCCTCCATGGGAAACCTCACTCTATAATAATTTAAGATCGTATTTCACAAAAAAAAGGATTTACTTCAATTGTGGCAAACTCAGTTATTTTGATTTTAAAACTAAAGTCCTGAAACGATTTTGATAACATTTTTGTGGGATCGATCTGTAAATATAAAAAAAAAAAGTATTTTCCAAATCGGTTTTTAACTGACAGAGTTATGAAGTAATGAATACAAAATATACAATTTATTAGAAATCCTTTTTTTTTTTGAAGTCGATTAAAAAAAGCCCTTACAGTTCCTAGCAGTTATCAGTTTCACACCTATTTTTATTCATGTTCTTATTCAAGTATCATTTTCAGGATGTTACATATAGGCATGATCAGCACAATGGACAACACGAGACGTTACGCGAACGCCGTGGTCGAGCTAATTACTTACTGTAGGAACAATGAACGATCCGCAAGTATGCCGTGGATTGTTAATACAATGGGCATGTGCAACGCCATGGGACTGAAGTTCATATTGCTCATTATATTGCACACGCAACCCACTTACCTACTGCAGATTGATTCGAAAAACATAAAGAAACGATTCGATTGCCATTTGACACCGATTGCTGTGAGACAACTATATTCGGAATATCAACATGATCGATTATTTAGAAATACACCTTACCCCGAGAATTTAGAGTACAATTTCTTTCTGACTCATAGTTCACAGGACTCTACAAAATCGAACTATTCATTAGCAACACGAGATGAGAGATATTTAAATTTTCTGGCATACTTTGGCGCATTGTTGAGTTCTAGAGAGGAATCGTTACTGGGAATTACACCTTATGAGTAAGTACTGAAGAAATACCTAATATGTTTTTTCACAACCTTGGTGATAAGACGAATCTGCAAAAAGATGTAGCATTGTAGCCGGACACATTGCCACACAGTACACCTGACGGTTGCAGGTTAAATTTCCACATAAAACAAACATTTGTATTTATGAATATTCCTGTATTGGTTCGGTGTTTTTTTATGGATATTAATGGAATGGTATATTAATGGCTTGCGCTAACCGTATACGCTGGCGGGGCACCAGTGAAAGATGATAGGTGAAAATGAGAAGCAAATCAGTTGGCCTATCGTGAATACACCTGGAATACAGCATGTTGGTTTCCACACAGGGGGGACCACGAGGAGATTAACTGACAGGGTATATTGCTAGCAAAAAGGCTGGTAGTCCGGATTACTAATAATTCTTCCCATGATTCTGTATTTTTTTGGCAGTATTTACGTATATATATTCTATCTGAACGGGTAAACATTGATTTGCTCTTTACCGCCACCTGTAGGTGTATTCAGAGGGACGCCGGATGGGTCATGCTCACCCCAGGATGCGAGTTAAACGTCGCAAAGACATGTCCGAGAGTATCATTATTATCATATCACATGTTAATTGCCCACTACTTAGCATAGGTCTCCCCCATAGAGTGGTTTTTTTTTTATGGGTAAAAATGGTATGGTAACCCCGTCTGCGCTAACGGGTTACGCTGGCGGAGCACCAGTGAAGGGTGATAGATGAGAATGAAACAGGCCAGTTTGTCCATCATGATGAATTCATCGGGAATTAACCATGATAGTTTCCAGGGAGAACCGCGAGGAGGTCGACCTGGTTGGGTATATTGTTAGCAATGGGATTCTCAGTCTCCATTACTAACAATCCCTTTTCCCCCCATAGAGTGGGTTTGCTAGTAGTAGCCATGCATGGCAGGTGGGTAGGTAAACACAATTAGGCATTAGTTGATATTTTAAGAGGAACATTGCTGCCTTTCCCTTGACCATTAAGTTCCCTTAGTCCCCTCTTATGACACCCAAGGGAAAGAGACCGGGACCACATGGCACCTGTATTCGGCACATGTCTGAGAGTATTTTTGCGTCTTTTTAAGGGGCCAGGCGTCCCCCTGGAAAATAATCTTAAATACGCTAATGTCGTCACATAACGGGCGATTTTATTCTTTACCATGTACGATTTATCGTGAACTTTCACGTTATTGTCGTACAGTTCCACGATATATCGGGCAATTAAACGCTTTTTTATCGACTTTCAAAAATGAGAAGTTTATATTATACTTGGATGTTTAACGATATCGTAGAATGGGATTTTTCTCTCTCTAGCAGGAATAAACAATACATTTACAAAATTTCATTAAAATTGGTTGAGTGGTTACGGGGATTAGCGGGAAATAAAATCGTGATAGTGATCTAAAATTTCCAAAATGTGGTAACATCAGAATTATCTATCAGTTATTAATATTTCTGATGATTATACAAAAAGTACTGTATTAACCATTTGCTAAACATAGGAATCCCCCATGACTGTCATAAGGAACGGTCCTGCATCCATTGACTACCTCTAATGCTTTTGAGATTGTCACTCTATCTAGAGTCGGGTCGTCCTACACTGAATTTGTCTGTACGAGGTCGCCACTATTTATTCGCCAAATAAAATATTAATAATAAAAAAGTTGCACGTAAATCTACTACAAACAATTTTGCTCATCGCAAATACCTTTTTTCATGAATATTACTAAACTACCTTGGTCTTGACGTCACAGAAACTTGATAGTGAGAGGGTTATTAAACTCTTTCGAAAATACAATCTGTTTGTTTGTTTGTCTAAATTTTTTTTATTGTATTTAATACTGTTTTGATTTCTAGCATTTTTTTCCGTACAGGTAAATATTTTATTGGAATTTAGTCATGTTCAAATTTGATTGGCTATATTGAGCCTTATTTAGAGCTAAAATTTGATACAGTCGTAACATTTACTTATTTTCATAAAACTGTGTCGATAACATTACTATTCTCAATAGTATTGCTATGCGGATGTGACGGCGGTACAGTCCATGTACGATAGATCTAAAAAGGAGCTGGTCATAGAACTCAACCATATTTTTTTTTGAGACGAAAATGATTTTTTTTTATACAACATAGAATGGCAAACAAGCTGACGGCCCACCTGATGGAAAGTGGTAACTGTCGCCTATAGACATGAGCGGTACCATGGACATAACGGAGTATACTATTTCGCCCATGATACTCCCCATGCGTTGCCATTCCTGAGGATTGGAAAGAATAAACAAAATGCCATAGCTGAAACGCCTAGCATAATAATTTAGCTAATTTATAGTATTAAATATTTTTTGTATTAACTGAAGATAAGCATCTATCTATGTATAGTTTTAATCAAATCTGTTCAGCTCTTAAGAGCGTAAGATATGTTTATAATTTTAGTAAAATTTGTAATATATTAGTCTAGATTTTCATACAATTTTCTTTTTAGTGTAAATAATACCTTCATGAGGACCTTTTAAAAGTAATATTTTACCGACAGATTTTGTTATATTTATTATAGCTTGGTGTGAATGATTGTAAAATAAAGCCGCAGAAAACAAACCCACTGTTTATTAAAATGCGAAATACGGTTTGATTGCAAGAAAGTGTCATGGTAGATTGTCTTCTATTGTGATTATATCGTTCTAGATGTATTTTTTATAACACTAGAAAAGCACAAAGATGGCACACTTTGTGTAAAATGATAACCGTCGCTTATAAATTAATAGTCCAGTGGATATAACAGAATACAGTGTGATGTCTAATGCCTATGTGTTACGTTTTTGTACCCCCGTACCGTACCGTATAAAAACACACACGCACACAATAAAAAAAACTTACATTCAGATTAAAAAACTTCTACTTTTTAGAATTGTTTGAAAAATACAATTATGATGTTAATCCGAAATAGAATCCGCTTGTCACGATCGGCCGGTCCAGCATACATAATTGTAATGATCAATAATGAGTAATGAGATAATACACACAATATTACGCGAATCTCCCGGAATAGGGTTATGAATCATCCATACAAAAACATTACACGTCATCAGTTATCTTTGTCTTTTCTATATTTGCCTACAAAGTCAATAAATACTAGACATTTATTGTACAAAATTGATAATTATGTTAGAAGGGATGTTTATTTGTAGACTAACTGTGGCACATTCTTCTATTTTTAGGTTCCAGTAGAAATCTATTATTATTCCAACGTTATGTGTCTGTCACGGGCCTCTAGCTTACTATTAATTATTCTGTGTTCTAACTTAAAATTCCAAAACCAGGGAGAGTTCCACAAGCTATTTTTTTTATAATAGCATTTAATTTTAAGATTAATACTTGGGTGCGGTCATGAAAAATATATTTATTTATTTAGTATAGATTACGGCTAACTCTCCGGCGATGGTAAACTCTGGCAACAAACTCGTATACAATAATTTGTAACGTTGCATTAAACCACAATAATAGTCTACCTTCGACTACATAATTCAGGGATTGTAGTCGGTACCTTATCTGGTTAAAAGTGATGACCATTTTCAATAGACATTAAAAAAAACCTACGAATATTATATACAGCCCAGGCACCTTTAATGCATTGCCACTCCTGAGAACATATCCAAGTTGCGTTGTACAAATAATTAACAAGTCTCATTGTATTATTACCTGACGCATTGACATCCTATTTCCATCCTCTGATTGAAATCTGTGCCGATTTCTACTACCTTCGGTGTATTGGCATACATACTAATAAGTACCTGCGTAATTTTACTATCTTCTATGAGATTATGTGTCTGATTTCTTATTTATTTTTCCAGAGTGAGTTATCGGGACTTATACATAGGTTTTAATATAAAAGTAGACCGAAATGCAGTGTTGAAGGTGATAAATGGAAAAATTGTTGCGCTATGTCAACTGACGCAAGATAACGATGCCAAGGTGTTTACCCTCGCCGATAAACCGCTGCTGTGCCATGGATATGGTAAATATCTAGTTATTCATATTGCATTTTTTTAGCATTTACTATAAGATTGCATTCCTTACATAGTGTTTCTTTTATTGCATTAAAATCTAGGAATTTTATAAAAACATTTTTACTTTTCAATCGCCTTCAAAAAGAAGTTCTTACTTTGATTGTATTTTTTTTATTTGTTACCTTATAAGTCCGTCAGTTACTAATATGGAAAATTCTTTTTTATCTGAAAAGATTACAATCACAGATTGGTGCCATAATTTTTTTATCAAAATTGGCACAGTAGTTCTTAGATTAAAATAATTAATATTATCACAATTGAAGTTGTTTTTTTGTGGGGCACAGTCTTTTAATTATATGAACATACTATGGTATTAACCATCTTGTCCTCGTCCACCGGAAATTTTTAATGAATCATATGGTAGGTAAGTTACTGTTATAAATAGATCCTAGCCCTGCGTCCTCTGTACATAACTTTGTACAAAAACTTGTACATATGTATGTAGGTATTACATAGTGATGCCAATTGGAAGATGTGAAATTTTAATTCTTATTAAATATATACTGGACTACTTGATTGTGATAAATATATTTGATTATACACCTATTATGACGAAAGCTGTTACATTAATAAACAAAGATAATAAAAGCATAAAGAATATAGAAACGTAATGAACAGGATGACAGGATGACAGCATCATTATTAATGCAACAGCGTGTCCGTTCGAAGAATGAACATCGGGCTTACCCTACGTTATTTATGACGTCATTACAACACCTATCAGTAATAGAAACGGTATATCAGGTAATGACCAAGTTGCAGAAAAACAGTCTCTCTATATTTAGATGTTGGTCATTCAGTGTTTGTGTGAACGCATAATTTGAACTTTGCCCTTGATTGACACAGTACTTAGTCATATACAAGCTTGCAGTTTGATTATTTTATCTATAATCATTCTCTATAAATGTAAGTGTCTTAAAATTGCAGTGATATATCTGTAGTTATCAAACAAAGGTTGTTAAAAATTTATTCAATGTAAATATTGTTTTAATAAACCTAAATGTGATTTTAATATATAAAACGAATTAGTAATCCATTTTATAGATAAAACACATATTAAAATGGTTTTATTGAAATAGAATATCAATAGTAAATGATAACCATTTCATTAATGAGTCATCTAGGATGTACTTGAACCTAATGACGTAAGAATCCATTTTAATATTGCCTTGATTTCATAAAGATAGAAGAAAATAAATTCTACTAATATTATTTGAAGTTTGTGAATTAACAGTAAACGGCAGAAAGGTTTGAACGATATTTAGCAGATATGACGTTCTAGATAAACATTAATAAAAAAATCCCTATTTCTATGGGATCAACACAAATGCAAACAAAGCTACAGACATATACTAGCTTATATCTGGATACTAGTGAAATATTTGTTTATTAATACCTTCTACCAATCTATGGATTAGTAATTAAAATCGAGAACTTTGGATTATATCATTTGTTAATGTGAAATCATGAACTATATTGGTATATTATCAACATCATTGCAATAAAGTACTGATTAAAATTGATAATTTCATGATTGTTTGTCCATGTATATTGTCCATTGTCCATATATTCACAATTATTTTGTTTTGTAGGTCTAATTCGCAGCATTGATTATGCTAAGGAGATATTGTACATCATCACACCAACCCTGAGTGACCTGTCGCTGACAAACACACTAGTGTATGCAGACTGGGTACCAGAGTTGAGAGGACTGGAGAAACACTTGCCAGAGGGTATAAGAGTGCCATACCGCACTGCTGCCGCCTATCAGCAGAGGCAGCTAATGTTTGCACCACGCAGGAGGTTCAATCCTGTGCAGCTGTTAAAAATGTCAAGGAGGAGTTCCTAAATTGAAACTGTCAATGATTAGTTAATAAATTTGTAATTGGAATAGATCCAAAATATCTTAAATTATAAAAGGAAGTCTAATTAAATGTTAATTAATGTATATTTGAAAGATAATTTTGTACTTACAATACTAATAAAACATAACATATATATGATTTTTTTTTAACTTAATTGCCCATTTTGATTCATAAATGCTGAATGAATTTCTTATAAAAGTCAAAAAAAAGTCTAGAAAAGAATTGTTAAAACATGGGGTTCCTTTATTACTAATAAATTATATTAGCATGCAATATGGAAAGTTAAATTTTCACACAAATAGATACAATAAAAATAACTGCCCTAAGAACCATGAGCTGACATTATGCCCCAAGGAGCCAGTGTGCCTCAAAGGCTGTGGTTGCTCACTAGCACCTCATGGCGTGGCCAGTACACAGGCACTTTGTTGATAGTCAGAGCGCATGCTCCATGTCAAATAAACGTCCTACACAATTTATACATCACTATTTTATTGAAAAATTAAAATACAAAATATCAAACTAAACAATCGAGTCTCAGTGATAACACCGGTCGCAAATACACCTATAGTTAAAAGAAATGCTACTTGATTATATAACATGATAGCACAAAAAATCTAGTGGACCTCCGAAGCTGGAGGTCTACACTCTCCCCCGACTACATATTTTTAAGGCAATTACGCTTAATCTTTATAGATAATCTATAAAATATACAAGTACCAGTTGTGAAAGTGTAGTCACACGAATACTGAGTGGGTGTGCGTGCAACGCGGGCCGCGACATCGCGTCAGCTGTCAGTATCGGAAGGAAGCACTGGCCGACGTCGCGACTGCTGCAGTCCGAGTCGTTTCAAACGTAAGTTTAACAGGCAGTATGCGTACAATTCATAAATCAGAGTTCTCCCAACAACAGCACAATTACAGCAGAGAACACCTGGTCTTCTTCTTCTTCTTGACTTGTAACGCGGCGCGAGTCGCTGTCTCGAACACTTCACGCACTCCCTCCTTGCTCTTTGCAGAGCACTCTAGATATGCAAACGCGTTTATTTTTTCTGCCATAGCTCGACCTTCCTGAGGTTTCACTGGCTCCTGCTTCATTTTGCGTAGTTCACTGATTGTGGCCGGGTCATTGCGCAAATCCTTTTTATTTCCCACAAGAATGATGGGCACATTAGGGCAAAAGTGTTTCACCTCGGGTGTCCACTTCTCAGGTATATTCTCGAGTGAGTCAGGAGAGTCAACTGAGAAGCACATGAGGATGACGTCGGTGTCGGGATAAGACAATGGTCGCAGTCGGTCATAATCTTCCTGTCCAGCAGTATCCCATAACGCAAGTTCCACTTGTTTTCCATCAACTTCTATGTCGGCGACGTAATTCTCAAACACTGTCGGCACGTACACTTCCGGAAACTGATCTTTACTAAACACGATGAGGAGACATGTTTTACCACACGCACCGTCACCGACGATTACTAATTTTTTGCGAATAGCAGCCATCGGTCCTGCAAAAGAATACAACGCAAATAAATATGATAGTGTCGAGCGTCAACGCCTTTCATGACTTATAAATATGGCCGCCATATAGGATTATGGATAGGGAGTAGTCAGACAAGCCCTCAAATGTGAATAAGCACCTGAACTAGCGGAAGAAGAACAGCACCACCACATAGCACCCTCACATGCGACGGTGTTATTTAGTATATTTTGTAGATACCTGAAGATTCTGGCTAATTTCTGCAGAATATTGGTCTATCGACACTTTTTTTAATCGTCTTTGCTCATCACAAGCACTCGTTTTTATTTTTTTTTTTATGACTTTTGACGTGGATGTGTGTCTTTCAGATCAACGACAATAGCATTTTATTTAAACTGACAACACTGAAATTTACTTGAACCGTTCCGTAGATTAAGAATAATATCAGCCAATTTGCCATTTGCCCCAGTGTTCAATTCGCATTTACAATATAGACTATCTGTATGGATTTATAATTTCTTACATTAATAAATTTGCCTTTCATTTTTTACTTTAAAAATTTATAATTAGTTATCAATAGTCTTTTTCTTTATATCATAGGCTTATCGCAATGTATTACATTTTATGTTATATTCCTGCTGCCTCTGTAGAGCAATTTAGGAACTAAAATTAACATATGATTAGTTTTTTGCCTTCTCCTACTAGGACGTAAATGATGCTGTTTTAGTAGAAAAGACTATTAAAAAATTTTTGAGAAAAGTGTATTTAATCTATTACTATATATATTAGATTAATAAGCAATCATCCTACGTAATAACAATATTTTATTAGGTAGCAATCGTGCGCAAGCGGTTCGCGTGGTGTTTACTTTTATAGGAAATAAGGCGCCTACATATAGTATGAGTGACGGTATGGTTTTCTTATTATCATCTTTGCTGTTTTCGGTTTGAAAACCTTATTTTAATTAAAATTGGTTAAGTAGTTTTTGAGTTAAATCGTAACAAAAAAAAAAACTCATCTTTTCTCGTTATACGTAGTATTAATTTACATTGATACACTATCTAAAGTTTCGAACCACCCCTGGCTCGGACCTGAGGCGCGGGGCGACATGAAATTGATTTCGTTACGCATTATTTTGCTATATCTCCTAAGTTATTATATTATATATTATTTGCATGGTGTAAAGGGAAAAATAATCTTCATGAAATGGTCAAGTCAACTAACGTTTTTAAAATGATAAGAATTAATACCGTATTTGTGTAAATAGCTTTCTAATTACCGCTTTATAATTGCCTATTTTTAAAAGTATTAAAATGAATATAGTATGTTATCTTTAAGAGATAAACATATATCATCGCGGACTTTTCTGTAGACCTATATAACATACACAATTCTTTATATCTCAAAAGGTTCAGGTAGTGTTTTCGTTGAAAACTTCCAGACGACTTATTTTTTTCTGACACCTCCAACAAATATTTATATATTTATGCCAATGTATACAAAAACTTAACAAATTATGTACTAAAACCTTCCTCGAGAACACTTTATCCATTGGTGAAAACAGCATGAAAATTGGTGCAGTAGTTTTTAAGTTTATCGTGTACAGACAGACAGACAGATGCGGCAGAGGACTTTGTTTTATAATATGCAGAGATTAAAAGTATTAGGATCCTTCCTAATTATCATATAGCGTATTACATCAAGTAATTAGAATAATATAACGAAGTTCAGCGTCTTCCAAAAAAAATAGCAACCAGTCTAATTTATTTGCGACTGTCGCGTGATTAGTGCCATTACGTTGCCAATTCTGAACGGATTTAATAAATTCTTTTTGTAATTAATAAGGCTTGCTTACTCCCGTGTTGGCACTATATAATTTTGTTGATTTAAACTTGTTTTTCGACGAAGTATGCAATTAACTGTTAGTTTACAAAATCAATTGGCAATATTTCTGATTATTTAAAAAGTGTTCTACTTATGAACTAAGACGTTAATTGTGCAATAATGCAATTATTAAGCTGTCACTGAAAATTTGGTATTTGATGCAAAAAAAAAATTATTTGAAAAAATCTAAAGCAAAAAATGAAGTAGGTGCAAGGTTTTGAGTGGTAGATTTATATGCAACGTATTCTATGATTAACGTCTTAGTTCGTATGTAAAGCACTTTTTAAATAATTAGTCAAAAATATTAAAAAACTGTTAATTTTTTTTTGATAACTTATAGATAATTGTGATGTTGTCATACTTCGATATATTTCTTACGTGGTAACTGCTCAGTGGCTACGTTAACTGTTTTTGGATACGTATACATACATTTGGATAGGTTTTTATGGATTTTAATAATAAACATAACAACATTGTAATAATAAAATATTTATTTCATTGCATTGTTGGGTTTTTAACAAATTTTAAAACATATCTACTTATCACGAAAAAACTTTTATTTCGTCGAACAACAAAGAGATTAATAAACGATAAACACACGCAATACCAATTCCAATATATAAAATTGCCTTTCCCCAATAAATAATTAAAAATACAAATATTGCAATAAACACTACTTAACATTAGTCATAGTGGCTGCTCCCTTCGGATTTAGACTTTGATCCATACCAACATAATCCTGATAACTTAGTAATCATAGAAGAGGTATTTTTTTTTTATTTATAATATTAAGAACACAGCAAAGAAAGATCATATATATTGCATTTTTTTCACTGGTCATATTTATCTGCTTGAAGTGACTCAGTTTCCAATCTTGTAATAGATAATGGTGTGAATGTTGAAATTTTTTTTTATACTTAGAAAAGCCAAACTATAGTTAGAAAAATAAAATACTTTGTCTATGAATATACATATATATGTGGTTCCGGCATAAATTGGGCCAGACCTTACTTTCCCGAGGGTTTCTTAAGAGGCGAGTAAGGGAATTTAATAATGGTCAAGAGTTACGCATTAGTGTCTCATTTAAAACATCACCAAGCTTAATTGCCAACTTGCCTGCCTAGCATGACAACTACTACAAAACCCACCAGGAGAGAGCAATGGACAATTAACAGCTGATATGATGGTGATATACAACAATTTTAATACCGCAAAAACTGAACATACAATTTACGGTGATTCATTAAGAAATCGCAGGGATTGCAGTTCAGCAACTGATTAATCATAATTTGATAGAATTATTGCTAGAATGTGAGTTTAAAAATATATGGTATATAAAATATATTGTAACAAACAAGCCCATACAATGTTCTTTTGAAGTTTATTTGTAGATAGACAATATACTGAAACTAATTTTCAGTCTGGTTTTGAATATATTGCCAAAAATTTAAAAATCACATGAATATCTGGAATGTTTAATGCCCGTCATACACGGAGAAATTTATTAAATTGATCAATTAAAACGATAATAATTTTATATTCTATCTTTCATTTTTTTATATTGCCACACATGCGAGATCCGTAGTTCATTTAAAAACATCGACTGATAGTGTATGTGGGGCTTAATACATACTAAGTATTTATATTTCGCGATTACCATAATCGACCAGTAGGTACCTATTTAATATAAAGTTTTTTACAATTGAAATATTAATAGGACAATGATTAATTCAATACAGAATAAGGATAATACAGTAGTTATACACCACAAAAATATTTAAAAAGAAATAGTAAAAATAAATGCATTTTCATCATAAGAAAATAATTCAAAAATTTTGCTTAGACACCTATAGTATAAAATTATGGTAAATAATTTTATATTATCACAATCCATACACGTAAGGCATTCCGAGGTAGTCTAACATCAGTCACAGGAATTACAAATCTTCCGAAGTAATCTGAAAAGAAATATATTATTATATATATATAAAAAAAAAATTAAATAGTTCCGACCATGAGAACAATTTTCGTCTACAAATATCTGTAAAAGAAAATTGTTCTAAAACCGTTTCTAAGTGTCAGTGGGTATGCTTGCTACATATTCTCAGATAACACACTCAATTGGTTTGTAAATTGGCAAACAGATGATAGACCTATAAGTACGATATTAAAACTGCAAACTAGTAAATAGATAGTTACAAATTGAACATACAGTTAAATATGGACATTCAGTATATTAAAATAGAGTTTAAAATTATTTTTTGTCATTCCAAAGCAGACAAACACAGTGACAGAGTACGGGGCTCGTTGTTTGCAATGAAGTAACACAGTTTGTCTATTGTAAAATATGCGTGGGACAATATTATAAGAGAGTGTTTAACCCTTAAATACCTGGAGTTTCAAATTTAATACTGGGGTTATAAATCGCATTGGGCGCCTACAATCGATTTTATTTTAATATTTGGCTGTTTACATGTTACCAAATGTTTTTTTCAATATAAATATATAATAATATCGGTTTGATTTTTATACTATTATTCCCCATTAGTAAACACAGTAAAAGGTACATTTATATATTTTTTAATTTGATTTAAATAATCAGGCTTTTAAGGGTTAAGTCCCGGGTTGCAATTTCGCGGGGGAAGGTACACGACCTACTATGAGATACCCTAATTGATGTGGGACACTTGTGATCCAGGATACTGGACCGGTTTATTATATATTAGTTATGCGAACTACCAGTCTCATTGCCAGCGGCTTTTTTTAATGGGTGATAATGGTATGGTAACCCCGTCTGCGCTATCGGTGTACAATGGCGGGGCACCAGTGATAGATGACTAATGAGGATGAAAGCAGGTCAGTTAGCCCATCTAAACGAATTCAACTAGAATTAGCTACGATGGTTTCCAGGGGGAACCACGTGGAGGTCGACCTGACCCTGAAATAGCCCCATTACTAGCAATATACCGTTATTGCTAGTAATGGGGCTATTTAACCCCATTACTAACAATCCCTTTTCTCCCGATTGCGAGCAGTATACCAGTATAGTCAGGTCGACTTCCATGTGGTCCCCCCTGAAAACCATCGTGTTGATATTTAGGTGTATTCATTATGATGGGCTAACTGACCAATCTTTTCATTCTCACCTATCATCCCTCAATGGTGCGCAGGTGGGGTTACCATTTCATTATTATCTATTAAAAAAAATCGGACGAGGATGTAATTCCGGGATGACATGTCATCGTCGCTACGTGCGTCCCGCATTTCGTCACGATAATTAAGTAATTTAATTATTAACATAATAAATAACGTTAATGACGATGATGAAAAATGAGTTCCCGGGTGAATTTCTGTCGAGCCAGTATAGAAAACGAATTTTTTTATATTAGCTTTGGTCTGGACTTTCTGGGTTGTGCCATAGGGTATCTTAGCTTGCAGATAGCTAGCTTAGAGGCTATTGTGTCATTGCGTAGTATTTATTATTATCATTTATTTTGTACAATTGATACCGATGATGTGGTTGTGTTAATGTGCGATAAATGTAATTTATCGAATGGATGTAATGGTCAGCTTCACTTCTCGGCAAATTTGGCTGTTTATATATTTTCCTTTTTATACAGTAATCTGTAGTTAACATTTTTGATGATACATATTAATCATATTTAGATGTAAAATTATTATTATGATACATTGTATTACTGTTTGTTAATAAAATAAAAAAAAAAATAAAAAAATATATATATATATTATTAATGTTAAAAGGTACTGCATCATATTACTTTTTTACAGGTATATGCGATGTACCCAAGTTGGCTGTTCCATATACAGATATTTCACTGTTCGCAGACGATCAACGTGAGTGACTGAGTAAGCCATATCTGATGTAGCATGTCTCACCAACCTCCCGCCAATCCGGCCCTGCCACGTTATAATAAGGATATGGAGTTAGATAAAGCAAGGTATATATCCAAAGATAAAGGATATTGCCACTCGATTTTCTCTATCAATTCCGTAAGGATAAATCTCTAATGAGATTAGACATATCTTATAATCGGTCTTGTCGATGGGATGGGCCTTTATCGTCGGAATTGTGGTAGGATGCAGAAGCGATCCCACGACTTTAGCAAATAGTGGTTTGAGAGTTCCATAAAACTATTGCTACGATTATTATCTTTAGTGATATTATTTTTTATTATCACAGTGATATCACTTGTGACAAAATGATACGAATGATTTTCAGTTGCAACGGCCTAATGTAACACTGGTTCCTATATATCTACTATTGAAAATAAAGCATGATTTTTTTTATAATTCAGTGTGTTAAAGTCTTTATTCGCAGAGACATTTAAAACATTGAAATTATGTCACAATGCTTAGATGAATGTATTAGTGCGTAAAGTTATTTCCGTTTTCTGTTCTATGACTCTTTAGAGTTCACTATTTCCATTCACTTTTTAGTGTTAAAGACACTGGAAATGTTTAATATGTTATTATACCGAGGGTGTTTCCATAGAGTTCTGTACTACACAGCGACAGGCATACTTTGTGTGCGATGTAAAATACAATCCATTTATATACTTAGCATATATAGTAAATAAATACTCTTGGCATATATATTTTTCGAAATTGTTCATTTAAAAACGTGAACATAAAATAGACAATAATAAATATTAAAATTTTGTTGTAATTCTTAATGGATTTAATGCTAAATAAATATATAGATACATAATAATCTTTTATTCCAAAGTAAAAAAAAAAAAGTTGTGAACAGAGGTGGGGCGGTTTACAAGCCTGTACTATTTTGTACAAAACTGCTGAATACGACGACGTGGCAACGACCGACGTCGCGAATTTATATTTTTCCTAAAACTATAAATTTAAATAAGCGCCAATAAAGAAACTGCAATGAATAATATTATCAAATTAAAATATGTAGTAGTGAACGAATGAAACAAGATTGATGATTTAAAAACGTTTATAATCATACAGTAATAACATAATCGATCTTAGAAGTTATATATTAACTATTATTAATATAACAATTACGTCATTATTCCTATACAATACAAGTTTGGATATTGTATTAACTATTTGTCTTTCGAGAGAATAACGTGTTACCTGTTTCGTATTGGATAGGGTTGGCGATTCTTTTCGAAAAAGATCGATTTTTATATCGATTCGAATCGTAATCTGAGAAATCGATTTACAAATAATTGGGCTCTAAAATATTGATTTCTCGAAAATCTATTTTTTTTCGAGTTTGTATTTTTAAAGGAATTTAAATCTAATTATGGAAAACAAAACGGTCTCCATAATAATCGATATTTTATGCTTTTTTCACAAATATAATTTTTTTTTACATTTATTTTATAAATTTATTGGTTGTTAAAAATTTACATACGTTTTAGGTATTGTAAATAATTTTATGGTTCTTATCAGTATATAAAATAAAATAGAATCTCGGTTTTCTAGGTTGAAATATCGATTCGTTGGATCGATTCAATGCTCAAAAAGATGGATTAAAAAAATGTCTTTTATCGAAAAATTTGATTCTTCGATTAAATCATCTTAGATCGTCATGCCTAGTATTGAATTCGAGTTAAATTGACCTATAGAATAAAACATAATAAAAAGCTACATGAACGATACAATCAGAGAAACGATAGAATATTATCCAAGTAATGAGCAATTGTATTTTTATTGTAATTAAATATATTATTATTATTATTATATCTAAACTGTTATTAGTTTCTATATAAACTCTGTAGAATCTTTCAATAAATATATGTAGGTATAATTAGAGTGAATAATGTGACTCGACAATATGAGAGACAAAACTTTAACTACTTCTTAATAAATGCCCTTTTTATTACATGCAAGTAATTAAGCATAAGATTGTAAGAGATTTTCTTATTAATAATATGACCAATGAAAATATAAGAAGATTATAAATTATCATTTTAATTCATTGACCTTGAATTTTTAGGATTACGATTACGTGTAATCTTATATGTAATTGTATACCGGATTTTTCATAAATTTGCCTAAATTAATACTAAATGTATCAATAATAATATTGTGCATTCGAGTTTTCACAACTAAAATAAAAAAAGAGGCTATCCATAAACTACGTCATCGATTTATGTGCTACAAGTTCCGGAGATAATTCAAAAGGAACGAGAGGGGCGATTTAGGTATTTACTTTTTCGAGTCCGCACTATAATAAGTACAAATTTGGTACGAAATCCTAAGAATTGTACAAAATCAAATATTAAAAAGTTTTTATATTAGGTGTTATAAAAAAGAAAAATTTTAAAAGAAATTCTGTCGCTCCACATGTAACTCTACTGTCATTCACCAATCAGCCGCCCATCCCTACTTTAAAAGACGTAATTTGTGAACGGCCTCGAATACACTTGGTATTGTGTATTTATAGATACAGAATTATACTGGAGTTATATTTATCTAATTCTTTTTACCTTATTCCAAGCAACAATTCCGTATGTGAGACCGGCTCCGAAGGCGAACGCTACCAGATATGGCAGGAACTTCAATGATGGAGTATGTCTCTTGCGCATCAGTGCCATTACAAAGTTGAGTTTGCTATCAGAGTACGGTGGGTAGCGATTACTGGAACATACATAAAATATTATCAATAACAATTACACATTTTCTATTTTTTATACCTATAAATATATTTACATCCCTTTCTTTCCCGTGGGTGTCGTAAGAGGCGACTAAGAGATGGTTAGGGATGGACAGCAGCGTCCCTCTTAAAACATCTCTAGAGCCTAACTGCGGTTGCCCATCCGCCTGCCAAGCGTGGCAACTACTGGGAAAACCTCCCAAGGGGGAGGTTTATGTTCAGCAGTGGACAGTTAAAGGCTGATATGATGATGATGATACCTATATTGATTGCGTACTTCTGTTTTGGTTTATATATTTGTTTGTATATTTATACAAGTATATTTAAGTATTAAAAAAGTATAATTATGTTTTTAGATATCTATTTTATTATGTTGATTTGTGCTTAATTATCTGAATGTTATATAATAATTTAAAAAGAAAACCGATAAATAAATGCTGGTAATTTGGTATCAGTGCCTTCCATATGGAACCTATCGTATCAGCGCTAATAAAAGTGGATGTTGTTCTTAGCTTAATGCTGAGATAAAAAAGTTTTGGATTTGTTTTGGTATATTTAGTTATAACTTTTGTATATTTAATAAAAAATTTTTATGGTCAATACATGTTTTCTATAATATTCTAATTGCAGTGTTTCAAATTTGTATAAAGTTATGTGTGTGCAAAATATTGTATAAAGTTACAGTATTGTAATGAGGTTTATTTTCCTATGATTGGATTTATTGTGACATAGATGGCTATAAGCTATGGCAAATTACATATTAAAAAAGGTAAATTAAAAATCTCTGATAATAACGATTCTAATTATATATCATAGCATCCTAATATAAAGCAGGTTACAAGGTTGCATTTATTATCTACAATGAAATTACGTTATAAAGAAATACTAATAATTAACTCATTTTTAGAAAAATCAACACAAAAATTGTGCAATCATAGTGTTTTAATACTTACGAAGCCAGTTTTTCACCAATTACTGCGAAATTCTTAACTAGACAGCTCTTCTTGTGGGTGAACGTGTCAAACGTCGCTTTTCCATGGTAAGCACCCATGCCGCTGTATCCAACACCGCCGAAAGGCAGAGTTTCAACTGTAATATAGAATTTTATTATAATTACTTTAAAGCATATTTTAACACCATACTTAAAACATATGAACGACGCTTTGCAATAAGTCTGACAATGTTCTCTCAAGTTTCGCCGAAAATGAAACTATTTTACATTTTTTAATATAATTTAGAATTGCAAAAAGTCCACCTGATGGTATTAGTGCTACTAAAATAACAAGGATATGGAAATAATATGGCGAACCCATTGCGGCCCTCTGTTGCCATTCATCAGAATTATGTTTTTATGTCTTTACATCTTGTAGTTTCGGTGCCGTCTCCCACCCTTCCAAGCCGAAATACAGCTATACACACATAGTTACTAAATGGCAGAAACACAAATGGAACAGAGGCACCTAAATACAGGACTTGTATCTGTTTAATACATTTCTACAAGATGTGCCACTAATAAAATAGATTTTTAATTTGAAATTTAAATGTTAAAGCTGATATTGTCAGTCTTACTAGAAGCGCCTTCTTGTAAAATATTAGTAAAGACACAAACAAATAGATGTATTTACAGAAAATGCATTATTTTATTAGTAGATAATTAAGAATTTAGCTGCCGTATTTTAGAAATTATATTAAGTTAGATTATTAGTGAAGCCCAATTACAGTGGTTTAAATTGTGTAGTGCACATTTATCATGCGACATGGACTTTTGTTATTACTATTTATCGAAAATGTTCGACTTATATGTTGATTAGTTGATTGTAGATGCTGGTCCCTAGTTGGTATCGTAATAATAAAAAGAGCGTGGTATAGATTGAATTAGTAATAATATTATTTTGATTGCAAGCAACTATCGTTACAAGAAAAAGGTTACATGGCAGAGTGCTACTACGTTATTGCCATTTACAAAATTAGATTACAATGAGCCAACATTTCTATTTATTGCCATGTATAAAAATAAAATAATGCTAGTTTCTAACAATTACACTAATTATGCTTTCTTTAAATGCATCTATATTGTTACTTCTACAATAGAGTATTATCAACCACTTGGCTTTTCTTTACTTATCTATCATATTTGCAGTTATAAATTGTTTAAATTAATCCTGCGATACGCCGCATAGTGAAGTGGCAAGTTTTTTAACATTTTTAAAATGCGGCAAATTTACATTTTGACATTAATTCAGGATGCTCACTTACACATTTCTTTTTTTATATGAAGTGAATTATTTCTTGGTAATAGTGGCAACTAGTGGCAAAATCCTTTTTATAAGGGGAGGCCTATGTTCAGTAGTGGACAGTTATGGGCTGATATGGTATAGTATGGTATTTCTTAGTAATAAATGCCTATAATGTTTTTTTTTTTTGGATAGTTGAGTAGCTTTGATGTCTGGGAGCCTCGTCCTCACTATTGAGTACGATGATTTATTGGCGACTTACAAATGAACATTAATAATGTACTTGTTGCCGTGTTTTAATGGACAATTGCTCATTGAAGATGCTGAGGGCGGAACAGTGGATCGAATTAACAAAGTGTACAAGTGAAATTGAAATCGTTAGCGGTACATAAAACTAATCTACCCATAACGCCATTAATTCAAGAAATTTCTGTCCTAGTGTATTATTTTAAAATACAAAAAGTGTAAAAAAAAATTTTTGAACTAGGTGTTATTTTGCGGAAGTCCATATCATCGCTCATTAATTAGTAAGTGTAGGTTATTTACTACTTTTTTCTGATACATGTCGCAAAACGTGCTTGGACGAAATGGTAGTCGGAGATTGATGACTAATATGGAAGGTTGTAGAATTTCTAGTAATAAAAATAGTAGTCAATCTTCGAGTGTTGATAGTAGCACACAAATTAATGGTAGTGGCATTTAAAAAAAAAAACAAAGAGTTTTTCTACTAACAGCTAAACGCGCCGTGTTAGTATGAGAGATTGAAAGTTTTTCGATATTTTTTTTTCAATTCACTGATCGAATATTCCCTGAGAATGCTAACGATTTTGATTTCACCTTGTATATAAAGTGAGTGTCGTACCTGACATATGCATAACCGTGTCGTTAATGCACATTCCTCCGCTAGTGGTGTTCTTAACGAAATTCTCAAGCGCCTTCTTGTTCTCCGTGAACACGTAGGATACTAGCGGCTTCTCTCTATACAAGCGACAGCAGACCAAACCAACACCATATTAATATTGCAATAGAGTTTATATTACGATAGGAAAAATATATTTACAGTGACGTTAGTAAACCTAGTTATATCCGTCATTTATAATTAATTGTCTTCAGTGGAGATTAGACTTGTAAATAACTTATAATAATACATCATAATTATACAATATTACTACATACTATGTATAATAGTATAATAATAACATACATACATAATACATACTCGTGTTTATAAATTTTGAACACAGGCTAATATTTAATTTTTAAAATATAGTTAAGTAATTTATAAATATTTAAATATAAATATTGTAATTAATAAATTAACGTAATTAAAAAAAAATAAAAAAAAATATACAATTTGTGTCAGTATAAAGTTTCGTAATATCATTTTAATTAGGAAATTTAAATGATTTATAGATATTTTATCAATTATATAATGTACTATTACATTCCTTATGTATGCATACATGCATACATTATAAAGAATTAATAGTTTCCATTTATATTTATAGATATACAATACATAGTACTTACAGTATAAGTAAGTACATTAAAATTATCTGTCTGCATAAATTAAAAAAAAGTTTTTTTTTTTAATTTACATACACTTAATATTATTAGATCATAACAATAGTTCGTATATTACGTGCTGCCACAAACCACCTTAACAGATATACATGCCATACAATAAAAATGAAACCACCACCTTCCCTCACAACCACAGAGTACCAAACCAATAGTGATAAAACTCATTACATACAGGGCCATAAAGGTATGTAGAAGCTTATTCCAAGACCTTATTTTTTTTTATTTATTAATTCAAATTAAGAGAATAATTAGTCTTAGTTATATAACTAGATTATTTATTCTATTTAATTACACAATTATAACTTTTTCATAAGAATTTTGTATATTACATACATACGTATTAGTTATGCCTTATATTTTTTATTGAAACTTATATATTATATTAAATTATGATTAATATAAATTTAGTAAGTTTAATAAAAACATTGTATCTAGAAATTAACATATCACTGCGAGAAACTAATATTAATGCCAAAATGACGATATGTATGTTTATTAAATAACATAAATAAAGGTATAAAATATCGTATCGATAATAGCAGCTTCTAGATACTTCGTAGGCACAGAGCGTAGGGTGGATATTTCGAGAAAAATAATTTGGATGAGTCCTTTCCCCAGGGCGAGTATTTGCATAAACATAAATGATAAATCAAACAATTCATTAGACTGATTTAACATTTAACACCGTAACATTGGCAATGGGTCTTTATAACACAAATAATAAGTATTTGGAAAACACCAGTGGTGTCGTTGTTAGACATAACTAAACTGAGAGAAGATTTATTTCTAATATTTAATCTAAGTACTTAGATTAAGTTTGATTATGATTCATTTAATTTCACAAAAGTAAATAAACCATAGACTAGGCTGTAGGTACAGTCGCGTTGTTGAATATGTATCTATTCCTTCACAATACATTATCTGAGAATAAAAATATATTTTCCTAAGCCATGTTTGATTGGGTGGGAATCGTAAGAGGCGACTGAGGGAACTAATTGGTCGAAGTATAGGAAGCAGCGTCTCCCTTAAAACATCACGAAAGTCTAACTGCGTTTGTCAACCCGCTTGTCAAGCGTGGCAAAGCCCCCAAAACAGGAAGGTCTATATTTAACAGCGGACAATAAACAGCCGATTTGATGATGATGTTGGATTCATCATTAATTCATACTTGTACAATTGAGTTTGAATGTTTGTTACTTTCCGCTATACTGGTTCATCTAATCGTCATGAAGTTTGGCATACATATAGCCAAATACTATGGATGAGGTAGAACAGAAGAAGTCGCGTGTAAAAACTAATCATTTACAAAGTTGGGAGAATTCGTGTTTTAACATTGAAGTATATGTACTAACATACGTTATAAATGGGTACGATGAAAAACAAGGGGAAATGTAGACATTTATGTTTGTGCAAACAGTCGCCGTCTCATACATGCTCATCTTACCGGCGTAGAACATGACCGTGTCGTTCATACTGATACTGCCCGAGCGGGTTTGGTCATTGAACAACTTTTGTATGTTACTTTGTGTGCTGAACACGTAAAGAACTAATGGATGTTCCCTGAAATATTTCATGTACTATTGATTGATGACCTTGCCTTGTTTAAAAACCTCTATATAAATAAAAATCAATTGCCTAAATAATGTAGGCCTGTAAGCGCTTTACTTCAATATGGCTGCACCTTTTTGACTAATTTTCTTTGTTGTTTGTAATTTTCAGGACAAGATTTGTAAAAAAAAAAAAGATTTTAGTAAAATATTAATGATTCACGTGAGTGAAGTCGCCGGATACAGATAGTAGTTAATGTAAATATTTACTATAATAAATATTAAAAGAGTCAAAAATTAAATAGCGTGTTTAAATAAGTGATGGCGATCGATGTTTATATTGTTGGTTATAACATTACGATGAGAAACAGGCTAAATAGATTTTAACGAAATTTTATAATAGAATAGGTACTAAAGTATTTAATTATGTAATAAATTATCACTTTATGTTTAAATAAATTTTGACGTAACCAACAAATATTTTTTTTTTCTTCGTAATTAAAAATAAATAAAAGCATTCAGTAGAGCGGTTCCAAGAGATTGAGAATGACACTGTCGAGTTACTTATAATTTACAATTTGGAAAAAAACCGACGTCTCAATATGGATATAGTAAACAACTATATTCCTTTTGTTTTACTTTGACTTTAACCTAATATAAGTATTTGTTTTAAATTTTGTTTATTATATTAATATGTATGGAGAATAAAATGTAAAAATGTCCATTCATTTTAAAATGTATTGGTTATTATTAAAATATTTCATTTATAAATTGATTTTATCAGTTCAATGCACCATCATTTACTCTGTTTAGCGTAACGTTTGATTGGTAGAGAATGCTATCAGATAATATGTAAGTCTATCCTGTATAGATGATACATATTTTAATGTGTGCAAATTAAAATGCAAACAGAATACATAATAACATAATAAATAAAGTATTGAAAATATGAATCAAAACCTAAAAATATACTGCTTATTAAAAATAACAAACATTGGTATATATTTGTATATGTATATGTACAAGTTCATGCAAGGTCATCAAACATAATAGTAATGTAATTGTATGCAAGGTTTGTTTACGCTTCAGCTCAGGTTTTTCATTTATTTAGTTTGATTAAAATATATATTTTAACATCATATATTTCACGTCATAAATCTATATGTTCGCAACAACGCAAAAAAATGAACCCTTTTATATGTAATCAAGTATAAAAATACGTAAATTATGGTATTTTCTAAATTATGATGGTAACTGGTTATTATAAAATACGACATGTATGCGTGATACTTTAAAAAAAAAAACTATATCTTTTAAAGCATAAAGAAGTTTTTTTTAGTTATTGTAAGTATGAATTATTTACATATTTTTACACTTGACTTTAAATTATTTGAAACAAAAATCATACAATGATTTTTATGGAAAAATGTAGGGGAACATAGATCTGAAAGTAACTACTTCAATGAAGATTTAAATAGTAAAACTCATTTGACCTCGGTAACATGTGAAATGTAATGGATTTATTCCGGTTATTATACAAACATAACAATTGGGCAGACATTAAAATAAGTTTTGTTGGAAACGGTATATTAACTCAAAGTATAACCCCGAAAAAAATTTTTAAGGTTATATAGGTTGAAATTAATTTTTAAATGTACCATACAACAATAATACAATAATCATTAAAAAAAAAAAAAAACTTTTTATTTCGACCATGTTCCTTGTAGAGAGTTGTTTAGTCGTATATTGCGTATTATTGGCATGGTAGGTACCTATACTGTCTTCGACTAAAGCAGTATAAAAGAAGAACACTTTAGAAATTGTACAGCGTGTAACGAAACGGGTATAAGTCGAAATCCATTGCCAGTATTTGGAAATTTGAGTAACTTTCTCTAAAGAACGCAGCTCGAAATAGAAACACGTTTTATAATAGCACAATAACATTTAACCACACTGTCATGAGCGACAATAGTGGTCTATGAAAACCGAAAATTCTCTTTAACTAATTAAAAATCACTATTTAAATTTTTTTGCTTTTTATACCTATTCTTTTATACTTTACTAGCTGACTCGGCAAACGTTGTTTTACCATATACATTATTTCTAGAACTATACATGAAAATTTATCGTACTACAATTATTATATTGGATTGCCATCTTGCAACCCTATTGCAGCATATAAAAATCGTGATTTAAAAACAGGAGTTGATCGTAAAACGGTGAAAATTTGAGGTTGTATGTATTTTTCAATGCTAAATCATAATAAAATAAAAATGGAAAAATTTGTCAAAAAAAAGAAAAATAATTTTTTTTTGGGGAGGGTCACCCTTGTCATTGAGGGGTATGAAAAATAGATGTTGGCCGATTCTCAGACCTACCCAATATGCACACAAAATTTCATAAAAATCGGTAAAGCCGTTTCGGAGGAGTATGGTAACAAACACCGTGACACGAGACTTTTATATATAAGATATACAAGATAAATATGTTTAGAAACTTCTTCATTGAACTGTAGTTACTAAAAAGGTCGAAACATTAAAATGACAATATTGCATAACCTCTTGTAGCTTCTTATCATGTTAATTGGAACTATTGTATGCCGCTTAGCTGATAGGAGGCGACATTAGGTATGTAATATTTGTTATTCTAATATGGAAATAGATTGATAAACGAAATTCAAAATGGTTGTTAACAAGTAAACATTCCCGGTTCAGCTGTCAAACAAAATGGAAAAAGGGGACAACAGATGCAATCACGTAGTTTGTAATATGACTTTTCAAAGATAATTAACATATCAATATAATTAAGAAATTAACTTTATAATAAAGTTGATTGATTGAGTAAATCAATTGACATATTGCGTACTTACAAATTGGTACAAGTATGGTCTGTTTCAATACGACTTAACGAAAGCATAACCAATTTATTTTAGGGGGAAAGGAATTGTTAGTAATAGGATTTGACAGCCCTATTCCTAGCAAGATATCTTATCTGGTCGACCTCCACGTGATTCCCCCTAGAAACTATCGTGAATAATTCTCTCTACTTAATTATTATTATTGACATATATATTACTTTATTATTATTAGGCTAACTTGCCCACTTATCATCATTCACTGGTACTCCATCAGAATATACCAATAGCGCAGGCGGAGTTGTTATTCCATTGTAACCCATTAAAAAAAAAACTATGTTGAAATTATTATAGAAAAAAGTACTCTGTAAATGAAATTAGTAACAAATCATACCATCAATTGAATAATGAATTGATTGCCAATAGTACTATTGGTGACCGCCGTGTAGGTCCTGAAATAGTATAGGCCAGTCCTTTCTTTCCTGTGGGTGTCGTAAGAGGCGACTAAGGAATTTAATGGTTTAAGAGGGATTGGCAATAGCGTTTCTCTTAAAACATCACCAAAAGCCAAACTGTGTTTGCTAACCCGTCTGCTAAGCATGGCAACTACTAGCAATGCCCCCCTCCATAGGGGAGGCTATGTTCAGCAGTGGACAGTTAAAGGCTGATACAACAACTAGTATTGGACGTCTACATTGCCTTATGGCCGGGCCAATCAATTACTACGTTTTCATTGGTTTGACTATGTTTTCATTGAGTTTTATTGAAAAAGACCATATTTACTCAAATAATTTTTCACTTGACCAATGCAATAAATATTTTTTTTACATCTGTTAACCCCAAAACAACAAAATGAGCTTTGAAAAATACAAAAAAATCACTCGACACAACCCAAACATTTTTCACTCGGGACTTACCTTTCGTTAATGAATTTGATAGCTTCATACGCATTCTCGATGGGCACAATCGGTAATATGGGGCCGAAAATCTCGTCCTCCATTGCTTTGTCGGTGGGGGAGACGTCGACCAAAATGGTCGGTTCAATGTACTTATCCTGAGCGTCATATTTACCGCCGACGGCTATTTTGTCCTTACTGTTGTCTAATATTGCTTGAAGTCGTCTAGAAAGATAATTATTGTTATTAACTACCTTCCTGTTTATATTTTTAACATATTATCGGGATTAAATGCGATGAAAAATTGGAGGTAATTACCTACATACCTGATTTTTATTGCCGACGTTTTTTGAATTCACTACATGTATATAATAAGTCATGGTCGAATGACTACAGAGTGTTTGTGTTCAGAAATTTAAATCTAATCTGGTTATTCTATTTTTAAATCATATTAATATTATTCCATTTAATTGTAAAATATGTGTTATTGTATTCATGCATTCCTGGGTGAGCGTATTGGGAGACTGTAAAGCTCACTCAGCTGATGAAATAAGTAAATAAATAAGACAAGGAAATAATATTTTTTCCTTTACTATATATTTTTTTTAATTGAAGGCAAAATTAAAAATATTCGAAAATTACTGAAGTAGCATACAGTTAATGGTATTAAAGACATAATGTACTCTCTTTTGTCACGGGCAAATTACCACTTTGTTTTGTCCAAAAACCCCACACACAAATATTTTAAGTACTTATTTTTTAACTTGTAAAAGACATCTGAACAACTCGATCTCCGTTTGGTGTTTCCGTAAATGAAGTTTTGGGTTTAATTTTTGGTCAAGTTAATTCAGGAAAAATACTTCTAAATTTGTTTCGATACAGGCGTTTTAAGATTCACACAGAGTTCTATTGTAAAGACATTAAATATAATCAATTAAAGCGATTATGTGGAACTAAGGAGATACTTACGTGAAATGTCTAAGGTTGATGATCCTGCATAGATCCGGTGACTTCTGTGGATCTTCACCGTACCATTCCTTAAGCACTTTCTTGGAGGCTTCCACGAACTTGGCTTGTACCTCCTTGGTGCACAGTATGTAGTCAGGCGCGATGCAAGTCTGGCCCACGTTGATGAATTTACCCCAGAGTATGCGTTTCGCTGTCACCACAATGTCCACTGTGTTGTCGATATATACCGGGCTGTGAAATTTAATTTGAACTATTTTTGAAATAGTCAAAGTAGTATTATGATATAAATTCGCATACAATTTTTTTTTTTATAATAAGCTGGCGGTTAGTTAGAAAGTGGGAAGTGGTCACTAACGATAAGTAATATATAGTTATATCTATTATTTTGTAGTTACACATATATTGGTCCAATAACAGATATATTAACAATCGGTTATTATGTAATATCAAAAACAAGAACCCGCTTGTAATGAATATATATATCCGACTGGTATGGGCCATATCGCAATGGGTAGTCATCAATGTTCATAAAAAACTTTTGAGTTCTTCTGGATATTGATGATATACATATATTGATATAGCTATCTAATATTACGCATCTCTACTGGTCACCTATAATAAAACAAACGAATATCCGCACATTTGACACCGTGCTCCCGTCATATATCGTAAATTCTAAAGACTAATCCGCTTATTTATAAAAAAAAACTTTTATTTTTTACACAACTTAGAATGGCAAACAAGCTGACGGCCCACCTGATCGAAAGTGGTAACCGTCGCCTATAAACATGAGCAGGTGGTCTACCATGAAATGAAATTCCGAAATTTTGTGTTTTTGTTCGTATCAAAATCGAGCCAGTAAATGAAGCTTAACATTTCGTTCATCATAAATCCTATTCTAATAGTCCAGAGGAACGATATTTTAACATTTTTAATAATTTTAAACAGCATGTATTATATAATTTTAACATCAAATTTCTGTTTCGTTTGTCCTCGAAATTTCGGAAAATACTTCATGGTAGGCCCTCAGTACCATGGACATAACAGAGTATACTGTTTCGCCCATAATATCCCCCATGCGTTGCCATTCCTGAGGACTCAGGTGTTATTCCTCTGTACCCTGTAAATTCACGCCATATCCCATCCTTCAAACCGAAACACAGCCATGCAAACACAACTACTTAACGGTAGAAACACGAATGGGACAGAGGTACCCAAGCAATCGACTTTTGTACAAAGTCTTTCTCTGGTATAATCTTCCCACAAATCCATTTTAACTATTACAGTGTTTTGTCACAATCTTTCAAATTGAGAAATTAACACAAAGGAAAGAGACAAAACAGTACAATAGCTAAAATAGGGTTATGAGACGTTTGACGTTATTATGAATAAGGGGGTAATTTATTACACCCCCGTGATTTAAAATTATCGTAATAATAAATTATTTGCCTTTTCAATACAGTGGTAGATAGGTTACATTTAGTGGAAACGAAGAAGATACCGAATATCGATGTCTCTTTTCATCTAATGCACGCAGCTGCGATAACGTATCTATGCATAGATTAGTTTGCCGCTTCTCTAGAGGGCAGAGTTGTCTTAAAAAACTTCAACCTTAACATTGTAGCACGACTTATGGACTCAATTTACGACGTTGTATACTAATTATTGTGTAAACATAAATCATCGCTGTACGCTATTATCATGACGAATTGGGATTCTATTTTTTGTGTTGAATTATGACTACAAATTATCAAAACAACACTCAGATAAAGTATGACTGGAAGTAAAACTTGTTTATTTTGTATTGTTATTATATTTAAGATATATTTATTAATATTAAGTATTTAATATGACTACCGTGTAGTTTCGGCATAGAATTACCAGAGGCAGACTTTGTACAAACGTCGTTTGCTTGAACACCTCTATCCCATTCGTGTTTCTACCGTAAAGCAGCTGTGTTTGCATGACTGTGTTTCGGTTTGAAGGGTGGGATATGGCAGTGAATTTACTGGGTACAGAGGAATAACACCTGAGTCCTCAGGAATGGCAACGCATGGGGGTATCATGGGCGAAACAGCATACTCTGTTATGCCCATGGTACTGGTCATGTCTATAGGCGACGGTTACCACTTTTCATAAGGTGGGCCGTCAGCATGTTTGCCATTCTAAGTTGCATAAAAAAATGGGCTGGCCCTTCCTTTCCTGTGGGTGTCGTAAGAGGCAACTAAGGAAACTTAATGAGGGATAGGCAGTAGAGTTTTTCTTTAAACATCACCAAAGCTTAATTGCAGTTGCCAACTCGCCTGCCAAGCGTGGTAACTACTGGCAAAACCGCCCAATAGGGGGAGGCCTATGTTTAGGAGTGGACAGTTAATGGCTGATATGATGATGATGATGATTTAATATGAATACATGAAACAAAACTTGTCAAACAATTAGCATATAGTAGACTTGTATATATAATTAAATGGTTGACGTTGTTAATATTGAAGTGTTACTTTTTTATTTATTACATTACTGTCATATAGATTCGTACGATAGACAAGTACAGAGCAAATTGAATAAATTATAAACATGTCATCCAAGTACGACGCAATAAAGTGTAAAATACTGTGACCTTCGAAATTTTTTAAGGTTATATTACAAGTAGAAGATGTTTTTAAAGTTTTGGAATAGAATAGATAAAATATTCAAGGTTTTTGTTATTATTAAAGATATAAATTAATTTTTTAATATCACTGAGGTGGCATACAAACATGCGGTCCACCTGATGATAAGCGGTCACCGTAGCCTACAAACGCCTGCAATACCAGGGGCATTATATGAGCGTTGCCGACCCTGAAGAAATCTCTTTATTCCTTTTTTGAAAAACCGCAGCAAAATCCTTGGAATATAACGATATTATGCTATATGACCTCAACAGTCATTCTCAACATGATATTATAGGCACAGCTAGTTTTTTTTAATTTATTTTTTTAAAACAAAAAAACGTAGTATACAATAAACTATTTCCTAGTAAGCATGTTTAATTAGATAGGTGATACATTTTGACGGATTAGCGGTGTGCGCAATCTCTCATGCATGCATTTATTTGTTATCACACAAGAGTCATAATACATCATTGTTTAAAAATAGCGAAATATGGAGAGGCGACGTGGACAATGTAATAATGTTGTAGACATTGTTCATGTTTATAGGCGATAACAGTTTTGCATTAGATGAGTTACCAGCATTGACTCATGCTTATTTACCTATAAGCTCTTCCTATATGCTCGCAAGAGGAAGGATAAGGCACTGGACGTTGCTGTTTAGTATTATAAAATGCATTCGGTGGCGAAAATGTATCTATCCGTAAATCCCTCCATCACTTGTATAAAGAGACAGGTTTCATGATAATATACTATCTATCATTACTTTTATAAAAGAATAACTTCTATAAACAATCCTAACATGTGATTTCAAATTAACTGTGATCAAAATAACTGTGCATAAAAATAACAGATCGCTAAAGCTAGAAAATTCTTGTTTTGAATGTGTATTGTAGATTATTATTTGTTATTATGTTATCAGCCGTTAACCGTCCACTGCTGAACATAGGCCTACCCCATAAGGAGAGTTTTGCCAATATTTGCCACGCTTAGCAGGCGGGTTTTTTTTTATGGATGAAAATGGCATGGCAACCCCGCCTGCGCTAACGGGATACGCTGGCGGAGCACCAGTGAAGGGTGATAGATGAGAATGAAAACAGGCCAGTTAGCCCATCATGATGAATTAACTGATCATCAGGAATTAACCATGATAGTTTCCAGGGGGAAACGCGAGGAGGTCAACCTGGTTGGGTATATTGGTAGCAATGGGATTCTCAGTCTCCATTACTAACAATCCTTTTTCCCCCTGGCAGGCTGGGTTGGTCGAAGTCTAATTGCGGTTAGGCTTTGGCGATATTTTAAGAGGGATGCTGTTGTCTATCCCTCGTACGCTGTTATTTTTATACTTATATTTAAATGTGATACATCAACAACAATATATGTTAAGATTGTTGAATATATAACTGTTTTAAATTACCTTTTTCCTCCCAACTCGAGTGTAACAGGCGTTAAGTTCTTAGTGGCCGCTTCGTATACAATCTTTCCGACACTCGTGCTCCCAGTATAGAAGATGTAGTCGAACTTCTCTTTTAGCAGCTCCGTCGTTTCTTGCGGACCGCCTTCCACTACCACTACAGCGTCCTGTGTGAATAATTTGAGAATTTTATCTAAGCGATTCATGAACCCGACCTCTGTGCTTCCACAAAGATAAACACATGTAATTGCAAATATAATTCGTAATGGAGTAGTCAAAAGCATGGGATATGGCGTGAATTTACTGGGTACAGAGGAATAACACCCGAGTCCTCAGGAATGGCTACGCATGGGGGGTATTACGGGCGAAACAGTATACTCTGTTACGTCCATGGTACTGCTCATGTTTATAGGCGACGGTTACCACTTTCATAATAAAAAAAAAGCATGTTTTTTATACAACATAGAATGGCAAAAAAGATGACGGCCCACCTGATGGAAAGTGGTAACCGTAGTCTATAAATAAACCCGAACTATAAAGAATATTAATTATAAAGTCTAATTGTAATATAATTTGTTGTTGTAGTTTGTAGCTAGAAGGCAATATTGACAATAGAAATGTCAAATAAATTATTTTGTTGATTTGTGATGGATTACGTCATTTCAATATTTATAATCCTTTTATTTTCTGCTTTTGTATTTATTATTATACCTTTATGTGCGACTACCGTTTTCTCCTGCACCTATGGAAATTTATTAAGATCTTTTTCCTACTTGATATTTAAACCCCATATTTTAATGGATGAAAATGGAATGGTAACTTCGTTTGCGTCATTGGTACGCTAGCGGGGCACCAGTTAAAAATGATGGGCGAAGATGAAAGCGGATCAATTAGGCCATTGTGATGAATTATAGAAGAATTAGCGACGATGGTTTCTAGGGGAAACCGCGCGGAGGTCGACCTGATAGGGTAAATTGCTAGCATCTACACCCCAAAAGCTTATATACAAATTTCAGCTTAGTAGGTGAGTTAGTAAGTGAGGTAGTTTTTGATGATTAGAAATTAGTGAACGAAAGTTTTTTATATTAGTCTAATTTATAAATTGTTAATTTGCAGTCAAGAAGATTGCAACATGTATAAATAAATGCAATCGGACATGTTATATAGCGCCATCTAGTTTGCAAATTAAGCAAAACTTATGAAATATACATATTACCAGAGGGAGACTTTGTACAAAAGTCGATTGCTTGGGTACCTCTGTCTCATTCGTGTTTCAACCGTGAAGCAGTTGTGTTTGCATGGCTGTGTTTCGGTTTGAAGGGTGGGATATGGCGTGAATTTACTGGGTACAGAGGAATAACACCTGAGTCCTCAGGAATGGCAACGCATGGGGGTATCATGGGCGAAACAGTATATTCTGTTATGTCCATGGTACTGCTTATGTTTATAGGCGACGGTTACCACTTTCCATCAGGTGGGCCATCAGCTTGTTTGCCATTCTAAGTTGTATAAAAAAAAAAATATCAATAATTGATACTTTTCTTAGAAATACATACACATTACATAATTACCCAGACCAATAGAAACCGACATACATGAATACAAATATTTGCATTGTGCGAGGATCGAATCTGCGACCATAGGAAGGTGAAGCAGTGTTAAACCGCTAGATTACAAAGATCGTCAAATACGTGAATGACTACAGATTAATCTATTCACATATATAGTTTTAATATTCTTAAATTCCAGTGTAATCTAAGTGTATATTTGTACTGAAAAACAGGTCCAGCGTCCGCTTTTATCGTGATACACAAATCAATGTTTACGTTATTAAATTAGTACCTAAATTGTTTATGTTTCCGTGTAAATGTGTTATCTCGTGTTTTTTAACATTAAACACCTTATCGAACTGATTATAAGTACCAGAGTTGATTACAAAGATAATTAAATGAATTCGTGAACTTTGTAATGACGGCGGCATGTATCGGTGAAGGCGAGTGAAGTTTGAATGAGTTTTTACTAGAGGAATATTTTGCACAAAAGTCGTCTGCTTGGGTCCTCTGTCGCACTTGTTGTTATGAAACAGCTGTAGGATATGACTTTATTGCTATTACAGGATACGGAGGCATAATACTATAGTCGTTTGTTTCTTAAAAAAGGCACATATGTACTCTTAAATATGCCTCTAAGCTTTGCTCGGAATGTGGAGTGGGCACCGGATAATTCTGGAGTGGGCACGGTTTTCCTGGTCCCTCTTTAAATACGAATATGGTTGCATGAACTACTATCACTATAGAACTTACGCTATCCAAGTATTTGGGTAAGGTCTCGACGATGAATTTGTTGCATGCGACGGCCACCTCGCTCGGTTTCACGATGACGGCGTTGCCGGCAGCAATTGCGCCGGTCATTGGCAGCAGAAGCAACTGGAGTGGGTAATTCCACGCGCCTATAACCAGCACCACGCCGTAGGGGTCGTTGTGTATCACTACGTCGTCCAAGAGATTCACGAAGCCCTTTGACGGCTGTTGGATGTGGAATTAAACATATAATTAAAAATTAGAATAATCTCGAACACGTCATACAGCTACATTTTGTTCCAAATTAAACAGAGCTCGCATTATGTGTTGTTATGATCAGACTGCTCGACATACATATATGAATTTTGTGTATATAATAAAATTCTCAGACAGATACAAACAGACACACTCATATTCAAATAAATATCTGTATTGTGCGAGGATCGAACACGCAACAATTTGAAGGTGACCAGTAAGTTAAACGGCTATATTATCAAGGTCGCAAACGTGATTCTCAAGATCATATATTTATAGTGCAACAAGAATATACAGCTCCGCAAAAAAGCAATATTAATTGTGAATGCATCGCTAAACGACGAGATGTCTGTAGAGTGCAATGTTTACAATGTTTTACAATGCCAAGTTACATTGTAAACATTGCGTGTAGAATAGATTTTGCTTTGTTGCCATCAAGCAATTTATTATTCATCTTCAATCATCATAAAACTAAAATGAGACTAACACGGGTATAACTGCATGCTTTCCCAGTTTATTGGGTTGGCTGGAAGTGATCTCTTTCAGAGATATGTAAGTTCATCCAAGAGATATGTAGCTCACAATATTTATAATTGTCTTATTTGTATATTATTTACAAGTGCAATAAAGAATATAAAAAACCCCTATCAATAAAAACGATTAAGAATTGGCGAAAAATGTTATGTTATGGATCGATTTGCTGTGTACTAAAAACACTAAATTAATAGACAATTGCAAATGTTGCCAATTCTGCGCAATAAAACACTGGAAAACTTTTGTACAGAGCTGAGTGACTGTAATTGGAATGCACTTTGAACGCTAACATGGAAAATACATTACCCTCTCGGGCTTGATCCATTCATCCAAACAGTGTATGGTGTTGGAGAGGTCATTGATTAAGTAATCAACTTCAAGAAGTATCGCTTCCGTCTTGCTTCTGCGTAGGTCTTGCCGCAGTGCATCGACCATCGCCTGCCTGTTCTCCTCATACAGTCGCTTTAAAGCCTTCAGTTGCTTCCGTCTCCATTCCACTGGTTTGGTCACACCACGGTTGAAGGCATCGCGAGCTTTGCGGACCGCCTAAAAAGAACGCAATTTTTAAGATACACATGCGTAAGACCTTACTACTTCTGAAATACTTGTACATGCCCTCCTTGGTTTCGGATCAAGAGGAAGGTAGAAATTAGAATTTGTGATGAGGGCATAACACCAAAGTCTTGGCGCAATAGTAATGACAACATATACATAAGTGGTAATGTCCGTGGTGCTGTTCACGTCTATAGACGACTGGGGGCAAATAGCTTGTTCGTCAGTCAATGTTGCATAAAAACCTCAAGTGATTTCGAACGAATTCATTTGAGGTTTTATGCCAAAGGAATGAATCATTGCATGCATTGCATTATTTATTCATTAATATTGTTATTTTACCATACCAACCAGTTTGCCATACCAACTTGCATAAAAAATACTGATTAACTAAAACATCTATGCTATTGTTGTTTTTTGTTTTCATCAGTCATGTCATGTGAGACTCTATAAATAAATAACAAATTATAAGTCACTTGCAGTTGAAAACACGTGTTTCGTAAAATATTGCAGTGAAAAATCGTTTTTGCTTGATTATGGCGAATCAAAAAGAGGGTTATTGTTTAGTTCCATTATTTAGGGTTTGGTAGCACTATTATAACTATTTTTTTTGTCTATAATTTCATGTATCATTCTTTGAGGACAACAGGTAGAGTTTTTAAGTTTTTATTAATTCATTCACTATTGTTATGGTAACAATGTTTGTCTATCTGTCCCTGCTATCATGGACGGGTCTTTAACATTTATTATCATGTAATAATCTTAGATGTAGTATTATGTGCGTCATCAACCATATTGTGTTACTAACTAGCGTTTTGTGACAGATTGCAGTATTGCATGTAGGTACTACAAATAAGTGTAACTAGGCTGCTAGAAAATGATTATAAGCAAAATTAAATTTAGTTCCTACATAAACATTGAGTTTCAGATGACATGATGTAATAGCAATGTAAAAGACATCTTGTATTTGCTAGTTGTTGGGAAATTTTAAATATTTTATTTTTAAACAAAATGTCTAAAAAAGTTCTGTATGAGCAGATACTCTCGTTGGGGAGTAGACTTTCTTGTTATTGTTAGAAATCAACACATTTGCTCACATTCTTTGATTGATGTAATTGGGAAAAAATAAATTCTGGCAAAATTATGGCATGGACATTTAAAAACTATATTATCGCGTAATATATATATATATATATATATATATATATATATATATATATATATATATATATATATATGTATTGGCTTCTATCTATTTTTTAAATTGGGCAAGTACCATTGACGGTTACCACTTACCATCAGGTGGGCCCTCAGCTTGTTTGCCATTCTACATTGTATAAAAAAAAAGAACTGGCAAAGGAAATACTTACATCAGCCATATTAGTTGATCCAGGTTTTGAATTTGTAACTGTTCCTGTAACAAGAGGTAATAAGAGTGAGGTTATAATTATACTGATTACTATATTATATTTTACTGAGATGAAAATGTAAGGGTAACCCCACCTGCGCTAGCAGTATACATTGGAGGAAATCAGTGAGGGATGATAGATGAGAATGAAGACAGGTCAATCAATCCATCATTATTAATTTACCAGGAGTTAACCATTCAAGGGGGGGGGGGGGGCATGGGTGGTTGAATTGATAGAGGGTATATGTAAGCAATGGGATCATAAATTTCCATTACTCAGAATACCTCACAAAACCCCCCCCAAGAAAGCTAATATTATGTGCTATGTTGATGTTAAAAGTATAATTATTTAATTCATTATGTTTTAGAGTTTATAACATAATGAATTAAATAATAGTACAGTCTAAATTTTAGACAAAGTACAGTCTAAAATTTAGATTGTACTCTGTCTAATCCAAAGGGAACATGGTGTGAATATACATAAAATAAAATATATTTATTTATGTATAAGTTCATGTAACTAAATACTTACATTTTAGATATTTTCATATTATACTAACCAATTTTAGTCTCTTTTACATACAAAATTTTAATTATTTGTTCAGCTGTTTAGCGTGTTTGAGTAACAAACATGCACACATTTTTACAAACTTTCACATTTATAATATTAGTAGAAAACATATTAAAACCTAGAAAAACATTACACATATTCTGGAGATGGTCAAGAAGTACTGTTCCTGCTAAAATTCACATATAAAGCCAGAATAGCTTTTTGTACAGAGTTGTGCACTCAATAGATGGCATACTTACATTACAAAATATCCAACCAGAGGGAGACTTTGTACAAAAGTCGATTGCTTGGGTACCTCTGTCCCACTCGTGTTTCTACCGTGAAGCAGTTGTGTTTGCATGACTGTGTTTCGGTTTGAAGGGTAGGATATGGCGTGAATTTATAGGGTACAGAGGAATAACACCTGAGTCCTCAGGAATGGCAGCGCATGGGGGGTATCATGGGCAAAACAGTATACTCTGTTATGTTCATGGTACTGCTCATGTCTATAGGCGATGGTTACCACTTTCGATCAGGTGGGCCGTCAGCTTGTTTGCTATTCTAAGTTGTATTAAAAAAAAAAACTCATCCACTTAGTAGGCAGAAAAATAAAAAGAAATATTTTTAAATAATAGTCACATGTTTTATGCTCTGAGGGATATGTAGTCATTATCTAGTATAACAGATACTTATTTACTAATAGTTATACCATACCATGTTAATAGTTGATACTATAGGTTGCCACATATCTATAATATTTCAGATATTATTATCACAGCCATCAATCAAATAATTAAGTCAGCGATGTTTGTAATATTAAATTGTATTTAAATACAGTAAATAATTTCAGCAACATTGTTGTAAGTAGGACTTTAATCTAAGAATTGATAATACTCGATAGACAAACAATGTAAAATAGATTTGAAACTACTTATATATTAAATACATTTTATACTTGGATTTAATGCATCAAAACTTGAGACTTTCTATTCTAATTAACGTGTTTGATACAAGAAGTAAAATGATATATTATTGTTAAAATTAGAAACTTTTATAAAATCATAAAACACTATGAATATTAACTGAAAATGCAAAAGGCTTATTCTCCATAGTAAATCTGATTCTTATAAAAGAAACAACTGTCTAAATATTAAATTTGACAAACAACTGAATATATTTATTTAGTATTTATATATTCATTGCATCAATACATTTGTCAAAGAAATAAATGTTATAAATTTTATTTCTCTGGAAATAGTGCTAATTTTAATATAATTAAATATAGATATTACAGCTGAAAATAAATTAAATGTACATTTTTACAGTAACATATTTGAAATATAAAACAAGATAAACTGTCATCTTCAACTATATTTTGTTGTTAAATAATATATTTTCTTATAATTTATAAAATTTAAAATATTAAAATGTGACCCTCAGCTTGAAAAATACTGATTTAGACACACAAGTGTGGATGGTTCTAAATTTTCACAGATTTTCTACAGAAACATATATCGAAAGATATTGTAAAAATGGGCAGTTTAACAGTATGTAAAAATTTTGGTAGGCTAGAGCAACATTTGACCTGTAATTTCCGCTAACATTTAAAAGGAATTATCAAGTTCAATTTCCAAGGTGAAATCAACTACATGATAAAGTAATTAAAATACATATTTGTATTTTTTATTTGTGACTAAGTATTTTGAGCAAAAGTACGTGTGACACTAATAAATATTAATGACTCAGAAACTCACCTAAATTCATTGTATAAGGAGTCTTCAATTAATTGACACACAAGAATATTTACTACAATTTTCTTTTACGAGTTGTGCGAGGAACAACGTACTAAATCGGATTGTATAATACTAATAAATTGTTGTGATAAAAGTTAAACGCGACAAAACATTGTAGGTATTTCAATTCAATGTAATCTCAATTTGACAGACTGGGTGGCCAACTCCGAAAAATATTTACCCATAATTTGCTGTTAGGTATCTAAATTACAGTAATAATTATTAAACTTCTAAACAACTAAAATTGTATGTGATCAGCAATTAATTTTGGGTATTTGAATATTTTTTAACAAAAACAAATATCGCATTTTAATTTGAGTTTGAGGCTTCAGGCAAGAAAGTCTACTTTTGAATTTTGTATTGCAATCATGATACAACAATTAGGAATTAGCTTTGAATTGGAGTTGGTTTTCAATAGATTGAATTTTTTTTTATACCACTGAAGTGGCAAACAAGCATACGGCTCATCTGATGGTAAGCGGTTACCGTAGCCTATGAACGCGTTGTACGCGACCATTTAGGCTGTAAGGTATGAGGGTGAACTCCCTGTCAATGGCCAGCCGTACGATGATAGAAAGTGGCCGTAGGCATCATATTGAATAATTCCTCTGAGCACAATCCGTTGTACAAGCGGTAGAACACGCAGAGTGAGGCAAAATCTCTTCTAAGATCTAAGAGTTCGATACCGTTTACAAGCCTGAGATCATCGACAATTCTCATAGCTCGTCGTTGCACTGTCGAAGGGTTCAAGCTGGTATCTAGGTGCTCCTGCCCATAAGTGACAGCAATACTCCATATGGGGCCGGATTTGCGATTTGTAAAGTATTAATCACTGATCCGGCGTGAAGTAATGCTTCGCTCTATTAAGCACACCGAGTTTTTTTGTTTGCCAGCTTCACCTTATCTTCGAGGTGGCCACGGAACTGTACGTCACTAGAGATGTCGACACCAAGGATCCCAATGCTTTTAGAGATGTTAAGAGACGTGCCCTGGAACTGTAGGACCACAGCAAATTGGGTTTTCTTAGCGGTAAACGCGCAAGCTTGTGTATTAGAGAGGTTAAATTGAACCAAGTTTTGTCGTCCCCAATCAGAGACTTCAGTTAATGTTCTCTCGAATTTAGACACAAGCTGTTCACGATTGTTCTCCACGATGGAACGGGAGACATCGGTACGACCCGTATAAAGGGCATCCCCAGTGCTGTCATCCGCATAACAGTGAATGTTACCGAAGGTTAACATATCATTAATATGCAGCAGAAACAGCGTTGGGAACAGCACAGAGCCCTGCGGAACGCCAGCGTTAATATCCATGCTATTGGAGCAGCAACCATCTACAACGGTTTGTATGTGTCTGCCGGACAAAAAACTGGCGACCCATTTACAGAGGCTGTCGGGAAGTCCATAGTAGGGCAATTTCGATAGAAGATCCCAATGCCAGACCCGGTCAAATGCCTTTGCAATATCAAGACTGACAGCGAGCGCCTCACCTTGACTCTCAATGGCCCATCGGTGCGTAAGATATACCAAGAGGTCACCAGTTGAGTGACTATGGCGGAAGCTATATGATAGCTTGCATTGTCAAGTTTCACTTATATACATCTATCAGTACCTTAGATTATAATGTATACAGATTAGCAATGTAAAAGAGAGAACTATAACATATATGTTAGAGCGAAATAGAAAAGCAGGACATTAATTTGCACAATATATGTTCGAAGCTGATTTGGCGGGTACATTTCAGATTGTTTTCGATCAGATGGTACATGATAAAATATAATAACTTTTTGGGGGTTTTATGCATAATTATTAATATATTTTTTTGTTAGATTAATGCTTTAAAAATTTTAGATTAAGCAGATTGTATTAACTAATGTACAATTTTTGTATGTAAATATATTTTCAAATCTCATAAATTTTTTACTACTCATCTAAAATATTTGTATATTTCAGATGAGTCGTTAAAGCGCTAAAAGGTATAAACAAACTTATTTTCACATTCATAATAAATTAATAAGGCATCATTTATAACCATGGTACTTGTCACTTATTAATTGTAGATTATCATAAAATTAAAGTATGATTATTATATTTCAATAATAATTGTGTCACGTAAAAAAATATTACCATATTTAAAGTGAAAATCACAAGTAAGCGGAGCCGAATCTGCGGCGTCATTTCTCTAAATCTAACTCTAAGTTTAAAATTTTATCAACGAAATCTTTATTAATGGACCCTTATGAATTATTTTTTTAATTTGTTTAAATCGAAATTATTATAAATTTAGTTAATGATAGATATAGAGAAAAGACACTTCAAAACGGGCGCCCTAATACTTTAATTTTCTATAGTATTTATATGCATTGGCATATTCAAAATTATTTTGCAGGGACTTACTTAAGACTTTTTTTGGGGCTTGACCACTAAAAAAGGTTTTTGCACATAATTAAAAGCTCTGCTCGCAGCCTCGGGTGGGCACTAGACAAATCTGGAGATGTAAAGGGCACGACTAACCCGGTCCCCCCTCAAAGATGCCTATGTCGATACGTTATCGTCAAATATATCGAATATTTTATAAAAAATACGGGAAAGCAAGAATTGTAAACATTGTAATATAATAATGAGGCCTGTCATGAAGTTACTATACAGATAGGTAATGAATAA